ACCTGAGGTGGGTCCTCACTTTGGTTAATGGTGTGGATGGCATGGGATGTATATGGGAAAGACACATCACACGCTCAAATTCTTGTATTTCACGTTGGTGCCCTGAGCATAGAAAGCAGGTTCCAAGGTCTAATCCTTCATAATCCCTGGCAATCAGCCTTTGCAACTGCCAGGAATGGCACAACACAATCTCATCCAGGAAAGATTTAGCAGATTCTTCCTTCCTCCTTGGGTGCTCTGCTGTAGAATTGCCACTGTGTGCAAACACTGAGTGTTTGTGTGGGTGGTTTGCACTTGAGGACGTATTTGGGGTTGCATTCTCTCCGCCAATGTTTCCCGTAAAGTCCCGGTTATTAAAGCATAATGAGGAGGCTTAGGCTGATGGCGCCCTGAGGTTTTGGGGTTCTGCCTTTTGTTTTAAACAGGTGGCCCTGGAATTTCCTCTGGTTGTCAAGTGCTGGTTTTTTAAGAGAAGCAGGGAAGGGAAAGAAAGCCACAATGCTTGTTATTGTGTGAAATAGTGGATAAGATGCATAGGGCATAAGGGCATAGGGAAGGGGCATATTTAAATGTTTAGTTCTGAGTTTTAAATGGCTGTAACCTGCCCTGGGACCTGCTGGTGAGATACACACTGATTCACTCATTTTCTTTCTTTCTTTCTTTCTTTCTTTCTTTCTTTCTTTCTTTCTTTCTCTTTCTCTCTCTCTCTCTCTCTCTCTTTCACACACACACACACACACACACACGGGTGGGAAGGAGTTTAAGACAACAATAGTGCATACATAAAATCAATTCAAACCCAATACAGATAGCATCTGGCATAAAGATCTCCCTTTGGAAGGCTTGCTCAAAAGAGGAGCACCTTTAGCAAGCACCAAAAAGCCGACAGATAATAAATTAATTAGGGCTCATCCACACTTCCCTTTGTCCCCTGATTTCTTCTTCTTCTGTCTTGTGATTGCTAGGCATGAGCCCAAGAGGTATTTCTTTTGTCACACTGCTTCCCCCAGGAAAACACACAGTTTACTGCTGAATTAGAATGTCAACCCGCAGAAAACCATCTGGGTTTTCTACCTCAGTCGCTTGCTTCCCTGTGCCCTACGGGTCAGACATTTCTGTCTTTACTTCTGCTGTCAGAAGCAGCCTGTTTCTGAATACCACTTGCTGGGAACTGCAGGAGTGAAGAGGGTGCTGTTGTGCCAGGGATGCCACTTGCAGGTTTCCCATGGACATCTGCTTGGCCACTGGATGCTGAGCTTGATCGGCTACCGGCCTGATCCAACAGGCTCTGCTTATTTATTTATTTAATCATTCATTCATCCCTTTATAGTCCACCTTTCCTCCAAGGAGCTCAAGGTGCCATATAAAACTTCTCCTCCCCATTCTGTCCCCACAACAACCCTGTGAGGTAGGTTGGGCTGAGAGGCAGTGACTGGCCCAAGGTCATCCCAGTGAGCTTTGTGGCTGAGTGGGGATTTGAGCCCTGGCTTTCCAGGGCCTGGTCCAACCCTCTAACCAGTGTATCACGTTCTCCTCCACTGTCTTTAAAGGTCTCCAGATCTGTCTTTGTGCCTGAGGCAGCTGCCGTAGCTCACTGTAGGCCCAACTTCTGCCCTTGTTCCAGTCTCTCCTACATAATAAGCTACCTTTATACAAAGTCAGACTACCGGTCCGTCTAGGTCAGGATTGTTTGCACTGACTAGCTAGTGGATCTCCAGGATTTCAGGCAGGGATCTTTTCCAGCCCTGCCTGGAGACACCAGGGATTGAATCTGGGGCCTTCTGTATGCGGCGCAGATGCTCTGACCTCAGAGGTATGGCGCTGTCTCAGCCATTCAATGGCACTTTAAAGAGGGTTTAATGCACCCGAGCCGACTTTGGTTTAAAAAACGGAGAACAAATAGTCCTTTAACATATCTCAAAACGTCAAACCGCCCAAGTATAAAAAGCTAAACAGACCCTGCTGCTTCAAACTGAAAAGGGTGAAGGAGAGCAGGGAAATGGAGTCTCCTGTTGCCCCAAACTGCTGCTTCACGATAGGTAAAGGTAAAGGGACCCCTGACCATTAGGTCCAGTCGTGACCGACTCTGGGGTTGTGGTGCTCATCTCACTTTATTGGCCGAGGGAGCCTGCGTAAAGCTTCTGGGTCATGTGGTCAGCATGACTAAGCCACTTCTGGCGAACCAGAGCAGCGCACGGAAACGCCGTTTACCTTCCCACTGGAGCGGTACCTATTTATCTACTTGCACTTTGATGTGCTTTCGAACTGCTAGGTTGGCAGGAGCAGGGACAGAGCAATGGGCGCTCACCCCATCCCAGGGATTCGAACTGCTGACCTTCTGATCGGCAAGCCCTAGGCTCTGTGGTTTAACCCACAGTGCCACCCACGTCCCGCTGCTTCACGATACTTCATGGTAAAGCAGGACCATCCTTCCTAATACCAGCACTTTCCCACTTGATGATAATGGAACAGATCGCACCTGCACCAAGCAGATGACCCTGATAGGGAATGTTCTATATTCTGAAGTCTCAAACTAATTAAAAACAAAACGTCAAAGATGACATGTCAGAGAGAGAGAGAGAGAGAGATTTCGAGAGAGATTTCTCAATTAAAAAATCAGATGACCAGCCACCTAATTTTATATATGATGACTTCCTTGTCGTATGCAAAGTGCACATAGAGTACATTGTCAACCTGTTCATCACCGCACTTGGCACCTCTTCTTGAGTGCCTATCTGTCTTGTCCTCAACTAGGTATCTCTTGTGCTACAGGGTGTGTCCAATTGCCACCCTTGGGTGACCCATCTTTCTCATCCACTGCTCCCCTCCTCCGTGGGGAGGGGCCCATAATTGAAGTAGTACATCTCTGGAAAGAAGCAACTCCCAGAGGATTCGGCAACAACGCAGGGCGACTCTGGTACAGAAGGTAAGAACGGGGAGGCATTCTCCTGGAGTAGAGATCAAGGGCAGGAGAATCTCTAGGATTTGCAAGATGTGTGTGTGTTGCTAATTCCTCCTCCTCTGTTGTCTGTCATAATGTGATCTCCTGGTCTGTGCCTCTCTTCAGTCCCCAGCCTTCAGCTTGTGGCACAATGGGGTCTAGAAGCTTGCACAGCCTGGTTGCGTATGTGTTGTGGGTGGGTATATTATGCTGCTGCCCTTGGGTAAGTGTAGGGCCAGACGGGAGGACCTTTTGGTGTCTCCCAAATGCTTTTCTCTGACTAGAAGCCATACAGGGCTGTAGATGAGGGATGGGATGCCTGTGTCCCTCCAGTCATCGTCCAACTCCATCAGCCCCAGTCAGTGTAATTAATGGTTGGGGATTACGACAGTTAAAGTCCAGCAACATTTCTGGAGGGTTGCAGGTTCCCCATTCTTGGTGTAGATCAATGAAGAGGTTGCTCTTGTGAGATGCCTTCTTCAGCTCCAGCCAAGCCCTGATTCTCTCTGCATCTCCTCCCTCCACCTTCCTTCTGGAGGAAGGCTCCTGGAACCTAGATAATGCCATCAATTGACAGTGTCAGAGTAAAATACTATACACAGTAAAATACTATGCTCAGGGTCCCTTCCTATGGTTCTGTACTCAATGTGCTCTCAATATTTTATACTGGGGACTCAGCTCTAAAGTGATTTGTATACTGTATTTTTCACCCTATAAGATGCACCAGACCACAAGACGCACCTAGTTTTGGAGGAGGAAAACAAGAAAAAAAATATTCTGAATCTCAGAAGCCAGAACAGCAAGAGGGATCGCTATGCAGTGAAAGCAGCAATCCCTCTTGCTGTTCTGGTCTGGCTTCTGGGATAGCTGCGCAGCCTGCATTCGCTCCATAAGATGCACAAACATTTCCCCTTACTTTTTAGGAGGGAAAAAGTGAGTCTTATAGAGCAAAAAATACGGTACATTGCATGTGCAATATAATGTTGTGCCACCAAGATGGCAACGTGGAGTCCCGTTTTTCCCTGTTTCAATTTACAACGCTTTAAACTGAAAAGCATCTTTGATGTGTCTAGATCCAGCCTTGGTATCTTCTTATATGTTGTTTAATTGCTGTAGGTCACTTTGGGAACCAATCATGGTTGAGAAGCAGGGGTAATCTAGTAGTTGTAGTAGTAGTAGTAGTAATAATAATAATAATAATAATAATAATAATAATATAGCAGCTCTGTGATCCCCTGATCAGCCAGGAGCACCCAGGCTGATCACTCAACAAGGATCCTACCCAAACTTCCCCTCAGGCCGCTCCAAGTTGCATAAGGGCATATGGAAATATTATGCGAATGCCTTTTGTTCCCTTTAACCTTCCGCTTTCAAAATTTGATGTTGTGAAATTTGAAGTTAATTGCTGTTGAGCTAATTAGCACATAGGAGATCCTGGTGATAAGTAAATGGATGAGAGACTTCATGCATGGGCTGGTGTCGATCTAAGACAATTGTTCTGCCTTAGATAAGCTGGCTCATAGTTGGGCATCAGAGTTCTGAAAATTCCAAGTGGAGGCAGACAAGGCAGAGGTGGATTTGGGATGGCACAACTGTTGCGGTTGCACTGGGTGCTAGCACAACAACAATGATGTAGAACGGAGCGTGAGAGGCGGGTGGGGTGGAGAGGGTCCTGAATTTTAGTGTCACGCAGGGCGCCACTGAAATTCGAGAAGCCAAAGTCCACCCCTGGACAGTGCTCCCCCTCCACTATTGAAGATGTTGTGCCTCTGCCTACCAGCCACTAGGAATCACACGTGGGGAGGGAGAGGTCCTGTTGCGTTTCTGGGCTTCCCAGAGGCATCTAGTTGGCCATTGTGAAAACAAGATGCTGGACTAGGTGGACCTTGGGCCTCATCCAGTAGGGCTGCTCTTATGCTAAATTGTGACACTGATCACATAGCCGAGGAAAGTGACTGTGAACAGGGCTGGCGCCTGCACTGCTTTGGTGCTGAGGGTTGGACAAGGCTGAGTGGGAGAAGTCTTTTGCTAACATGCCCTCTCTGCGCAGGTAGCAATCATGGCTCCCACACTGAAACCAATCACACATCTATTGATGTTGCTGCTCTTGGGAGGATCCTATGTTAGCTGTGAAGGTAAGCCTCTGCGGCAAAGTACGACGGTAAATTCTGGAGCGCAGAATTCCCCGGGAAGAAGGATTTGATGGTTAAACTGCTCTGAGAATTGTAGCTCAGGATAAGGGGCCTCCTTGTGACTCTCATTATGCATAACAAACCACAGCTCCCAGAATTCTTTGGGGGAGGCCATGACTGAATTCTCCCAGAATTCTTTGGGGGAAGTGATATCAGAGTACTTTAAATGTATGGTGCGGATGTGTTGTTAACGGGACTCTGGTCAGAGACTGAAGGTTCACAGAGTCCAGGGCTCATTTCTTTGGCTCATGGGGCCAGAGTTTCGGATTAGTTTCGTGGAAGAAAGTGTTGCATCAGTCCTTGGGGATTTACTGGGTTCTGCAATCTTATCATCTCGTGTTAAACCAGAGAAAGGACAGGAAACCATTGCATTTTGATCCATGCTTTCTCCCCAACATACTCATTTTTCTCCACATTATTTGTCTGGAGAATTGCATTACAAAATTCAGAGAGGTGTGAATGTAGAAAGCTAGTTGTGTTCCAGCTCACTTACTATTATGGAAAATGCAATTAAGGGGGGGTGGGGTTTCAGATAAAAATACTAACCAAATGAAATTCTCCCCCATCCTCCTCTGTCTCTGTGAGTAGAGCAGGAAAAAGTGGAGGTAAGAAATGGCTGTAATGGGGGCCAGGAAGTTGGGTGAAGCTGAGCTCCTCATACAGTGGCAACAACAGACAGCCCCGGTCTTCTCTTGCCTTATAGACGGAAATAAGGCAGAAAGATGTGTGTGAAATAATCTCAAGTCTCTAATATAATACAAAATTTCTGTCCTTCTTCTTTGAAGTGCAGGGGTCATTCAGTTTGTAGTTTAAGGGTCAATTATATTAATGTTAAAGTCAACTAGCCAAGAGGGTGATGGGTGGAGGTGTTGCTTAGTAACCAAGCAGAATTGCAATATATTCACTGAGGTAGCACATACTCTGATTGTGTAGTTTGGAGGGAGTTTTCCTCTCTGTGTGCCTGGTTGAATGTCTTCCTGCTAAGTATAAAGCTTGTACTGAGAAAGACAAAACCTCTGTTGTTGTTCTTTTTCAGTAAAGTGTTCTCGGGCTTCTTTTCTCTACGAACTCCCATCTGCTAACACTTCTCTCTTTCTCCTACAGAGAAATGGTGCTATGACAAGCCAAGCTGTGGTAAGCAAAACAGCATTCCTTGGTTTCATCCACAAGCTCAGTATCTCCCAGTGTAAGAAGTAAAGATTATTTTTCTCCAGTAGTGCGGTTCGATCGCTGAGGCACAGAAAGGGTAGCAGGCCTCTCTAATGGGGCTTCAAACTCTCATGCCCACAGAGCAGCCTGTTTAATCTGCTAGGCAGGAAGCTGGGCTGAGCCATATTCAGCCTGAAAGAGGCCTCAGCACAAACTAGGCCACCAATTCAATAATGCCAGTTTGAAATTCCCAATTGGTTCCTGGTTCCCTATTGACAGTTCCAAGTTTTCCATATTGAAGTGGGACAAATGGGTAGGAATTTGAGCAGTTGTTCAATCCAAATTAGAGTTTAGGCCAGGAATGGGGAACCTCCAGCCCATTGGCCAATCCTTGCCGGCCAGAAGCTGGAGTTTGACCCACAAAGCCATCTTCCCAGCCGCCCACCAGCTGACATCACTTGATAGGGCGGGGTTAAATCCTGCATGGGTGGGAGGACACCTTCTCAGGAGGGCGGGGTTAAATCTTGTTCCAGCAGCGAAGAGGTGTGCACAGCCAGAGCAGCAGGATTTAACCCCTTGCTCGTCAGCCGACAATTGGGGGGGGGGGTCAAACCCTGCTCAGTTTGGTAGGATTCCAGAAACTCCTGCTAGGATGAAGGAAGAAAATGTTTTTGTTTTAGTGACACCTTCAACCTGAGGTTAAAACCAGTTCCCCAGCCCTTCCTTAGAATGATACCCTTCCCAATTCCCAGAAGAGCGAATTCTTCCCCACCCTTGCAACTTCAGTCCACAATTATGGTTGGAGTGAAGATGCTGGTTGCTGTGGAAGACTGGGTGTGCAGGATCAGGTCATGACTCCCAGATTAATCAATATAGTGCGTGTGTATATGGTGCTGGAAGGCCAACAGTCACCCTTTCTGCTTCGATAAGCGGTCTTGTCCAAAGGGAAGGCAATACTCAATTTTGCCTTGGGCGCCTCCTCTTCCTCGCTGGCTCCACACCTGCTTCTGCCTCCCTCTCCCTAGGCCCCCTTACATGGAGACGCCTGGGCCAGTGCAATGGCAAGAAGCAGTCTCCCATCAACATTGTCACCAGGTATACACAGCCTGATTCCTGTCTGGGTCCCTTGACATTGTCTGGCTATGAGGACCGTTGGAGGCCAAGAGAGCTTTTGAACAAAGGGGACTACCGTAAGTATAGGCGACAAGCAACGGCGGGCAATGTGGAAGGCATTGGGAGGGGTCTTGAAATTGGGACTCTGACCGCAGGTGCGTTATTCTCTGTGTCTCCATGGGAGCTGGTGGCTTCACAGCTATGCTTCAACACAGTGGAGAGACCCAGATAGCAGCATTGCTAGACTACAGCTTCCATCACCACTGACTATTGGCCAAGTTGTTGGGCTGATGGGAGTGGGGATCCCAGACATCTGGAGGGTGGTGGATTGGAAGGTTGCTGCCACCGGTTAAAAGGGCTCCGCCAAGTCTTTTAAAGCAACGATAAGATGAAAACAGATTTTAAAATGCATGGCGGCATTCTACATATCTGGGTAAAAAGGTAAAAAGGTAAAGGGACTCCTGACAGTTAAGTCCAGTCTTGAACGACTCTGGGGTTGCGGCGCTCATCTCGCTTTACAGGCTGAGGGAGCCATCATTTGTCCGCTCCGCAGACAGTTTTTCTGGGTCATGTGGCCAGCACGACTAAGCCGCTTCTGGCGTAAAGGAACACTGACACCAGAGCAGCGCACGGAAACACTGTTTACCTTCCCACCAGAGCGGTACCTATTGATCTACTTGTACTTTTGGTGTGCTTTCGAACTGCTAGGTTGGCAGGAGCTGAGACCAAGCAATAGGAGCTCACCCCGTTGCATGGATTCAAACCGCCAACCTTCTGATCAGCAAGCCCAAGAGGCTCAGTGGTTTAGACCACAGCGCCACCCGATTCCCCACATATCTGGGTAGTCTTGTCTAAATGGAAAAAGGTTTTAGCATTCTCCAAAACGTGTACAGTGACAGCGCCTGCCTGATGTCAATACAGTGGTACCTTGGGTTACATGTGCTTCAGGCTACAGACGGTTTAGGTTACAGACTCTGCTAACCCAGAAATAGTACCTTGGGTTAAGAACTTTGCTTCAGGATGAGAACAGAAATTGTGCTCCGGCGGCGCAGTGGCAGCAGCAGGAGGCCCCATTAGCTAAAGTGGTGCTTCAGGTTAAGAACAGTTTCAGGTTAAGAACGGACCTCCGAAAGGAATTAAGTACTTAACTCGAGGTACCACTGTAGTCAGGGTGTTCGCAAGTGTGGGGGCTGCCACACTAAAATATAGATTCCTCACAAGTGCAGAATGGGTGTCATCCAGCACTAGTAACATGGCCAGTGCTGAATATCAAAGGGGTTGAGCAAGAATATATTGGGTAAGGAAAATCTCATAGGTAAACTGGCCCCAGGGAGAGAGAAGTTGACATGTACTCTGTCTATGACGTACAGAGGTTCCTGTCTCTCTTCTTTATAGCCTGCCATCAGTTAAAGGGCAGCGAACAACTGGTGTTATTAAACCGTCTGTACATAATCTAAGATGCAGATAAAACCATTTGCCAAGAAGAGGAGTTTGGCCCTGCAGTACTTGGTAGGATCACTGCATCAGCAAATGCACAACTACAAATTCAGGAGACTTGAAAAATAAGCTTTGATGATTTCCTAAATCGAAAGACGTCACAGAACTACTTAAGCCGCTGCAGAACTAGACTGTCCTATCAACACAGAGCAAAACCAAGCTGGGGGAGGGAAGGGGGGAAAGCAGCTGAGCGAGGAAAGTGGTGGATGGGGTGAAAGGATAAGCTCACTCATCCCCCTCCCACTTCTTCCCTCCAAATTGCACCCTTCCAAAATACATTTTAGGCATTTGGTCCGCAAGGCCATTTTCTCTTAATCACACCCACCTGCCATGCCCCTGATGTCTACCTGTCCCATAACTGACATATGACTAGATTGGCTCTTTGGGGGAGGGGGAGAATTCTTTCACATCCCTAAGTCCTACAGAAAGAAGGACTGAACCCCATGCCTATCAGCTGATGCACTTGGAGTTCAATCCTGCTTGTTTGCTTACCTGAATCCTGCACGGTTACTATCTCTCCTCCCCCACTCCCGCAGGCAAACTTTGACAGGTGGGTGGTATCACCCACTTGTCAATCACCAGATGTCATTATGATGGCAGAGTTGGCTGACGGAGTGGTGGAGACAGAAAGATCTAGATTGCTGGGCTAGAAAGTTCCCCTGCCCCTGATTTTAGATATTCAGTGGAGACCTTATTAAAGGTCACAGTCCATCACACTTTTGCTGCATGAGAATACTCATGTGTAGGCATCTCGTTAGCAGCTTTCGTCCATTTAGCAGCATTTCTGGAAGCAGTGGTCAGCAACTGAAGTTACACTTTGAGATGAAACACCCACAGACGCTGTAAAACTCAGTCAAGTGATTTACTGCTTGACTGGTCATAAATGCATCACGATAGCACTATTTACAATCATTATAGCAATAGCTGTAATGGCATACTTAAGCTTCAGTCCCTCTTCCTCTTTGGGAACGACCTAGGCAGACACAATCTATTGGCGGTCATGACGCATCAGTTTGCAGACAGCATTTGTTGCTCAGTCGTCTGCAAAAAGCGAAAACGAAAGTTCTCCTTTGATTGGCACTTCCAGCTGAAGCTGCACGTGCTCAGAGTGCCACTCCCACTTATAGACGACCGTTCTGGAATCTTTTCCCTGTTTCTGGATGAATGACTCCCTAACAGACCTGCCTTCCCAAACATCACATGCATACGCACAATACATTTAATGTGCATTTGCTCCTCCTTCAAGAATCCTGGGAACTGTAGCTTAACTTGTACAGAACTACAATTCTGAACTACAATTTATTACTGCATCGCAGGGGGTTGGACTAGAAGGCCCTTTGGGTCCCTTCCAACTCTACAGTTCTATGATGCTATGAATTCCCAGCACCCTTTGCAAACTACAGCTCCCAGGATTCTCGGGGAGTGGAAATGTGTTTTAAATGTATAGAGCACACACACAGCCACCTAGTCTGATATTTTTTGACCACACCGTTCTGACTACTGGTCCATCTCTTAACAATGGACCAGCCTCGGTGCCAACTCTGCTTCAGCATTTTGCCTCGCTGATGGTGGGAATCCTGGAAACGTTATTATTCTTTTTTAAAATCAAAGGAGCCATCGCAACTCAACGCTTGCTTTGTTTCTTGGATCCATTGCAGCTGATGTTGAGATGAAGGAAGGAGCCACTGTTTCCAGCCCCAGCCTCCCGGCTAAGTACCACCTGAAGTCCTTCCACTTCCACTTTGGCACCAACCACCATGCAGGCTCAGAACATGCCATTAATGGCCGGCACTACTCAATGGAGGTGAGCCATCTGGGAGAGCAGAGGAAGCAGCGGTGAGAGTGAGCAACAAATGGGCAGACTAGGGTAGCCAGCCTGGTGGTGCCCTGTGGACATTTGTGGACTACAACTCCCATCAACCCCCACATTGACCATGCTGGCTGGAGCTGATGGGAGCTGCAGTCCACAACAGCTGAGCATTTTAGCCCAAATATTATTGTTCTGCTGCCCTGGACCTATAAATGTCGTTTTCCGCTCTCTGGTGTCCAGGCTGTGCTTTTTTAAAATAATAATAATAATAATAATAATAATAATAATAATAATAATAATTTATTGTTTATACCCCACCCATCTGGCTGGGTTTTCCCAGCCACTCTGGGTGGCTTTCAACAAAACACTAAAATACAAATAGGGCTGCCTTCAGATGTCTTCTAAAAGTTTGGTTGTTATTTTTCTCTTTGACATCTGGTGGGAGGGCGTTCCACAGGGCGGGTGCCACTACCGAGAAGGCCCTCTGCCTGGTTCCCTGTAACTTGGCTTCTCGCAGCGAGGGAACCACCAGAAGGCCCTCGGCGCTGGACCTCAGTGTCCGGGCAGAATGATGGAGTGGAGACGCTCCTTCAGGTACACTGGACTAAAGCCGTTTAGATCTTGGCCACTTCAGATGCAGACTGGTTTGGGCGCGGAGCCTCAGAGATGCTGCAGGGGACGCTGCAGCTATGATTTGGAATGGAGCACAAAAGGCGAAGGGTCACTGAATTTTGGTGTCGCACAGGGTGTCACTGAAAATTGAGACACCAAGGTCTGCCACTGCCAGATGGCTAGTTTATTGAGCCTTCGTCTTGAATTGTTTCCAATAAATTCGTGGGGAGGTTAGGTGGGGAGGTTGGCTGTTTATTGATGAGCGCTCATTTTGATTAGTTTGCAGGAAGGTTATGCAATGTTGCATCAAGCAAAGGTTAGCCCACACTTGCTCACTTTTTAAGAATTCCACTAAAGCTTCAGTTAAGGCTCCTGGAAACTCTGGGCTCTCGCTTGTTTATATACTGTATCTCCCTATCCAATACTGAGAAACACTGAGCAAAAAAGGCAAACATTCCAGGGCAGACCTTCCTCTTCAGCAGCCAGCGTGCTTGCAAACATATGATGTAACAGCTCCTAGGCTAGCTGGGGGAGTAAGGGTGCCTTTGGGTTAAGGTTATCAGATTTTTTTCTATGAATCCGGGGTCACTTTTCAACTTCAGTCAAATTCAGTGGATTTTGTCAGGGAACTGATTTGTAAATCTGGGGACTGTCCCTGGGAAACGGGGACGTCTGGTAACCTTACTTTGGGCTATCAGTATCATGCAGGAGGGATTCAAGTGCATCCTAGAATTTAGGTTTGCACAGTTGAAGTGGATTAAAGCAATACTTTGTCATTTTAACACAGCAATTCCCTTTCTAGCAGATGTTTTGTACTTTGGGATGTGACAGGGAATGCATTGAAAAGTGTGGGATGAATTAATAATTAAGGGAAAGGCATGTAAACACCTCACAAGGAAATCGAGTTGCAGGATGAACACTCATTATCATCAAACCACCCCGTAAACAAATTAAAAATCATGCTCAATAAAAGACCTGGCATAGTTTAACTGGTGCAAGCAAATAGGGATGAATGCTCCGATAATCTGAAGTAGCTCTTACAGAACACAACAGCCAGATTAAAAAAATACACATAGCTACTTATTTTTCAAGGGCTTGGGGCAATCTATTGCTTTTCTGAAAAGGAGGATACAATACAATAACCAGCTGTAAGTGCTCTTGACAGCAGTGATAAATCTATGGGCAATGCAGAGTTTAGTTGTTTTTGGATGAGAGAGCATCCTGGAGATTTATGGGGTTGTATCTGGTGCTGCTTTCAAACCCACGCCAAATATGCAAGCAGAGCACTTTGGGAGCAGACTGACTCCCAGAGGAGGCAGCACAACTGCTAATCATAGCTCGCGTCTCCAAAGGGAGCCACAGCACTCAAGGATGCCTGAGTTTACGTGGAAGGCGTGTGGCTCAGCCGTAGGGAATCTGCTTTGCACTCAGTAGAGCCCTGATGGATTGAACCAAAGACACATCTAGTCTAGTCTAGCATCCTCTTATCCAGAGCGGCCAGCAAGATAGTTCACTGTTACCCACTGAATTAAATCCAAGAATCTTGCTCCCACTCTCTCTCTGGCATAATTTAGAAACACCGTTCTCACTTTTCCTTCCCTTTCTTTTCCCTTCTCTTGCACCAGCTCCACGTCGTTCACACTAAAAATGGCATAAGCGCCAAAGAAGCGGCGAAGGACCCAGAGGGATTCGTTGTCCTGGGATTCTTCATACAGGTGAGGAACAGCACAGAGTGGCCCATGCTTGTGCAGTCAAAGGCTGGATTGGTACAGGAGCCCCTGAACCCCCTGGGGGCTGTTGTGGGCTGCTTAGAGCTCAGCCCTCTGGAATGGAGGAGACCAAGAAGCTTATAGAGATAATTTCCTGTAATGTATGCCATTACCTTTCGTGTTCCCGCAGAAGTCCTTTGAGGCTCCTTTTGACGGTGTATGGAATTTCCTGGCTAGTAGCCTGCACAGAATCCCAGAAAAAGGTGAGGTTCCCCCATTCCCCCACCCTGCCTCCGTTTCTTAGAAAATGAATGGATCTTTCTTTCTACCAGGCCTCTCACCTTTCTTGTCTTTCCCCAGGTAACTCTGTGCCACTGAATGGGGAATTTTCTCTTTCGGACTTATTGAGACCAGGAGGTAGAGACACCGTTAAAATTACGGACAAGTATTACCGCTACCAGGGCTCCCTCACCACTCCCAACTGCTCTGAAGCTGTGACCTGGTTTGTCTTTCCTAAGGTCATCAAGGTGCATCCCTATGTGGTGAGTGGGTGTCATCTATTCTTTGAGGAAGGGTGGGGGTGGCGGCAGCTGGAGGGATTGAATCATTAGGTTCACAGAATGGAGCCTGCTGGGGTCAGAGGCGTTTTGATTCGTGGGTTCTTAGGAAACAGACATGGATCACAAGATCGCCACCACAAACAACACCCTCACGTTCAGATCCCCGACCCCAAATAGGTCACTGCATGCTGCAGGAGAATTTCTCTTTCAAGTCCCAAAGGAATTTGACGCCTGCTCCACAATAACTTGGAGCAGGGTTTTATTTGTGGCAGCCCCTCCTCTGTGGAACAAAGTCCTCTGTTGACCAGAAGCAGGTGCCCATTATATGCACTTTCTGGGGGAAAAGATGAGACTGTTTGTGTTTCAACAAGCTTTCCCAGCTGGGCGAATAGGTCTCTGCCATGACTGTCCATTTCATATAGTTTTTAAACTGATTTCTGGGTTGTTGGTTTTTTTTATGCTGCTTCCTAACCATTTTTGCTGTTTTTATTATATTTTGTAGATCGTTGTGGAAGGTGATCAGTTAGTTAGTTCATAAGGATGTAAAATCAGATGGTACTATCCCAAAGTCCCTTACAAAAGGGACACAATATTTCAGAGTTCGTAAGGAGTTCCAGCTCCAAGCAATCAGGTTTCCTTGAGAAGTCAGCTCTCATCTTGATAGGGGTTAAGGTGAATTACATGGTCCAAGGTGGGAAAGGGTTGAGGACTCAAGCATCAGAAGAGCCAAAGGCCAAGAGTGTAACCCAAGACAGAAAGGCAGGGGGTCAAATTCCAAAGGGAACAATGTAGAGGAAGAGAAGCAGGTGTTTTAGCCTGACAGGATTCTCCTCATACAAGTAAAATAGGGCCTGCTCAGAGTTGGCCTCCTAGTTCCACACCTTGCCCTTGTTGGGCCTGGTGGAACCTGATTGGTCTGTGAGACCAGCTGACTGAGGGCTCTGTCAGGTAAGTGGTGGGGCATCCCCTTAGGAGGTACCTTTGGGAAACACACCTCAGCCTGCAAGGTTTGTGGCAGGAACAATGTGACGCTAGGTAGCACAGATAGTGAGGTGCTGGGGCCCAGTTGGAGTCCTGGTTTGAGACTCTCATGTGTCCTGCCCCACCAGTGCCTCACACAACAGTGGGGCGCATCTGCACCACACATTTAAAGCACATCTGACACACATTCAAAAATACACAGCTTCCCCCAAAGAATCCTGGGGGCTGTAGTTTACAATTATTTGCACCCTTTAATAGACTAGTCCTCAAGATTCTCTGGTGGAAGCCATGCACATCCAGTGTGGATGTCAACTAAGTTTACTAGCAGCCCAGATTATCTATGAACTTGCTGAGCCACATTCTCCAAAGAATGAGCATGGTCCCCAGGGAAGTCCCCTGGTGAGGTGCTATAAGGGATTCTGGGGAGCTCCTTTGCACACCTCAAAATCTCCAGAAATGCTTCGGTGAGCGGGCTAGGTTGGGTCCTTCCTGCACAAGGTTTTCCTTAGAGTTAGGGTTTACCTTCCAAGGAGGCCACACAGAATCTTTACAGATCTGGGCTTGGCAACAGCAACGGAAACTTCTAGGTCAGTAGGCAGTGTCTCCTTTCACAGTCGTTTGGAGAGAGCTTTCATGGCGGAAGGCCACCTCAATCCCCAGGCACTCAAGTTCGACTTTAGACATTTGACACTGGTCCTTTTGCTGCATGGATTTCTTGAGCTTGTATGAGCTACTCTCCTTTTCTCTTCCTCCTCCTCCCATTTCTCCTGTTTTTCTCCCTTCTAGCTGAAGAAATTCACCAGCTCGCTCTTTTTTACCACCAAACAAGAAAATCGGCCTATGCAGGATAATTACCGTCCTGTGCAACCATTGAACTACCGAAGGATCAGTGCCTTCGACCTAAATGAGTATGATCCGGCACAATGCCCTGGCAATCGTTTTGGGGCCAAAGAGTGTGTGGATTGCAAGGACTGACGGCCACTGTTTTCTTCTGCTTGAAAGATTTGAGCTATGCAGGGAGTTCCATCTCCTGACCCAAGAATTAATAATTTCTCAATGTGGTGTGTTTCATAAGGGAGACCATATTCTCTCCCTTCCCCCTCCCCTCTTGATGACGACACATATGAGGTATTTCTTAGAAAAATTAAAACTACCTCTATTACCACACACACACACATGGCTGGTTTTCTTTTATTAAACTTAGATTTACTCGATTTGTACTCACACTCAGTAGAGAGAAGAAACTCATGAGATTTCAGGTGAAGAGTAATTGTGCTGTGGTGTTTTGACAGAAACTGAGCCCAGGTTTTAGGAGTTGACTATGATTTGTCCCCCTGGCCCTTCCCCACACAAAATGGAGGCGTTCCTATGTCCCGCCAGTAGTGAGGAAGGCAGCTTATTCTTTTATTTCTTTAACATGCAAATGCTGAAACATTTTGCCAAAACATCATGTACACCAAGAGTTGCTTCAGTTTAACCAGATATTAATTCCTGGTTGGTTGCCTCGCAGTCTGGTCTACTGTTCTCAGGGTGCTTCTGCCCATCATGGAGAGGAAAATTACCTCAGGCCAAGGAAAAACTTGGGGATAGCCATATAGGACTCCCCAGAGACTGTACTACTTGTGTGGAAAATGTGGTGGCGGCATGGTGTCCTCCTATATACGTATTAAGCCACTGTGGTTAGAGGCATAATGGGTACACAGTTGGACAAAGGACCAGGGAGACACGAGTTCAAATTCAAATCTGGCCCTATCATGAGGAAAATCGAAGCAATTGCATCGGGTGCTGGGTCTAGGAAACAGTGAATTAACACCTTCCCAGCCCACACAGCAAGGATCTTGTGGCTATGCAGGGCTCTCCAAAGCGCTTGGCCCATCCTCATGCATCACTCTGAGGACAGCGGGTCCTTGCTAGGTTCCTGAGTTGCAGGGGGTTGGACTAGATGATCCTTGTGGTCCCTTCCAGTTCCATAATTGCTCAGAGTGAAGCATTCTTGGTGAGTTGGGTGGGTGGGTGGGTGGGTGGGGGGAAGTGCCATCATTGGTGCCTTGCCATGACAGCTAGAAAATTGTAAAACAGATTTTTTAAATCAGTTAAGTCTAGAATTACTGAAGTTCATTTACAGTGGTGCCTCGCAAGACGAAATTAATCCGTTCCACGAGTCTCTTCATCTAGCGGTTTTTTCGTCTTGCGAAGCAACCCTATTAGCGCCTTAGCGGCTTAGCGCTATTAGCGGTTTAGCGGCTATTAAAGGCTTAGCGGCTTAGCGGCTAAAAGGCTATTAGCGGCTTAGTGGCTTAGAAAAAGGGGGAAAAAGCGAAAAAAATCTCAAGACTCGCAAGACATTTTCGTCTTGCGAAGCAAGCCCATAGGGAAATTCATCCTGCGAAGCGCATCGAAAAATGGAAAACCCTTTCGTCTAGCGGGTTTTTCATCTTGCGAGGCATTCGTCTTGCGGGGCACCACTGTAAATCTTTAGCTGCTTTTTTCTTTCCCAATAAAATTTCTAGCTGCTATGACAAAGTGGCAATAGCGCTGGCACTCACCCGGACCCCCTCTCTCAGAATGCTGCGACCCCAGTGCCCCCTTGCTTAGAGCTAGGCAGGCAGGAGGCAGAAAGACCCCATTAGCAACAGCAAGACAGTTATAAAGTAAGGAATAATTAGCACTGCTTGCCTCTATTCATGTCAGGTGCAACCACACACACTGCAGCACACAATCCACTTAATTTAATTTCCACACACACTTGTCTTTTAAGTCACAGCTTATTCATTAGTTCTCAAAACTATTTTCACAATAGAAGCTCCCAAGGAATGATCAGTAGGTAGCATTCCATGCATTTTCCATTCGTGAAAGTTTCCACTTTAAAAATTTTGTGGTGTTTTTTTAAAAATAAAATAAAATAAGTGATTTTCCACCATTGGTGATTGGTCGTACACAGTGCTTTTTTCCCTAGAAAAATAAGTGCCGGTACTCACCATGAAGTTGTTACAGCGTGTGTCACACTTTTTAACAGAGAGAAAGACAGAGAGGTGCCAGTACGCACCACGAAGTTGTTACAGTACACTTAAGTGCCACACTTTTTAATCACAACAAAAAGAGGTAGTGGTACTGTGTACCCTTGAGTACCCCCCTGAAAAAAGCACTGGTCATATAACAACAACAAACAATCAAACAAACTATCAAGAGAGCAAGGAAGGTAGTTAAAGGGTGGCTGTTTGCCTCAGTTTCTCAGCTAATGTAAACCTCTGGTCCCAGTTGCTGCTTCATAGCACGATGGGGAATGAGTTGGGTCACACATGCACGCACATTGCTTGGTGCCTCAGTGGCAGCTGAACGTGTGAACACGCTTCACTGGAGAGGTGTTGCCTTTGAGAGGTTGCCACTAGGGACTATGGGTATTCTCTGCAGTGCTGGAGACGCGTGTGAATGTGCCATCCAAAGTCACGTTTGTGGGAACAAGCAGAGCTTCTGCCAATTCCTGCTAAAACGAGAGCTGAAATTAATGTTGATTCTTTAATCATTGGAAGTTTTAGCCCAGACAGACCTGAACCTCAAACTCCACAAGGAAATCTATATATTTCCAGTGATTCCCTGCCACCCCCCCCCACCCCTTTGCTTTTGTTGACATCTGAGGTTTTGGTATGCGGTGTATCAAAATGTGCGTCATTGCTCAAACGTTGATGATAGTTCTATTCCACTTAAGCCCAAACGTTGATCTGGAAACTCAAATATCACCGAGAAACAAAGCCACAATATAAGATTGGGAAATGTCAACAACGAGCCCGTTTTGAATGGAAAGTTTCACTTCAGCTCTCGCTGTAGTGGACTGAAGCGCACTCCTTCCCCAGCACTGGGCATCCTAGCTGCTATTGATCTCCTTCTCTGTGCTCCTCTCCTCACTGAAATGTGCACCTCCTGCCTTTTTAGTGTCCTTTGCCAGTGCTTCTGGTACTGGATGAGCTGGTTGAGAGGTAGATGGAGGTTAACTGGAGTTTCTGAGGGGGACAGAAAGAGTTGTGGCCTAGCTTTGGCCTCTCTGGAGATCATGTCGACTCTTCCTCCATGTGGTTCCTACATCCACCCACCCACCTTCAGCCTTTATGCAGGTAAGAAGGATGCAAGAGTAGCCACAGAAATGAAGAGGAGGAGCCCTACTGGCGGAGAGGCTATCGTGGCAGCGGATTTGTGCTTCAAAGCGGCAGACGATTCCACTTTCCGGTCCCCAATGTTCTGCAGAGGGCGGTAGTTGTTCTCAATATGGGGCCCGGTGGAGGAGTCCGTTGAATGAAGCTCATTCGGAAAAGCATGCACCTATTGGAAGGGAGAAGGAAGGCGTCAGGTGGTGGCACATGGCTACGTCGGGCAGTGGGATCTACCCGGTGAAGACCAGGATGTGGCAACTCCATAGCACGAGTTACGACAGCGTGGAGTTGAACTGAGGTTTCTCAGCTGCTCTTGAATTGCTGGAGAATTTCGGTTCTCCCCTGGAGAACGTTCAGCAAACTGCCCCCTCACTCTCCAGTTCCACGACCCACAAACAGCACACAGAATTGGGGGAGGCCAGTTCTGTTCAGCCCCGTGACACTGCTTTTGACAGAATAGGATAACGTAATGAGGCAAATAAGGAACAGGACGTAATAGTGTACAGCTGGAAAATGGCTCTGTTCTCTCTGGTCATCAAGGTGCTTCCTTCTCAAGGCCACCTCTGCTTTCAAAGCCTCTCTTGCCCTCCCATTGGTGCCTTCACCACTCGTCTACCTGCTATTTGGCCACCCCCTGTATATCCTCAAAGTTTCTGACCCATCTAATGCTCACCCTCCAGCTCATCACATCTGCATCTTGTACAGAAAAAATAGGGTCAGGGTTTGGGGTTGACTGTAGAATCCAGCTGCCTGAGAAATCTAAACTTCCATTTCTCATTCCTCCAGGCCTTGTCTTTTAACTCCCAGATAGGGCTAGCAGTGTCCCCTGTCTGAAACCCTAGAGTAGGGCATAGCTCAGGGACAGAGCTCTTGCTTTGCAGGTTCAATCCCTGGTATCTCCAAGGATGTCCCGTCTGAAACGCAGGGCAACCAATTCCCCAACTTGAGTCTCCAGCTGTTTTTTGGGACTACAATTCCCATCATCCCTGACCACTGATCCTGTTAGCTGAGGGTAATGGGAGCTGTGGTCCAAAAACAGCTGGAGACCCAAGTTGGGGAAACCCTGAGTTAGATGTACCAACAGGTCTAATTCAGTATTTGTTCCTACCTTCCTGGTGTGGTGGCTGTGGGAGAAGGAATCATTAAACCACAGGCCACCACCCAAAAGCCCAACTTCTAGTAGGTAGGCCTTTTTATTTTACTTCAAACACCAAGAAAAGTCTCTTGATCCTAATTGCAAGCGGAGCCCAGAGAGAAGCCAATTTCCCAAATTTCCCTCATGTATCCCAGAGTATAACATACCTGTGCTGTTGGCCTTTCCCAACCTAGTGTACCTCAGATGTTTTAGACAACAGCTCCTCCTACCTCTCTAAGGACTTCTGTGCCTCAGCATTCTGCCTACACACAGACTCACACAAGATGGCAGCACTCACCACGTCTTCCGACACCAGAATGGGGTCGGCAAAGATGGTCCACAGCACAACCTCGTCACACCCGGGGGTGGTGAGGGACCCAGGGTAGCGGTAATAGCGGTCAAGCTCCGGGCGGCCCAGCAAGTCCTGGAGAGAGAAGCTGCCATCGAATTTTGTCTCTTCACCTGTACAGGGGGAGGTAAGTTGCTTGCATCTCTGCTCCATACTTAATTCACATCCTAACCTACACCACAGGGTTGTTGTGAGGATAAAATGTTTTTTTGGGGGGCCTTGAGTTCCTTAGAGGAAACGTGGGACATAATACAGATTTCATAAATAATAATAATAATGGTTCCCCAACAAGGGACTCTTGAATACTGCAGTTCTATGTAAGGTTCTGAAGAATTCCAAGGGGCCCTTGTGAAACCACCATCCCCAGGATTTATCAGGGAGGCGACTGAAAGAATCACACCTCCCCACTGCTCAAACTGGTTATTTTTTGTTCCAATTCATTGTGGTAGCCATGATGGATTCTCTGAGACAAGAGAAGAACCAGATGTTTTACTTGGCTTTCCACTCACTGACGGACTTACCCTTTTCCTCAACATCCTTCAGCTTCTTTTTAAACAATTCCCATGCTTCAGCTGTCTTGCCCTGTGCCTTCTCATAGCCCTGCAGTAAAGAGGAAACATCATATAGTGTAAAATAAGACCAAGAAATAAAGTGTGATAAAGGAACCTAAGAATCCTAGGGCTCAGCATCTCCTGTTTTAATGTCTTCCTCCCCTTCCCAGGGCTACCTTAAGAAGCAGAGGCAGAGGGAGGCAGGAATTGTGGTGCTCATCGCTCATGATGTCGTTGGCATTATCCAACAGGCGCATACTTTTGGGGACTTTGTTCCAGCAAGAAAAGATGGTTATTTGAGTGCTGGGAAAATGTGATTATCTCCTTGAAAGAAGTGCTTCTTCAGAAGCAACACTGCCCATTTATCACGCAGCACAATCTACTGCTTTTCAACAACATCCACTTCTTCCAGTTCTCCCATTTCTACCATGGAATAGCCAAGTGGTGTTTTCAACAGCTGTGCCCCCTTCCCAGTGAACTTGAGGCAAAGCAGTTCAGTCAGTGGCCTGGTTTGCACATCACATTAAACCATCGGTCAAATTAAATGATGGTTTAATGCATGGGTAGGCAAACTAAGGCCTGGGGGCCAGATCCGGCCCAACTGCCTTCTAAATCCGGCCCGTGGACGGTCCGGGAATCAGCGTGTTTTTACATGAATAGAATGTGTCCTTTTATTTAAAATGCATCTCTGGGTTATTTCTGGGGCCTGCCTGTTGTTTTTACATGAGTAGAGCGTGTGCTTTCATTTAAAATGCGTCTCTGGGTTATTTGTGGGGCATAGGAATTTGTTCATTTCCCCCCACCACCCTAAAAATATAGTCCGGCCCCCCCACAAGGTCTGAGGGACAGTGGACCGGCCCCCTGCTGAAAAAGTTTGCTGACCCCTGGTTTAATGTGACACGGTGAATGACTGGCCAAGAGAAAAACTCTTGCCACAGTTCCCAGAATCGTTTGGGAAAAGCCAAAACAACCAAAATGCTTTACAACTGATATCCCAGCTGGTAGCATAGACACGCACAAACCTTGACCTCCCCAATCCCTCACCTGAACAAAGAACGCTAGCACAGCAATGCCTTGTGGGTCCTTCAAGGCTTCCGACAGACTCGTGTTGTTTTTGGTGTGCACAATGTGTAACTGAGGGGAGAAAAGAAAATAGATCAGTTTGGGACATATCCCTGCTGACCCACCTGGCTGCTCTTTGTGGAGAAACCTCCACGAGCAAAGAGATAGACTGCAGTACACAAAAGCCTGGTGCATATTGGAAATCCATCCTTGTGTCTATTCCCCTTAGACCTGGTCATTCATAATTTCTAAAAAGCCCTCTGACTTGAAAGCTTTGCATACACTGATTAATACAGTATAGATGGAGTTTATGCTGCTGTTATGCAGAGGTAAAAGAAATGTACGTGCACATGCTCAAGGAAACAATTATTATAACACAAAAAATAATTGCTAATAAAGCAAAAGGAAAGAAAAATAAATATAATAAAACATATGCCAGCTGACATTAACATGCTATCAATCCCAGAATCCAGATTAGAGAAGATATCCTCACCTCCATAGAGTACCGTTCGCCATTTATGTAGTGCTCTGATCCAGGTTTATGGACTCCATCTCCCCAGTGGAGGTGAAAGGCCTTGGCTGTGTATGTAGCCGGAAGCCCAGGGCCGCTCAGCTGGAGACCTTCGCCCAGTTCTATGTCAACTGCAGACCAGACCAATTTCTATTAGTGCATCAAGAGTGTTGGAATTCTCCACCAAAAAGCTTCTCTTACTGCTTTTGTAGCCGCGGAAGTGGTGTCATTTGCAATCAATGACGCATAGGATTGGGCTGGGTTGGTCACACTTTGGTTTGTACGATCGGGAAAGTAGACCAGTTCCCAGGGTTCTTTTGAGAGGAAGGGAAATGTACATGTGCTCTGCATGTGCTTTGAAGGTACAGTGTGCACATAGCCACAGAAGTGCATTTTTAGGGTGGAGGGGGCTGAGTTTTATCCTGAAAGAGAAACATCAGTGTCCATCACACACTGACGGTCCCATCCTAACTGCACCTCCTCTCAAGTATATCCTATTGATTTTTACAGAGTAAGCAGAGTAATGATTTTGGATTTCAGTTGAACATAATAATGATTCATGACTTATTTGTGTTGATTTTTGAGGGTGATAACTTTTGCCAGGAAGCTTGACAATGCTTAGGATTGCTGCCTTACTAAATTTTAATTAAATCATCAAACTGGAAATTAAAGTACCGTATGTAAAAGGTGCCTTCTCTTCAGGTAGCCACAGGGGTTCAGTAATGTGGGGTGCAGTGCTGCGTGTCTAGAAGGAGGCACTTACCCCCCTCCCTCCCTTCTCTTGCACCCTCTTCCGGCTATTGCCAACCAGGCACCCTCCATGTGTTTTTGATCAATTCCTGTGCTAGCAGGGGATGAAGGGAGTTGACGTGCAAAATATCTGGAGGGCAGCAGGCTGGTGAAGCCTGGATCCTGCTGAAGCACATAGGTACAGGTAAAGGTTAAGGGACCCCTGACCATTAGGTCCAGTTGTGGCCGACTCTGGGGTTGCGGCGCTCATCTCGCTTTACTGGCTGAGGGAGCCAGCGCACGGAAACGCCGTTTACGTTCCCGCCGGAGCAGTACCTATTTATCTACTTGCACTTTGACGTGCTTTCAAACTGCTAGGTTGGGAGGAGCAGGGACTGAGCAACGGGAGCTCACCCCGTCGCAGGGATTCGAACTGCTGACCTTCTGATCGGCAAGCCCTAGGCTCTGTGGTTTAACCTACAGCGCCACCTGCGTCCCTGCTGAAGCACATAGAGCAAGCAGGCCAATAACAAAGAGCAAAAGACAAGGTCCTCAATGGAGCATTTCCCATTGATGATTGGACCATTCAAACATCCCCATCAGAGAGATGCAGAACTGCCTGCTCTGCTATGAATCATGTGCGAATCATTGCCAGCGTGGAGGGTGGGATTGTCTCCTTCCAATCAGAAAGTCACACACACACAGAACAGGTGGGCTGCCCTGAGGGCAGGCCATTCTGAGTTTGAAAAGTACCAATCTCTCTAATAGCCAGCTCAGGTGGTCGGCGCCCGTTGGTTTGGATTAAAATAAAAATAAAAAAGGGTCCACCCACCAGCTAAAGGAGAGAAGCACCAAGCTGTTCTGACCCACCTGAAAGGGGGCAGAATATCACAAAAAAACTGGAGGGAAGAGGACTGAACATGCTGTCATGGGGCCCTGGCAGAATGTGGGCAGAATGCAGGTGAAATCTCTTGATCTGCCTACAGCCTGTTAAACTGAAGGGAAATAAATGACGCTCCCCTTCAGAAAAGAACAGGCTGCCTTTCCAAACCTGTCCCACGCTGGGGGAAAAGGTTGGGAGATTCTCCCACACTCTTCCGGGCTCCTCCATGCTGCCATCACTGTAAAGTTGGGGAAATCCAGCTTTTTACTATGAATGGCACAAACAGGAAGGGATGGAGTTTGGCAGCTTCCCCGTCTTGCAGTTTTGTGTCCCCCCCCACACTTTCCTGCTACCTTAAGGACTAGACGCATAGTGTTTTAAAAAGGAAATGCTTGCACACTCACCAGTTTTCCCAGTGTTCTTCATTTCCAGCAGTTTTTTGGTGTCGTTGTAGCCGGTGAGAGTCACTGCACCCAGTTTGGGGTTATGCCTGACACTGCTGGTGACAATATCGATGGGAGATTGCCTCTTGCCATTGCAATGACCTTGGGATGACCACGTGTCAGGTCCTGGCCAAGAAAAGGAAGAGCCAAAAACAAGCAGCATGGTAATTAGAGATGGGGAACTGAATTAAATAAATAAAACGGAGAAGCAGCAGCAGCAGCAGGAGGATTCTAAACTTCCCGAAAACGATATCCTCTGTTAGGTAGCCCTCCCACTTAGCCCTGAATCTGTACAAGGAGGTAGAGAGGAAAATGCACTTTGCGCATGTTCAGAGGCATTTTTAGTCCATTACAGAACAAAGCCCTGGAAATAAAAGTTGAGTTTGGTGTGATGGACTTGGCTCAAAAGTATGCCTTGCTTGGAATCTGTGGCTAAAGAGAAGTTAGGGCTGCTATTTTTCTTACCACATATTAGGCTGTCGTAGCACCAGGAACCTGCCAGGAAAAGAAACAGAGGTGGCATAAGTTTATGGGACCGAATCCATGCAAAGGGGAAGATCTAATTTCGCCCCCAGGAATTATCCTTTAAAGCCCTTCCCAGCAAAATGGAGACACTTAGGATATGGGTGAGGTCAAGGTGGCGTTACCTGAAGAACTGGCATAGCATCCCCCAGAAAGCAAAAGGACCACCGCAGTGAAGGTCGCTGGTACCCAAACAGAAGCCATAGTATGCTGGAGAAAAAGTGCAGGAGAACAGATGAGTAAACGGTGCCATTCTTGAACAAATGAGACAATTCTTGAACAAGAGTCTGTGTCAATAGCAGCATACGGAATTTACCAATGTCCGTTCGGTGGCAGAGGTGAGGGAGCTTACCTGGCAACACAAGCAAAAACCAACGTTATACTCGTAGCTGCTCTGCTCTCTACAGGTGGCAAACGTTATGATTTCCCCAGGCAGCCACAAGGTCTAGAAACTTGTTTTCTTTTGGAATAACAGTTTGATTTGATACGGACTCCCACAGGGTAGGTGGAGTTACCACATAAATGTGGATTAATGGGGTGGCGGCAGAGCATTAATGAGCAACGAGCGTCTTCAAACTAAACAAGAGAAAACATGCTCAAAACCTCACGGTCAGAGGTTTAATTTGGCTACCAGAAGCCCAGATAAACGAGTCTTGCAAGGTTTGCGGAGCAGATGAAAACTTTAGCGAGTCTTGGATTGAAGGTCAAGGGAGTCTCTTGCGTGGCCTTGGGACGGCTATCAGTAACATTCTGTCTCTTTGAAATTGGTCTACAGGTGGCATAAAAGCCGTTCTCCTTTGGATCCATCTGTGGCTTTGAGGTAGCATTGTGGCAAACGAGTTCAAAGCAGTGTCCTAAGGACTGCTTGAAAAGTTCCAACTTTCCTAACGTGCTGGAAGTGGGGAAATGCATGAAAGTTGTAGGCAGATCATCTCGTATAGGTGGTTGTGTGCAAATCTTTTGGTGTGTACAGGATACATGTGCATGGGAGAGGCACACTTGTGATGATTTGCACATAGGAAGCTACAGGGTTCCATCTGGCTCTGTACTGTCTATGCCAGTGGATCCCAATTGGTGGTCCATAGACCCGAGGGGTCCATGTAACCTACCCAGGGGGTCTGTGGCACCATTCAGATGACAAAAACTACCATAGGGTTATTGAAAATTTCAACAGTAAGGGGGGGCATGTCTTGGCTTTTGAAAAACAGGGGGTCCGCAATACTTAGGTAACTGGGGACCATTAATCTGCGTTGACTGGCAGCGATTCTCCATGGTCTGGACAGGAATCTGTTCCAGCCCTGCCTACAGATCCCGGGGGCTGAATCCAAGATCTTTTACATGCAAGGGGGAAGCTCTACCAACCAGTCACAGACGTTCCCACCTGCCAAACCACAAGCCACGGTCATGCCTATTCATTCACAGAAGTGTAATACCATACACACAGACACATCTCATAAAATGGTTTACCTTTCTAAAAATGACAGGGTTAAACTTTAGGACATGAAAAATAATAATAATAGCTTATTATTATCGCCATTATTAATTTACTAATCGCCTTCCAAATCACGGTCTCAAGGCAATTTATGTATAAGACAATTAAAAACAGTTAAACACAAAAACAAATGTATTTAAAACAAGACTAAAACCCTAACAAGCAGACAGGGAACAAAAAAATGTCTTCAACTGATTCTGGAAAGTGCAGATAATTTTCTCCTGGATGTGACTGCCACAAGAAGTGGTGAGGGTCACCAGTGCCGATGGGTTAAAAAGAGATTAGAATATATATATATATATTGCTAGCTATGACAGCTGAATGGATCTTCCATTAACAGAACCAGTGTATCTCGGAACACCAATTGATGGGAATGAATAACAGGGAAAGGGCTGTCATCTTCCTGCCCTGCTTTCCAGAGGCATCTGACCAGCCGCTTTTGGAAACAGAATGCAAGATTAAGCTGATCCTCCCAAAACGATTCACCAGAGCACTTATATCGTTAGTAAACACCACAACTGTACCCCTGAGCGCATGTAAAGTTAGTTTCTGCAAAATGATTTCCTTCCAGATCTGGGGGGTCCGGTCCCCATTATTTCTCCACCCAGCCCCAGGTAAACTCACCTGTCAAGTGTGCTCCTCTCTCCGTCCGCCTCCCGACCAAGGTGACACAGATGATGGTGGAAAAGCATCTTGGCTCCTTTTAGGTGGATATATATATCTGTGCATTAAGGTCACCGCCCCGTCTGCTTCTGGGGCGGGTGGAATTACAGAGAAGGGGAGGGTAGATTACCAGGAAGGAGAAAAGAGAAGATAAAAAGGAGCAGGCAGTCAGTCAGGCAGGCAGTCAGTCAGTCAGTCAGGGACGGTGCAGGAAAAGGGGCAGGCCTCAGGCAAATCCATGTAGGCTTAGTCCCCTGCACCTATTCCTGGGGAGGGCAATGATTTCATACGTAAAGGCTGTGAGCAAGTCAATTACACAATTAGGAAATGACTCGAGGTAGGAGCCAACCTTTCAACATGAGGAAGCTCACGTCCCCATTTCTCAAAAGCAACCCCTTCCTCCCCCCCATGCTGTAGAACCCAGGGGCTGATCTAACCACTAGATTCCACTCCCTTCTGCACAGTAAGGCCCTAACACCTGCACAGATCTATACTTGCCTTTCAGGGGATTAAGGACTCCCCGGACAACAAAATCTCGCCACCTTTCCCTCCTGATCCCAAGTGCTCTCTTTCTCAAGCAACCCAGAAGTACCGGTTTCTTCCCACCAGCAGGGAGGGTTGCCAACTTTTCCCTCTAGTAAAAGTTCCTGCGCCCTTTCTGCATGACAAAGCAAGTGGAAATTCCCTTAGCTACTTGGATTTACAGGCTGGATCCTTTTCACCTGTCAAAGAACCTTTGAAGCCAAGTAGAGCACGAGACTCTTCACCTCAAGGTTGTGGGTTTGAGCCCCACACTGGGCAAAAAGATTCCTGCACTTCAGGGGGTTAGACTAGATGACCCTCGGGTCCCTTCCAACTCTACAATTCTATGATTCTAAGGGGAATGAGGCCTAAGGTGCAGGGATAGGCAGAGGCTTTCCAGTTCAACAGATGTATGTTGGCATGTTGAGGGCTGATGCGAGTTGTAGTTCAAAACGTCTGGATTGCGTCAGTTTTTCCTCCACCCAAACACTCCCACAAAGCTAAGATTCCCATGAGCAGGGCTATGGTTTTTGTAACAGTCGTCAGGCAGGCAGAAATTCAGCAGGTGAAGCTTCCCTCCATCACTGCATCGCCTGCCAGCTTTATCTCTACAGTCAAAGACATTGGCAGGTTGCAGAGGAAAGGGAGAGGGAGAAGAGAAGCAGGGCTCCTCCATCAGCTCTGCTGACACACCAGGTGCTCTGACTGCTCTTTCCCCTCATCTCAGCCATTCCATCAGGTTATCTCAGGCATCCCCAAACTCAGCCCTCCAGATGTTTTGGGACTACAACTCCCATCATCCCTAGCTAACAGGACCGACCAGTGGTCAGGGATGATGGGAACTGTAGTCCGAAAACATCTGAAGGGCCGAGTTTGGGGATGCCTTTAATGGTTATCTGAACTATTTCAATTCAAGCCATCCATTTTTTTAGCAGTAGGAACTGATGGCATCTGACATTTGGTTTCTTCCTCCCTACTCCCCATTCCCTTTTCCTTTTCTGTCATTTTTGAAAATATTGTAAGCTTGTGGGAAACAACAGCTTTTCGGAAAATAATGATTGTTCTGTAAGCTGCTCTCTGGGAGCCTTTTCAGCTGAACAGAGGAGAAAAAAAAATATCTAATTAGGTTCTACTTAGAGCAGACCCACTGAAATTAATGGGCCTAAATTAGTCATGCTTATTAACTTCAGTGGGTCTGCTCTGGGGAGGACTAGCATCAGATGCAGATGTTTCTGTATAATTTCTGCCTGTGATGCAGCTGTTCAGACAGAAGAAACCAGCCAGGCTAGAAGGGAAGACAAGGGGCACATAGCCCTGCTCTGGAAAATACTGTACTGATTCCTCCTCAACCCCATCAGACACCCAGCCCCAATTCTCTGTTGGGGAGGGTAACCAGGGGTCCTGTCTCTCCAAAGCAGCTTTTTCCCTCAGGAGAAAACTTTGGTAATATGGTGCCCTGAGCCAGGACATAAATTGCACCTCCCCAATATAATTTTCAAAATAATTCCTTTTGGTACAGTTGCTTTTTTACGGCTCTTACAGGGATGCTGGTGGTGGCGGGGGCAACTTTGCACCTCCTTGGCTCAGCACCCTGTGGGGGGGAACCGCCCACAGCACCCTAAATCTGGCACTGATTTCTATGTTAAGATCAGACAAGTGTTTGAACAGAGTGCTGTAGGGACACTCGCACTTAGCCATCAAAGCACACTCTTTGGTACGTTTGGGGGATGTGGTTTTGTCATTACAACAAACCTCTTTCCCACTGCAAATTTCAAGAGAACCGGTTGGGGCAGGGCGGGGTATGTGGACTGACCAGCTTTGATCCACTTCGTACTACTCACCCTAAACAATACCCGGTATTAATCCTTGTAGGGGCAATAGAGGAAGTGAGGATGAGAAGGGATACTCAAGGGTAGTGGAGTTCTATTCCCACTACAGGCTAGAAGGGGAGAAATCGAGATTAGACGGGTATGGGGTTGGTGCCCAGAGTCCTCCAGAGAGGATTGAGTTGCACTGGGCAAAGCATTAGAGAGGATTGGGTTGGTTTTTCAGGGATGGGTGGGTTCAAGACTTCTAGATTCTTTGGAAGGAGAGAGCTGGGCTGTGTGTCAGGATTACTGGCTCTGGGTTAGTTCATGAGGTCAAAAGTGCTGTGGGTTATGGGATGGGCACACCAGGACTCCGGGGTTCTTCTCAGAAAACGGGAAGTAAGGCATTACTCAATAATGGTGAAAGCAGAGAGTGGAAATGGACTTCAGATAATGTAGCACTGTTCTTTTACCCTAGGGTATGAAAGACAAGTCACCTGACCCCCTTGAGCATCTAGGACAAGGTGAACATTTTGAGTCACATTATATAACTTCTCAGTAGGTGTCAGGAAACTGCCATCAGTACTGGAGGGGGAGCGCAAAAGTCAGAGGGATTCCAGAGAGCGTCCAGGGATCGGGAGAAGCAGCCCATCTTCTGGGGAAGAGAATCAGTGTAGCACCAGTGGAGAAGGGGGGCAGGTGGGGGGAAGTGGCGAGGCGGTCCCATGACTCCTTGCCTGGGACCAGCGGGGAGAGTAGGGGTCCTCCGTTGCCCACGCCCTCCCTGCGCAGAAGGCTTTCGCGCAGAGAGGGTAGGTGGAGACTAGGCGTCAAAGAGCTTCTTTGCTGGAAGAAGTTTAAGAAACGCCCACTCACGGATTCTGCCAGCGACTGAGTCAGCCACGGGTGAGTGGCTGTCCGGACAGAGGAGGTTCACTTTGGCAGCCCAGCCAGGTGTTTGCACCCAGCCAGGGAGACAGGCACCTGCTTACACACGAGCAACCCCTTAGAACCATTACAGCAGGGTTTCCTTATTGGTTCATTTAGCTGGTCCATTTGTGACCTTCACCACCATTCTCAAAGTTTTATAGGCAATATAATAGTATTTTATTATTTTTATTTTACAATTTTTATAGTTGTATAGATTAGTATACAACATAGGCTTGCCATCTAGTAGACAGGACAGGTAAAAAGGTAAATGGCCCCTAGACAGTTAAGTCCAGTCAAAGGTGACTATGGGGTTGTGGCGCTCATCTTGCTTTCAGGCCGAGGGAGCCGGCGTTTGTTCACAGACAGCTTTCCGGGTCATGTGGCCAGCATGACTAAACTGCTTCTGGCGCACGGAGGACCATGACGAGTGCCAGAGTGCACAGAAACGCCGTTTACCTTCCCATCGCAGTGGTACCTATTTATCTACTTGCACTGGTGTGCTTTCAAACTGCTAGGTTGGCAGCAGGTGGGCCAGAGCTCATCCCGTTGGGCGGATTCGAACTGCCGACCTTCCGATACAAAAGGAAAAAAGGCATGAGGAGGGGAAAGGAAAACAAGCAAATTCAGGCCCTAATTCTTCCCTAAAGTGACACAGATTTTATAATGTGGAAGGCAGTCCTGGGAGAGCAGAAACCACATGCCAGCTTCCTGTCAGCTGAGCCGATGGTGGCTACCATAGGATCTCATGGAAGCAGGTCAAGGAGGAACCTGAATGTCTGGCTCTGAGAAGTCAGGAAGAAATGCTGACAGGGAATTGAGGAGCCCAGGGTTTCCCCCAAATATCCCAAGCCTCCCTCCCCTCTCGTTGTGAGTCAATCCAAGAACCCTGAGGCAGAGAGGCCGCTGAGTGAGTTGTTTTGCGTGCGGCAACTTGGAGGTGGCAATCTCTTGCATCATCCTTCCGCCTGCCAGGCCGGAGTTTCATCTGATGAGGAAACAAAGACAGGTAGCGATGATTTGGGCAAGATATAAGGAGCTTGTTGTGGCCTGGTTTTCATAATCAGCAACCTGCTGACAAGCAGCTCTCTGCTCTCCAAACCACCTTCGGTCCCGGGGTGCCAACAACGCCTATGCCAGAGTTCACCCCGAAGCAACCAGATTTTTTTTTAGTTTTTTTACGAGTGTCCTCCCTTCCATTCTGAGGACGCATCACGCCTAATAAACCAAAAAGGTGGAATGTGGTGTGATGAGTTTATGATTTCAGGACTTTTGAGAACAGCAGATATTATGGTATAAAAAGGCTTGATTTTATACCAGTCAGCCCTACCCTACTAACCATATTGGATACTCCCTGCCCTCCTGTCCCTGCTGCCATTGACACCAAGTGTGAACCAGGCTATGAGAGATGGAGTGGAAGATAATGCTGTCCCAACACATGAAGGTCACTTTGTGGCCTTGGGCAACTGTCTCCCAACTAGGAAGCTACCTCACAGGGTAACTATGAAGATAAAAATGGGATAGCTCCGTCTACACCGCCTCAAGCTTCTGAGAAGACAAGCCAGTAGTTACCTTTCAATAAAATAAATGTTAGATTGTGGTTGGGCTACACATCCAGTTAGCTCAGTTGGTAGAGCATGAGACTCTTAGACTGCCTGCACATAATATGTTTAAAGCATGTCCCTCCCTACTGAATCCTGGGAACTGTAGTTGGTTAAGGGTGCTGGGAATTGTAGCTGTGTGAAGTGCAAACTACAGTTCCCAGGAATCTTTGGGAGGTGTTCTTTAAATGTATGGTGTGTTCACAGCGTCAATCTCAAGGTCATGGGTTCGAGACCCACCTTGGGCACATACCGTATTTTTCTGTGTATAAGATATTTTTTCCTTAGAAATAATAGGCAAAAATTGTGGGTCGTCTTATACACAGATAGAAGATTGGTGGCAGCATCCAGCAGGAGATTAGCAGTGGAGATAGGGTGTGTGATTGGTTGCTGCGGCAAGGCCTGCTGACGATTGGCTGCAGCTGTGAAAATTGGGTGGGCTATTTATTGCATCAACAAGGTGTGTGTGCAATTGGTTGTGGTTTCGTCGAGTGTGCAGGTGTGCTTTTGGCAGCAAGTGTGCAGACAATTGGTGGCTGTGGCAATGCGTGCGATTTGCATTGGCGGGCAGGCTGTAGAGTGATTGGCGGCGACGGCTCCTCCCCCAAAAAGCTCAACAACTTTGGGCAATCCCCGCCCCACCCCATTTTTTGTTGCGGTCCCAAAAAATAGGGGTCGTCTTATACATGGGGGCGTGTTATACCGAAAAAATATGGTACATTTTTCAAAATTACTTCTTCACACAATGTAGTTAATCTGTGGAATTCACTTCCACAAGATTTGCAATGGCTACAAACTTGGGTGGCTTTAAAAGATTAGACATATTCATGGAGGAAACGGCTATCAGTGACAGCCAGCCATGATGGCTATGTTTCAATCTCCGCTGTCTGAGGCAGGATGTGTTTGAATACTGTGAGAACAGGATGCTGGACTAGGTAGGCCTTTGGTCTGATCCAGCAGGCTCTTACTTCTTACTTCATTTTGATGAGAACTTAAGAAGAGCCTGCTGGATCAGGCCAATGGCCTACCTAGTCCAGCATCCTGGACAAAAGTCTCAGACTGAAAGGTTAACACATCAAAGGAGTGATAAATAATACAGAAAGACAGCCTGCAGCTCCTTCAATACCTGCCCCAAGACTGAGGAGGCACCTGGAAAAATGGCTTCTCCTGGGAACTGTAGTTTGTCAAGGCTGCTGAGAGTTGTTAGGAGACCCCCTGATCCTCTCAAAGACCTACAGTTCCCAGAATGGTTTAACAATCAATCCCCTTCCCATGGAATTCTGGGAATTGTAGCTCTGTGAGAGGAATGGGGCGTTTCCTAACAACTTTCGGCACCCTTAATGAACTAAAGTTCCCATAATTCTTTGGGGGAAGCCATGCTGTTTATAATGGTTTCATAGTGCTTTAAATGTATTTTGTATACAGGGTCTGAGTTACGTAAGGCTACTTTTGACATTATGATTAATGTCAATGGAACACGTACTCAGGCTTGGACCACTGCGACGCTAGATGTTGCCACATCTGAAGTACAAACACCAAAATGTTGCATGCTGCCTAGCTCATTTTTTCATGACGCACAGGCCGAGTCTGAATAAACACTGAGGGAACAGACAGTGAAGAAACAGGACCATGCTTACTTATTACAGACATGGCACATGGACATAATTTTACACAGGCGGGTGATGTTCATAAAAAAAATCCACTCAATGTAGTTTCAGGCTGAACCATTCTTTCCCAGATTCTACGTACATTAATGAAAACATAAGTGTGGGTCTGTGTGTAGATATGATCTAAAAAGACATTTCACCCCTGAAACGTGTGGCAAGAGACAGCCGTGCCTAATGAGTGGGGTGGCCATGATCATGTTCCTTCACCATGTACTTTTGTCTGAACCAGGCCCCAGAGGTGGAGGGTTGAAGGTTGAAAAATAGCGCCCCTTGGCTCTGTCCATCTTTGATGTTTAGCCAACACTTGTTCAGATTGTCCAATCGATAAAGGTGACTAGATCAGTAGGCTCATCCGATCCGTGTTGCTTTGTTTTGAAAATGTGCTCTTTGTGTGGCTTGTTTTCTCTTAGGGACGGACGGTCCCCACACCCCACTCCCAATAAACTTTCTACCCCAAATGACATTAGTGGCTGCCGGTATAGGTTTAAGTTTACAGTCATCAGCACTGTGTTTACAAGCTCCCCCAAGTGTCCTCCATCTCTACTGCCAGGAAGGTGAAGAGGCTTCCAAGTCCAGCTGAGGCCAGTTCTCCACCACATAGCCTAGTGAACCGCCGCTGATCCCTTCAAAGGGCTTGTCCTCTTCCACCAAGGAGAGCCTGTCTTGGGCTTCAAGCATATTCTCTTGGATTTAGCTGCCTCTCCCAGTACACTGGGCAGGGCTGTGAGGTTTAATTATTAGTAGGGGTGTTGATCCTTTGAGGCTTCCCTTTTAGGCAAACATTTGTCCTATACTGTAGATGGACCGGCATGGCCGACTGGAAATTGGGTTACAGGGGCTGAAATCCTATGCCCACTTGGATCCAAGGTTAATATTGACCTCTGAGGCCATGCTTGTGAATCCACCCTCAGGAGGTATTAGACTCAAGGACACAATAGATGGGACACTAGAGACAGGCTCCTTCCCAAGCCTGTGGGAAGTTCGGCCTCACCATCAGCCTTTCAGACCGTATTGGGTCAGGGTGTCACCAACACTCCATGCATCAGTGGTGGTGACCACATGCTTGAGATGATAGACAATTTTGTCCACCTGGACTCCACCATAACCAGCAACCTTTCCATTGGCGCTGAGCTGAACAAGCTGATTGGCAAGGCAGCTATGGCAATGGCTCGCCTCTCCAAAAGGGTTTGGGAGAATGATCAATACCAAGATGAAGATCTACCAAGCTTGCATGTTGAGTTGGTTGTGGGCAACTTACAGTGGCCAGGAGCGATGCCTCAGTGCCTTTCATATGCTTTGTGTCAGGAAGATTTTGGGCATCATATGGCAGGACAGAGTCTCAAACAAAGAAAGACGTGCTCTTTCAAGCCCACATTCGCTGCTTGTTCACACTTCTGTCTCAGTGACATCTACACTGGCTTGGTCATGTGCATAGTATGAAAGATGGCAGGATCTCCAAGGATGTGCTTTCCAGGGAGCTGGCCTCAGCACCAGGCCTGTTGACCAACCAGCTCTGCATTACAAAGATGTCTGCAAGAGTTACATGAAGTCTGGCAACATTAACCCCACTGTATGGGAATCCCTGCAGACAGACAAGTTGTATAGCCACATCAGTAACCAGAGGAGAAATGACCACCGGAGGAGCAGAGAAGAAATGGCATGGTGCACCTGCATCAGTTATACTGGATGCCTTCATCTGCCACAGCTGGAATAAAGCATGTCTCTCCCTCATTGGTCTCAACAGCCAGAGCAGGCGCTGGAATTCTCCAGCAGTTTGGGTTTGACTTTGCCCTCGATGGTGCACTCTTCCATTGTCTCCCAAGACAGACGGATGCCAACACTCATAGATACACATTTGCTGCTTTTTGGGGGTCACTGCATCGTTTGATTCTGCTATTTTAATTTGTTGCCACTATCATATTGTTATATGTGTGAAGATTTTCCGGTTATAACTTTTTATTTTCCTTTGGAAGGTGGGATATAAATTTAATAAATAAAAAATTGTAACATGATTGTAATTTTTGTTTAATATATAGTAAGTCACCTTGGAAAGGGTAACCCTGAATATAAATATCGAAGCAATCACATAAAGCCCCGTGACCAGAGCGTAACTTTATTCTGCGACTCTCCTCTCCCTTTGTTGTCTTCTCTTTCCCTGTCTAAATTTAGACTACTGTACACAATTCCCGGGACGGTGTTGTTGTTGTTGTTTTTAAACCCTCCCCTTTGACTTCCCGTCTTAAGTGTGTAAGCCATTAACTACATAGCTGATGCAATGTTTCATCACCACACTTTAAAACTTAAATCGAACGAGCAAAGGCCACGGTGCTCCAATGCAAGCACTTAAGATAACACTTTATTAAATCTGAAGCCCGGAACGACCAATCAAAACAAAACTTTCGCGTATTTCTCCCCAGCAAAACAAGAAAAACTGACGGCTGCGAACGCCAAAAACGACGCGCGGCGCAGTCCGGGCTACTTTCCCGTCGTGCCTTGCGCCATTCTCTCCGAGTCAACCATTTGGTGGCGCGTTGCCTTCTGGGAGTTGCAGTCTTTCCTCCCGACCTTTCCCTATAATGTCTATAGCTAGGAGGTGGGAAAGGGACTACAACTCCCGTCACCCAACGCGCCTCCCTTGGCCCGGGAGGGGGACTCGGGCTTTATCTCGGGACCTATAGTCTTCGAACCCCCCCCCCCCGCGCACCTTTGTCCTCATGGGGAGCGAACTACAGTTCCCGCAGAGCCGAGGGGTCCGGCCGCTCTAAGGTCTCCGCCGCCCCTCCCCCGCCCGGCTTTGGCAGGGGCTTCTCCCAAGATGGCGGCTCCCCCTCCTCCTGCTGCTGCTCCCCGGGGCGCCGGGGTCGGGGCCACCTCCCCGGGGGGCTCCCTGGGCTACTGCTTGGCCCAGCTGCAGAAGGGCGCCGAGCCGGGCCTCGGCCGGGCCCTGCTGGCCCTCAGGACGCAGCACATCAAGGAGGCCGGGGGCATCGCCCGCTTCCGGAGCCGAGGGGGCCTGGCGCCTCTCCTGGGGGTCCTGGCCGGCGCCCCTCGGCCGCGACGCACCCTGGACCTCGCCCTCAGCATCCTGGGCAACTGCTGCACCGAGGGCGCCAGCCGCACCCAGGTGCGCGAGCTGGGCGGGATCCCGCCCCTCGGTAAGTGGGGGGCCCCACTTAGGGGGAGGACTAGGTACCCCCTTGGGGGTAAGGGGGAGCTCGACGGGGCAGTCTTGGTCCCCCCGCAACATTTTGGAGGGCGCCAGGTGGGATCCTAAGACCCCCAAGTTAACCCTCCAGCCCCCCCCCCATTGCCTGGGTGCCTGTGTTGCCAAGGCCCCCTTGATTTGTCAAAGGTTGGGGTCCCGCCCCCGGAGTTTGTAAGGATTATTGGATCCTCGCGTGGAATAATAGCTGCTTTGGCTCACTTTCCGGGCCTTTCTGCCTTCTCCGATACCTTTACTTTGGGCTGTCATGTGTGACACCCATCTCGTTAAATAAGATGATGTAGCTCGGATTTCCTTAAGTTTTTGGTTTTTTAAAAAAAATCTCGTGCTTAAAGGGCGTTAAGTGTTGGCAAGTGGAAATCACAGTCGCAGAACTGTTGGAAGGGCCAGCCAGTCCAAGCCCCTGCAAGGCAGGAGTCACAGCTAATGTTAGGCTGTGCCCAGTGGGGCTGGGGAGGGTTGAAGCCATACGTGCAGTTCTAAGGGTGATGAGCTGTCGCCCTTGGTTAACCTCTACGCCCGACTGATGTTGGGTTTCAGAATAGGACTCGGGATACCAGGGTTCAAATCCCTGCTCAGCCACAAATCTCATTGGATGAACCGCCCTGAGATCTGTGGGTGAAGGGTATACAAACTGAATACATACATAAATAAAATAACTTGGGCCTGTCACTCTCTGCCTCACAGGGTTGTTGTGAGGATAAAATGGGGTGGGGGGACAGCCGTGCATGCCATCTTCAGCTCCTTGGAAGGAAGGTGGGATATAAATGTAATAAGAATAAAGGACATTGGCCTGGAACATGCGCACATGTCTTGCCATCCTGAGCTACTCAAGTTGGACTTGTGACCCTTTGAATGCTGCGGTGGGAGGAGATGCCTAAGCCTTTAAGGGAAGTTGCTTGAGGATGCGCAGGGACTTGTAATTTGCTTTTTGCAGCTGGCAGCGCCACCTGGCCGTTAAACGTGTAAATGCCAAAGCCTCCGTCTTTCCATCGATGGAGGACGGTGCAAAACTGCTGTCTTAAACCAATGCAAATTTGTTTAAGTTCAGTGTTTTCCTTTTGAGCTTCTACCCCATTTGGTTCCTTCATAGGTTGTGGGGCTGTTTTAAGATGAGTGAACACATGCAAACTAGAAGTGGTTGGCTTTTTCCCTCTAGGAGAAGCTAGCAACGATCCTGGGGATTTGGGATTATATTGAGGTTCCCCCTAGCAGTAGCAAGACCTCGTGCGTTTGTGCATTTGGAAATCAGTGTTTACACTGGTTGTCAAGAGAGACCATACCTTTTTATAAATCTTTAGCACTCTACAATGTAGAGTAAGCACTGCAGTATATAGAGTGCAGAAATGTGATAATTCCTGGTTGAGGGCTTAAGGCCTGTATTACATGGAAGGAGTGGGGGTAGAATCATGCAGAAAATGCTACCCTCTTTAAACAGCTGTTCTTACCCAACTTTAAAAAAAAAAAAGCAAAGAGAGCTAAATCTGCTGGCCTTTAAAGTGCCGCAAGACTCTTGTTGCTTTTCACTGGAACAGACTACCACAGCTATTCCCCTGAAAGTTGTTTGTGGTTTTACAGCTACATTATTCTCCATCTCTCTTCCTTCCTGCTCCCCCCCCCCACTACAATCTGTGGGTTTATAGTTACTATCCTGAGATCGCTTGCTGCAGAAAGCATCCAGAATCGGACGGCACGAGCCCTCGGCAACTTGGCTGTAGACACAGAAAACTGCCAGGCCATTCACGAAGCAGGTTGGAAGTGGGATGGTGCACTGGGTAGGGATGGAGGGCAGGTTTGCTCATGAGGGGCTGGGTGGGGGTCCAGTCCATATGTTATGACTTCCTGCCCCTTTTCAACAGGGGGAAGGGCATCTCTTTCTGCCTACTTTCCCCCTCCATAATGAGGTGCTCCTCATTTCCACATGTTAGACTGACATGAGTTTATATAATTACTCATTGCCTCCATATCTTAATAACCGGAAGCTTCCTGGTGAAAACTAGCATAGTGGGGGGGGGGGAGTGCTAAGAATCTGAGCTGGAATAGCCCAGTTTTATCCCAGTTATAGCCTCTCTTGGTGGCCCCAGGCAAACTTCTGCTCTCTCACTCTTGGCACCTGCTCTGCAATACCAGGATCATGCTGGCCTACCTTACTGAGCTGTTGTAAAGATTACTGAAATAATGTCTGTGAAGTACTCTGAGCGCTTGAAATGCACTATATAAGCATGAAGCTTTATTCTCGTTATTGAAAATATTTAGTCTTCATGTATTACAAAATTCCCAGATAGAATGCACTGGGATTCCAGAATGAATAGGGGATCTGTGTGGAGCATTTGGTCACTTCTGGATAAACTACAAACAGCTTGTGTGTTAAATTAGGTAACATGTTAGCAGTTTTCTCTTTTAGCCTAGGTAAAATTGGTGGGGGAACGTATTTCGTGTTGGAGACTTGTTTTAATTCTCTCTGTGTATCTCTCTCCCCACCCTCATTTATCTGGGACAGAGGAGGGGTGGGAATTTTGCCGTGATTTGGGTGAAATTTCCGCATAACTTTGTGTTTGGATTCAAGTGCAGACGTTCATATAAACTTCAAAAACTTAGATGCAGATGGAGGGGTTGCTTTGGAATCTGTGGCAGCCCTCTCGGAAGAAAAGGATGTGGCCACAGAACCCTTTTCTTCTTTCTCCCTTCTGCGGAGCTGGGGGTAAGGTGGACACCCATCTCTGCTAAAACATCACCCACGTGTTTTTCTAGTAGCCTGGAAGGGTGTGGCAAATTTCCTTGATAAAATTGCCTGGGAAGTGGCTACTTCCCTTTAAGGTCCTCTGCATCTGCTGCTCACAGCACCTTCATTGCAGCAGCTGCTGAGAGTAGCAGAAAAAGATGGGGGTGGTTGTGGAGAGAGATGGTGCTGAGACTTGGCAGGCCAGTTGGAGGGGCTTGGACGTTTGCTAGCAAACCGTAGAGAAATTGTAATATATGAGACTCTATAACTTGGCTTTCTTTTTCTTCCATTCTCTCCCCCACCCCGCCACCCAAAAAAATCTCCCATTACAGGAGCAGTGCCCCCGCTGGTGCAGGTCCTCACCACCTCCCAGGACAGAGAGTGCTTGCAGAGTGTGATCAGGGCAGTGCGCTACCTGGCTGACACGCCTGCGCATCGCCTTGTGCTGGTCCAGCAGGGGGTGGTGCGCTCCATTGCCGAGCGCTTGGCTTCCTCCTTGGATGACGCCGCCCTTGTTGCAGCTGCCGTGCGCGCCCTCCTGGAGCTGACGAAGGGTTGCAGCCGCGACTGCGCGCAGCAGCTCAGCTTGGCGGGCGGCGTGGCAACCCTCATGTCCTTGACTAGCCACGAGAAGCGGGCGGTGCGGGAGACTGCTCTGGTGGCCCTGTCCAACCTCTGTCTGCAGGGCATGCTGAGGCCAGCTGTGGGCAATGCTGGCGGAGTGGAGGTGCTGGTGGGGGAGATCCGGCAACGCCAGAGGGCCGGGGCACCTGGCATGGCCCTCCATCCTCTGGTGAAAGCTTTGTGTCTGCTGTGCCGAGAGGCAATCAATAGAAGCCGGGTCCGAGAAGCCGGGGGGCTGGAGCTGCTGCTGTCCCTGCTGCGGGACCAGGGCCACAGCTCCTCCCACGATCGTGTGGTGGTGGCCTTCGTGGCCTTTTTCTATGATGAGGAGGCCCTGGAGGTGCTGCAGGCTGGAGGGCTTGTGCCTTTGCTGGTTGGGAGGCTGGCAGCGCTGGGCCAATGGAGAGGCCGGAAGGAAGAGGAGGAAGAGGAGGAGGACGACCTGGTAGATGAGAGGGATGCAGCTTCTTTTGACCTACCTGCAGAGGGGCGTCGTGGGGAGCAGGCCACGCCTGGAGCAGAGTCTTCCAGCTTTCAGAGCCTCAGGTAAAGAATGTCTTGAGCTAGGGGATTGTTTTATGCAAGGGTTGAAAGAGGTGATGTCCTTTCAAAAGAGGGTTTTTTATGGTGAGCGAAGTATATACCCAGAACATGCCAGTTCTGTACCAGCAAAGCAAAACAAACCCAATTTGGAATGTCTTGTGCAAATTAGTCACATCTAAATGTGTAGCTTTTTCTAAATTTTTACCCAGGCCGTGGAAGATGGAAAGAAGCAAAGGTGTCAAGATTGGGGGCTAGTGGACTGTTAGGGGTCAAAGGAGCTGGACAGGGATGTTGCCCTACTCCAACCATTTCCAGCTCTGTGGAATCACTTTTAGCTTGTTTTCAAACTTTTCTTCGCTGGAAACACAGGTTGGAAAACTAAACAATAGTTTTGCTTTTAAACGGGGCTAGAGTTTCTTAGGGTTCTGTGTCCTGTGCTTGCTTTGTTCCCCAGGATTGTTGTTCTATTGAGGGTGGCTGTGGTTGCTGCCACCAGATGTTCTTTGCATTTTGCTTCCATGTCCTATTGTGCCATCGTTTGGCCGTGTGGTAGCAGTAGCGGGAGCCTGCAGTGTTCGATTCCAGGCTCTGGCAAGCATGTGCCACCGCACAGCTGTACGTGCAGATGCTTGCAGTATTTTGCAGCTGGCTGCCAAAAGCGGAGTCATCCACACAACAACAGATGCCTGTAGTCCGCTTGCTGTGGGCAAGAAGCTGATACATGCACTCTTCTCCAACACTTCGCACCCGCTAATGGCTACCAACCACATGCCACATGGTCATGTGATTCCCTCCCCACTGCCCGCCCCAAACTCTACAATCGCTTTTGTACTTCATCCCTTATATCTGTGCATTTCCTTCTATCCACTCTGCAGATCCTGGCTTCTTTCTGAAGGCTACATTGCCAGCCCAGGAGACCTTTCTCCACAGTGGTCCCCCGACACCACCCTTTCTGAACTGGATGTCCAAGGATGTGTCAGCCCCAACCAAGAGCTGCAAGATGAACCCCATGGGCCCTGCCATGCCGTATCTGGAGTAAAAACCCAGTCCCGGGCCGAATCCCCCGATTTCTTAAACTCTCCATTACTGGATTTGCCCCTTGCATGTCAGCCAAGTTCTACCGAGACCTTCAACCCAGCGGAGGGAGATGGAGCATATCCACAGCAGAGCCTGTGCCCAGTGGCATCACCTATGTTCGACAAACCTGGAAGTCTCTGTTTGGAGGTGCCAGATTCAGAGGAGATCAAGGAGCTGGAAATGGTTGAGATAAGTAAGCAGCAGAAGGGGCTGCTGATGAAATCAGAAGAGGAAGATCTAGCCAGTCCAAAGAAGGGACTCCCTGGACAGGATGTATTGAAGCTGCCCCGTTCATTGTCCTCAGGGGCAGCCCCAAATTCATTGCTGACGAATCCATCGAAACCAGGTGAAGATACGGAACAGTCGACCTGGGTTGCTTTGACAACGGACCAAAATGAACCTGGGACCAGTAACTCGCACTTGGCTGCAATGGCGTTGATTCCGAGCAAGAGTGACCAAAGCCAACTGTCCCCCAGGTCCATTGCCAAATCGCCAGCCAGCGAGGAGGCCAGCTCCCCAAAGCTGAGCATTCAGAGCCTCTCAAGTTCTCCCGATGAGCACAGGACACCTACGTCCTGCTGGAAACGCCGTGCCAAGTTCCGGTCAACGTCTGAGCAGGCGCCACCTCCTCAAGCATCACGTCCTGCTGGCGAGACTCCGTCCCCACTGCTCTCCCTAGCCCTGCCGCTCTCCCTCTCTCCACACGGGGGCGACAGAGAGCTCCATGCCCCCGAGGCCCCCGTCCTGCTGCTCCTTTCCCGCTTTTCCCAGGCGGAGGATCCCAGCCGCAGCTTGGTGACACCAGCCACCTTGCAAGGGCTGCTGCGCTACATCACGAGAAGCCCCGTCCCCTCCTCTCGCTGCCTCCGGCTGTTGCATCGCCTCACCTGCAACCCCACTTGTCTGGAGGCCTTTGTGCGTTCCTACGGCGCTTCGCTCATCCATGCCTGGCTGATCCTTGGCGTGTCGCCTGAGCAGGTGGCGGCGGCTGTTACTGCCGAGGAAGAGGGGGAAGAGGCGGAGCCAAGAAGCCTGGATGCCGGGGAGCACGACGCCAGGAGGTTCAAGGAACTTGGTGTGTGGATTTTCTGTTATCTCTGCATTCCAGCGTAGCGGTTCTTAAACTTTCCCCCCACTAGTAAATTTAAAATTTCTGGAGATCTCAAAAGGCCACTTAATACCCCCCCTTTTTTTTTGGTCCTGTACATCAAATGCACAACTCTCACTACAGTTGGCATTTGATAGTGCCTTTCTAGTGCAATGGATGTGTTGGGAGCTTTTGAACAGAGTTCAGGGAAGTCTAGCTTGGCTCATCAGAAAAATAAACCATATAATTGTAGAGTTTGAAGGGACCACAAGGGTCTTCTAGTCCAACCCCCTGCAGTGCAAGGATCTTTTTGCTCAACATGGGGCTCAAACCCACAACCCTGAGAGTCTCATGCTCTACCAACTGAGCTATCCCAGGGATTGGGAGTTGAGGGCGAAGTATTGATATTCCACAACCTTTCTGTGGAGCACCCAAAAGGAGACCACCAAAAAGGTGGTCTACTGAGGATGATTTGAGAACCTCTGTTCTAGGATATTGGAATTCAAGCCTGCATAGTTTATTTTTTTGAGTTCCTCATATTAAAGAGGGCTTCTGAACCGGGTATTCTCATGTTGAAGATGCTGTGGTGTCTCACTTTAGTGGGTCTTTGGCTCATTGGAAAGCCAGTTGGTTTGTTGGGATACTGTGGTTCCTAGTCTGTCTTTGCCACAGGCCATGCTGTTAGCTGATGCTCAGCAGGCCTTTGCCTCTGAAGTGGTTTTCAGTGCTGGAACGTGTAAAGCGACCCTAAGGAGAGCCCTTATGGTAGTGTATGAAACCACTTTTCCCCTCACCGCTGCGTAATTGAAGTCCCCTCCACCTCACCCCAGCTGACGTAGGCTGGGGTTGAGGCTTCAGATCAGAGAGAGACTTTTTGCTTCCCACATGTTTTGCAGACATAAAATGGAGCATGAAATAAATTGTGGGGGGACTGCAGCTCTTGTGATACAGAAAAGGCTGACTGGGCAGTTGGGGGCAGGGCAGATGCCAAAAAGTGGGCTGGCTCCCTTCAGAGTTGATGCAGATGCCGCGTCAAACGGAGGCACTGTTTGTTGAACGCATTTCTGACCCATTCTTCCCCTTCCCACCAGGAGAGACGCTGCTGATGAACCTTTGTGTGCAGGCGGAGTCCCCTTATGGAGTGGGTGTTCTCACCCACATGCTGCTGTCGGGCTCCGAAGCCGATCAGGTGGCCTGTGCGCTCGCCCTTCCGCTTATCTGCAGGTAGGTCTGACATTGCTCTGTCAAACTGGTATGAAGAGAAGGGGATAAAAAGGATTTACTTCCTCACGTGGTTGCAGTTTCCTCATGTGGCTACCAAAATGGTGGCGGCCATCTTGAATGGGGAGCAGCCACCGGGCTGGGACAGAGTGACCTCAGGGTTTTATTTAGCCCCAGATTCAGAAATTTGGGGGTATGGACAGTGAAACTATGAAAAAAAAAGTATATTACTCCTCACCACATGAACCACAAGGCACTCAAAAGAGTGTATGAGAGATTTATTTTTGGAAGAAGCGAAAAGTGTGGAGACTGAGGAAAGAGGAAAGTGTGTGCTAATGTTGGGGGTCTGATATTTTACAATTCTCATTTTTCAGCTAATAGAAGGGGAGAGTTGGGATCTAACGAAAGGTACTGAGGATGCAAAGCGGTTTTCTCTTTGTCTCCCATAGGAAGGATTCCCTTTGCCGGAAACTTCTGCTGGACCACTCTGGCCTGCGTCTCCTGTTAGGTGCCCTGGTGCGGGACCCCGATCCCTGCCTTGTTTTCTACGCCTTGGATGCCCTCTCCCTCCTCCTGGGCTCCCAAGCCACAAGTCTTCCCTCGCCGTCCCCTCCTGCCTCCAAGAGGCCGCGCCTGGACTCCCCGCCCCCTTGCTCTTATTGCCGCTTCATGGACGAAGGCAAGGCCGACTTGTATTTCCAGCTGGACTCTGGCACCCGGGTGCCCGCCGTGCGCCAGGTCATCAGCGAAGCCTCCGAGGTCTTCTGTGCCATGCTGAGCACAGGGTTTGCAGAGTCGTGCCACACCACCGTGAGGCTGGGCGGTGTGTCTCCCGAGCCCTTCCTGGCTCTCGCACACTTCCTCCATGGCTGCCGCGGCAAACCCTGCTCGGTGCTGGGGGTTTCGGTCCCCTTCGCTTTAGCCGAAGAAATCCTCACGGTTGCAGAGCAGTATCTCCTCCCCGAGCTCCAGTCCCTGGTTGATGACGCCGTGTGCCGGGACTTCCTGCGCCCCGAGACTCTAGGCCAGGTGTATTGCTTGGCTGAACGGCAGAACCGGCCCCGCTTGCTTCAGAAATGTGCTGCTTACACTCTCCAGGACGTGGCAAGGCCCACCCGCCAAGCCGCGGTGTTGGCCAAGCTTCTCCAGTCTGTTGGGAATCCCAGCAGGTTGGCTGAGGAGCTGCTCAGGGTAGTGATGGAGTCCCCGTGGGGTTCTGGTGCTGAGGTCCAGCTGGGCTGAAGGATTTACAGCTCTGTCTCCTCCTGCCCTGTTCCACCCCCCTTTTCTCTCTCACGCACACATGCACACACATAACCGAAATATTGGCTTTATAGTGGAAACCCAAGTATGATGACAGAAGGAGTGCTAGGAGAATAAATAGGGTGAGACTCAAAAGAATGGCCTCACAGCAGTCAAAGGGTCAACTTCTGGAGTGGGGAAGCGTGTGGGGCAGTGATGTGGCAGTGAGCGCCCCACTTGACAGAGTGGTTGTGTGCGTAAGGTTGGTGGAGGTGACTGCATGAGGGTGGAAAAGAATGGAGGGAGGGAGGAAGAGGGCCAGGGGAACGCTGCCACCCAAAAGGCATGGGGGAGGTTTTAAATCAGATGTGGGGAACTTTTGGCCCTCCAGATGTTGCTGAACTACAACTCCCATCATCCTTGGCCGCTGACCACTCTTGCTGAGGGATGGTGGGCATTGTAGTTTAGTGACAGGAGTGCCAGAGGTTCTCCACACCTGATTAAGATGAAAGGTGGAGGAACCAGGTGTCAGTTTCCGCTTGGACGCAACAATAGCCCCTTTTGAGGAGGGTTTCTGTCAAGAGCACTTAAAAAACAAAGAACGGCCAGCCTCAATGTGATCTTGGGCATGGCAGTATGTTCAAAGTGGGCAGGATCCCTTTCTGATAGCGTATCAGGAAGGAACCCCAGATTGAAAAATACAACATTTCTGAGAGTGCCGTTCTGATGGCAGCTGCTCCTGGGATTGATCCTAGTCTTGGGAGGAAATGTTAAAAGGGCATGAATGTATAACTGAAGAAAGATGAGCCATCTCACAGAGATGGGGGGGGGGCAGCAAAAGAACTGATGCCACCAAGTAGTGGAAGGAATTTGCAGGATATCAAGGTGCTTCTCTCCAGGACACGTGGAAGCACTGAGAGGAGTCTGGCCCATTTGTATAGATGGAACTATATTGCATATAAGCTATTGTACATAGAGAAATACAGACATCAAAGAGGTACTCGGAGCGTCTACCTGGCCTCAGCTTATTTCTGTGAGTGAACAAATGGGAGGTGACCAACCCTTGTTGCTGCAAAATTGGCTGCGACCCATTTTTGAGCCAGCCTTCTGCAAACAAACCAGTTGTTCCAGACCCCCACAATGAGTCTCTCACCATTAACCCCGCTCACTCTTAATGGGTCGGAGGGATTTTTCAGTGTCATCCAATGGAGGATTTTTGGCACAAGGGATAAAATGTGTCTGGTCTGCACAATAGAGTTCTCTGGCCATTGAGCAAGCTCTTGAGGGGTGGGATTTTGGATTTACACTTGCATGCCCTGTGATGCCAGGCCTCTTAGCCCCCGTTCCTCCCCTCCCCACCTCCTTTCCACGCCAAGGACAGGAAACGCCTGCTTCTAACTGCATCCAGATGGTCTGGAGAACTGGCGAAGGGGAGGGAGAAACCACTTCCTGAGAGCCTGATTACTATAGAGCCTGTTCGTCTAGGATGGGGTGGGAGGGAGCGCCTTCCCCAGTGGGTTCTTTCTGGGTCCCATTTTCTGTCCCGTATCATTGTTGTTTTTGAAGGGTTGGCTGTCATCTGTTTTTTCCATGGCGTTTATTGGGTGCTGGAAGCTGACCGCTAGCATACGTAACCCTGCCGCTGAGGTTATGGTGTAAAATCACAGCTGGGAGATGCAGCAGAGGTATGCTGCTCCTTCCCTCTTGGAATACTGTGTGGATGATTTGAAGTTTTGTAAGGACTTCGTTTTTTTAATGTTATTTTCTGGTCATGCTCCAGTTCCTCAGCATGTGAGAAGCATTTCCTATAATTCTATCTCTATGCCAAGAAAACAGTCACCTGCTTAATTTCTGCATGATTGGTTGCTGTAGAAGGCAGAGGAGCTGGGCGTAACACTAAAGGTGGCAGCCCTTGTTCATCACGCAGCCATCATGCAGTCTCAACATATCTGGTGCAGAAGCAAACCAGGCTGAGTGTTCCAGGGCTTGTTTTCCTTCCCGAATTCCTCCTATGCCTGGCTCTTCTCTTGGCACAAGCCCGTTACGCTCTTGAGTGTTTCAACCTGGGTGGAGAGTTTTTATAATAATAATAATAATAATAAATTTTATTTATATCCCGCCCTCCCCAGCCGAAGCCGGGCTCAGGGCGGCTAACAACAATCAAATAATCCAACATTCTAAAAACATTTCATTATAAAAATTAATTAAAATCAAATTAATGGCAACCGTTAAGCAAAATTCTGTGCAGGTTGCCAGAGGAGGGAGTCAGGCTCGGCCCTGACCAAAGGCCTGGTGGAACAACTCTGTCTTGCAGGCCTTGCGGAAAGATGTCAGGTCCCGCAGGGCCCTAGTCTCTTGTGACAGAGCGTTCCACCAGATTGGAGCCGCAGCCGAGAAAGCCCTGGCTCTAGTTGAGGCCAGCCTAACCTCTCTGAGGCCTGGGACCTTCAGGATGTTTTTATTTGCAGACTGTAGGTTCCTCTGTGGGGCATACCAGGAGAGGCGGTCCCGTAGATACGAGGGTCCTAGGCCGTATAGGGCTTTAAAGGTTAAAACCAGCACCTTAAACCTGATCCTGTACTCCACCGGGAGCCAATGCAGCTGGTATAGTACCGGAAGAATGTGATCTCGCAGCGAAGACCCCATAAGGAGTCTCGCCGCGGCATTCTGCACCCGCTGGAGTTTCTGGGTCAGTCTCAAGGGCAGCCCCACGTAGAGCGAGTTACAATAATCCAGTTTGGAGGTGACCGTCGTGTGGATCACAGTGGCTAGGTCAGGGCAAGAGAGATAAGGGGCCAACTGCTTAGCTTGGCGGAGATGAAAAAATGCCGCCATTATGGTGCTGAAAAAGCATTCATCTGAAAAAGCCCACACTGTGAGCAGGCCACTTTCAGGAGGGCTGAGACCATACCTTGCGAAAAAGTCTCTTACAAAGTGTTCACTTCAAAAATGTCCCCTCTATCCTAGAAAATTCAGCAAGTCCTAAACCTTTTAAGTACAGCCCGATCCCCAAAATACTATACGGTCTGCAATTCAAAACAACAAACCATTGCAAGGCAAAATCATGCAGGATTGTGACAGCCCATTTTAACACACGCATGCTTACAACTCGTAGGGTGCTTTCAAAGTACATCAATACGCTTGTAAATTAGGATTTTTAAAATCCTATTTCAGTTGGGGGCAGGGCTCAGTCTTAACTGGCTTGCCTAGGGCTGCAACTAGATGTGATGTAGAAGGTCTGTCAACAGGCAGATAAAAATCAATAACCCTTTTGGCCTGACAAATTCACTCATAACTGCCTAGGAAGCTTGCCTGTACCGGGTCCTGTCTATTGAGTAATCCAAGAACCAGGAATGGCTTGGTGGGATCAGGCCAGTATCCCGTCTTGCCCAGTGGTCAACAGGATGCCAGAGCACTGCTCTTCCTGCTGTTCTCAGCAGCTCATATTCACAGGCCTGCTGCATCTGACCTTAGAGGCACAAGCAAAGCATGTGTTCTGCTACTGAGCCATGGACTGTGGGAAAAGGGGTAACCCTCCATCCTAACCATTTACCTATCGGAACAAAACTGAGGGGATATGAAGCAGGGACTTCTGGGCTCTGAGCTCCCATGCCTAATCACAACTCTCGCTCTCATTAGCATACCCTCTTCTTACAGACTGCTCCAAATGTCCCCCTCCCCCAGTCCTTAAGCCATCAAACCTTATGGGTACCCCAGAATTGTTATGGTCAAAAGCCCACCTCCACCAAAGCTTTTAACAACCCAGCCCTGATTTAACATTCAGGTACGTTTATTACATACCGGAGTTCTCTCGCTCTCAGCAACTTTTTTTTTGGCTTGCACCATTTACACCCCGTGTTTCCTCAGTCCTATAAACATCCTCTGAATTAAATAATCTCATTTGGCACAAGGTATTAGATTCCATCCTCACCCCATCATGAATAACAGCGGCAGCTTAGCCAAAACCCATTTCTGTCCAAAGACCTCATGACCTCAGCTGGACTTGGAAGTTGTACATCTCTTTCCCCGTTTTGGCACCTGGAATCTTGTGAATTCCTGGGCCTCATCAGAACTTGAAATGATACTGGAAAGTTAGTAGACCACCCTGTGTGCATGTGTAGGCGCAGTGCCAACTTGAATAAAATATTGTGGGGGACCAGGTAAGCCCCGCCCCACATAATCGATCGCATGACACATTGCGCACACACCAGTTGAATGGGAATGCTCATCAACTTTGTGGGGGCCCAGCCCCCTCAAATATTTTATTGTAGGGGCCAAAGCCCCCATGGCCCTTAGGAGTTGGCCCCTATGAACACATCTATGGCCTCATCTGCACTATATGTTTAAAGCAAGATCATACAACTTTAAACCACAGTTTCCACCTGGGAACTGTAGTTTGTTAAGGTTGCTCAAAATTGTTGTGAGACCCTGTTCCCCTCTACAACTCTCAGGGTGGTTTAACAGCCAACCCCTCTTCCCAGAGAACAGAGAATTGTAGCTCTCTGGGAAGAAGTGGGGTCTCCAAAAAATTCTCCGGACCCTTAACAAACAATGCGTAGAGTCATACCTAGGCTCCCTTGTGCCCTTGGCAAGGAGCTGTATTGGCAGTGCCCCCCATCCCTTGTGCCCTTGGCAAGGACATGTGCCCAGTGGCCCAGGAGGAGTGAGCAAATGGGTGGGTGGGCTCCTAGCCACTCGGAGCCAGAGAGGAGAGGTGTGATTTTTGCTCCTCCTGGGCCTGAACCTCAAACTTGGCCCTCCAGATGTTTTTGGCCTACAACTCCCATGGCCCCTAGCTAGCAGGACCAGTGGTCAGGGATGATGGGAATTGTAGTCTCAAACATCTGGAGGGCTGAGTTTGAGGAATCCTGGCCTAAACCCTTGATGAGGAGCAACCTAGCTAACCTTAGGTATGCCCCTGACTACACTTCCCATGATTCTTTGGGGGGAAGACATGACTATTTTAAAGTGATACAATACTGCTTTAAATGTACAGTGCAGACTGTGTGTTGAGAGAGAAAGGGAGAATACGGATGTTATACATGCTTAGCTGCTAGGCTTTCTTCCCAGTGTTCAAAATCCAATTGATAACTTTTCTCCGAAGTTCACACCTTTTCCGGTTCTTACTGTTTTACTCCATAATATCCATGCCGCGCAGGGTTCTGCATAAACCTCATCTCATTCCGCTCCCTAAAAGAAGCCAGCTGGCAGGAGCAATAGGCTGGACCTCTTCAGAAGGAGTCTCCCAAATGGCCAAGCAGCTCTCTTAGCTTTGAGCAGCTGCCACCCCACATCTTTGCCGAGCTGGTCCAAGATGTTCTGCCGCCTGAGGCACAGCAGCAAAGGCTCCCCTCAAAAGCCAAGGGGGTAAAGCAAAGTATCCCAAGGCCAGTTAAGTCATTTTAGCCCCTGAGGCTGAAAACCACAGGAGCTCAGGTAAAAATCTAAAATCAAGTAGCTTAAAAAGTTATTGCCTCTTCTTTACCACGTCCAAAATTGGGGGCCTTGCTGTCTCATGCTCCACAGCGGTGCCAGGAGCCCTCAGCAACTGCCTCCCCTCACTAGGCCTTACTTCCCTTTCCCAGAAGGTGCTTATATTCTCTTCTCTTCCATCCCCAGGCTCCCACCCTGCGGTTCTAGCCCGCTATTAACTTTCCTGCAAGAGAATCCAGCCCCCGCCCCCTGCTCAAAAGACAAGACCCCTCAGAAATGGAACCCAGGCGTCCTAGCTGGGGAGATCAGGAGGCGATTTCTACGGGCTGCTTGCTTTATTACCCTGTAACGCCCCCCCCCCGCGCCCTATAGGGTGGGATGGGGGGGATCGAGTGTTTGGGGGGCAAGTTCCAGCGAGGTGCCCCCCCCTGCCGCGCGATGCGCTGTGGGGCGAGGGGGGGGCGTCTCCATCCTTCCTGCCCGAGCCTCGGATCCCCTTTGCCATAAATGGTCACCGCAGCGGCAGCGGCGGCAGCAGCGGCGGCGCGGCAGTCGAGCGGGGCTGCGCTCCGGGAAGGCGCGTCACTGGGGCGGGGGCCGCCCAGCAGCCAGCCACCGGCCCCGGAGTCCGGGACCCAGCCCGCGCCCGCCCGGGATGGACGATCTGGGTAAGGAGAGCCGAGAGGGAGCTCCGTCCGCGCCCCCCCCCGACTGCCCCATCTCCCTCCTCCCTCCGCGCGCTCTTTCGCGCACTCCTTTTCTTTCCTCCTTCTTTCTTTCTCCTTTTCTTCCGCGCTCCCTCTTGTCTTTCTCTGTGACAGTTTTTCCTTCTTGCATGCAGTCTGGCAGCAGTTCTTGACCCAAACCGATCTCCTTGCTTCCCATGTTGTCTGCCTGCCTGTCGAATTGCCCCCCTCCTCTTTTTCTTCCTTCCTTTCTTCTTTTCGCTTACTACTCTCGTTGAGGCTTTGGGTGGTTTTTGTGCGCGCGATCCCCTCCTTCATTCATCTTGCCATATTTCCTTTCGACGCTCCTTCTGTCTGACTTTTTTGCTGTCCCCTTTTGTCCAACTCTCCCTCCTCCTGTCACTTCTTTTAATGCTCCTGCTACTGTGGGAAACACCCTTTGTGCCAGATGATGTACACCCCCCCACCCCACCCCACCCCCCGGCAAGGGATTCTTGTACAGTCTTTGTGCTGTGCTGTTTTTGCAATAACTTTCTTTCACTCTTTACAAAAAGAAAGAAATGAAATCCCCTGTTGGCTGTTCCTCGCATTCTGCGGGCCCTTTCACACATTACGTGAGAACAAACCCTGGTTTAACCTCTGAAATGACGGATTGCCCATTCTGGGCTCTCCTGATGGAAGAGTGTGTGTACTTGTGTCTGATACACGTGTCTGCAAGCACACAAATTCCTATTGCCGCCTGACGCCTGTGGCCTTCATTTAACATTTTCAAGTGTGCAAAAGTAATGTGTGAACTGGCACTTTATTCCTTGTGCCTGCTTTCACCCCCCCCCCCCATTTCTTTCTCTGACACCTCCTTGTCTTCCTCCTCCCTGGCTCCTTTCATCCCTTGCCACTCCTATTATCTCCCTCTTTTCCCTGAATGCCCCTCCCTGTCTCTCTCCCCATATCCTTGTAGCTGGCAGGGCGGGTGTCGAGGGTGGGGTGGGGGAAGAGGCTGCGTTTCCTCAGCCCTTCCCATCCGGAGAAGGAATGTATTTCTCAGCGTATTCCTGTGGCTTTGCGGAATAGCTGAACAGCGGCTCGACGCCAGGGGAGAACAAGGGTGCTTTGCAGTCCTCTCTTAACTTCTCCAGCACCCCGCTGACATTGCCTGCAGCTGCCTCAGCTAGGCAGGAAAATGGGGGGCCCCTCCTCTGCGCCCCAGCATTCCTGGGAGAAAAGAGTTGCAGCAGAGAACCCAGAAATCTGAGGTCCTCATCCACTTCCTTTATTTCAAACTAGATCAGAGACTAAGGCCACATCTGCATCACACATTTAAAGCAGGATTTTGACACTTAAAACAGTCATTGTTCCCTCCCATGAGGAATCCTGGAAAGTATAGTTTGTTTAGGGTGCTGGAGGTTGTTAGGAGAGCCCTTATTCCCTGCACAGAGTGGCAACTGTCAGAGGGGTGCAGCAATCAATCCTTTCCCCCCAGGGAACTCTGGGAATTGTAATGTGGGGGGAATAGAGGGGTTTCCTAGCTACTCTCTGCAGCCTTAACAAACTACAGTTCCCAGGAGACTCTGGAGAACGCCATGGCTGTTTAAAGTGGAACCATAATGCTTTAAATGTGTGGAGACAGGTGTGGATGTATCGGACAGGGGTTTCCAGACTGTCCACAACCACTTGAAAATAGTGGCAGACTGCTTAATGATATTTCTGTCTGTTGCTGCAAATTTAATGTGCTGTGCTAATTGCTGCATGGTTTCTAATTGCATTTTGAATTGCTTTTATTTCCCATTTTGTATTTTATTGTTCTACAACTTTAATCCCACAGAATACAATTCCACAGAATACAATCCCACAGAATCCCACAGAATACAACCCCACAGAATACCAAATACAATAGTACCATACAATATAAAAAGAAGCAATAAGAAAAATTAAAATCCAATATCAATATTCAGTGCACTGCACCCGCTGTTCCTGGCTGCTGCTCCTGCTGCTCTTGACAGACACGCAGTGGACCATCTGAGCAACATTAATGGATGACTGGTGGCCTGTGGACCACAGTTTGGGAACCTCTGGCCTAGGGCCCAAGAGCCAGGGCCCGCCCAAGATGCTTTGCTCCCTGGCACTGCCCCACGGCGTTCCACATAAAGTAGCTGACCAGACTGGTAGCTAAATCTTCCACTGGTATGTGGGGCAGCTCCCTCCACTTTTCCTGAGGCCTGCAGGGTAGCATAGGGAGCAGGCGGCTGGCCTTCCGTGCAAGACTCACACCTCTGCCTAACACTTTGCAGTTGCTTCCTGTTTACCAGAAACGTCCGCCTGAAGTTGCTGCCTCATTCTGCCTAATGGCAGGACTGGCTCTTCTCAGAAGTGCCCGCTGTGGGTTCCCCCTCTTGCCTCCAGTTTCCTCACAATGCTGGGAACAGAAACTCCCCACAGATATGTGGTGAACAGGCAAAGGAACACCTCTTCCTCTTAGCGCATTAAAACACACACCTCATGGAACCCAGGAGCTCTGGCTGCCACCAAGCCACCATCTTCTTTTATAATCCCTCTCCCAGTTGGTTTATTTTCAAGGGGCAAATTTGTGGAGCAATTCATCCTCCAATTGCCGCTCAGCCGCCAACGGATAGGAAAGCCAGGGTGAGAGAGCTCATCCCAGGGCAGTTTCGCTCTCTTGTGTGGGCTGAAGAAGATCATATAACACGGATTGGCCACACTTAAACTGTTGACTTTGGACTTATGTGCAAGGGAGTGTTGTACAAAGACTGCTCAAAGAAGCCATGGAGCCCTGTGTTTTTCAGGGAGCACTTGTGAGGAGAGTTATTTCCTAATCTCTATACCTCCCATTTCAAGGAGGTCATGTCCGGTTTTGGGTGCCGGTTTCCTGTTGCAGAGGCAGATCTGATTCAGGTGGGAAGTGGCCCACCAGGAAGTTCTCCTAAGGCAGCCCTGGAAGCTCTCCAGGCGGCCTTGGGCCTATGATAGTCTTTCAGGCCTGGCCTACCTCGCAGGATTGTCCTGCCATTTAAATGCTTGAAGCTTCTTGGAGGAAGGGTGGCTAAAACATGCAGGGAACAAAGAAACCGAAATAATCAGCAGCTGTGTGCATTAGTGGACAGACTCCTTGTTTGTGTGTGTTTAGATTTGTCAGCTTCAAGCACTGAAACGGCTTTCTTGTGGATTAATCAGTAGTGAGCGTTGAGAGGTGGCGGTCCTCTTTGATTCCATCTGCTGGCTCCGGGGTGAAGCATCCGTGCTCCGAGGGAGGTTATGGCTGTGTGTTGGCTCTTCCCCCTCTCCTCCCCGCCCTGCTCCCAGTCCCCATGTCTCTTATCCTCCCCTCTTGTATGTTACATTCCTGTGTCTCTCCCTCTGTGGTTTGCTTCTCAGCTTTAGACACATTTCTGCGCTGTGACATCAGCCAGAGAGGGGCGGGAGGCAAAGTTGAGAGAGTGAGAGGAAGAAAGGAAGGAAGGAAAGACGGGAGAGAGAGAGAGAGAGAGAGAGAGATTTCCCCCCTTCCCCTTATTCTATGCTCGCACACTCCAGCAAACAGCTGGAATAACAGTTAAAGATCCACTCTTTCTAATTATGCTCTCCAAATCCCTCTCCTTCTGACACCCCCTCCTCTTTTTGGCCTGAGATGACCTCTGGAAGAAGATGCACACTCAGGCTTGAGCAAGCTTACTGGGTGAATTTACTGGGGATTTGGTGAAGGGAGCAAGAGGGCTGTGTGTCAGGGGCAAGGGGTGGGAGGGGATGGGTGGTGATAATAATAATAATAATAATAATAATAATAATAATAATGCGACTGTCTCTGCATGGGGAAGGAACTGATTGCAGCCTCAGATCCACTAGACTAGACGATCCATAGCAGAATTGCTGGACCCTCTTGGGACATTTTTTGGCTTCAAAATGATCTGTGTGTTCTGCTCCAAATGTGCATTAAAATAGATGGTTAGGGATACAGAAAAAGGATGTTGAAAGATGGAGATCCAGGGCAGATCTGGGAAAAGACCCACTGGAGGGGGAATCAATTATTATGGAGGTTTATTTGACACCACAAAGGCCTGAGTTTTAAGAGGACTTCTGAATGGCTGTTCCAGAAGTGCTGGCTGTCCCTCCAATGGGAGAGTATGGCTTGGAAGGGATCCATTATAATTATAGCCTGTGTGGTCAAAAGAGCATGCCGGCTGGGAGGGATCAGGAATCCACAGGGTCAGATTAGAAGGGGATCCCTGGGAGCCAGTTGCTTGGGGCTTTGAAGCAAAGAATCTGGAGGGAAGATGTGTGTGTTGTGCGTCCAGGAATACATTTGGGTTGCACGTGTGAATTTAATTATGAAACCGGGGCATTTAATTAAATGGGAACGTTGCAATAATTAGGAATGTTAAAAGGAAAAAAGAAGATTTGGCCAGCAATAATACAGACTGTCCTGACTTGGTGGTTTTGTAATAACATTTGCTGCTTTGTTGTTGTCGGCCCAAGTGCTGCTAACATTTATTCTGTAGCATCTGCAGTGTGTGCTGGAGTCTAGGCTGGACCCAGGAGTGGTACAGTCCCTGCCTTAGATAGAGCCAATGTATTAAAGCAAATGGACTGGGCGAATGGGATGGAGGGGACTTCATGGAGGGGACCTCCACAGGCTTCAGACTACAACTGCCATCAGGTTGCGGGTGGCGAGGGGCACCTTGTCAATATCTTTATTATTCCAGGACTGCCGACTGGCGTTGGGCGCACTTGAGAACCATGTCGGCCTCTTGTTTATATAGACGCTGGCTCCTGGCATCTTGGGACAAGCTGGCTGAGACCAGGAGGATGAACAGACGTCTTGTCCCAGATGCACATCTGATCTGCCGCAGATGGTCTGTTGGGTTTAGGGAACTCAAAAAGGCCTCTGTGGTGGACATCTCACTCTGGGTGGGAAAATTGCAGGGAGGGGGTCTTTTGTACAAAAGAGTGATTGTGCGGGAAGGCCGAGCAACTTTGCCTGCAGTTGAAATGGAAAGTTTAAGTCTCTGCGGGCAAGAAGGCTTGATGGAAAGCAACAAACTTGTAAGCCCATGCAGGGAGAATTCAATGCTGAGGTCAAAATTTCCTGGGCTTGTCCCAAGAACGTGGTTTAAATTCTAAGGCTTTGACCCTGTGAGGAAGGCTCTGAGCATGTGCAAGAAAACTACATCCCTTTAGCTCTGAACAATACATCAACTTCAGCCTACCTCACAAGGTTGTTGTGATTCTTAATCTCAGGGTTGTGGGTTTGAGCCCCATGTTGGGTAAAAAAAATCCTGTATTTGGTGAGGGCCCTCATACTGCCCATCAGTCTCTCTCCCTGCAGATTAATAATAATAAATACAGTATAATCCAGGCATAGGCAAACTCGGCCTCCTGATGTTTTGGGACTACAACTCCCATCATCCCTAGCTAGCTGGACCAGTGGTCAGAGATGATGGGAGTTGTAGTCCCAAAACATCTGGAGGGCCGAGTTTGTCTATGCCTGGTATAATCCCTGGGTTCTTTAGTGGTTGTTGTCAGGGGGAACGGTTTGAACCAGGATGCTTTGAGTTCTTTCGGATGAATGAGGACTAGCGACTTTAGCCTTATAGGCACTGGCTATTTCAGAACCTTAGCTGGGTTCCTTTTCTTTATGTCAATCAGAACTAGAGGGCTGGAGAAAAGAAAATGACCAATCTGCTTTGTGTTGCTTCATGAGAAGGCCTCTCTGTGTGCTTTATTACACACACAAAAAGCACAAAAATAAATAATTGGATTTCAGAGCATAGGATGGTTCTGGGGGAAGTCAACCACATTTTAATCCCATTGAAATTAAAGGGTTTTGATTAAGTTCCACTAATTTTAGTGAGACTTAGGCTGCAATCTTAACCATGTTTACTCAGAAGTAAATCCCCGTGGATTCAGTGGGGCTTGCTCCCATGTAAGTGGCGTTAGAATTCCTCTGGATTCCGCCTAGGTTCTGAAGGCGCATGACGTGCCTACTTTGCTCAAGCAAAGCAGCTCTGGGTCTGATCAATGCCTGGATATGGGAGCTTGCCTGGCAGTTCTGCATAGGCCACTCTAAGCTTTGTGGAGTCAATGACTCATAAACAAACAGGCATTTCTTTCGGATCTGTCATCCAGCCCACTCCTCGTATCTTCTCTGAAGTTTGCTGGGATGTGACACTATCTGAGTGCGCAAATCCTGCTGATTTGTACCAGGGAGAATGCTAAATTTCCTGAGAAAGCACAGTATCCCTTCTGGTGAAGAATGCGATTGCAAGAGGGAAAGGGACAAAGTTCAGAGCACATGCTTCACCCAAAGATCCTCAACATCTCTAGTTAGGACTCCTTCTTAAAACCCTGGAGAGCTGCTGTCAGTAGGTGTCAATAGTACTGAGGTAGATGGACCAATGGCCTGACTCTGCGTAAGCTTCCTGTTGTGGGCATAGCCTTGGCTGGATCCTATTGATCTGCTGTTGGTTGGTTGCCATTCTCTTTTAATAAAATGCTTTAGGAGCTGCGCACGCCTCCTCTCTTGTGCAGGAGTGCACCTCGATATCTAGATTAAAAGGAAAAAAAACCAGGGCAAACAGTGTCAAGTCTATCCTCTTGCTGTAAGACTATCCTTCCCCATCAATATATGCAGAGAGGGCATTGGACTGTGGCAAGTATAGAACCAGTCAGGATGGGATTATAAGGGGATCATGTCCCTTAGGCCCAATCAGGGCCAATATATAAAAAGGACGCAATAGATGGTTGCTTAAATAATGTAAATTCAGGCTATGCTTCCTTTTCAGTATTAAACACAAGGAAAAGCCAGCTGCTGGCTTGCTTGCTTGTGTTTCTGAGACAGCAGGCCTGGCCGGGGGGTGGCCTTGCAGCTTATTTTGGGGTCTTGCAGGCTAACTTTAGCATTCTCCCTGCACATTTAGCTGCTGGATACTGGAAGAGGAGAAAATCAGAGACTTCTGTCTCTCCCCAGATTTTACTAAAAGAGGGTCATTCTAGGGGGAACTTTCCTTGGTGTGTTTGTGTGGAGGGAAGGTTCAGATTGCGTCGAAAGGACTGGTTGCAGTGCTTGGCATTATTACAATTCCAGAAGACACTTGTGGCTACCTGTGGCTACCGAGGCCTCTGAGCACCCATTGTGCGGAATCACAACTGGGGGGAGTTGCTATCAGGCCTTGCTTGCAAACTTCCCATTGACATCTGGCTGGCCACTGTGAGAACAAGATGGTTGGATAAATAGTATGGACAAGGGAGGAATTCAGTTCAGTTTGCAGTGAACCTACCTAATTCACACTTCCCAAAACTGTATACGAATCAAAACACAGCCATTCTTTGAAATTTGCACTGCTCCAAATTTTGCAATGGAGCTCTCCAGCCAAGTCATGGGTGCAAAACTCTATATATTTAGGAGGTGCTTCAAAATGAATATATGAGTGAAAATCATGTACAAAATATAAGGGGGGGGGGAATTGGCCTGCCAAAAATGTGTCTTTTTGGGCACAATTGCATTCGAAAACTAGGAGAAAATTGCACTAAATGCTGGTGAAATTTCGTGAGGATTAAAAACACCCCCCCCCCCGCAAACGGATGAAGAAATGTGCGGAACTAAACTTAAGAATGGAAAACTGAGAAACTGAAAGAAACTATAACTGTTATGTTTGCTCCTTCCTACTAAATGAGCCTTTGGGCAGATCTAGCAGGGCTCCTTTAAAGTCTTTTTATTGGGGTGGCGGGCGGCAGTGGCATTGCTCAGAATGAGGATTCTTGCCTTTTCTGCTTAGAGAGCTGGAATTGGTAGTGATCCTCCCCCCTCTGCCTCTTTCTCTCCCCTACTCTGTCCCTCATGTTTACATCAAAGCCTCCCCAGATCTCCCCATATTCCTAGAATGCCCCCTTCCTGACTTCCTGCCTGCCCTTCCCCGCTATTCCCCCCATTCTCAACCTGCTTCATCTCTTTCCGTACTAGATGCTCTCCTGGCTGATCTGGAGACGACAACCTCCCATATATCCAAACGCCCCGTCCTGCTTACCGACTCCGGAGGAGCCCACCCCAACGGGCTGAGCCAAGACGGGACCCCAGACCCCAAGCCAACTCCTCCACCGTACAACAACCCTCAGCAGCAGGTAAGCATTTGGGGAGGTTAAGGAGGGGGCAGAGGAGCTCTGTGGGGCAATAGACCTTAGCCCAGGGAGTGGCTCCCTCTCATTAGCATCAGTGCTTAACCATAACTTGTTTGAAGCGAGGCAAAAGGTATTATGGGAGGAAAGGAAACAAGCTGACTGGCATTGCCATTGAGTTATATATGTAGCTGCTGCTTTGGGAATACATTTGTACCTCGGAAGTTGAACGGAATCCGTTCCGGAAGTCCGTTCGACTTCTAAAACTTTCAGAAACCAAGGCGCAGCTTCCGATTGGAGTCCATGTTGGACGTTTGGGTTCCAAAGAATGTTCGCAAACTGGAACACTCACTTCTGGGTTTGCGGCATTCGGGAGCCAAAACATTCAGGTCGCAAGGCATTAGACTTCTGAGGTATGACTGTAAACACTCTTGTTTGTTTCTTTAAAGGAACAGAACATCTGTCCATAAAAATAATGATCATTTATTTGAATGCTGCCTTGCCATAGTAAATCCTGCTCAAGGCAGCTCATGACACAAAGAAAAATGATATGATTCACTAAAGCTCCAAAATATAACAAAATTTTAATGCTCAAAAAAAAGTTGATGAGAACATTTCACTGAGAAATATACAATAAAAGTAAGCATTAATTAATTAATCTTATCTAAATGAGCCCAGGGTGGCAAATGACCAATGATAAAAAAATTAAAGTTTCTTAAAACAACTCGGGTGCAGATGCAGTCTGGGGAAAATCTTAACTCAAAAGGCTTTGCTGAAAGAGGAAGGTCTTCAGTAGGCACCAAAGAGATATCAGAGATTGTGCTTGTCTGTTATTCATGGGGAGGGAATTCTAAAGGAAAGGTACTACAAAAAGGATTACTGAATTCTTACATCCTGAGGAACTGAACTCCTGATTAGGTGGTATCTGCAAGAGCGCAGTGGCTGATTGGGTGAGATGTTGATAGCGGGGGTGTCTGATTGCTGGCTGTGGTGGTGGCCTAGTGGTCACAACTACCCTACTGAAAAGCTTCTTTGGGGAGGAGCTGAGTTAGTGATGCTGTTAATTCCCAGCCAATCAGCACTGTGCACAGCCTCAAACACACAGCTCCAGTTTTCTCCCCCTGAGCTCCATCATTGTTTGTACTTCATGGTAAACTATAATTAATGGCTTTCCATGATCACACCTTTCTGGTCTGTTTGTCTTCTGGGCTCTTCCTGGGAGGAAACAAGCCATGATCTCTGGCTTAGCATTACCAGGGGTCAATGTTTATTTCTCTCCCAGCAAACCAGTCACACTTAATTCTTAGCTTACCGATATCTGTTTCAGATGTACTGCTAAGCCATGAATCGTGGTTTGCTTCTTCTGTGTACCATCATGGTAAACCATTAACTATGGTTTATTTACTGTGACATGAGAACTATGGTTTATTTACTGTGACGTGAGGGAACTCAAACATGGCTTTGCCACAGGAACGGGGAACCCTTTTCAGACTGAGGGCCACATTTCCTCCTGGGTCACATTCCAGGAGCTGCATGACAGGGACAAAAATGGACAGAGAAACAAATGCAAATTTTTACCTGTGTACAGTAGGCAAGTTTTACCAACGCTCCTGCACTTATCTGTTGAAAAAAGCAAGAGGCAAGATCAAAGTTCAAGGACACATTCCAGCCAGGCAAAACCACCCACGGAGGGTACACATTAGGGCTGGTCATGGGTGGGACCTGGGGAGAGGGGTGTGGCCAAAGAGGAGCCTGGATAGAGTCCCAAGGACCACACAGAGAGGCCAGGAAGGCCGCATTTCGTCCATAGGCCTGATACTCCTCGCTCCTGGTTTACCAGAATGTGTGACCTGGACTAGTATGTCTAAACAAAATGTGCACTTCTGCAGTGAGCTCACCAACCAAATGATGCACAGCTGTATGTATGACTTGAGGCAGGCAGTGGCGTAGCGTGGGTTGTCAGCACCTGGGGCAAGGCAAGTAATTTGCGCCCCCTAACCCGTGGATTTTAGCAGGGGGCAGAGAGCTGCGAGTGCGAGCGCACCCCCCCAGATGTTGTGCCCGGTGCGGCCGGCCCCCCCTGCACCCCCCACGCTACGCCACTGGAGGCAGGCTTAACTCCCCAAATACTTCCTTTGTCCCACTGATCAAGATTTTGCAAGTTTCAGGAACAGGATAAGAACCCAGATGAGCAGCGCTCCCTTTTCCTTGCTGCTTCCAACACTCTAGAAAGAAAGAAAACTGTCCATCTCTAGATGTTTTGTCTTTGCATGTGGATTATTCAGAGGCTTCATGTTCTTCTAGTTAGTCTGTGTCTGTCCAGCACATCAAGAGGCAAACTCTTTCCTCTGCTTTTACAACCTCCATCTCCACCTTTTAATCTCAGGCGGGGACCACAGCCATGCCGGTAGACCCATTCCCAGCATCAACCATGCAGGGCGGAAGTGACAAGGAACACCTGTACAGGTAAACAGTGGGTTGTTTTGTGGGGCCTCTGTGCATGCACACGAGAGAGGGCTTATGTCCCTAGCGTTACCTTGGCTGTGTTTAGGGGAACCATTTCTCCCATTTCCTCAGCCGTTTCCCCAAATAAGGTGAAGGCATGACTTTTAAATGCAAGGAAGGGAAACAGTCTGGTGAGGTGGTTATGAGAGGGGCAGGAGAACAAAGAGGTGTGGGACCAGGGAAATAAACTGTGAAAGGAAGGTGACTTTTTTTATTTAAGAAAAGATGGTGGAGGAAATCCTACGAACCACAGTGTCTGTGGCAGGGAAGTTTTGTAATGTTTGATGCCTTATTGTGTTTTAATTTGTTGGAAGCTGCCCGGAGTGGCAGTCAGATGGGCGGAACAGCAGCAGCAGCAGCAACAACAACAACAACAACAACAATAACAACAGCAACAGTGGTGCATTTTCCAGATGTTGTCGGACTACAACTCCCATCACCCCTGGCCATTGGCCTTGCTGGCTGAGGCTGATGGGAGCTGTAGTCCAAGGACCTGGCACCTTCATTACACATCTCTTTAGGCGCCAGGCGAAACCATTTATAACCAGGCCCAGTGCAACCAAACTGGTTACGCTCCCCTAAATGTGCCTCTGATCAGGGACTGGGACTCTCTCTCCCATTAACAATTGTACCAGGGAGAATTTAGGTGCAGAGAATCTCCTACCTCTGAATGTCGTTTTCTGGGAATCACAAGTGGGGAGAGCTGCGGTTGCATCTCAGGCGCTGTTTCCCAGAGGCATCTGGTTGGCCACTGCGAGAACAAGATCCTGGCCTAGATCCAGCAGGCCTCTTGCTTATAATCTTACATAGTGTGTGCCGTTCCTCCTATTGCTACAGCTCTTTGATGGGAGAAGTGGCGAGCATCAAAATCCCCCTTCCAATATCAGAAACACCTTTTTCTCTGGCCCTTAACCTGGCCCGATTTGGAGGACCACAAGCACCAGGGTGTGGGAAGCTGTGAGGAGCAAGAAATATGACGAGGAGTTTGGCCTCCTTGGGAGCTGTGCCCAGCTCCCCTGGCCTCGTTCCAGAGCATCCATTAAGCAGAGGGATCCTATAAATAGCTGCCACCCCTCTGCCTCCCTTTTACTGCTCCGTCCTTCCCCATCTTTCTCTGGAGCGGAGGGATGCTGCATCTTCCTCCTTGGGGTGTGTGTGTGTGTGTGTGTGTGTGTGTGTGTGTGAGTCCTGAGCTCTCCTTCCCCCGCCCCCCCCTCTAATGTATCCCATCTCTTTCTCTCTCATGCGGGTGCCTCTTCCAGCACGGTCTGCAAGCCTCGCTCGCCCAAGCCCAAGGAAGGGGCCCCTCCGCCCTTCTCCTCCTCCAGCGGCGTGCTCGGAGCGGGACTTTGTGAACTGGACCGGCTCCTGCAGGAACTCAACGCGACCCAGTTCAACATCACAGGTATGGCAAGTGGGGTATGAAATGGTGCTTGGGGGGTGGATTTCCAGAGAGAGAGAAGGAGAGAGAAGCGAAGACTCTAATGGAACAGTGAAAGGAATTATTTATCTGTTGTGTGTGCATGCATTTCTCACTCGCTGCCACAAGAAGATGCTAGTGTAGGTTTAAAAACACAAACCACAATGGGGAACGTAAGAAGCTGCCTTATTCTGAGTCGGAGGCATGGTGCATCAACTCAGCACCTCCTACACTGGCTGGCAGCAGCTGTCTAAAATTTCAGGCAAGTGGTATTCCTACCTGGAGGTGCTGGAGTTTGAACCTGGGGTTTTTTGATCGCAAGGCACTGAGCTCCTACAGCCCTTCCCCACTGACAGCTTAAAACAGAGCGTGTATAAGTTGTGGCATACCTCTGCTGGGAATGAGTAACAAGGAGCGACTGCTGCAGTCTGCGGTCTGTGAGTTTCTCAGGCTGGCCATGAATTGCTGGACCAGGAGGATTTCCACTTGTGTTCTTAAATATCCCTTGGAGCTGATTTATCCTGCCTGCCAGGGTCCCTTTCCAATCTCCAGTGTTTGAGAGCAGGCAATGGTTGCCCTTGCTCAGAGGCATTGCATTCTTTTCGTTTAGCAATGAGGTCACACACTCCAGGCTTTGGCACTGGCTCAGGTCCCGATGCTGAACCTGGATTTGTTGTGACTCAGATGAAGCCCTGAGGGTGACGTTCTCTGCTCCCCTTAGGCCTTGCATCTCGTCTCTCCTAATGGAGCTCTCTCCCTTCAACCCTGTCAGGACAATTGGACCAGCCCCCCTGTTTTCGACAAGCAGCCCACAGTTTGCTCTGGGTGTCCTGTGCTCTCAGCATTCTTTGTTGGGCTACAACTCCCATCGTTCCCTGACCGCTGGCTAAGCTGGCCTGGGATGATGGGATTTGTAGTCTGACAACATCTGGGGAACAAAGCTTGAAGGACGCTGTAGCTGAGTGATGTCTCTTGCATGCTAACTTTGGGAGCAGTGGGAGTTGGCCTCATGAGCTGTGGGGCCCCGTGGGGCTCTTGCTATTTCCGGCAACGGAGCACAACATTGCAGGTTCCACCTGTGCCATGTGCTTTGTTCCATTGTTCCTGCATGAGGCGGCCAGGTCCCAACCTGAGGCAGACCACATGGCACACATTTCTAGCCACTTTCTGCAACTCAGAATTTGCCGCCTGAGGCTGCTGCCTCACTCTGCCTCTTGGGAGGGCGAGCCCAGGCTGTGAGGTAAAACTGGACCCCTGCTGGATACAGCAGGAGATTGACAGATGGGGCAGGTCTGCAAAGGCTGCATCTTCTACCTTTTTAAAGACAGTGTAAGCGGAAACTCCTGGTGATAACTGGCTGGTTTTGTTATTATTATTAATCCACTCAGTTTATGAGTTGTTGTTGTTATTATTATTATTATTATTATTAATACCCCACCCATCTGGCTGGGTTTCCCAGCCACTCTGGGCGGCTCCCAACAGAATTAAAAGCACAATACAACATCAAACATTAAAAACTTTCCTAAACAGGACTGCCTTCAGATGTCTTCTAAAAGTCAGATAGTTGTTTATTTCCTTGACATCTGATGGGAAGTTGCTCCACAGAGTGGGTGCCACCACTGATAAGGCCCTCTGCCTGGTTACTTGTAATAAGCCCCTAAGCGACTTACAAAGCTTTGAAAACATAAAGCGTGATATCAAATCCAAAAGGCAAGAGGCAAAATACACTGCAATCAAGACAGTACAAAATCCTTTGAACAGAGGCAGTGAAACAGCAGCAGAATGCATTGCCTCACATTCAGATGGTGAAAGGCCTTTAGGCTCATCCAAGACATGCTAAGCGGTGTGAGGGGGGCACTCTGCAAATTCTCAGAGGCGCTGCCACCATGTTATGGAGTGGTTCCAGTCCTTTGTGGCTCTGAGCCCTGGCCCTGGACCAAAGTGCTGCTTGAGTGCTCTTCTTGCTGTTAGAAGTGCAGCAGTGCTGCCATCTGCTGGCAAGGATGTGAAATGGCAAGTGATAAAAAGATGTATTCTCATTCTCTCTCTCCTCATCCCAGATGAAATAATGTCTCAGTTCCCAACCAGCAAAAGCCCAGGCGGAGACAAGGGCAAAGACAGGCCGGAAGAATCTATAGACGGCAGCTCCATTTCCCGGTAAGCAGATGGTTGATGGGGTAGTATGGGCGATCAATGGCAAGCAAAGGCATTGCACCAAAAGAGCTGTGCTTTGGGTCTTGGCAAACAGATGTTTGTTGCAAAATCCCATTTTCATCCCAGTGATCTATGTAGGCACAACCTGTGGCTCTCCAGGTGTTGCTGGACTCCAACTCCCATCAGCTCCGACTCCCATGACCAGCTGGTAGGGAGGATGGGAATCGGAGTCCAGAATATATCAGGAGGCCCATAGTTTCCCCAGCCTTGCCATAGAGCAGAGGTGGGGAACTAGATCTGGTGGGGGGAGGGGGCAGATTATGAATTCCCACCATCCCACCTTGTGGGCCAACATTGACAGGTGGGCGGGGCCAGAATGGTGTCAGGTGACTGACAGCTGCCAAAGTTCCAAGGGGCTCAGCTGATCGTTGGTTACACAGAGGCCTTTCAGGTCCTCTTGCATTTTTCCTCTGCTGATGGTTACAGCAGGTTCCTTCGAAGGTAGACTTCTGGCCCCAGCAGGGATTCCTGTCAGCTGATCAGCACCAAGAGGGAGCCTTGCTTGCAAAGGAACAATTGGGGGCTCACTTTAAGCTCCCGGTTGGTTACTTTGCAACCACGTCCATACCTGATGCCACATTTGGTGCCAGGTCATGTGGGTGTGGTTTAAGGGGAGTGGCTTCATGGGCCTAATTAGGCCTCTGGACCACTGCTGTGCGGCTAGGATTGCCATATTTCAAAAAGTAAAAACCAGGATAGTTGCTGAGTTTTCCTAAACATTTTTATTCATTCAAATCCCAAAATTGCTGAGCTTTATTTTTTTATTTTTTACAAAAACTCAAATAAATCCCATGATTTTCGGTTTGCTTGTCCCCAGATGTCACTTCTGCCTTTGAAATCCTGGATGTATGGCAGCCCTAGTACAGTTTGCCTTCTTTCTTCTACCCCACAGACATTCCTAAGATCTTAACCAGGTTCAAATGCAAACACTTTGAGTTGCTTTCACAGCATCCCAGTGATGATGGGTTTGCTACTATATTCCCATATACAGACTACAGCTTCTGGGAGAGGTGGGACCTGTTGTTGCCAGCTCCCTCACCTGAGAGAGAGTCTGTATCTTTCAGAGTTTCGTGGAAGGGAGAATTTTCCTGTCCCAGTACTACTGGGTAAAGGAAGCCATGCTGGTGGATTGCCCATACTAAAGTACAGAAGCCATCAGTGTGTCTGTAGATGGCTGCCAAAGTGGGCTTTGAACTCGTGTCACTAAAATGAAGGATCTGTAAAATATCTCAGAATCAAACTGCAATTGAGAGAACTGGATCTTTGTTCATGCCCCTTGATGCTGCGTTCTTACTCTCAGGTCAACAGCTCATCCGCCTGCAAAGCCATCGGCTACATCTGCCACCTTGGAGCTGGACAAGCTGATGGCCTCCCTGTCAGATTTCCGGGTCCAGAGCAATGTGAGTGTGGGGCTCGGGTACCACTGGGACTGAAGAAGGGGTGGAGTGGGGTTACTTCCAGGGCTGTTCGTGATTTGGTGATAGGAACCTGCAAACACAGGGATTGTGTGCATAATTACAAACCTGAAAAGCCCAGATTTTTATTTTTTTTAAAAAAAGGCAAGTTTCTAGTCATTATGGCTGCAAAGTGAGGCAGCTAAACCTAGCAAAGTTGCCGAAGCTATTTATGCCATTTAAATGAAGTGACAATTGCCAGTCAAATATTCCACTTGCTATTTGCAAGCAGAAAAATTGAGGGGAGGGGGATTTCGCCAAATATTCTGCTGGAGGCACTTTGTAGCTAGTGCACATTATCCATAGTGGCTCCTGCCCTGTGGAACATCCTCCCACTAGATAAATAAACAACTATCTGACTTTTAGAAGACATCTGAAGGCAGCCCTGTTTAGGGAAGCTTTTAATATTTGATAAATTATTGTATTTTAATATTTTGCTGGAAGCCGCCCAGAGTGGCTGGGGAAAGCCAGCCAGATGGGCGGGAAAGAAAGAAAGAAAGAAAGAAAGAAAGAAAGATTATTCTTGGTTGATGAAGGGAGCAATGGGCAAAGGGAGGACTGGAAGGAGCAGGGGGCATTTCCTGCCATCAACGAAAATGAAGTAGATGCAGCAATAATAAAGCTAGACACACAGGTGTGCCAAAATTCATGGTTGCTGAAATGGAGGAGGCCATTTCACCCAAATATGCTTGATGGGAGGATGGAAATTCTCCATTGGTTCGGGGCGGGAAGAGAGGAAACATTCAAAGTTGTCTGGAAATGTCTTTTTTTTGAGAGAGAGATATCTCAGCTCTACCCATATCCATCTCTGACCTTCTAGCTCCCAGGAGCCTCCACCTCCACCACTGTGTCGCCCCCTCCAGCTCCTGCCCGAGTCTCCTCAGCGCAGCTGCCAGTGGTCTCATCCGTCTGCCCCAGCCCCGCTGCTGCGCCCCCACAGACCTCCCCAGCGCAGCCGAGTGGGAACCTGGACAGTATGCTTGTGATGCTGGAGTCAGATCTCAGCCGCCAAGGGATCTCCACCACTGCCAAGGGGCTGTGCGCATCCTGCCAGAAACCCATCGCAGGGCAGGTGAGTGCCGGCTGCTGGTGGAGAACGGGCTTCTCCTTGGAGGGGTCATCAGGTGGGGCAGATAGATGATTGCCAAAGGCCGAAGCAGGGGGAAGACCAGGCTGGAGAAAGATGGATTTGGGATTAGGGAGGGACTCCTCAACCAAGTCGTTTTTGTGCATGCTGTCGGCCATTTTCAAGGGCCACGGAATCTTGCCACAATTGTCGCTCCCAACTTCTTTGGAAGTTCTTGGCCACCGCTGGACGTAGCATGAGAAACAGAGGTGCGCCACCCTGTGTGGTACGCATGACGTGCTCCCTCTCAAAACTCGTGAGCCCCAGAATCATCTGTCGCTACCTGAACTCAGATGGATCTTTGCTTTCCCTGCCTCCTCTCCCCGCTCCCATTTGCCCAGGTGGTCACAGCACTGGGAAGTACCTGGCACCCTGAGCATTTTGTGTGCAGCCACTGCCAGAAGGAGATGGGGGGCAGCAACTTCTTTGAGAAGGATGGCGCCCCCTACTGCGAGAGGGACTACTTCCAGCTGTTTTCGCCCCGCTGTGGACTCTGCAATGAACCCATCCTGGACGTGAGTTGCCCTAACCCTCAGCTGGTCCCTACTTCCTTACAGATGGTTGTAGAATACTGTACAGCCCCGAGAGACTCTCAGTGCCTCACAAAAGATTTGCACAAAAAAAGCATATTAAAAGAAAATTATACAGGGAAATAACATCACAGTTAGAGGCAACCGAGCTTTGTGAGGCAGGAATCTTTTGTTTGATGTGGGGCTTGAACTCACAACCCTGAGATTAAGAGTCTCGTGCTCTACCGACTGAGCTATTATTTCAGGGCTGGTGCACATGGTACCTTCCGGGGGTTGTTGGACTCCAGCTCCCATCAGCCCCAGAAGGTGTAGCCAATGGTTAAGGATGATGGGAGTTGTAGTCCAACTACATTTTGATGCATTACATTGGCTACCCCTCATTAATTTCCTTCAGTTTCATGCTGCAAGACAGACCACCCTGAGGCATCATTTCTGTTTTATTCTTTTGTGGAGAGGGCTGCTGTTGCCTTCTTTGGTGATTCAGACCATTTCTCCTAGATCTCTGGTCATTACGTGCTGCAAAAAAAGTAATTGTGCCAAATGTTCTTAAAGTACACCACTCCCCGCCCCCCGGTCCTTTTGCACTTTTACAGTTGGAGTATATCAAGAGCAATCCTTTGAACCCTAGACCAAAACTCCCTTCCTCTCCCTTCCTGATGAAACCTAAAACGGCACTCCAGGCATGTCTGAATCCAGTGTAATCCAGAAAATGTTACTGAATATGACAACAGTATACAGGGCTTGCCTGCTTTTCTTGGCACGTTTGGATTTTTGAGCAAGTGCTGTGGGCGCCGGTCAAAAAATGGCTGCCATGACGGCAGCATGGCACAACACAAAATGGCTGCCACGTGTGAAAGAGTGGAAGAAGAGATAGGACCACACAGTGGTATGGACATGTGGGCATGTTCCAGTCCATACAGGAACTGAACAGGAGGTGCAAATGATCTCTTGCACATTGTCATTTTTTGGGAGGGGATATTTATGGAGACCGTTTGTGGGTGCCAGAGTGGCAAGGAGACACCAAAGGGGCCAAGCCTGGGAAACACAGGCCTGTTGTGTCTAGTTTGCTGCTTTGCTGCCAAGTTGCTGTTTCCTCATTGACGCGACCTCCTTTTCCCCCCTGCCCCGCATCCACCTGACTCGTGTAGAAAATGGTGACCGCATTGGATAAGAACTGGCACCCAGAGCACTTCTGCTGCGTCAAGTGTGGGCGGCCCTTTGGGGAGGAAGGTGAGTGTTGGCGGGGCCTTAGTGAGTGGCCCCTCAAATGACGGGCGGGGAAGAAAAACAACAAAACACACTCACACACACAGAGGCATGATTAGTCTTCCTTGTAAATAGGGGATAAAGAATTATAGGCCCGTTTGTATTTTACGTGTAAGCTTACTGTAGTTTATGAGACAACATGGCCCCATTTTTCTTGTGGGAAGCCTTCCCGGGGCCGGATGCCAATTGCCTACCCTCCGACAATTCTCCACTGAAAATAGAGGACTTCCTAAGGTAAAAGCAGGACATTCAGGGGTTCGGATCAGAAACCGGGAGGGCTTCTGTGATTCCAGGACTGTCCCATGAAAATAGGGATGCTTGGAGGGTCTGCAATAGTGAACATGGCAAAAGCGTGGACAGCCCACCCCAATCCTCCATCCGCGGAAACACGCGGCAATAGCTTAGTTCCAGGATCCCTTGTTGTTCCCCGCAGGCTTCCACGAGAAGGACGGGAAGCAGTACTGCCGCCAGGACTTCTACGAGCTCTTCTCCACCCGTTGCCAGGGGTGCAGCCAGGCCATCTTGGAGAACTACATCTCGGCCCTGAATGCCTTGTGGCACCCAGAATGCTTTGTTTGCAGGGTATGCATGTCCGGACAGGGGCCCTATGGCTGCCAGGGCTTCATGGGGGTGCGGGGAAGCCAATGAGGGAGGCAGCCAAGTGAGAAAGTGATGGGTTAATTAGGGCTCCACCCAAAGTCCCTCAGGGAACTTTTCCTGCAAAAATTGGTGGGTGGGTGTTGGGGATCAGCGAATGAAAATCTGGACATGGGCTGCGTTTACTCAATACGTTTAAAGCACTGTGATACACTTTAAACAGCTGTGGCTTCCCCCACAGAATTCTGGGAGCTGTAGTTTGTTGTTAGGAGGCCCCTATTCCCCTCACAGAGCTACGATTTCCAGAGATGTTTAAGAATCTATCCCTCTTCACTCTGGGGATTGTAACTCAGCTAGTGGTAGTGGGGAATAGGGGGCTGATGCTAAGGAAGCCTTGCTGATGTGAACAGCAGTTGGTTGGTGGAGGGAGGCAGCTGAGATATCTGGATTATTTTTTGGGGGGGGGGGATAACTTCCATTTCCCAATGCTAAATGTACTCAAGAATAAGGTAAAGGTAAAGGTACCCCTGCCCGTACGGGCCAGTCGTGACCGACTCTGGGGTTACGTGCTCATCTCGCTTAAGAGGCCGGGAGCCAGCGCTGTCCGAAGACACTTCCAGGTCACGTGGCCAGCGTGACGAAGCTGCTCTGGCGAGCCTGCACCAGCGCAGCACACGGAAACGCCGTTTACCTTCCCGCTATAAAGCGGTACCTATTTATCTACTTGCACTTAGGGGTGCTTTCGAACTGCTAGGTGGGCAGGAGCTGGGACCGAACAACGGGAGCTCACCCCGCCGCGGGGATTCGAACCGCCGACCATACGATCGGCAAGTCCTAGGCGCTGAGGTTTTACCCACAGCGCCACCCGCGTCCCTGTACTCAAGAGTAGCCCAGTTAAAATCAATGGACCTAAATTAGTATTGGCCATTAGTTTCAATGGGTCTACATTGAGTAGAATTAACATTGGATCCAAACCACAGTGTCCAGGACTTGGTGTGAGATGCGAGTGGCACTGACCGTAGTGCTATCACCTCAATTGAAAATTTCTGAGAAAATCCAGCATTATCCCATTGGATTTCAAAGGAGAAATTGATTTTTAAAACAATTAAGAGCAGTTAAGAGGGATAAATTTATCCAGGCCCACCCCCACCCCCAATTTGGAGGTTATTTAAAGCCACAATAACAGAAGCTCATCTAGAAAGTAGGAAAGGAAGCGATCAAGTCCAATAAGATATTGGCACGTGGTTTACAAGCAACAAAGCTTCTCCTCAACAGTGGAAGGTCTTGCCCAAGTGAGGAAACAAAAAGGAGCACAAATTCTGGCAAAGCAAACATAAGTTAACAAAAAGGGAAACTGAGGACCATGCTGAAAGTGTGAGCACCAAAAATAATAAAAAAAAATACACAAGATGTAGAAAACGATGTAGCTGGACCACTAAATAAGAGTTGTTCCCTACACAGGGGTGTGTGGCACCTTCAATGTGCATTTTTTGGCAAATGCTGAAGATGCACCTGTTTACCCTGGCCGTTGACTCCCAAGATGTGTATTTTTAGGCCCTGGCGTATTTTTGTAAGTTGTTTTAAACTATTTTTTTCACGTTGCATTTCAAATTGCTGAAACGCCTCTGCCTTTGTCCCTGCTGCAGGAGTGCTACACGCCATTTGTGAACGGGAGCTTCTTTGAGCACGCCGGCCGCCCGTTCTGTGAGATCCACTACCACAAGCAGCGCGGCTCGCTCTGTTCGGGCTGCGAGAAGCCCATCACCGGCCGCTGCATCACGGCCATGGCGCGCAAGTTCCACCCCGAGCATTTTGTCTGCGCCTTCTGCCTCAAGCAGCTCAACAAGGGCACCTTCAAGGAGCAGAACGACAAGCCCTACTGCCACCCTTGCTTCATCAAGCTCTTTGGGTGACCAGGAGGGCGCCACAGCCGCGCCATGCCCGCTACCAGCATGGGAAGGGGGAAGGCCCACCAATCCCAGCCTTTGACCGAGCCACGCCCACTGCCACGCATGGGAGAGGCCTGTGCCTTATGGGTTCCACCCCGGCGGAGCCACCACACGATTGCCAAAGCCACGCCTCTAGCCAAAGGCGAGAAGCTGGACTTGTCCGCTTCTCCCACTCTACTCAGGAGCCAATCCCATCGCAGCCACGAGCAGCCAATCCTTAGCCCTTACCCCCCCGTCACATGCTACTTTAAGCCACACCCACACAGCGCCAGCGCTTCAGACAGGAGGCAGTGCCTTAAGCCGCAACTCACACAAGACTAGCTGGCGATGTCATCCAGGTAGAAGGCGGGGCCATAAAGAAGCCACACCCCCTCTGCTCCCTGTGAAGTCTGTTCCCGCAATGCCGTCCGGTAGTGTGTCAGAAAGGAAGCACCTGAAACCCATCTCCCTACTCTCAAGCCATAAAAGCCATTCAGGTGGGAGGTGGGGAGAAAAACCCTTTACTTCCAGGTCCTTTGGTATCTTTTACCGCTTTTGCTTTCGGGTGCAAGGTGAGGGGCTGTTTCACTTCGGGGCTGCCCTAAAGCACTTACGATTGTGATCAAGTATGATCTAAAATGGTTCAACTACAAGAGGGGAGAGGCAGCAGTAACTCTATGGCCCATCCTTCAGTGGCAGAGATTTTGGGGCGAGTTTATGTAAAATCAGGTTTGACACCACCCCAAGGGTTATAGCTGTCAGTGGGATTTGGGAAGATGCCTCTCTCCCTTAGGGACCCAGAGTCCTAAGGAGGTTAGTGGTATGGCAAGAGTAAAGCCTCCCTCATGTAGCAGCTTTGGGTAGATGACCGGCTGGTGTTGAGGAAAGGAAGTGGCATCCCACCCCCCTCCCTTTGCATGTTGCAGTTTTTAAAAAGCCCTGGATTGCAAAACACTTTTGATTTGGGTTTTAAAGAATCAAGGAGGAAGGGAATGGGTGGGTGGGGGAATGTGCCTGAGCTTGCAGTTTTACTTTACCAGGGTCATTTAAAAAAAAAAAAAATCTTACGGTGTAAACCCAAATTGAGGCTTTTATTATAACAGAACTTGGGTCGGGAGTCCAAGGAGCATGTGGTTTTTCTTCTGCCGCCAACTTTTTACCCTCACACTGCTGTATATTATATAATAAAATTCACATATATTAAAAAAAGAAAAAGAATCTAGACAGTTGTCATGTGTGGTGGTTCAGCTAAAAAGTGGACTTACAAGGAAGTGTGGTAGATATTGGAAAACTTTGCACTCCAAAATAAACTCTTGTCCTTCTCCCCGTTAGCATGAAGATATTATCAGGATGTTTTTCTGTAGGACAGGCATTATCAGTCCATTTAGGTCCCTGGGCATCATCCCCTCTGGCCACTTCTCATTCCCCACCCCTGACAACACACAATTTGGTTTTCTGAGGGAACTGGGTAATGGCTGAATCCAGAAGAAATAACCTAAGCCTTGAGAAGCACAGTGCTGACAGATGAAGTAGGCAGAGAGTGGCATTCTTTCGACTTCCCCCTTCAGCTCTATACACTTTTCAAGGGATTCCTAACCGCCTTTACCACAAAAAGAGCAACAGGGCGAAGACCTGAAGGGCACCTTATTTTGGAGGGAAGATCTTCAGAGCTTCTACGCTGGTTGGTCCTCTTCTCACAGAAAGAGCACAGCTTCCTCTCTTTGTGGTTTGACGCCAAGGCGCCAAATCAGTCCTGAGGGAAGTTTTTGTCCCCATCACTTCTCCTTCCAAAGTTTCATATAACTCATCATCACCCACATGCCTCGCCCATAATTCAAATGAGCTGAATCCAAGCTAGTTGCACTTCTACTGAAATCAATGGGACAAGGTAGTCACGATTACTTTGCTCCCACTGATTTCAATAGGAACAAAGTGTGATGATCTTGGTCTGGACCTTAAGCCACCATCCAAAGCCTGCCCTTCGCTAAATGGTCTCAAATTCAAAAATAAAACACTTGTTTTCTTGATGGGCAAATCGAGGTACTCCCTCAAGCTCCTCCCCTCCATCAGCATGAGGAGGATCCCACAGATGGCAATATTACATCTCTTTGCCTTCTATGTTGGGGAAAAGAGAGCATCCTCTGGGAAATTTGATTGGTCCCAGGGGGCTCTGGTTGCTGATCCCCCCTCTAGGCCCTAGTGTGCTATACAACAAAACTTAGGGAAAGTTATTCAGTGCCCCATTAGTTTCATTATCCCCACTTCTAATACCCAGATACTGGTGTTAGAAATCAGGCATTTGAGTCAATTAAATGCATCTTGATCTTCTTTCCAATTAATTGTGGGGGCATCTCCTTTATCAATGCTTTTAATCAAATAAATGACTAAATATTGCAATCTTTGTTGGAAGGATTTTAAGGCCATAAGAGAAGACCATCATTGGCCATCTTTCTTTTCAGAGCTGACAGAACATTATGGAATAATGCCCAGTCTGTTTTTGGACCCTTTGGCCCACCACTCTTTCAAAATATCAGTCTTCCAAAGAGAAAACTAAATATCCCTGCAAGATGTAGCAGTGCGGATTTTCTTGAACGTTAGAGCAGCTCCTGGAAGGAACTTCCATTAAATCAAGCATTCAGCTCTTGCAGAACTTCATATTTCATCACTTGGAGAAAACAAACATTTGAAGATTGAACAGACCAAAACAGAATTGACAAATGCAAGGGGAAGCACAAAAATATAGTGTTTTGGAAAATGTTTGGATTACTTTTGCACATGTGCATTTCACATGAAAGCTAAACCATGGTTTAGTGCGGGGCAATGGCCCCTTTTAGCCTGAGGGCTGGACTAAGGCTGGGCCAACCCTCTGAGAGCCACAGAGACAGCCCCACTTGTTGAAAATAGGCCAGCTTCTTGTGGTTTGAAGTTGGCTTCTTTCAACAAGCCATAGTTAATCTTAACCATATTTTGTGTGACAACACAGCAAGCTTGGGGTGATTTAAACAGGGCCAAAAGTTCCCATGCTGCCCCTTATACCTGAGGAAGCAGTGCTATTGGCTTTGGGGTCCTTTCAAAGACATTTTTTTAAAAAAAATGTAAAAAGACAATTAAAAAAAAGTTTTATGGACACACACTGAATTGGCACATTGTGTTTCTTCCGTGAAATCCATGGATGGTGGGATATTCCTTTCACAAGGAGAAAAAAATATTTTGTAGCACCAAGTGGAATGCAGGAAAAAATAGCAGCTGTGGTAATTGTCAACCCTTAATAACAGTGCTATGCTAGAGAACTTTCTGTTCTTATACTCTCAAAATTCTACACAGAGAAAAAACAGAGGACAGGTTTTCTACTCCTTAAAAACAACAAAAAACCCTCAAGTGTGCATCTCTCAACGTTCCATACTTTGTGAGTCTGTCCACTGTTTTGCTGGTGCACATAGGAGCATCATCTGAAAGTAAAGAGTGAGGGGAGGATAATAGCCTGTTTGTGAAAGGAGCCCCCAGCTATGTGCCCATCTGTGGAAACCAATGAGGGGGACAGCCTCTGCTTTCCTCTGCTTCTGGCAGGCATCAATGCCTGTGCAACATTACCAGTCACCACTCCGATGTCCACCTTCATCTCATACCTATTTGCATGCCCAGCAACCAACGCACCTCACACTAAGCAACGGGGCGAAGGTTGCCATGCTCACTGGCACTGGAAGGCAAAGGGTCAAAAATGAATACTGAGATGAGCAAACAGACAGCAGAGCTATCCCATACACATCTCAAAAATAAAGGCAAGAATGGCCCATCCAGATGTTGATGGACTACAACTCCCATCATCCCTCACCACTGGCCACAGCTACCAGGGATGATGGAAAGAAGAGTCCAACAGCATCTGGACCTCCTATATAAAAGGCAAAGTTCTCAATGGCCAGTTGTGGACTACAGGATAGCCAGAGCAGACGCCTCTCCCCCGTGCAGCGCCTGATGCTCCTCCAGCTGCGCCTTCGAGCCGAAGCTCACCCCGCACTCGGCGCACGTGTTTGGCTTCTCTCCCGTGTGGGTCCTTTTGTGCTTCGTCAGGGTGGAGCTGTCGCAGAACCCCTTGTTGCAATAGGGGCATTTGTAGGGCCGCTCGCCCGTGTGGAGTCTCCGGTGAATGACCAGCTGCGACCACTGGCGGAAGGCGCGGCCGCAGTCGGGGCAGCCGAAAGGCTTCTCCCCGGTGTGAGTCCGGCGGTGGTTCAGGTAGACGGAGCTCAGCACAAAGGCCTTGCCGCACACGTCGCACTTGTAGGGCTTCTCCCCGGTGTGGCTCCGGCGGTGGATGATGAGGGAGGACGTGTCGGCGAAGCCCTTCCCGCACTCCTCGCATTTGTAAGGCCGCTCCCCGGTGTGGCTCCTCTGGTGCGTCACCAGGTGGGAGCTGAGGCTGAAGCTCTTGCCGCACTCCACACACCGGTGGGGCCTCTCCCCGGTGTGGATCCGGCGGTGTTTCCTCAGCGTTGAGTTCTCGATGAAGCTCTTCCCGCAGTCAGGGCACTTGTAGGGCCGCTCGCCCGTGTGGATGCGCTGGTGCTGGATGAGGTGTGAGCTCTGGCCGAAGCTCTTCTGGCACATGGGGCACTGGAAGGGCTTGTCTCGTGCGTGGTACCTCTGGTGGCGGATCAGGTTGGAGGCCTCGCTGAAGTGGACCCCGCACTGGGCGCAGCGGTACGGCTTCTCGCCCGTGTGAATCCTCTGGTGCTTCGTCAGGTTGGAGTAGAGGCTGAAGGTCTTGCCGCAGTCGGAGCAACTGTGGGCCACGCCGCTCGTGTCGATGGCCGTGGCCTCCCCGTTGCTGTCGATGAGGTAGGCCACCTCTGTCAGGTGAGTCCTTTGGTGCACCCGGAGCCGGGCGCTCTCGTTGAAACTCTTCCCGCACCGGGGGCACTTGTAGGGCTTGTCTCCCGTATGGATCCTCCGGTGCCTGAGCAGAATGGAGCTGCGGTTGAAGGTCTTCCCGCACTCGGGACATTTGAAAGGCTTCTCTCCTGTGTGGATTCTCTCGTGCTCGGCCAGGTTGTTGCTCCGGGTGAACCTTTTCCCGCACTGCGAGCATTTGTAGGGCTTCTCGCCCGTGTGGATCTTCTCGTGCTGGACCAGGTTGGATGTCTTGTTGAACCTCTTTCGGCAAACGGAGCACTTGTAAGGGGCTGGCTCGCCCGCAAGTCCCCCCATCCCAGGCCCACCGCCTGCTATGTGTCCTCTAGGAGCCTCAGGTAGATCCCTTGAACTCTGGGTAATCAGATCCTCTTCCTGCTCCATTCTAGGAGCCTGGAGGACATGAGATCCTGGACTGAGACTGGAAAAAAACCACAGAAATGGTGTTATGGATCGCACAAGCTCTGTCAAGAATCATTTGAGTCTTTTCTATTTCCTTGCCATTATGTTGAAAACCTGCTTAATATTTTAAAAATCTCTAAGTAGTGTACAACTTAAAAGCAGCAGAACAATATCTTTAAAACAAAATACAACATAAAACCAGCAAAATGGAATGTAAAAGCAAATTGAAGCATATGAAAACAGGAATTCCAACAGATAAAAATAGGCCCTAATCTTATTGGTCAGGAAAGGTCTTGGCGAAAATATATTCCTTTAGAAGATATTTGAAGCAACTGATGGTTGCTGCTTCATGTATAGCAGAGGGAAGGGACTTCCATAGAAGAGGGGCAACAATAGAAAATGCCTGGTTTGGGGTCACTGCCCTATGACATTCTGTAGTGTGGTACCATGAATAGAATTTCCTCAGATGATCTAATTCTAAATGATCTTACAGGAGCAAACAGTCCCCTTTAAAAGGTCAGGTTAACCTCCATCAATTGGGTTATCCCCTCCTCTTTATCTTCAAAACATGCTATTTAACTGTGTGAGGTCATTGGGGGATTTGCAGGTAACTCTGGGTTCTACTTATCTTTTTCATCAAAACCTAGGTGAGGTGTGTTGTTAAATCAGTGGCTTGACGTGGAAATGGATTGGACAAGGGCCAATAAACAAGGCTCAATCCAGACAAAATGTTGTTGGTACTGTTAATAGGTGGTTCCTCTGTGTTCAACCTGTTCTGGAGGAGGCTGCACTCTCCCTCAAGGGCCAGTTTTGTAGTTCAGAGGTACTTGTGGAGCAATCTTAGTCATTAGCTCAGAGTGCCTCTTCCCAGCCTAGGTTTGTACCCCAGCTATAGGTAAAGGTAAAGGACCCCTTGATAGTTAAGTCCAGTCAGAGGCAACTATGGGGTGTGGCACTCATCTCGCTTTCAGGCTGAGGGAGCTGGCGTTTGACCACAGACAGCTTTCTGGGTCATGTGGCCAGCATGACTAAACCGCTTCTGGTGCAACAGGACACCGTGACAGAAGCCAGAGTGCATGGAAATACCATTTAGCTTCCCACCACAGCGGTACCTATGTATCTACTTGCACTGGTATGCTTTCAAACTGCTAGGTTGGCAGGAGCTGGGACAGCTGTAACTCTACCAGGACAGAGAAAGCCTTGCTCTGGTGATCCATGCCCAGGTAATCTCCCATCTGGGTTATTACAACATGTCGTGAGGTGGAGGGGACTGCCTTTGAAAACTATCCAGAAACTCCGGCTGGTAAGGAACATGGCTGGTAGATTGCTCGCTGGGACTGAGTGTTAAAAACATCTTACACCATACATGTTATTTTGGCACCTGCATTGGCTCACAGTCTGTTTCTGGGCCAGATTCAAAATGCAGTTTTAAGGCCCTTCATAGCATGGGACGGGGGTACCTGAAGGGTCGCCGCTCCTAACGTACCTACCTGGACCCTGAGATCAAAGCTGGAGGATCTTCTTTAGGTGTCCCCACCAGCGAAGAGATGTCAAATGAATCGAAGGGTCTTTTCAGTGGTGGCACCCCAGCTGTGGAATGCCCTCCACAGAGAGGCTTCCTTGGCACCAACCTTAATTTCCTAGGGCTTTCAAATCTTGCTGTTTTCATTTTTGTCACACCCCTTTTTGTTTCTGAGCTTAATGCGGAATTTAAATTCTGCTTAATATTGTATTCTATTAATTTTCCTATTGTTGTCTTTTAACTTTTTTTGATTAACTCAGCTGCCCTGAGAACATTTTGATATAGAAGAGCCTACAAATGCTGAAAAACAAACAGGTAAGGTAGGTTTGGCCAAACCCAATGAGTTTAGGGGCCTAAAATGGAGTTTATTACCCATCTTTGTCAAATGCTTTCACCAGTAAACACCCCTGGTTTGCAATTTGGGAAGCTAATATTGTACTTCTTTCCACAATTTCTTTAATGCTATTTATACTTAGTAACTCATTTTCATTAGAAGATACCTTTATTTTAGATATGTTAGCAGCTACCATGAATTTCAAAGCACACACATATATAGAAAGCTAACCTATTTTGTTCAGAGGGATAAAATTCAGAATTCTTGGAATTTTGATTTATTATTATTATTATTATTATTAATAGTTTTTTATTGGACTTTCCAAAAAGAAAAACAAATACTGTTAAATAATACAATGTGTTCTGTGTGGGGAAGAAAGGGAAATGGGGCAGGTGGCTGGGGGTCCAGACCAAAACAATGCTCAGACATTCAAGAAAATTGGTATGTATATTGCAGTATTCATTTTAAGAAACACAAGCCAGAATTTGTCTAGCTAAATGCTGGAAGATGAAGTGACCCCCCCACCCCAATGAAAAGACTGGCCAGAGAAATTATGAGAAGCGGTAAAATGCATTAAAATGCCATACTCGAGAAGCCAGAAACCAACAAGAGATCAAGTTCTTAAAACGATGGGTCCTTTTTATAAGTCATTGGAATGAAAGGGTTGGCGATAACACACACACCCAACCCATTTTCAAATACCTTTCCTCTGCACTACATATACAATCTCTCTCTCTCTCTCGCCTTCCTTCCTTCCTTCCTTCCTTCCTTCCTTCCTTCTCCCCACCCCTTTTCCCCTCTCTATTTTTCTTTTCGTTAGTATCCTCTATCTTATATAATGTACCTTGGTTATTACAGTTATTACTATTGGTCCCCCCCTTGAAATCCTTTCTACTGCTTTCCTGTGTGTGTGTCTTTTGTATTTAATTAGCACCGTTTCTAATGGATGAGGTAGGGTGACTGATGAAATATGCTGTTTTCTTCCCATTTGCTTTCAACCTTTAATGTTTTTGGACACCCCTCCCCACCCCACAACAACAAAAAAGCAATGATGGGAGAGAGCACTAAGATGTCTGGACTACATGACAATACAAAAATGTTAGTCTGAGTTAATTTTATAAAAGTTAAATGTAACAATGAGAAAAGAAACACAATCAATATGAACATGGTAAAAATGGCTCTAGTGTAATTTCAACTCCTGAGCTTTTATTTTATTGTAAAATGCAATGTGTGTGTGTATGTGTTTTTGTGTGTATGCTTCACTCAATTTATTATAAAAAGGTTGATTCCCTCATGCGTGTTTTTTTATTATTTATTTGCATAGTGCCATCAGTGTGCATGGAACTTAACACAGTACGAGAAAACAGGTCCCTGCCCTGAGAAGGTTACAGTCTATAATTCAACACAGGGAAAGAACAAAGAGAGGGAAGGAATAAGCAATTGCTTCAAATCCATGTGTTTAGGCTGCATTATGTAAGGGCATGCAAAACAGAGGACTGGGCCAAAGGCATCACTGATAAAGTAGATTCTGAAGATGGATCCAAATGTTGACTTCTCCATATTTAATAAGGCCCTTATCTGCAAAATGGGAACAGCAGGGTCATATAATTCACACAACCAACATGATGGTCAGCCCACTACAGAAGTTAAAGCACATTATTAAAGAGGCTACCTTTACACTGCTTGCTATTTCTCATTCTCAGTCCCAGTCCCACCCTGTCCCAAGCTACAATATGAGGGGAATAATATTGACCTATATTACACGGTGGTTGTAAGGGTTACTGAGATCATTGTACACAAAGGGCTTTGAGCACTCAAGAACACTATATTATACCCTTCGTAGTTTTAAACACCTGTAGGAAGGAATCAGAATGTACAACAAAACTAGAGAGATATTGCAGCTGCTTATCCAGTACTGGAATAAAATGAGGCTGGAGGACAATAGCAGGCAGGCAGGCAGCAGCTGGCACTATTGTAAGAGAATATATAAATTTAATGAATAAAATAAGTCAATAAAATAAAATAGTACCAATAAAGCTGTAAGCAAATAAAATTAAGATCAAAGGTTCAATCCCTTGTAGTACCTTAAAGCTGCAATATTAACCTCACTTTTCTGGGAGTAACTCACCTTGAATTCAGGACTCAATTCTGACCAGACCTGCTTAGGATTGTGCTGTAAATAAATGAGGGTTTCTTTATAAATGTTTAGCGGACTTTGCCATTGCAACTACTGGGGAAGAATTACTATGTTGAATCCTGCAGTGAGATGTGCATTTTCTTCTTTTGGTCCTCCCTTCTGTTTATCTTTCTTTTTCGGCATGCAATGTATAATTAAATATCCGCAAGTAAAGCTACAATTCATTCCTAAGCATTATACTATAGAACACCCATTATATCTTCTCTCCCACCCACTGCATTCCACTGCCGTTTCCCTGCGCCGTTCATCTCCTTTCTGCCCGCCTCTCTCTCTCTCAGCTGGTTGGAGCGTGTTGCTGAGAACGCCAAGGTTGCAGGTTCGATCCCCGTATGCGCTAGCTGCATATTTCTGCATCGCAGAGGGGGCTGGACTAGATGATCGTCGGGCTCCCAACGCTATGATCACATATATATATAGCACACATCAGTCCTCTTTCTCTTTCTCCCTTCGCCCACGCCCGGCCAACTTACCGAACTCAGGGTATTTGTGCCCCTGACATCACCATCCCCGCCTTCCCCCTCCGGATGGCTCCTAGCACAAGCCGCCTCCCCAGGTGGCTTAAAGCATCCACCAGCAGGCAAAGCCCAGCTGGAGGGAGGAGCAGCCACGGAGGAAGGTGCACCCTTTATTAGAGCTCCCCTTCTCTTTTCCTGCAGCGATCTCCAACATCTTCAGGAACCACCAGCCTGGCTGGCAGAAAGCTGGGAATGCCGCGGTCGCTCTGTGGTTTTAACTCTTTGCTCTCCCGCTTTGCCGCTGCTGATGGTGGTTTTTTCTTAAGCATGATGTTTTGCAGCAAGTTAGCAGAATGCCCTCTTGTCGCTGGATCAAGCCAGAGCCCCATCTAATCCAGCACCCCTGTTCTCATGGGATGCCTTTGGGAAAGCCAGCGAGCTGGCAAGAGCGCTCCGCCGTCCCCGCCGTTGTGATTTCTAGTAGCTGGTATAAAAGATGTCAACAGGGCTCTTTGGAAATATTAATTGATTCCTTATTTCCTTTGACAATTTATATGCCGCTTAATTACAATCTGATGCAATGCAACGAAGAGTTAAAATTATAAAACCAGACTTCAGTTAAAATGCATGCTGGAATAAAAAAAGAATTCAGTAGGTGGGGCTGACTCATCACATCTGGAAGAGAGTTCCATAAAACTGGGCCCATAACATTGAATGCTTGCACCTGGTGGGTACAAGCTGTGCATCTGAGCCACGGGGGAACAACTCCCAGTGACTCCCCTGGAATGAGGGATCAGGTGGTCCCTGAGGGATCCTTCGCCAAAGCTGTCAAGAACCTTGTAAATTAATGCAAGGACCTTGAACACAATTAACTCACCAATCTCTGGTGATACTCTGGCTATTTTTCTTCTACCTTACAAGGTATAGTCACTTCCAATTAGGTGAGGGATGGAAGAGGGTTGCTCCAATTTTTCCCTTAAGGCAACAGGGCAACTTCTTTGGACATGTAAATTATGCTACTTAGCTGGCCAGCTAAAGCAATTATCTTACAAAGAAACTGGACACAGAATCACAAGCCTTTAAGGGTTTCATGGATAAATCAGACTTGACCCACAACAAACCTATAAAAATATATTGCTATTTAGGTCAAGAATAGCCAGCGTGATGTTCTTCTGATGTTTTTGGAAGACAACTCCTATTATCCTTGGCCTTTAGCCAAAATAGCTTGGACTGATGGGAGTTGTAGTCCAATAACATGAAGTGCAGCTCTACATATAAAGCTTCCTCAGGTCTGACCCCAATACATTTCCCTTATCTATCTATCTAAAAAGGAAACAAGCAGGATACCATATTTGTGATGACAGTGTCGTTTTAATTTTGAATTTCTTTCTTCCCGTCTGCTTCCAAGAGAAACACAAGGTCAGCTTGCAAATGCAGTGAGTTCACGTCATTGCACAAAAGTGGTATTGCAATGCTGGACTCAGCCATAAATAATCCCATATAGTCATTTCTGTCCTGCTATTATTTCTCTGTATCACCTCCCCACTGGTCACCAAAGTACAGGAAAGAGGAAGTTTAATTTTTCATATATCTGTATTTTTAAATAGCAAGGAAGTTTACCACAAGCGGATGAACGGCAGACTTCTCCCCCAGGGCTATATTTGGTCAGACTAATCAGCTTGTGTCTATTTCTTTTGCTGGGTGAGGAAAATAAAGTTTCTAGCTCTCACTGATGTGTCACTTCTGCCAATTTTAGATGATGTGTTCTTGGCAGATAGCCCTTAAAAATTTAAGTCCTGGAGGAATATGACAAATGCGTCAGTTATCCCTGTTTATTAGGGACAGTTCTTATCTCCTCCCTGTCTTGGGCAAATAACTGTCCCTGATTTGTGTGTTTATGCCTTTTGACAATGTCTTGTTAAAATTTTGTGAGCTTGAATTGCTAAAGTTATTATTTTTCAGGAGCCAGCTCCCTTTCTAAAGTCCTCTTACAAGTTAAATGGAGGTGTGATATATGTGATATACAGATAGGATTTTTAATTTTTTTTTAATAGCAATTCTACTGTGGTGGGGATAACTTTGCTGCCACTTCTGCAGTGACAGTGACGGCTGCAGCACACTCCTTGGAGTCTGGATCTACTGTCTCCTCGGCAGCCCCTCCCTAGACCGCCTCTACAGCAGCCTCCTGGTGAACCCTTATTCTAAACCTTGTTCCAGATGTAGCTCTTTAGTCCCCCCTTGTTCCTGAGGTAGATCTTCACTCCATTTTGTGGTTCACCTCAGGTGCCAAAATGTCTTGGCCCAGTCCTGCTGGTTGGGCTGCTAGAAGGCCACTGGGACATGACAATTGAGCCTTCCAGCTACCCTTTCCACCATGCATCTGTAGCCCTACTGATTCTGAAAGGTCTACCGGGATAGTGGGTCTGCCTTAACAGCTGACCAAGAGCTGTTATATTCTCTGCCTGGATTGCCTTTATGACAACGTTCAGGTTTATGTTTTTCCTTTCCAGATGACAATAATGTGCTAGCATTGGGGAAACATCAGGACACAAACTAAAGCAGAATAAATCCACCACTGATGCACTGTATTTGTCAGAAACCTTTGACAGAATATACCAATCTGGAGCAGCTCTTAAGGCATTCTGGGATACATGGTTTATTCACATATAGATTCGGCATAGATTCATGGCATGCTTAACATACCCTGACTGCCACCAGATTTTGGAGTGAGGGAGAAGGTTTGCACCCCAGTGATGTTTCAAGAGCTGCGTTTTACACTCTGACCTGCAGCCCGACTCTTGTCTAAACCTCTCCCTGATGTAGCTTCTCAATATGTTATCTTTGCTCACACAGACTCAGTCAGCACATTTCAGAGCTCAGAGGAGTGAGGGATAAAGCTTAGACCTCTTTCCAAAATGCTCTCCTCTTCCGAAAGAGCTAGAGGCAGCAACCTTAGTAATGTGGAAAAGTATTTTGCCACTTTGCCAGGCCACCAAAGTAATCCTGGTTCTCTTAGCACTCTCCTGTTCAAACCATCAAGTGTCACAAGGCTGAAAAAGACCCTAAGAGCACATCTAGCCCAGCCGCTAATCCCATTGCAATCACTTTATGGATATCCAGCCATGAAGTATGTTGCGCATTAAGTAGGAAAAGGACACCAAATTGCCTTTTTAAAGTGTGGCACATTTAATGGATAGATCCTAGGGAGCAAATGTTTCTCTCCTTTTCTTTAAAAGACAAAGAAAAGGGGGCACAGCAGTTAGATGTTCACGAGACAAGGAAGTGGGTTTTAAAGCAGCCAAACCACTGCGATGTGGCTTGTATCAGCCAGAATGTGCACTTATGGGCTGCAGCCACCTGACAACATCGTGAGCAAAGCCACAGCAGCGGGTCATGTGAGAGAGATGGAAAAGAGCTGTAGTATTGAGCAATGCTTTGAGAAGCAAAAAATATTTTTATGTAGCTGATGGGAACTTTGCAGGGGCAACTATTTTATCATGCTCAGTCCTCCTCATTCTGTTGCTGCAAGGGTCTAATGCAGGCATCCTGCTTTCATTTCAAGGAAATTACATTTCCCCAGTATATTTTGCTGGGAGGACCATGTTCCTACAACCATAGGAGCTGACTACTAGGGGCCGAGTCCCTTCAGCCCCCCAATAAAATATTTAATGGGGCTGCCCACCCCCAAGTTGGTGGCCATTGCCATTCAAATGGTTGTGTGTGCTGCGTCTTGTGATTGATTATGCAGAGCAGGGCTTCAAACCCCCCCTCAATATTTTATTCAAGTGCACAGGGGCCAACAAAGGCATTGTGACACAAAGACAGGGCATTGCTACGTAGGGTGCATGTGCGACGTCCCAACGTACGACGCATACGCCATACATAGCAATGCCGCACATGCGCTGTACATAGCGGTTTGCTTCAGCGCCGTACGGACGGTGCCAGGATCCTCTGCTCACGGCTGCAGCCGCAAACGGAGGACCCTCCACATGTGACTGCGGTGGCGCAATGGCTGCTCGCGCTGCCACGGCGGGGCGAGCCCCCGTGTGGTGCCTTCTTGTCACCCCCCCAGACATGGCACTGGGGGCACACCTCCCCCCGCCGCCCCCATTGCGACGACACTGCAAGTGCAACTGCTTTGGTTAGTTATACCTACAGTGGTACCTCGGGTTAAGTACTTAATTCGTTCTGGAGGTCTGTTCTTAACCTGAAACTGTTCTTAACCTGAGGTACCGCTTTAGCTAATGGGGCCTACCGCTGCTGCCGCCGATTTCTGTTCTCATCCTGAGGTAAAGTTCTTAACCCGAGGTAATATTTCTGGGTTAGCGGAGTCTGTAACCTGAAGTGTATGTAACCTGAAGCGTATGTAACCTGAGCTACCACTGTATTGGCTTTTGCCTATGGTATTTTTAAAGGTGAATAAAAAATCAGGTGACTAGCAGTCAGAAAGCCTTCAGTGTTTCCTGCCACCTGGTGAAATGTGTAGTTCTGTTTCTCAGTTGTGAATTCCCCTTCTCTAGTGTTGGCGTGTGCATATTTCCCAGTGGTTTTTTTGGTCACATCAGGTGTGAACAGTCCATGTGAACAGCAAGGCCAACCAACCTTGTAAAGCTTGTAGTGCTAAAATTTATAAGATCACTGTTTCTGCAGCTTTACTTAACCTTCATTAGAGCTAAGGTGGCTGTGATCTGGAAAAGATAGAAAGTTTTGAATCAGCTGCTGTACCCTTGGCCCAGAAGCAGTATCTTGACTTGGGATGATTGATCTCTGGTTTTTTTTTTTGTTTTTTTTTTTGCAAGAATCAAGATTTAGGATTTTGCAAACCTTAGCAACAAATTGAGAAGAGGAACATAATCCTTCTGCTTTCTGTTCGTTCCTTTGATACTTTTGTGGGGAACCAGAATAGAAAGGGCAGCTGGAATCCAAGGACTGATTTGGGCCACTTAGACATACAAAAGTATCTGTTGCATCATTTCCTTATGTATATTGTTCCTTTCTTTCAATGAGTAAAAGGCATCATATGTGGTTCTTCTCTGTTCCCCCAATTTTATCTACACAACAACCCTATGAGGTGGGTGAGGCTGACAGGTAAAGCACTTTCTTCAAAGCGGATGGCAAGTTAAAGTGAACTTTCGGGAACCAATAACAATAGAGCTTTTCATCTTCTTTCGTATAACACTTAGGTTGGAAATGTAGCAAACACACAAAAAAACTCACTACTGAAAGCAGGGTGAGGATTCAGTAGTTTCTGGCACATTGTTAATACAAACTACCCCCCCTTTTTTACTGTAGTATTAATTTCACAAAATGCAAATGATATTGTGTGACTGCCATGATAATTTAGTAAGAATATTTTAAAGACGTATACAGTCAAACTGGCCTAAGCTTGGTGTGGAGTACACAGGTACTGATCGCTCTCTTTAGCGACTAGAGGAAAGTGGCAAGCCTATGTAGAGTGATCTAAGCATAATGTCACCCAATCTGAGGGAAGGGAGATAATAGCTGATCTGCCAGTGACTCTTATGAATGAGCACACATTAGGAAATATTCTGGGGGGTTGGGTGTAGTGATGGAGGGATCAAGATGAGTGCCCCCACTTCATCACACAGCAGCTCCCATTTGAAAGAGAAACTGCTATAAAGAACAAGACTAAAAGTTAACATGAATAATGAAAACCTCAGAGGAGCTCCTGAAATATTTGCCTGATTTAATAAACTAATCACTTTGAAGGTAAACCCCACTAGGAACTGTGGTGGAATCTCCACACATATAAAAACCGTTCTGAAAATGCTTTTTTAAAAAGCGTTTTAAAAAATACATTGAATTTTCCATAAGGCTCACCGGAGTCATCTAATTTCACATTGTATATTGCACTTAAAACACACTTTGTGCATTGTATATTGCACTTAAAACACACTTAAAACATGTGGGTTTTTTTTGCAGCTGTATAGCTGAGTCCTGTATCTGTGTGTGTGTGGTTCTTTCTGCACTATACAGTGGTACCTTGGGTTACAGATGCTTCAGGTTACAGACTCCGCTAACCCAGAAATAGTACCTCAGGTAAAGAACTTTGCTTCAGGATGAGAACAGAAATCATGCGGCGGCAGCGGGAGGCCCCATTAGCTAAAGTGGTACCTCAGGTTAAGAACAGTTTCAGGTTAAGAACGGACCTCTTGAACGAATTAAGTTCTTAACCCGAGGTACCACTGTACATTCAAAGCAGCATTATACCGCTTTAAACAGTCATGGCTTCCCCCAGAGAATAATGGGAAATGAAGTTTGTTAGTGTTGCTGAGTTATAAGAAGACACATATCCCCTGCACAGAGCTAAAATTCCCAGGAATTGTAGGGTTCTTTGAGGGAAGCCAAAACTGTTTTAAGTGGTATGACACTGCTTTAAATGTATAGTGCATATGGGGCCTGTGGTTATGTTTATGTGTGCATGTTTATGTATGCTGCAATGCCTACTCAGAGCTAAGTCTCATTGAGTTCAATGGGGCTTACTTCCAGATAAGAGAGGTTAGGATTGCTGCTTTAGGATTAGTTGCAATCATTTCCATATTATGCCTGTAGGCTTTTATGTGTGATTGTAGGATTTCAGTTTGTGTGTTTCTGGGGGCAGGGAATGGGTGTCTAGAGTCTCCGCTGATAGCCCCTCTCCATGTTCTTTGAAAAATTCAAAACCCATTCATTTATTTCATAAAAATTTACATACCACTTGATTGGGGGAAAAAACGACCCCTCAAATCAGTTTATAAAAAGCTGAAATGATAAAATCAGCAAAATTTACAAAACTTTAAAACATACTGTTATGAGTTTGTGGGGGACCAGATCCCCTTAAATACTTGGGTCAAATAAAAGTTTGAATTAATTAATGTTTGGAAGGTTAAACTGAAATTTGACCTTAAGTAGCTGGCCTCAGCTTTCCCTGTCCAGGGAACCACCTGGGAGAGAGGAACCATCAAGGGGAACCAAGCTAATAATGGCCAAGTCATGAACCTAACAAAAGAGAGAAAGAGAAGCCACCAGCAAGTCTAAGACCATGTACCGTATTTTTCGCTCCATTGGACACACTCCATAGGAGGGGGAGAACAGGGAATTTTTTTTTTCTTGTTCTCCCCCTCTAAAACAAGGTGCGTTCAAGGTACATTCACCAGAGCTTGTGGGGCTGGCGGTGGGGGAAAGCGCTGCTTCCCCCCCCCCCAGCCTCAAAGATCCCTGAAGCCTTTGGAGCGCAGCGCCCCGCTGCCCTGCAGAGGTTTGCGCGCAGCCATCCCCAAGCTAGAGCAGTGAGACGGAGCCCTCCGCCTCGGTGTTCTGGCTTGGGAACAGCCTTGCTAGCTTCTGCAGGACAGTGGGGTGAAGGCACCCCTCTGCCCTGCAGAGGTTTGCGCGCAGCAGTCCCCAAGCTAGAGCAGCGAAACGGAGCCCTCCGCAGTGCTCTGTCTTCCTGTTCTGGCTTTGGGCTTAGCGGCGCAGCCTGCATTCGCTCTATAGGACGCACACACATTTCCCCTTAATTTTTGGAGGGGAAAATGTGCATCCTATAGAACGAAAAATACGGTAGTTAACGCCATATATTTGGCATTTCTTTCCATGTTGCTGTTATCCCTATATGTTGGTGTGTGCAGTAGGTGGATACAGTGGAACTGAAAATGAATAAAAATATTAATGGGGGGAAATAAATGTGGTTTTTAAATGTGGGCAGTTTAAGATAGATAGCAGACCTTTTAAAAAATAAATTGCTTATCAACTGCCCACCTCCTATGCTTTTCAGCAGCAATCTGTGACCCACAGAAATTTACTAGGTGAACCTTTGCTGATAAGGAGCTATCATGGTTATTTGCAACTCACACCGTCAGAAATGTTGTGTTGCCAAAACTTTAATTTTGCTTCCAGGAAATACTGGCGACAGTTCCACAGCCTTGATAAAAACCAGCAGGCTTCAACACTGGACAGCTTTATAGGAAACAATCAAAGGCATCATTCTCTGTGGACCATACTCTCAGAGAGGAAGGATTAAGTGTGATTTAAAACAATATAGCAGGTCTGGGGAACCTTTGGTCCTCTAGCTGTTGCTGAACCACAACCACCATCAGCCCCAGCTTGCATGGCCAATAACCAGGGATGATGGGAGTTGCTGTTGAGCAACATCTGGAAGGCCATAGGTTTCCCAGACCTGCTACTTAGTGATGCAACTCAACTATGGTTTGTTTGATTGACGTGAACCATTATATGAAATGGCTGACCTGGGAAGAAATGTACGCAGGAAGTCACTTATATTGGTAGAAGCCAATGGAGAATAAAGCCAGGTTGCTGGGACAGCACTTTGCCCTTCACAGAGGTACAATTCCCAGAGTTCCCTGGGAAGAGGGATTGACTGTTAAACCATTCTGGGAATTGCAGCTGTACAAGAGCAACAGAGGCCTGTGAGGTTCTGGTATGTAATATTGTATGAAACAGTAGTGTAACTGAGGTAAATGTTAAGGGAAACCTGTTGGAAGAATTAAGGTGAAGTAAGGGGGGGGGGGGAGAGTGAGTTTGGAATGTTGGTGGTGCATGCTGATTGGATGGGAGTTTTGAAAAGGAATTTGAATGCTGGCAGTTGAGAGTCAGTTGAGAGTTCAGTTAAGAGCAGAATGAGGGTGGGAGGAAAGTTGGCAGTGGGTGTGAAGCAGGGCTGGTTAGTTAGTAGTAGAGGAACCAGCCATGGCCCACCCCTGAGGTGGGGTGAAGCAATGCCAGAGGCGGCAGGCAGGCTGTGTGGCACGGCGGCAGGGCAGGGCGGCACTTCCCATTTCGCCTCAAGTGGCAAAATGGGATGCGCCTGCCCTTACAGGAACAGTAATATAGAAGGCCAGTGTTGCATACGAAACAAAGCAACAGAAAAGAGAAAGAGGAATTGAAACCCTATGCTTATGTACATCAAGTGATTATATAAGCATTGTTTATCATTTATGTTTAAGAAATTAATTGCATGACACTACCTACTTCTCATTTGGCTAGGCTAGAGGTGGAGTATTCAGATATATGTTATCCGTGGTGGCAGCAGGAATAAAGCTGTTAATGTAGAATGCTGCTTTACTACTTTAAATGTGTGAGGCAAATGTGGCCTAAGGACAGGTCAGTGTTCCATTCTGGGTAGGGGGTCGTGGGCTGAGCAGTTCCAGCCCCAGTGGTGTGTGGGTGTGGGTGTGAAAAAGATAATGAGTATACCAAATAATATCCTGGAAGTCCAATTTCAGTCTAGAAAGTAAGACTGGGCCAACTGGGAGTCAGGCTCCAGGAGTGCAAAGTCAATAAGCAGAGAGGTCCAGTGGAACAAAGTCAGGCTGAGCTCCAATGAGACTATTCAGTGAGTCAGAGTGCAGAGTTCACAGAAAATTCAGGGAAAGAATACATCAAATTTAGAGAAGGCAAAAGAAGCAAAGAAGGTAACATCCTGGACAGCTCAGAATGTAAGTGAAGCCTATGTTTAAAAGAACCCAGCCAGTTTCAGGAGCTATTGACTCCAGTGGCATTGGGGGTGAAAGGGGTGCCTACTGGAGGGCCCAAGTAAGCCCCCCCCAGTCAATTACATGACGCAGTGCATGTGACTATTTGAATGGCAATGCCCACCAACTGGGGGGGGGGCAGCCCTCTCAAGTATTTTATTGCGGGGGGAAGGGACCTTGTCTTCTAGAATTTGGCTCCCATGGCCGGGGCGGGGGTTCTGTACTTTTGCTGAGGGCTTTGAGTCAGTGAGACCTTAGCCACATCCACACCTTAAAACCTATTCAGTGCACAATTAAAGCAAATAGCTTTCCCCAAAGGCTTCTGGGAACTGTAGTTTACTCACCACAGAAGTACAACTCCCACCACCTTTCACAAACAACAGTTTTCAGGGTTCTTTAGCAAAAAAAGCCATGAGCTTTAAAAGTATGGCGTGGATGTGGCCCCCTGAGCTGAAGATGCACTGACAACACAGATTCTACTAGTGCTGGAGATTCGAAGAAGGTTTTTGAAGGCAACTCCTCTTCCCAGTCCCCTCTTGCACATGCACATGCCTCCAACTTCTCCTCTTGACCTTTCTCTTACACAGCCACTTGTCCAGATGCTGGCTGCTTGCAGAGGCACACATCTCCAACTTCTCCTCTTGACCTTTTTCTTCATATGGAGTGAAGAAATCTATCAGCAGCAACTCTCACCTCTCACCTCAAGCCTGTAGTTCAGCCTTCTCTGAGGCACTTTTTTCCTCCTCAAGCTCTCCCATGTCTCCCCCACTGGCTGGCTTCTGAACAATCAAAGGCTCTTTCTACTGCACTGCTGACTGCAATTCTTTACAAGTTCTCCAGCTGCCCATCTGCTCATGCAGTGTTCCCTGGAAAGAGGGGTTGATTGTTAAACCACTCTTTGGGGGGGGGGCAAGGGTCTCCTAACAATTCTCAGCACCCTTAAAAAGTTACTGTTCCCAGGATTCCTTGGGGAAAGATATAAAGTGTTCAAAGTGGTATGCTATCTAGGGCTTGCTGATCAGAAGGTTGGTGGTTTGAATCCCCACGACGGGGTGAGCTCCCGTTGCTCAGTCCCTGCACCTGCCAACCTAGCAGTTTGAAAGTATGCAGTGCAAGTAGATAAATAGGTACCGCTCCGGCGAAAAGGTAAACAGCATTTCCGTGCGCTGCTCTGGTTTGCCAGAAGCGGCTTAGTCATGCTAGCTACATGACCCGGAAGCTGTACACCGGCACCCTCAGCCAGAAAAGTGAGATGAGCTCCACAACCCCAGAGTTGTCCACGACTGGACCTAACGGTCAGGGGTCCCTTTACCTTTACCTTACTGCTTTAAATGTACAGTGCAAATGGGGCTTATTATGTTTAAACTGAGATGGATGTCATTATATTTTTAATGTGAGCTTTTGATGTTTTCTTTTTCTTTTGTTGTTAAACTTCTTGTATAAAACAAAACAACTAGTTGCATGTGTGAGAGAGAATTCAACAAGCAGGTCCAATTTTTCTCATCCCAGCGTAAGCTGCCGGTGGTTTTAAAAAGCCTCCTTTTATTAACACGGCAGTTCAGGGCCCTCTCTTCTTTGGCCTCTGATCTTGCTGGCTTTCCAGTTCGCTCATTTTCCCACCCCCTTCCAGTAGCCACACTTTCTGACTCACACAATCTGTTCTAGTCCGCCCCCCTCCCCTTGAGGGCTGGGCTTTCTTCTCAGACTCTGTATCAGATAAAGTTACACTTCTGTACTTTATATATTCAGCTGTTTAGTTGCCAGTTACCTTCAAAGCAGCTCCATCGCCTGCTGGGCTCCCTGCTTTTCTACTCTTTTCTCCACTGGTCATTTCATCCCAGTCTAAATAATACTAGGCATGGATCTCCCAGCACTTCTTTTTTACCTGGGCACAGGTAAGTGATAACAGCAAGGGAGTCTGAGGGTGTGAACTCGGGTGGGTGGGTGCTCATCCAAATCTTTTAAAAAGCAACCTGCTCGGTCCAAATTGAGATCAGAAAAAAACAAAGTGTATCTATTTCTTGTGAAACCTACTTGCAAAACAATAACCCTGTATGGTAGTCAAAGTTATTGTCTCTTTGCATTCTACGGAAGCAGCATTAAAAAAAAGAAGCAGCTTCCTGCTACTTCTTTTCACCTGCTTGAAACGGCTTCATTGTTTGAAATAAATTTGCTCTAGCCTCACTTGCTCCACAAACACACAATTCACGCAATGACCGTGCTGCGGAGTAGGGGCAACTCTGACCTTAACTCTGTCCTTTGTGTGTTCTCTCCATCCAAGAGAGAAGCTATGTACAATCAAATGAATAGAATGTGAGAAAAACTGGGCAATTTTGATGAGAACTGGAAAGTTTTTTTAAACAAAAAACAAAAATTGGCCCTGTTTGTAGCAACCTTTTGAGATTCCTGTAGGAATGTAAATTTGAATTACTGTAAATAATTTCCTTCAGCATGCATTCCCCAGACCAATTGCTTTCAGCTCCATGAGGACTTGCCTTTGCCTTTAGTATTTCATTACATGCGCCAGGGATAACCAATGTGGTGCCCTCCATATGTTGTTGGGCTCCAACTCCCATCAGTCCCAGGTAGCATCATCCCATGGATGATGGGAGTTGTTGTCCAGCAAAATCTGGAGGGCCAACCATGCTGTTAACTGCCCTGCCTTAACACATTGTCTTCAGACTAGATTGAAGTCTGGATCTGAGCCTTGACTCAATTCCAATGCTGAGCAACAATAGTAATTGTTCTGGGTTAATTAACCTGGAGGGGTTGCTTCAGTTGCCTCAGACTTTTCCATAAGGACTTTATTATTTGTCTCATGACTGTTGCACCACAGCATACTATAACCAACTATTGGTATTCCTTGGATACAGATTTGAGGCTTGGCTGGAAAAACTTTGGGACTTGATTTTCATGGGCAAATTGACAAATGTTCGTTTGTTACAGATGCCTTTTATCCAACTTGATTTATCTTTATTTCTTACGTATTTCAAAATAAGCATGAAAGAGGCCTACAGCATCTCATGGAGATCTATAGAAATAAAGCTTCAACTAGTATGTGTAATGATGAACTATCTAAACACCTTACAGTAGTAACTTTGATGTACTCTCTTGTGGGGTATGGGTCCCCACTTTTCTTGTTGTATCTGGAAAAGACAAATTTTTTTTTAAAAAAAATCAACCTGGAATGGTGTGTGTGTGTGTGTGTGTGTGTGTGTGTGTGTGTGTGTAAGTGGTGTACTGAGAATCCCTTTAACTCTTGCAGTGCTGGTGTCGTGGTGTTGTGGATTTAGCGTGGATGTGGCTACACCAACCATCTTTCAGATAAGAACTCAGAGCTTTGGGAGCAGCGTGGCACAGACCAGGAATGAGTAAGAGGAAGCTGATTTGGTGATTTGGTGTCAGGGAAAACAGGGGAGGAGGGCTTGGAAGGAAGATGAAAAAATGGCAAATGGCACTGGGGAACAAAAACAGCAAGGCCCTTAATTGGCAACACTTTTTGTATGCATTGTGATATTTTCAGTGGCCTGACCTGACCCCTAACTTCCTAGGCTTTCCTACCTTACTTGCATCCTATATTTCTTCAGCTCCACCACCCACAGTTGCTTCACGTTTTTCCTTTTTTCCTGAATGACTGTTAAGATTCTTTCGTGCTATTCTGTCTATAGGGATGGATGAATCTGTTCATTTCAATTTCTGTTTCTCAATTCTCCAATCTTAAATTCTGTAGCAGTCTACATATCTATCTATCTCTATCTATCTATCTATCTATCTATCTATCTATCTATCTATCTATCTATCTATCTATCTATCTATCATCTATCTATATCTATCTATCTATCTATCTATCTATCTATCTATCTATCTATCTATCTTCAACACTATGGTGCAAAGTTCTAATAATCACATTTTCCCATGCAGCTTTGACTAATACTAGGAAACATGTAGTGCATTTGAACTGCATTTTCATGAATGTGTGGCTTTTTATGCACACTTCCCCCTTTTATATGCATTATTGTGCATGTTGGGATAGATTCAACTATATAGTTGCACTGGTGGGAGTCAGTGCAACAAGTCCTGATAGTGTGATGGTTCTTTCCCCTCTCTTCCTCCATACCCCCCCCCCACATTGGCTCAGAGATGGGGTTGGAAAACCCCCAGAACAGTGTGTGGAGTGAGGAGCGGGAAGAGAGTTCCATCAGGCAAGCAAAAATGCTCACACTGATGGAGTTATTTCCTTAGTGCTACTTTGAATTCTACCCATTACTTAAATGGAGGACTGCATTGTGAAATTTTGAGACATGTGAATTGTGAAGGATAGCTGTATTTCAGTCCATGTATTGGTTCAAGAAATGTGAATTAGGTCATTTCTTATTAAAATGCAAATTGAATGTAATTTCGCTCACACCCCTACCTGTATGCATGGAATCCCCCCCCCACCCATACTTCCCTCTCCCTCCCAAGCCCACCTTGTCTGAGCAGCTTTTGGCCTGATGCCTTAGTGCTGTTTCTCAGCTGAAGCAAAGTAACTGGTTTGGCTCAAGTTCATTCTTTGTTTTCTTGGCTGGCCACTCCCTTCTCTCCCTTCTCTCTTTGTTGTCTCGTGAGCTCCTTTTGGCAGAGCACTGTCTTTTCTTTCTTTGCTTAGGGCAGGACTGGGGAGCCCGTGGCCTTCCAGATGCTGCTGAACTACAACTCTCAACAAGCTCCAGCAAACATGACCAATGGTCAGTGGTGATGGGAGTTGCGGAAACATCTGAAGGGCCAAAGGTTCCCCACACCTGGCTCAGGTTACATCATAAAGTGTCACTGTATAGATACTAATCACCTGCCTATTGCCCCCCTCACCTCAGGGTGCTTGTCGGTGCCCCACTTCAGCATGGACGAGTGAACGAAATTGGTAAACTTTACCGGTGCACCTACAGTTCAAGTGCCTGTACGGAGATTAGCATCCAACGTAGGTAACTTCTAAGTTTCAAATGAAGCTGGTCCTATCTGGGAAAAGCCAAATGGTGGCTCAGGTTCTCTCAGAGAGAGGGGAGAGGGAGGTATGGGGTCAGGGTAGCCTGGGCTTGTGGTCGCTGTTGCAGGAGTGAGTAAGGTTTTTTTTTTACAGAATTTGGGACTGGATTGTGTGAGAGAGGTAGGATGTCTGAGTTTCAGTTCAAGAGAAGTGAGATCTTGTGGGAAGCGACAAAGAGGAGGAAGTGAGACTAGTTTCTAAATTGTAAGGCTATAGTAGCCTGAGGTCAGAGCGAGACTCTCAGACATTTTCCTACGGATCTGAGATTGCTATAAAGCTGCCTTTGCCAACCTGATGACCACCAGATGCTGTTGGACTCCAGTGCCCATCAGTCCCAATCAGAATGGTCAGTGGCCAGGGATGACAGGACTTGCTGCCCAACAGCATCTGGAAGGTACCAGGTTGTCTCCCCCTGTTTATCTCTGTTTCCATTTCCCCATGCCCTCTGTTGTTTCCTTGCACCTGTTTTTAGACTGTAAGCCGCTTAGGGCAAAGACCTATCAATCTACCTCAGTACTGTCTGGTAGCTGCTGTACAGGGTTTCAGAGAAGGTTCTTTGCTAGCCCTACCTGGAGATGCTGGGGATTGAACCTGGTACCTTCTGAGTTCAAAGCAAATGCTCTGCCACTGAGTTAATATAGTTGTTCTTCTCCCTTCTTAACGATTAATAATCTCAGCATGATTACTATTATTTCTTTCAGGGCCTATAGATGCTGTCAATATGTCCCTTGGTCTGTCCTTGGTTGCCAGGGATTCTCAAATCTTGGTAAATTCTTCTCTCTCTCTCTTTTTTGGCACTCTGGTGGGAAATCAGCATTGTTGGAGGGAAAGAATTGAGTTTGAATGGGCCCAGATTAAAATCCTCTCCTAGTCAAATAGCATACTCAGCAAATTTGAACATATCATGAAAACTCTCTCTTTGTTCACTTGGAAGGTGTGCGGCCCCACAGTACACAGGGCCTGTGGAACAAACATGTATCTGAACGGCTACTGTTTCCTTCTGGATCAAAAGCTCCAAAAGTTCCAGCAATTTCCAGAGATCTTACCAGGTGAGACCTTGGGATGAGTGAATCTGTCAATTGCTCTTGGACTCTCAATTTGCAAATTTCAAGTTGAGTTCTCCTTATTTCCATAGTGCACACGTGTGTGTGTGTGTGTGTGTGTGTGTGTGTGTTTGCGTGTTTCAAAGTCCTTATGAAAAAAAGTCAGCATTTTAGCGTAGATTTCTCCTAATATACAGTGGTACCTCGGGTTAAGTACTTAATTTATTCCGGAGGTCCGTACTTAATCTGAAACTGTTCTTAACCTGAAGCACCACTTTAGCTAATGGGGCCTCCTGCTGCCGCCGCACCGCCAGAGCCCAATTTCTGTTCTTATCCTGAAGCAAAGTTCTTAACCTGAAGCACTATTTCTAGGTTAGCGGAGTGTGTAACCTGAAGCGTGTGTAACCTGAAGCGTATGTAACCAGAAGCGTATGTACCCCGAAGTACCACTGTACACATTTTTGCAAGCAATTTTACCTATTTAATGCATTTTACATGTTATTTTCATTCATATATGTATTTTTATGCACACTTTCCCGTAATATACACATTTATGTACACATTGCTTGGTTGGAGAACTGCACTGCAAAATTTGGAGAAGTGCAAGTTTAGAAGGATTGCATGTTTTGGTTTGCAATTGTTTCAGGAAGTGAAAATTAAGTTGGTTTGCTTAATAGTCCATAGGATTGAAGTTGTGCTGATCCTAATGAATTGGGTATTAAGCTATTTATTGTTGAACTTTGGTGTGCGCATGTGTGTGTGTAAGAATGGATCAACTCAGCTGCCTGCATTTTTGGACTCTCCTTTGGGGAGTTCATAAACTCTCTTTGGTGGTGTGGCTGCGGGGGGCTGTCATGATGAGCTTTCAGAATTTACCACCACACCACTGGATATAAGGTAGATTGAAATGTTCCTTTATGTATCCCCCAGAATGCACTACCCACCCAACAGATATTGTGTTCTTGATTGATGGCTCAGGCAGCGTCAGTAACCAGGACTTCGAAAGAATGAAGTGGTTTGTCTCTGAGGTCATCAAGAGGTTGTCTGGCAGGAACACGCGGGTAATGGACACGAGGGGGGTGCTGGAGGGCACCATCATGCAATCTTATTGTGTTTTGGGAGGTCAGTCCTTTCCTGGGGGGAGGAAGACCAGCACTGGCCCCATGTAGGCACCTTCTGTTAGCTGTGGGTATTGGCAACACTTCAGTTCCTTATATAAAACCTACATTCCTGGCTCCACCAACTAGTAGGAGGGCTTTTGCAAGTGTACTAAATGCATTATTTTAAGCATGAGAGTTTTTTTGTGAGTGCAAAGCCCTCACCCACAGATAAGGCTGCCTGCTGCATCTTTGAATGAATCTTCATTTCAGTCTTGCCTCCTTCCAAAGGTTTTTCCGTTGCACCATTGACATCCACCAGTCAGTCCCAGTGCAGAGGCACCGCAAATCTCTCTCCTTGGAGAAGGCTGTCTCTTGCATATCTGCATGAGTTGCTAGTTTGAGTTGGTGGTTTTTAGGTGGGTTGAGGAGTTGTAGCCAGAATAGTGACATGTAGAAACATATTGGCAGTGGGCTCTTTTGAGAGCAGACAGTTTGTTTCCTTACTCTAAATGTAATCCTTTGGGGTGTTAGAGTGAAACTGTGTCTCCAATTTTATACAGAAAACAAACTAGGTTTGGGACGTGCCTGCTGTGTGCAGACACATAACTTAAAAAGTGGTTTAGAGAATTCAGAATGTGCTTTGAACTCTGGGTGAGATCCAGTTAGTCATGCTCAGAGTAGACTCGTTAAAATCAAAGGATCTAAGTAGCATGCATGGCGTTGCATTGCATTCTCTTTTTAATGTTCATGTGGCTGTCATATGTTATCAGTGAACTGAAAGCTGATACATGCTAGAGCTGCATGCCAGATGATCTGTCACTGCCACATCTTTACCCCCACAATTCTCATGTTTGGGTTTCTTCCATCTTGATAGATTGAATGGGGCCAGCATACAGAATTACTGGCTTCCTGATGTGACATTGAAATGTGTCTGCAGTGGCAAAACATCCCAGAGTTTCCTTGGCAAAGTTCATGTACATTCAAGTTAGGGTTCTTCCAGATAGGGACATAATATTGCAAACAGATTGTTAATATATTGCAGATGGATTGATAGCAACAAGTTTGTTTTTAATTTAATTTATTTTCTATGGAAAGAGTAAATCCTGATTAAATGGCGGTGGGGATATGGACTTCATGTTGCACAGATATTATGAAAAACTTGCATGCATGAAGAACACCCTCTGTGATACAGCAGAAGCCACAGGTGGGATTTTTCCTAAGCCTATTTTTCCTATTGGACAAAACTGCAAGGAGCCTTTAAAGCCATAGTGAGAAAATCCATGATTGCAACTTTCATCATCCCATGCTAGCTAGGACTGATGGCCATGTGAGTCCAACAATACCTACTTTAAAATTAAACTCCCTCCCTGCAAACAGAAAGCCAGCATAGCATTCAAAGGGCTAGGTTAGAATCTTTCTTCCAGCTGTGCTCATATTTTGTTTACTGGGTGCTCTGTGTTTGTGTTCACAATCAAAAGTGGAATCCCCAAATTTGTAGCCTGAAAGTGGTACAATCCATTTTGCTACCTCATTCCACTTCCAAGTATAGAACCAGCTCAACATTACCTGTTTCTCTGTGCAATGCAGCGGCGGAGGAAGCCGTTCGGGCGCCTGGGGCGGCACGCCCAGGGGCAGGGTGAGCCGCCCATAGGGGCGGGGCGCACCGTGGGGCCTCCAGAGTCTGCCTGCCTCCTCCTACTCAGCTGCCCACAGCTGGGGGGGGGGGAAGGCAGTGGGCAGACTGTTTGGACAGTGCAGAGCCTGCATGCGCCCAAGCCACCACGTCTCTCCCAAGAGAGATGCATGGCTCGGGCGCACTGCAGGCCCCGCAGTGAGTGCCACCCAGCATTTTGTCACTCCCCTCAATGGTGGCACCTAGGGCAGCCTGCACCCATCTCACCCCCCTTCCTCCACCCCTGGTGCAATGCCACCACAGAGAATCACTTTTTGGGTAGGCTACAATGTCTGTTAGCAGGACACTCTGTTAACCAGCCCTCTGTCACTTGTGAATGCAAGAGGGAAAGGGGTGTTTTTGCTGTTGATGAAAGTAACTGGTTTCCCGCCCAGCTGTGAACCCTTAGATTCAGTGGCAAACAGCGGGTTTTCTGGTGGGAAACTGCTGGGACAAAAAAGAAAAAGAAAAAAAAGAAACCGCTCATACCTATGTCTACAAATCACAGACCTGTGCCTAGAACCTGTGGCACAAATGGAAGTGTGGATGAGACCTTAACCTATCACACTCTGAGGGGCTTGGCCTGCTACTTCAGCCAGCTCCCAGGTTTCACTCACTAAGGGTCTCTTACAGTGCAATCTACTATGTTCTAATCAGAAGTAATTGTCTTGTTGAGTTCAGTGGGGCTTCTTCCCAGGTAAGAGGGTATAGGATTGCTTCTTGGACCTCTGGAGACCAGGTAGCCCTATTCATTAACTCCCTTTTTTGTCTTTCTCTTGTTAGTTTGCCCTGGCACAGTATTCCACTGGCTTCACAGAACACTTTGATTTCAATGCTCCAGATCCTTCTAATAATGTCTTGGGTATCACACAAAATCGCGGCATGACCTATACAGCCACTGCCATCAGAAAAGTTGTGTATGTTCAAGAACCTTATTTCTCTGCAGAAACAGCTTGCTCCATCTCTTCCCCTTTTAGGCACAAACTAGGCATGAGTAATGGTTCAGTTCTGTTATCAGAATGAATTGCTAGGTTAGGGACCTGTGAAGAGTTTTTAAGATGTTCCAACATCATTGTGGTCCAATATCAAACAAAAAAAATAAATAAATTCAAAAGGTGTCCCAACAGCTCATTAATATTACAGGCTGGGAGAAGAACTAGAAGCTTGCTGTTTAGGGCTCATCCTCTTCACTCTCAGCTTCATCACTGTCTCCCACTCCCTCTCTATCTCTTTCCAAACTTTAGCTCTCAGCTCAGTTCAGTTAGCTTAGATCCACAGAAAAATTCTGCTCCCTAGACACAGCAAGCAAAACAAATTCATGCTCAATCAATGCAAGCAACAGTGACTATGCCTGGCTTCCATGGTGAGAGACAGTATGCTTCTGAATGCCAGTTGCTGGGAATCACAAGTGGAGAGTGTACTGTTGCATTCAGGCCCTGCATGCAGGCTTCCCATAGGCATCTGGGTGGCCACTGTGAGAACAGGATGCTGGACTAGATGGGCCACTGGCCTGATCCAGCAGGCTGTTCTTATGTTCTTAAGATTGTGCAGTTGGTTGCTAAGTCCTAGTAAACCGGCTGTACATCTCCCATTATCAATCAGCTTTTACCTGATCATCCCTGGGATAGTGGCTCAGGCCCCCAACCAATATTGGGAGGGACTCTTTTGTGGTCCCTCTAGCAGCCACAATCCCTTCTGGGCAGTCTTTCAGGGGCCACACGCTAGTGATGGACAGGGCCAGAGGCGTGGACGTTGGAAGGTTTCTCAGAAAACAATTTGGCCCTCAGTCTGCAAAAGGTTTCACACTTCTGATGTAATGAACGTGTGCTGAGCTCTCATAGGATCTTCTTCACACTATGTCGCTGCCCGTGTCTAAACTCTGCCTTTTTAGAGAGGATAAGAATAGCACTAAAGGCATTTACACTTGTGGAAATTCTGCTATTTTTCCCTTCTGGGAAAGCTACTTTTAGGAAAAGTCAGACTTTCTGTTGTCTACAGAAAACTGGAAGAACTGCGGGGAAAATACTAGATGGCAATGACTGGATTAGGCAATGTGTGGATGCACCACAAAAAGTGAGTGGATGAAGAATGGCAATTCCACACTATATGTCTGCTGGGGAAGCACTTTAAGTTAATGCCTGATCAGTGTGCACATGGGAGAGAAAACTGAGGAAACATTTGAACATCATCAATTAGGCTTTCACATTTGTATTAGGAAGCAATTTTTGATACAGTAAGACCCCCCCCTTTAAGTTCAATGCATGAAGCCTGTTTTTAAAGAGGTTGCCCTCAGAGATGGGCACTCTGTGGTCCTCCATATGTTGCTGGACATTAGCCCCAGCCAACATGGCCAATGGTGATGAATGAGGAGAGCTATAGGCTAGCAACATCTGGAGGGAAACAGGTTCTCCTCCCCAGCGTTACATCTTTACTCTATCCCCTCTTGTTTTCTCCTCTAGGCTGCTTTAGGGAAATGCAAACAATGAAGTCCTTATCCAGTTTTCTTCTCTTTCCAAGGAGGGAGATTTTTATCCCAAGGAAAGGCTCCAGAAATGGATCTACCAAGATTCTTGTTGTGATAACAGATGGTCAAAAGAATGATCAACTGCAGTATTGGAATGTGGTGCCAGAGGCTGAACGAGCAGGAATTATCCGTTATGCTATTGGGGTGAGGATTCTGCAAGGAGTCTTCTAGGTTTACTAAACAGTACTGTATGTGAATTTCCACAAAATCAGTTATTTAATTGCTTTTATTTGGATGTTTATAGCCTTTCTTGTTGGCAGTGCTAATTTCACATTTCCCGAGCATTTAGCTTTATAGTTGTGGCTGTGCCCCTGCTCACATTGCTTACCAACCCCACCTACCCCCCTGTTGAAGTAGGAGTAGTGAAATTGCAGCTAAGAAGCTCAAATCATATTAATGACTGACTGGTACCCTTCTTTGGAAATTAAGCCAATGTCCAGACTTTCACTGAAAATTTTGGGGGAGCTCTGGTCCCCTGCTCCTCCCTACTTGGCACCACCCACTTGTTCAGACTTCTAGGACTTCCTCGTGAAATTGGTCTAAGGGCAGATCCACACCATATGTTTACAGCACATTCAACGTCTATTTAATGCTCATGACCTCTGCCAAAGAATCCTGGGAATTATGGTTATCTTCTCCCAGAGCTACAGCTTCCAGCACCCATAACAAGCTACATTTACCAGAATTCATTGGTGGAAGCAATGGTGTTTGAATGTACTTTAAATGTATGTTGTAGATCTACCCAAAGTCTGAAGTACAGATATACCCTTAGAACATAAAATTCATAGAGATGTAGGGTGCTAGTTCAGTTACCTGCCCTCCTGCCAAGTGGATTGCTCACCTGCATAGGGACCAAATGCTCACATCTTTTCTCTCTTCCGTCTGATGAAGGTTGGCAATGCTTTCTCAACTCAACGTGCCAGAGAAGAGCTGAATGCCATCGCTTCTGAACCTGACAATGAGCATGTATTTGCAGTACACAATTTTGATGCCCTGAAAGGCATCCAGGATCAGCTACAGGATAAGATCTTTGCCATAGAAGGTAATAACAGGAACCTTAGCACTCAGAGGAGGCACTGAAGTCCCTTTCGCCAGTCCTTGTCTGGAACTGTGTATCACTGAGAATGGTTTATTCCATGATCATATGACATTTCTAACTTGCAAAGGGGTTTGTGGTCTTTACTTTGTTTGGCCTTGCAATCACTCTATACGGCGAGTCAGTATTATTCCCATTTTACAGATGAAGACCTGTGACTGAGATAAATGAGCTATTTGCTGTAAAGGTGTAACTTGAACATAGATCTCCTAGGGTTAAAAGCCTGCACCTGGAATACTACCTCTCAATATGTCATACAAAAGGAAAGTCCTCTAAGCTTCAGATGGGAAACCTGGGTTCTCCAGATGTTGTTGGACGCTTGGCCTTGCTGGCTGGGCTTATGGGAGTTAAGAACATAAGAAGAGCCCTGCTGGATCATACCATAGTCCCATATTCTGTTCTCATAGTGCCTAACCATTTGCCTAGAGCAGCGGTTCTCAACCTGTGGGTCCCCAGATGTTGTTGGACTACAACTCCCATCATCCCTGAGCTCTGGCCTTGCTAGCTAGGGGTGATGGGAGTTGTAGTTCAACAACATCTGGGGACCCATAGGTTGAGAAAGGCTGGCCTAGAGGAAGCCCACAAGCAGGACCTGGAATACAACAGCATATATGGAGGTCCACGTGTTCCTCATGCTTGCTATAGCGCCATCTGGTGTGTCTGCTGCTAAAACAGGGAACAGCTTCGGCCTCTAACTGTGTGGGATGCTATATATTGTTATAGGATTGGGGGATTAGTCTAAAAGTCATCCCTCCAAGACTGGTGTTTGTATATATTTTAATGTAGGAAAAGTGACTTCCAACAAGGTCAAGCCAGTCTCTTTATTAACTTAATGATTCTAGCCAAGTTTCTTAGGTATCACTTTGCTTAACTAAGGAATCCAAGAGACTGGTTGATACAGAAACTACTAGCTGGAGATGCTTTCAGAAAGTGGGCTGAAGAGGGCAGTTCCCCTCACCCTGGCTGGAGGTGGTGCTGTCATTAGGTGTAGGAAAACAATAAACCTGGGGGGCAATCTCATATTCAAGTGGCTGAGAAAGAGCCACAGAGGCTTGAATTCTCTTTGTGTTGAATCCAAAGCCATGGCTTTGCCCCGCCCTGCCCAAAAATCTAATAGGGGAGCAAGATCCACTGGAGTGTTAATGCCATTAGCTCATTTACCTTATACTTAGCCTGTAGTGTAAATAAAACCATGTCACCAAGACATCACCACTTCCACAGTGAAGACTGTGGTTTCTTTATGATATGTGGTTTATTTACACATATATGCAACCTGAGCCTACACTAGAGGGGCTTAAAGCATTACTCTTGACAGGCACAGATTTACAGAAGATCCCTGCATTGCAGGGGGTTGGACTAGATGACCCTCGTGGTCCCTTCCAACTTTACAATTCTATGATTCCAGTGAGTTTCATTCTAGGGAAACCAAACCTGAGTTGTGCATTGGCACCCCTGAAACCTCTCACAGTTTGCAGATTGTGGACTGTACTATACAGCTACAAATAAAATGTTTTAAATGTGTTGTAAAGTTCAATATACAAATGTGACACTAGATGGTGATAGTGAGCTATGCCAAATTCAATGTATTTTTCAAAAAAAAATATTAAGCATTTTCACAGCGGTTTTTTTATATCTGTGTAGATTCCACCTGGGTGGAATTTGGCAATACAAATACAGGGGTTTCTTATAACCTCTCCTATGTGCTCTTCCCATTTGTCTGTGTCCTGTTCCCACCCTTCCTTGCAGGTACCCAATTCCAGAGCAGCAGTTCCTTCCAGATGGAAATGTCCCAGGAAGGATTCAGTGCCTTACTGACTCGGGTGAGTCTGGCCCCTAGAGTAGGGTGTGTGGAATCTTTGTTCTTCCAGATCTTGCTGAACTACAGATTCCATCTGCCCCAGTCAGCATGGCCAATGGCCAGGGATAGTGGCAGTTGTATTTCAGCAACCTCAGGAAGAAGAAAGTTGCCTGCAGGAAGAATCCAGGAGAGTCCTAAATGCCTGCAAGCAGAATGATTTTTGTTAATGAAGAATATATTCATAGATTAACTGCATGATCCCATTTCTATTACTGTATTCTGTTGTTCCATCAGCATGGACCTATTTTCCTCAGTGAAAGGAAATACAAAGTTGGAGATGGTATGCTTCTGGATACCAGTTGCTGGTATTCAGAGAGTGCTCTGGTGCTCAGATCTTGCTTACATGCTTTCCATAGGCATGTGGCTGGCTACTGTGAGAACAGAATGCTGGATTAGATGGGCCAGCAGCGCTCATCTTATAGCCTGATGTTCTTGTCTTAAAGAATAATGGAGGGAGGACATGGCCGCAAGAGATATTTCTATACTCTTACTTGCAACCTTGAGAGTCAGAAACTTGCTTATAAAATTGAAAGTGAATATTCACAGGATGCTGAATTCAATCCCAGTTAGCAACAAGCTCTTAAAAATGATTGAAATTTGCATTACTGCTTTAGGATCACACAACCATGCTGGTTCTGGATGGATGATCCTGTGAGCCAAAGGGAGAAAAGATGGCTGGCTCAGCAGTGGTAGTGCTACTTACTGTAATGCTCAATTGCAGTTATAGGGATTTTTTTTTTAATCTTTCAGTTTTTCATCTTTCCCTAATCCTCCTTTTTACTTTTCCCCTCCTGTTGACGTTGATTTGTGGACAACTCTTCCTGCCGTGTTGCCTGCTGTGATTTAGGATGGTCCTGTCTTGGGAGCAGTAGGAGCATTTGACTGGTCTGGAGGCCTATTTCTGTATCAGAACAGTAACAGAGACTCAAGCTTTCTTAATGCCTCCAGCACCACTGAGGAGATGAAGAATGCTTATCTTGGTAAGTATTAAAACAAAACTCTCCAGCTAGTGGTGGTTGGTGCCCATGGGGGGGGACTGTTGGGGCAGAAGGCAGGGAGAGCAGCAGTAGGTGGGGCCAGACCCAATGACAGGCAGAGTCACCCCCTGACTGGTTGGAAATAAGAAAGCAGGCAGATTGGGGGCTGGCTGAGGTTAGACTGAGGTTGGTGGGGCAGTGCCCCATTCACCCTAATGGACCAGTTTCTGCTGCCTTCCCCCCACCCCAAGTTTACCATGTTTTACTGTGGTACATTTCCACCCCAGAGGCAGCTGCATCTTGGCAGATGCTACCCTTTCTCCATTCAGGAGCACAGATAGAAATTACCATCTAGATACTCTTAGCACCACACATTTCCCCCCTGTCTCCACTCTTCAGATTCCTGCATCAAATAATTCATTATAAGAATTCTATGTAAACGACTGCACTGCTGTATGCTATACTGAGAGACAGTGTGGTATAGTGGTTAAAGCATCATGCTAGGGCTGGGAAAATTGCGGCTGAGATCCCAGTTAGCCATGAAGTGATCTTGGGCCCCTTGCTATCTAGGTGGGGAAAAGTTGTTTTGATCTGCTACTGGGTAGCTGAGAGGGAGAGACCCTTGCAAAGCAGCCAGAGATGTTCCAGGAGATCCCAATCAACCTTTTGCACACCCCTGCTCTAGGCTATTCTTCCCAAGCTGTCCTGCTTAATGGGAGAAGTGGTCTTGTAGTGGGAGCCCCCCGCTATGACTACGTGGGCAAAGTGGTTCTCTTTGAGAAAGCGGCCAGGAGTGGGAAGTGGCAACTAACAGCTGAGGCTGTTGGAGAACAGGTATGAACTGAGCTGGGCTAGGCTAGGGCAAAGGAGACTGGTGGTGGAATGGAGAGACTGTTGAGAAAGCTTCTGAACCTGGAATGGAGGTGAGGAAGCTATGGCGTCAACAATGAGATATGATGAAAATGGCTCCAAGATAGAAGCCAGAAGTGGAGAACTTTTTTTTGTTGCTGTTAAGGGCTGGATTACTCAGCTGAGGGCCATGTGCTGGCTGTGTAGTCATAAGCGGCAGACAGGTCTGGGAATGGAAAGTAGAAGCGAAACTCAAGGGGACATTTGTCTGATGCCACAGGTTGGTTCCTATTTTGGAGCGGCGCTGTGCTCTGTGGACCTTGATCAAGACACTGATACGGACTTGGTGCTGGTTGGAGCCCCCATGTACTATGATGCTATTACAGGTGGAAGGGTTTATGTCTGTCATTTTAAGGTAAGGGAGAAGATGGGGAGACTACATTAGATTGAGACCTTGAGGTGGGGTTGCTTGCTTGGAAATATTTCAAGTGTCTTATTTGACTACTCTGTATAGCAAGGAAGACTTCACTGCACCATGACTTTGAAAGGAGAAGCAGGGCACGTTTTCAGTCGCTTTGGTGCCAGCATGGCAGAAACAGGTGACATCACCGGGGATAGATGGATGGATGTGGCGATTGGGGCACCCATGGAGAATGAGAATGTAGGAGCCTTATATATATTTGGGGGGAAACGAACATCTATCAACCCCAAGTACCTCCAGGTGAGCTCAATACCAGTTCCAGCCTACAAAGGACCTACCTTGCTTGTGCTGCCTCCCAAGAGGCCCTTGCTCAATGCAACTGCCTCCTTTTTCCTATTCTTTGTGCACTTAGAGGTACATCTAGAGTTGCTATACTGGTCCTTTTCTCTGAAATTTCTCTGAAATTGTTTTTATAGAGATTCCAGTCAGTGTTGTTTATTTGATGCAATCCAGTGTTTAACACTGGGTGGATTGGTTGGGGGGGAATAAAATACTTTTGCAGCATGAACCTTTCCAGTGTTGGCAAAGTGCTATGGAGGCTTTTCATGGCTCCTCTGATTTTAATTTTTTCTTCTTGGAGGGTCTGTTTATTTTATTTCTTCATGCTGATTGCAGTTAAAGGATAACCTCTTAAATTTGCCACTTGAATGGCTTCTCTTAGGGTGCTTCCAGATGGTAACTGTTTTGCAGGTCAGGTTCAATCACATATTGACAAATTCAGGTTGTGTGATTAAAGTGGATTTGACATTATTACAAAGCAAGCCCACTTCTTGTGATGTCATGTAACCTACTCTCAAACAAATTAGGATAAATTTTCAATGAACATGTAATCTGAAAGCAACTTGGGTTGGCCCTAGGTCAGTTTCTGTTCCCATGGGAGGTAGGCTTTGATTTATCTATGGGTTAGATCTAGGCTTATTCATACTTAGAACTGACCCAATGAAGTTTAATTAATTTCAGTAGGTCTACTTTTAGAATGACTGCATCTGGAGCAAGCCTATTATCTTTCTTTCTTTCTTTCTTCTTTCTTTCTTTCTTTTTCTATCATTGCATTAATTAATTTATTTAACTGCTTTTTATATTTGAGTTTTTATGTCTTTCTAATTATGTAATTGCATTTTATTATAAATTCTTACTGTGAAGCATCCTGGGTATGGAGGGTAATATGCAAATATTTTCAATAAATAATTTTATTGTGAAAAATAACATGAAAGAAACTAGTAATTCTACATCCCTTTCAGGAATTGAAAAAGACATAGGGGCTATTCAGAGGCTATTCATTACTAGCCCTCCACCTTCTTTCATTAGAAATAAATTAACTGGACTGAACTGGAAAAAATGTTTTGATTAATGTGACTTGGAATTTAAGAGAATGAGAACTACTCCAGAGTAAACACTGTAGAAGATTATTGAGCAGGGGGAAAGGCACTGCTGAATAATATAGTACTGTGTGGAGGACCTCTTGAATTCCACTTTCAGCTAAGTGTGGAGAAACAATGCCTCAGTATCACTCAAGGGCTCTAATGTGAAAGCAACCTAAGAGAGAAATTCTCAAGACGATTTGTACTCACTTGAAATGTTTGTGTCTGTTTTTACACCATTCCATACTAGAACACGGCTAGGTTTGATTTTCTTTAAAAAGAAAAGCATAGTATAATATTTTGATGGACTGTCTTTCAGTTGGGAATATGTACAGATCTTTTGATGCCTCATTTGTTGTTAACCTTGTTTTGTGAGGGTCACAGAGTCTCTCTGTCTGGCCTTGAGGCCACCCTCCTTCCATTTTGCATCCTTCATTCTTTATTTGCAGCGCATTGAAGGGCTGAAGTTTTCTGGAGGGTTTTTGTACTTTGGTCAAGCTGTCAGTGGAGGAACAGACCTTACAGGGGATGGCCTGAAGGATATTGCTGTTGGACAAAAAGGAAGGGTCCTGTTATTGAGGTGAGAATGAGGAGCAGGGAAAGCCTTGCTCTCCCCTCCCTGTTCTTATTCTGTTTCCTCTGAACAGGAGAAAAATCATTTCCATGGATGCCCCAGTAAAGAAGTAAATGTTATAAGTAGAAGTACACATTCTCCTTTATTTCCTTGTTTAAATTTAGTCCCTATCTTAATAAAGAGGCTCAGCACAGCTTACAGTTTTCAATACACACAAAAGCTATCAAATGGCAGTGCAAAAACTGTGCAAATGGCTGTAGGAATAATAATTTTAAAAATATTATTAAATACAGCTAGATGAATGCTGTGATTGCAGTGAGTACCAAATTCAACACCTGCAAAATTCAAATGGTTGTTGCCAGTGCTAGTCCTACTTAGAGTAGACCCATTGAGGTTAATGGGCATGTCTAACACTTTCCCCTAATGTTACAGTTTTCCCCAACATTATTTGGTTGGAGAATTGCATCACAAAATTCAGAGAAGTGCTGCATTTTGAAGGATAGCTATGTTTTTCTTCCTGTACTGTTTTGGAAGGCATGAATTAAGTAAGTTGGTATTAAAATCCTAACCAAACTGATTTTCCCCCCTATCCCTACTGACAGGACACGTCCTGTTCTACATGTGTCGGTCTCCATTGAGTTCTTCCCACCTTTAATCCCCACCTCAAACTTCCAGTGTCAGGAACAGGAATCTCTCAAGGCTGAAGCCAGCATGGCAAAAGTGTGCTTTACCGTTGCTAAAGCTATTCAGGATAAACTAGGTGAGGCCACAATGCTTGCTCTGGCATAGGCCTATGTGGGACATGGAGTGGGGTTGGGAAGTGGTATAGCTCTCTTTGCGTAACCTGAACCATCTTGGGTAAAGTCCTCTCCCTCGTGTACTTATGTGTGATGGGAGTTTTTGTCATGAGATGAATTCAAGCATCCCACCACATTCATCCAGAGGACTGTGCCACATGCCTTTCTACACATTGAAAAGGTTAAGAGATGCCCATCTCAGATGTGCCTTTTCTCTGTCTTGGCATAGCGTAGAATTCTAGGTCTCATCTTCCCTTGCTGGAAAGATTCAAGAAAGAGTCTGACACCAACTCTAGGTATTCCTCACCAGCCCCACTTTCAAGGTAGCTGCTCCTTGGCCTTCACAGTCAAGTCAGTTGGTGCTGAGTCCATCCTTACCTGGATGTCCTTATCTGTATGAAGATCTAGGGTTGCCAGTGGCAGGATGGGAATTCTTGCCCTCTCCTCCCAATGGGCAGAATCTGTGCCTTTAAGACAGAAATCAATAAGTGAAGCTTTTCCCAGCATGGAATTTTAGTGCTGGGGAAAATTTTAGTGCTGACTTTCACCTGCTTTTTTAATATACAAAACCTCTGTCCCAAAAAAAGGGGGGGGGAGCTGCTTTCCTCTGTAATCTGCCCTTCCCCAGATTCCTTGACATGGGAAGAGACTTGTATCCCGTACCTTGAGTGGGCGGCTGAGTGGGAGGAGGCAGGCAGACTCTAGAGGCACTGTGGTGCGCCGCGCCCCTGGGCACGCCGCCCCAGGCGCCCAAGCAGCTTCCTCCGCCACTGCTAGTGAGAGGTTGTAGCTTGTGATATTCCAAGGGCCAGATACAGAGGCGTGGAGGGCCACATTCTGCCCTCAGATCTGAGCTTCACTGTTCCTGCCCTCCCAACTTCTTCCTCGTTTCTTTTCTCATGCCAACCACAATCCCTACCCTCTTATTTCTCTTTCTCAGGTGAAATCTCTAGTGACCTGTACTACACTTTGGCCCTAGACCACGAGAGAACAAAGATTCGAGCCACCTTCAGCTCTAAATCAGTCCTGACTACAAACATTCAGATAGGCCTTGAGAATAAATGCCAGAACCACCCAATTGAGTTGCCTGTAAGTTTGGCCTTATGTGCAGTGTTAATTCCCTTAAATATCTGAGGTGCAATATTGGGGGGGGGGGTTCAGACCATCCACTATTTAGCTGTTTTGCAGGTGGGATTCAGGTGCACCCTGGCAAATTCAAGTTGCACAGTTAAAGTGGATTTGGCACCCTTGCACAACAGACCTGATTTTTTTAAAAAGGGTAGTAATGGGAAAATGTGATGGAAAGTGTGGAATAACACTTGTTTGATGTGACATCATACAGTCTCCCTGCAAACGAGTTGGAATGGATTATCCATAAACAGCCAACGTCGTATAATCTTACCACAGACTTTGTGCAAACCAATGAGGATGGATGCTCAATAAACAGGTTGTCTGGAGAAAGTGTCTTAAATTTGAGAGGCTCTGTCTTTCATCTCCAATCTATATGGGGATTGTGAGTAGGGAGAGCATTGTTGTACATGGGTCCTGCTTGTGAGCTTCCCATAGTCATTTGACTGGCCCCTGTGAGAAGTTGGACTAGATGAACCTGATACAGCAGTTCTTCTGATTTGTTTCACCACTAGATGGGGAACAGAGCATAGCATTGTAAATGTGGCCAAGAGCATCCTATACAGTCATTCCTTATTTCTTGGCAGACTCTGATGGCTTGTATCCATTACTATATAAGCACATATCAGTGCAGTACTGAAATTGCATGTTTATTTTCTGCTAGGGAGGCACACACTTTATAAGTGCATTGCTGGTGCAGTGTTCTGCTGGCTTGCAGGAAAGCCACACAGAAAAGTAAAGATTTGAGAAATCCGAAGCCACCATGTTATTTTCAGTTCTCTTCCTTTTTCAGAGGGGAAAAGGGCTGGTGGGGAAATTGAAATATTTGTAGCATCCCTTTGACTATCTCGGATACATCACTTTGGTTCAGAAGCAATATGTAAAGTAGACCTTCCCTGATATTATCATGCAGTGAAAAGAGAAACTCACTTTTAGCATACAGAAACTCTATTTTTGTGCAGAGTGTATACATTCAGTATGCATTCCAAGGACATCTCTTTCTGTGCTCCAATCTTTTAGATCTGCATTGAGGATACTCTGACGCCTGTCACTTTGCGGCTCAATTTCAGCCTCGTAGGGAAGCCCATCGCTAAAGCCCCCACACTACAGCCCATCCTGAGCAAAGACTCAGAAAAGAACCACACAGCACTGGTGAGTACTTCAGCCCCAAGTCTTTTTATTACAAAATGAGAGCCAGCAACATTATAGCAGGATTCCCAGTTAAGGATGGGGAAGAAATTCAGTTCTGTTTGCATTGAAAGGCAAATCTGCCTAATTCACACTTTCTGAAACAATTCATGAATGGAAACATAGTCATTCCTCAAAATTCCACACTTCTCCAGATTTTCCAGGTAGTTCTCCAGCCATGTTTTGTCCCCCACCCCGAAAAATGCAACTACTTGGGTAAAGGAAGCATAAAAATTCATACATTTGTGAAAATAACATACAAACCTGTGTTATATTAGGGGAAATTGTTTGCATTAATTTGTATATTAGGATAAATTCACACTAAATGCTGATGAGTTTTCACAGGGACTTAAAAAAACAAACAGGCAAACTGAAGGGGAAATATGAACTGAACTTTTGACTGGAAAAATGAGAAACTGAAAGACCAATTTGCATATCCCTGCTCCTTGTTGAGTGAGCCCACTGTATTATGTTCCTCATGGCGCCTTCCCCCTGCTTACTGCTCCCAGGTGCCACTGACACCCTCATCTAGACAACCTTGTGGCCTTGAGCTATTGTGTAAGCACAGTGGGGGGGCATATGGTTTGTCATGTGTAAATGAACAATGTAAAAGAGGTGGTGATTGTGGGAGTGAAACACAGGAGAGGGAAAGGCTTGGCTGGACTTGAGTAGAGGTCATCCACCAAGGAACTGGGTTCCATCATTAGTATTTGGTGCTTAATTCTTCTCTCCACTAAAAATTTCTGTGCCTACAAAAGTAAAATGTGACCTGCATGCTTTTACAGCTCCACTTTGAGAAAAATTGTGGCACGGATGGGAAATGTGAAGACCGTTTAGAAGCTTCATTTAATTTCTCAGGGTAGGAAAATATTTGCTCTCTCTATTTCTGTTTTGCCTCTCCATTATCTTCAATATATCTAGTTTATCTGGGCATTAGGACTCCCAAAAATAAATTTCTCTGTCTCATGGTTTTGTTACTGTGATAGGGATATTCCCCCCCCCCCCATAGTTCCAGGATACACAGATCTGCCATTTCTCACCTACGAGTGGGTTATTTCTCCAGTCAGTCACTAGATTTATATTCTGCCTTACCATTACCAGTGGGATGCGGGTGGCGCTGTGGGTTAAACCACAGAGCCTAGGATTTGCTGATCAGAAGGTCGCCGGTTCGAATCCCCGCGACGGGGTGAGCTCCTGTTGCTCAGTCCCTGCTCCTGCCAACCTAGCAGTTCGAAAGCATATCAAAGTGCAAGTAGATAAATAGCTACTGCTCTGGTGGGAAGGTAAACGGCATTTCCGTGTGCTGCTCTGGTTCGCCAGAAGCAGCTTAGTCATGCTGGCCACATGACCTGGAAGCTGTACGTCAGCTCCCTCTGCCAATAAAGCGAGATGAGCACCGCAACCCCAGAGTCGGTCACGACTGGACCTAATGGTCAGGGGTCCCTTTACCTTTACCATTACCAGGTTGATTTTACACAACTTTCACACCCACTTTCACATTGGTAACTGGAGGCCTTGTACCCAGTATTGCTCAGAAATTCTAAGAAAATAAATCAGTGCCCATGAAGTGGGGTGAGATGAAGCATTTAGTATGTTTGCTCAATATTTGGTGTGTGCAAACATTAATGCATGCCCTCTTATTGTATTGGTTATATTTTTGTTGTTCAAATTGAGTGGACTACATAGGAGAATTGCCTCCAGACTGTCAGTATTTTGTGGGAGGAGTTCAAGCACATACTGGATAGAAATTGAGATTGGTGCAATTAATGTCGATTAAAACGCTCTGGTACAACAAATCTACTTAACATCCCCCCAACCCCCCCCCCCCCATGCAGTTAGGAAAGAGATGGGGAAATGCACTATTAAAGTGTGGGTAAAACAAATTATTAGTGGGAAGACAGATAGACACCCCACAAACAAGTCAGGGATGAATTCAGAATCAGTGCTCATTGTTGTATAGCCTCCCTACAAACACTGGGTTTTCAGGGTCGTTAGGAGGAGTCTAAATCTCTTGGATATTTGAAAATCTCTATGTATCTGAGACCTCTAATCCTGCACACATCCCTCTTTTCTACACACAGCTTGGACATTGTAGTTGTAGGTCTGACTGGTGAGTTCAATGTAACAGCTTCCATCCAGAATCATGGAGAGGACTCTTACAGCACCACACTGGGCTTTTTCTACCCTGCAGGGTTATCCTACCGCAAGGTCACTTTACCACAGGTGAGTGGAGCAGTAGGGATGCAGGCATGGGGAAGAGCAGGAACAGTGAGCAGGTGGAGGGATGGGGGCTGCTTGGGAATTATTGTCTGGATCCATTCATAAACAATGAATGCCCCATCCTCTCTCAGCTCAGCAGGAGGGTCGTGAGTGTTAAGTGCCATTCAGTTACTGCGTCTGAAGAAGATGTCAGCAGGAACACCACCTGCAATATCAATCACCCAATTTTCTACAGTAAAGCAAAGGTATATTATATTCTTTGAATTCAATGCCACAAGATGTGTTCATAAGCACTACCTTAAGGCTAACTGTCACATTGAGAGAAACAAACAAAAACAAAACAGGTGTCCTTCTGGAATTGTAGCATTTCAGAGGACATTGCATGATTAAATGCTCCCTCTAAGCTCAACTGCCTGTGGAAAGTTAGCATGTTAAGGAAAAGGGTTGTTGCCTAACCCCCTGTCAGCGGACAAATGCTGAGTCCCTCAGCCTGAAAGCGGAGTTGAGCACCACACCTCATAGTCGAATTTGACTGGGCTTAACCGCCCAGGGGTCCTTTACCGTTACCTGATGCACTAGTCTATGTGCAGGGAGTTGTTGTTTTTGTGTTCAGTGTGGAAAGAACGGCCTGATTCTCTTAAAAGAGAGATTGAAATGTCATTGAAGATGATTTTAATAATTGCCCCCCCCAAAAAAATAAGGGAAAAAGAAGTATTTTTAACACAATATTGCTACCCTTCCGACAAACCCTCCAACCTGCAAATCAGATCCAATAAATAAAACTTACTGCTGCTTTGCAAAAAAAGTAGAGGCAAATGAAGGACATAGAACAGCATGAGTGGTACGCTGAGACATAGGTTCAATATTCAGCATATATTTTTATTATTATTGTGGTGGTGGTGGTTGTTATTGGTATATTCCACCTTTTATCTCTAAAGAGGTCAAGGTGCCATGCACACTTCTCCCCTTCTTGATTTTATCCTCACAACAATCCTGTGAAGTAGTTTAGGCTGGAAGAACAGTGGTTGACCAGTGGGCTTCATAGATGAGTGGGGATTTGACCCCTGGTCTGTCAGGTCCTAGTCCAGCACTCTAACCACTACACCATGCAGCAGAATAGGGGGAATAAATCTCCCCCTCAGAAGCTGCTGCCAGCCAGAGTAGGCAAGATTAGCCTAGATGTGTCGGTGGTCTCAAGCAGGTTCATGTGTTACAGGCAGTCCAGGTATAGACTACCTTCTCTAAGGAAAGCCCTCCATACATAAAAACCTTCACATGTAGAAATAAGAAATCATATCATATGTTGGTGTATTGCAGGTTATCTTCATTGCCACATTTGACGTCTCCCCAGATGTTGATCTAGGGGACACTCTTCGGATCATGGCCAGTGCCAACAGGTGATGTTCACAGTTTTGCAGCTTTATGTGGCCTAATGTGGACCCCATGTTTCTTATAATGTAAAGGGCATGTTGGGTTTGGAGGGGAGAGAAGTGTGAAACAGATCTGGCTGCATTGTGACAGGGCAGTGGTGCTTGATGTAGTACATGATGGAAACACTAATATGAAGCAGAGCATGATGGAATAGTGCATGATGTTCAAGCCCTTAAACAAAAAACTAACATATCTGTTCTCTTCCATTTGCCCAGTGACAATGGTGGCAACATCACCAAGGATATGGTTCATGAAGCGGAGTTGCCTGTCAAATATGCTGTGTATATCATTGTCACAGCGTAAGTAACTATGGATGTTTCAGGGGTAAAGCGGTGCCTGTAGAGTGCCCTCTAATAGAGCTAACCCTGATTCCTACTCACAAGGATATTACCTCTGAGATATCCCTTTCCCATCACCATCCTAGCCTGGTCTTCCTAGCTTTTCTCACGGATGTTCATTTCTCTTTCATCTTCACAGCATTGAGGAGTCAACCAAGTACATTAATTTCACAGCTGGCCAAGAGGATGCAAGCAAGAACATGGAACATCGATATGAGGTGAAGGGCAAAGGGGATGGCAAAGGGTGGCTGGTGGTTGGTAGGAAGAGGAAAATGGTACAGGCAAGGAGAGAATAATAAGGGAATGATGGGCAAGAATGAGGTCTCAACAAAAGCTTTAAAAGTGAGGTTACTTGAAACCAGGATTTCTGTAGACTTATATTAGTTTTATATTCGTTTAGCTTGCCATAATAATCCAGGGCATTGTAGTTTGAGGTGCTTCTGGCCTGTCACTATTTTTGAGTGAGATTCAGTCATATACTGGCAAATTCAAGTTGCTTAATGAAAGTTGATTTGGGGTTCTTGTGCAACAAACCTGCTTCTTCCCCAAATCAGACTTGGTGCAAACCAGTCAGGACGAATGCTAACTAGACAGGCTACCTGGAAATGACTTTGGTTGGGGTACTGAGAATTCCTTGCAGAAGAAGCTGCTTGGAAAAGGGCACTGGGCCCTCTCACCTGTCGGCCATATGCTTAATTAGTTTTCTAACAGCTAATTAAGCTTTAACCCTACCCCCAAACTAATTTGGGACTAGATCTGGTGTGGTCCATGGGTTGACCCAGGGTGGCTGTGCCTGATGGGGACACAGGGAGAATGGGAGGGAGCTGGGCACTGCCCGGGTTTCAAATGGTACTGAGTGGGGTGGAAGAAGACATCCAGGACCCATGGTGTGTTCTGTCTGCCTTGAACAGTGTCTATTTCACTTTCAGGTGAAAAATCTCCGTCAACGAAATGTCCCCATCTCTGTGACATTTCAGATCCCTGTAAAACTGAAAGGGATCCAGGTGTGGAATGTGTCTCAGGTTGTCTCTTCCCAGGTATAATTATCTGCTCATTCTCTAACCACCCCAATGTATAATACCCCTAATCTCTAATGAAGTGCCTCTGCTCACCTATTTATCTTGTTGGGGAAATAGGTAAAGCATGCCATGTCCTACTCCCAGCCTGCCAGATGTGGGGCTGGCTTGAACCTAGGACCTCCAAGAAGGAAGGTTGATTATTTAAACTGTCTCTTTTCCCACATTCTCAGTTTGCCAAGTGTGTCTTGGAGAAAGAAAGTGCTGGCAACAAAGATTTCCCAGTGACAAAGGACCTCCCCCTTCTGGTGAGTTTAGCATACTGCAGCCTCTCCCCAGGATCACCTACATCCGTTGTATATAAAAGAACACAAGAAGAGCCCTGCCAGATCAGATCACTGGCCCCTTCCATCCAGCTAATACCTGTTCTCAAAGTAGCCAGCTAATGCCTGTGGGAAGCCCAAAAGCAGGACTTGAAGCTCCTAGCTATCTAGAGCTAGTGTGATGTTGTGTTTAGATGGGTTTAACTAGGGCTAGGGAAGTCTGTATTCAGATCCTCACTCAGCCATGAAACATTCTGAATGATCTTGGGCCAGCTACTCTCTTTCAGTCTAACCTGCCTCACAGAACTGTTGGGATGATAACAGGAGTGGAGAGACAACTCCTTGGAGGAAGAATGGGATTAAAGAAGCATATTATAATAACAGCAGAGACCATCCTCGGAACTATGGTGGCTAGAAACTTCTTTAATAAAAAGAAAGTAGATGTTTTCAGGATGTTGAATTGCCATGCTGCATGCTGGCTGAAGATATCTCTGCTCAGCAGTGACTTTTCCCTTTGGCCTTGCTCACCCCAGCTTATCTTTCCACCTCTCTCAGGACTGCTCTGTAGCCTCCTGCAAGATAATCCGTTGTGACATTTTGTCACTGAAGACACGGGAGCCGCTGGAATTCAGGATCAAGGGGGATGTCGGTTTCCAGTGGGCATCTCAGGTATAGAGGTTGCCATTGATGGGTATTATATTGAGGTTTTTTTTTTTTTAAACAACAACAACAAAACCAAATTTTTTTGTGACCTGCAAAATGTTAATTTGCTCTGCTGGTCAGCAACTTGTCAGTGCCTGACAAGGGATTCCCCTCTCTCAGAAGGAATTGCTCTCTCTTCCCCAGATCCAGCAGAAGAAAGTTGTCTTGGTGAGCATGGCCCAGATTTCCTATGATGAGAAAAAATACACACAGAAGGAAGGCTTTGCACAGGCCCAGGTAATGGGGGGAAGGGGCAGTGGTGCACTTAGTTGATTTTAGGACTCCCTCAGATAACCTGCTTATTCATCCTTCATTCTGATTTGCTTGCACAAAGCTTATGCAGTGGTTAGGCACTGAACAGTTTAGAGTTAGACAGTGGTTTTACCGAACATTTGTGGTATGGCAAGTATTCATTCTGCATTGATCCAGATTTGCTTTTGGAGTGTTTATGCATCTTCCCAGTAATCAGTTGTTTGCCCAACACTTTCCAATGCAGTTCCCTATCACTTTCCAAACCACAAAAAGTCCAATATTTTTTTGAAGTGGACAAAACCCTTTGATCCACTTCAATTGTGCAAACCTTACATTTTGGTATGTGTTTCAATCCCTCCTGCAAAATACTGGCAGTCTTTAGGCACCTTTAGACTCTGAACTATAAGGATATGATGCTGCTTTCAGGGCAGCGGGAGCAGCAGCCTCACCCAGTGCTTATAGCTGAGGCCTAACTCCTGGGTTTTTCTGCCAGAGATGTCTACCGTTGCACTAAGGGAGGGAGGGAGCAAGAGCAGAAAACTGATATAAAGATGATATATAATGAAATGAAAAAGGTATTTAAATATACCTTCTTGAAGAAACCAGAGGCCTTCCTCCTGGGCATAGTCGGCCAATTGGTGCCAAAGGACAGAGCTTTCTTTATGTATGCCACAACAGCAGCAAGAATACTTATTGCAAAGTACTGGAAGACACAAGATTTACCCACTCTGGAAGAATGGCAGATGAAGGTGATGGACTATATGGAACTGGCGGAAATGACTGGCAGAATCCAAGATCAGGGAGAAGAGTCGGTGGAAGAAGATTGGAAGAAATTTAAAGACTATTTACAGAAATACTGCAAAATTAATGAATGTTAGAATGAAGTTAAGTGGTTTTAGCAGCAATGTTATAAAGATGTATGTAAAAATGGATTGTTAACAGGTGAGAATCTAAAGTTATAATATATTAAGTTTAAGGATTAAGATAAAAACAAAGAGGGAAAGGAATTGCTGAATTAACTAATTGAACTGGAATACAAAAAAGGGAGGTGAGAGGAGGTCAGGGAAGCAAGGAAATGAAATGTAAGATATGAAAGACTGATTTGTTTTTAAGTGTTTTTTATCTTTTTTTTGTATTTTGTATTTTGTATTTTTTCTCTTTTTTATTTCTTTCTTCTTTTTTCTTTTCTTGTTATCTATGTAATCTTTCTTTTCTTTTGAAACCTTAATAAATATCATTAAAAAAAAAAAACAAGAGCAGAAAACTGGCAGCTGGACCTCTGGCCTCCCACTCACCCCAGCACTTGGGTTAGAGGATGACATCAGGATGTCTTAGTTAGTCTGGTTCTGTTCACTTTCTTCCCACCCAGGTGCAGACCATGGTGGAACGAATAGAGCTCTACAACTACCTGCCTGCGATCATTGGCAGTGCCATTGCGGGGCTTGTCCTTCTTGCTGTCATTGCTGCAGTCCTCTACAAGGTGAGGCAGAGTTGCAGGGGGAATCTAATGAAAAGCGAAGGAGGGCTTAATCCAGATGTGGGGAAGGTTTGTAAGGCTTCTGAATTTGGTCTGTGAGGCCATTTTTGGCAAACCACACCCACCTGACATAAGATGTCAGGTTCACATATGTGTCATATTTATTTGTTTATACTGCAATTTCATTAAAAAAAATTGAGGTGGTTTACAATGTGTGTGTGTATGTACACACACTTTTAAAAAAGGAAAACCACAGGTCATCAACTAACTTTTACAGAATATGTTTTTCTTAATTGTCTGCATAAGCCTGGTGGCAAAGAAAAGTATTCAGCAAATCTTTAAAGGTTAATATAGAAGGTGCCTGTCAAATTTCTACTGGGCTGGGCTGATGACACTACTCAATTTAACACTGAATCAGGTGAGCCTCACCAGCTTGGGGGACAAACAATGTGGCAACCAGCAATGTGGTGCCCACAGGCATCTACAGAAGCCTTCCCTAATTCCAAAATGATCTGCTATGCCTGCCCACCCCCACTGAAATTAGGCTTAAAAGCAGCAGTTTAGTATAGCCAATAGAGTAGATTGTGGTGTGTGTGTGTGTGTGCAGCCCATGACAGTTTCTTTCATTTGTAAAGGTCCCAAAAGGCTGGTGATGCCTGCGTTTCTGTTTGTGAAGTGACAACAGAAAGCATGTGCTTCTTGAGCATGTTCAGAGTGCTTTCCTCTCCTCACTGGGGTAATCCTAGGTGGGTGGGAGGCAAATGGCTTCTGCTGCAATCAAAGGGTATGATTTCCATGCCATAATCTCAGAAATAAAGCACTATATTTCTAGAAGAGTGAAATGTAACATTATTATTCTTTTTCACTTGCTCCCTGCTCCTTTCTTTCCTTCTAGGTTGGGTTCTTCAAGCGCCAATATAAGCAGATGCTTACTGAGGCTGGGGCTGGTGATGAAGCTGCAGATCCCACCTCACAACCCACCCCTCAAGACCTAGACACCTCTCCTCCCAGCAAAGAAACTGTCTACTAATAAACCTCCTGTTCCTCTGCGGCTTTTCAATACTCTGGGGAAGGTAACCCTCAAAAGCCCATTTTAAGGACATAAGAAGAGCCTTCCAGGACCTGACCAAATGTCTAGTTTCCCACAGTGGTCATCCAGATGCTTCTGAGACAAACAGGTCTTGGAGGCAATAGATTTCCCCCCATTGTTGCTCCCTAGTGACTGGGATTCAGAGGATCCATTGCAGCTCTTTGATAGCCTTATTTCCTGTGAAACCTCCCCCTCCTTTAAAAGACATCTAAGCTCTTGACAATCATCATGTATTGTGACATTTCTCCTTAACCAAAGAGATTCTTCTTTTACCCCTTCAGCAGACTGGATACAAAAAAGGACCACAGTATTACAGTTTATCCCCAGCATAATGTGCCACATTTCTAGCTCAAATTTACATCTAATTCTGTGGGCTGATAGAATTGGAAGGCGACTTCAATTGTGCTGCAAAAATGTCATTGAGGATGTCAAACTAGGATTCTCTCGAACAATTTTTCATCCAAAGCCTATTGAAAGGGGAGTAATGGAGTCTTCAGTGTCCTTGATAGCATGTTTTCATTTAGGCAGTACAATGATTAAGGGAATTGAAAGCAGTGGTTGTATTTGAAGCTGAGAAATATTATGCTGGTACTGTGGGTTTTTGAGGGGAAAAGTAAGAGATAGTGGTGTGGTCAATTAGAGTTCGGGGAGAAACTTGGTTTGGTTTGCTGTTTCATGTGAACCTACCATATTTTTCGCCCTATAGGACGCACTTTTTCCCCTCCGAAAATGAAGGGGGAAAGTGTGTGCATCCTATGGGGCGAATGCAGGCTTTCGCTGAAGCCTGGAGAGCGAGAGGGGTTGGTGCGCACCGACCCCTCTCGCTCTCCAGGCTTCAGGAAGCTATCCGCAAGCCGTGGGAGAGCTGCGCAATTTCATGCAGCTCTCTCACGGCTTGGGGAGGGGTGCCTGCACCCGAAGCCTGGGGGCGCGCTGAGCTCAGCGCCCCCAGGCTTCGGGCTTAGCGCAGCTCTCTGCAAGCCGTGGGAGGGCTGCGCGACTTCACGCAGCTCTTCCAGGGCTAGCAGAGAGCTTGCCTGCACCCAGAAGCTTGGGGCGCGCTGAGCTCAGCACGCCCCAAACTTTGGGCTTCGCGCAGCTCTCCCACGGCTAGCGGATAGCAGCCTGTTCTGGGGGCTGGGGTCAGGGGAAGCTCGGGCTTCCCCCGCCCCAGCCCCGCACCTGGGGGGGGGGAAATAATTGTTTTTCTTTATTTCCCCCCCAAAAAACTAGGTGCATCCTATGGGCCGGTGCGCCCTATGGGGCGAAAAATTCGGTAACTAATTCAGTTTCTGAAACAATGCATGAATCACAGCACAGCTAGCCTTCAAAATTTGCCCTTCCCCGAACTTTGTGATACAGTCTTCTGACTAAAAAATGTGTGGATTATAGGAAAGCATGTATCAAATGCATATACTAATGAAATAATATGTAAAATATATGGGGAAACTGCTTGCAAAAATATATAGTAGGGGAAATTTGGATTAAAATGCTGATGAATTTCCATGAGGACTGTCTTTTAAAAAATTACTGCAAAGTGATGTGGAATTGTGGCAAATTTAACAACTTGAATTGTATTGTTTTTGTGTACAATTGTTGTAAACAACTCTATTTTTTATAAATAGCAGTATCAAATTATTTTTATAAGTAAAAAAGAAGAAACTGAAGAGAAATCAAAATTGACAGATTTGTCAACCCCTAGAGACAACCTTACACAAAACGGAAGCATTCAGCAGTGTGAAAAAGAGAAATACATCTCAAAATGCTAAAATAAGGTAATTAAAAACTGATTTGAAAAAACAACAAACAAACTTGGAAAAGCACCCCCTCCCCATTGTTTCCAGTTTTATTAAACTCTAGCCCACAGAAGTTTATGTTGTTATGTGTTAGTCTTTAAGATGCCACACACTGTTTCTGTTGCAACAGAATATTGCAACAGGGATATTGCCATGGGACTATGCTACAGGGTTGTAGAGAAATATATTTCAAAGATGATAGAAAGGATGCTTTTTTTTTTTATTGGCCCCATGTGTTTTGGCTCAAATACCTTCCTTTCTTCCTTCTTTCCTTTTTTTAAAGGTTACATTTAAAGCAAAAGGTTGGTTACTTTAAAATGTTCATTTATTTAGAAGAATTATCCAGTGGTTTTATGGTGGAATCTAGATTTACGGTAGTTGTGTTCTCGTGACCATTACCAGAAGAGTGTCACTTCTTAAAGAGTGAGGATGGCATCAGAGCTTGGGTGGTAGAGTACGGTGGGGTGGGTGAGCTGGTACCTTGGTAGCAGGAGGGCATTCTTTGGAACTGGGTGGGTTGTGGATGAGTTGCCATCATGCAGGGATGTCACTGCATGTTTGTCATGTACTGGCTAGATGCAGAGGAGTGGTGGGAGGCCATTTGGAAGAGTTCCTGTGATCACTGGGTCTGAGCTGTTTTGGTTTCTTTGAATAAAGTTGCACCTTTTCATTTCATGGTGTCACATAGCTGTGTAATATGCACTGAATCCGACTGTCAATACTTGATGCTCTTTACTGATGTAGAAGTCACATAGTTGGCAGTGAAGAGAGATCTGAAGGCAGGAATGGGATAAATCTGGGTTCTTAAAGGTTTAGAAAAAGGGAGAGCTAGGCTCTGGTGGACAACTAAAAGCAAAGCATGGTAGGGAAATAAATCTGTCAAAGTGAGGAAGCCCATGCTCAACCAGCCTAGATGGAAGTAACAGTGTTTAGGAAAACATGTCAGAATTCTGCAAAAAATGTCATACTATCTCAAACACCAAATTTCAATTTGATATAAGACTTTAGTTAAATTTCAGCACGTACTTTGTCATATGTTACTTATAATGTGTCCTAGTAGCCCCATTCTTATCTTATTAACACAACTAGAGTATTCCCTGCTAGACACCCTCTGAAGACTGGGCATTCTGCATTTGCTTTGAGTATAGCTATAAATAGACCCCAGGAATCCAAGGGTGGGGAAAAGAGGTTGGTTGGTTCCTGGGCCTCAAGCCAAGGGTATTGAGACCTTGGTCTTTAAACATGTGTTAGTCGATGGCCTTCCTGGATAATAGTCAAGCTGGGCTATGTTTGTCTCTCAGATTGATTGGCTAAGCATGGTCAGATGGGCATAACTGTCAGGTCTGGAAAAGGGGAGGAGAGGACTGTGGTGTAGGGAGTGTGCAGGAAGGCCTTAAACACAGGAGAGTGAAGAGAGACCAACCAGCCCGACGAGGAGAGACCTTTATTGTTGACAACCTCGGACGTCCTTGGCTTCACACATGATTCCCTGGTGGAGGGCCACACGACTGCTGGCCCAGGGACGAAATCTTGCCACAGCAGCTGCTAGTGGGCACCACGGTGATGGGTCAGGTGGTAAGTGAATTCAGTAAAAGACAAGGCCAATAGCATAAATTGTTGAGCAGCACCATGTTCTTAGGTCATGATTGCTACCTATTTATTCTTTCTTTTATCTTAATGGTTATGTATTAGCATATGCCTTTTGGAATGGGGTCCCTATGAGGTTTGGTGAAGTTTCTGTCCTAGGAAGCTAAGTACATATTAAAGTGACGGCATCTTCCACTATCTAGTTATATAAGTGCCCCTTTCTCTACACCCCCCCGGCCAATTAACTGAAATGTACTACCCCATTGCTTTCCCTCTGGGTTTGTACTATTGGAAAGATGCCGGTGATTTGGTATCTGATCTGTTTTCCACAAAAAAGGACAGCAAAGAAAGGGACCTTGAGAATGACCTTATTTCTCTGTTAGAGGGCACTGTGCAACAGCAGAACATAGAGTAGGTACTGGGCAGAGGGCACTTGCCCCCTGAGAATCAAAATGTGCCAGTGGCTCAGGAAAACACAAGGAGGCACTGTGTTGCTCCAAGGAAGTGGATGCTACAACAGCACACCAATGCCATCTGCTGCAGTTTATGCTCTGCATTTGGGATTATCCTGTCTTTCCTATTTGTGATGCAGTGCGAACATGGAAAATCTTATCCTTTGTGGTGGCACTTCCTGGAGTGGGTGTCTGCATGTTGAATGTCTATCTGCAACAAGCAAATCACCCGCATGAACCACCTGAGTTCATCCCATATCATCACCTGCGCCTCCGATCAAAGGTAAGAATTAAGCAGGAGAGTTCTGATAATGGATTAGGGAGAATCATTTTCCAAAACAAATAGGTCAAGCTATGTGGCTTGAGATATTGATACTCAAAGGACACCATGTGAATTATTATTTAGTCTTTCAAAATGTCAGCTGACTTTGGTTTTTATTCTGTGGTTTTAGTTGTCTACTATTTTACATCATACTGTGCTAGCAGCTTTAAAAAATATCATTGTAATGATTGTCTTCATTATATTAAGGGGTATGCAATTTAAAAAATAAATAGATGGAAGGGGGGGTACTGGCAATCTAGCCCTCAGTTCTCTTTCTCTCTCCTTCTTTTTCAGCCTTTCCCCTGGGGTGATGGAAATCACACCTTCTTTCATAACCCTCACACCAACCCACTGCCCACAGGTTATGAAGGAGGCAGCCACCACTGAACCACTGCCATTCTCTCTTACGGGGGGACAGGGAGGCATATACCCCTGTATAACTTTATTACTGCTTTGAGACAGGTTTCCAGGGATAATAAAATCTCATTTTGATGGGTGGAGCACTTTCTTGGTATTTCAAATTGTATTGTATTGGAGGCAGTTTGGGGGAATGTGTGTGTGTGGGGGGGGAGTGTTGTTCTGCCAAATTTTCAGGGAAAAGAGGTTAGCTGGGAAACAGTTGATACCTAGTGCATTAGATGATAGCTTTCAGCCAGGGCTGCTGAGGTTAGCCTTGAGATGTTCAACCCCACCCCTGAAGAAGTCCTGATAGCCAATTAACAGTGAAAAATCTGTCAGGATTGCAGCTGATCTTGCTTGCATTGCTGTGCTTCCTATGTTTGCAGTTCCTAAAGACCTGGATGACTTCATGTGTATTTTGCTCAAATTTGCATCATGTAAATATTTTTTAATGTTGATAGTTATAAATTTATATCCACATACCAAGTCCAAGATGCAGCATAACTGTGAATGAAAGAAACAACCAACCACGAGACTTCTTCAGGCAGCAACTGTTTGCACAGCAGATTAAGCTGCAGGAGGAACAATCTGATACATCTATCTCCAGTAAGGGAACATGGTCCCCAGGCAGAAAAATCCCAGCATTTCACCTAAAAGCATTTCATCTAAATGCTGTGCCTGAGATCTTAAAACCCAGGGCCAGGATTAATTTATGGATTATAAGTGCATTTGCAGATATTTGCCCTTTTTTTTCTTCCATGATCCATTTATTCAAAACCTCTCCCCTTTCTTTTTGCAAAAGCTGGGAGAATTTGGGGGTAGAGATAGTTATATCTGGAGTACAAGGGCAGGGACCAGTGAATAATTGCTATGGAAGATTGAGAAGGAACTGTGCAAGACACTTATGCCTCACCCCTTGACCACATAAATTTGGTTCAGTCTCCCTTCCGGCAGCTAAGATGCTGCTGTTCACATTCTTTTCAGTCTGCTACGTTTATAAGGACAATAACATTTTATCACAGGTGTATTGCTGGATGTGCTACAAACATAAGGAACTCTTTCTCACACTTCTGCAACATATGACTGAACTTCACCAGCCCATAGTCATAGGGATTAGAAGCCATGATCCCTAGCTTTCAAAGCCACGATAGGCGTATTTTCCTGCATAAAAAGCACTTTTTTGTAGGACTGTGTGTATGTCAGGAGTAGGGAACCTGTGGTCCTCCACCTGGCGTTAGACTCCAACTCCCATCAGGGAGCTATTCAGCAACAGCTAGAGGACCACAAGTTGTCCATTCCTGGTACAGGCATTTCTCCACTTATGCATGTTTGACTTGCACATGAACATGTGAAGTTTTGGGAAACAATTAAATCAATAAATCTAAACTGCAAAAATGTGTGAACAGGGCGAAAATGGCCTGAAAAGAACAGAAAAACTGCAAAAATGGCACGAAAATAGCAGGAAAATAGCTAGTAATTCCATAAGCCCTTGCACTGATCTTTGAGGCCTTGGAGAATTGGAGTTTGAGAAAGGAGGTTTGGAGGGAGTAATTCTGGTGGCTTTTTAGTGGAATTCAGCTTTTTAGATGTTGTTCCCCACTACACATGATTTCACGTACAGTGGACGCTTGGGTTGCGAACGTGATCCGTGCGGGATGCACGTTTGCAACCCGCAGCATTCGCAAACCGCGTCTGCACGTCTGCAGTACTTCCGGGTTTTGGCGGTCTGCAACCCGAAAAAACACAACCTGAAGCGGCTGTAACCGGAGGTATGACTGTATATGCACAGTACCTGGGAATGTAACCCCCATGTAAGTGGGGAGACGCCTGTATAGGTTATTACCTGTAATGATGTCACATGTACATATTTATCTGTGTGCACACATACATACCCCCCAACATACCTCAGCATGTGAGCAACTGTGATACATGTGACGGTCATTTTCTACCATCAAAGTTCTTTCTATTTAAGGAAACTGCAGTCTATGAAGCAGACCTCGGTTATGTTCAGGAGCAATTATCTCATCTTGTTCAGTCCATTTGATTATTGTGGGCATACTATAAGATACCCTATAGAAGGCATGGGTTGTGGGATTGGCTATCCTTTAGTAGCAGCAGAACTGGGGCCAGCACCACTGTCTTGTTGTGGGGATCCCGCCACCTCACCATCTCCTGCCTCCATCATTTGTTTGTACTGTCGTTTGAAGAAGCCAACCTGGAAAGAAGGGAAGAGAGCAACAAACACACAGAGAGAGAAAATTCAGATGAAGGGTTTGCTCATCCTGGGGGTAATGGGTAAATGGCACCAGAAGAATCAATGAAACAAGTATAGACCACGTTTGTACACTGGGCACCCCCACTTAGGTGTGGCAGCTTTCTGCCCCAGCCATCTCCCTACTTGTGTGTGTTTGATGTGGGCCAAAGTTACTCCCAAAGGCCCTCCCCTCGCTTATAAGCATACTTCTAAATGTCAGCCCTCACCTTGTAAAGAACAGCAGCAATCAGGGCAAGAAGAATGAGTCCCCCCACACTGCTGCCAATGATAACAGGAAGGTAGTTGTAAGGCTCCAGGAATTCCACCACAGTATTCGCCTACAGGGTAAGAGGGAAAAAACTGAGAGGGAGAACCTGGTGACGTCATGCACTAGGGTTAATTCATTTGAACCGTGCCTCATCCAGAGCTACAAAAGGTAGCCTGGAATGCTAACTCCTTCCCAGCTCCTTCTAGACAACATCTGGAGATGTCCTGGCTCCTAGCTATGGCCTATGGACAGTGTGTCTCCTTTTGACCCATCATTACCTGATTCTGTGGAAGGCCCTCTTTCTGGGTATATATTTTCTCATCATAAGAAATCCTTGCTGAGCTCACCAGGGTCACTTTCTTCTGCTGGGTCTGAAAGACAGAGACAAACCCTCTCAGAGGTGGGAAAGGTATTCGCCTGAGAGATTTCACCAAGAAGGGATCCAAAAGGAGTAACTGGCTCATATATATATATATATATATATATATATATATATATATATATATGAAGTTCCTTTGTTGGTATAGAGATGTAACTGACTGTGAGCATATTTGTATAACGTATTGTCATAGGGTCCCCCAAAGAATCCTAGGTACTGTCATTTGGTGAGGGTTCTGTTGAGAAGTCTGGTCACCACTGAAGAAGAGTTCCTGGGGTTCATAGAATGGCTGCACCCAAAGATGCAGCTGGTTTGGGTGTGCCGCACAGAAGCATGTTAACATCTTACATGACCTTCCCACCCCTGCACCAATAAAGCCCCAGCAGTGGCCTTCATACCTGGGAGACCCATTGGAATCCCATCTTCCCCTTGATGCTGAACTCCAGTGGTTGCTTCTGCCCCAGGGATGGAATGTTGCACCGGATCGTTTTACAGACGGCCACAGAGCAGTCCTGGAAGGAGGTGCAAGGATATCCTCAGATAAAGTGTTGATGCTGAGTATAGCTACCCCTTAACCTAAAGGGGTCCCCAGAGTCACCCAGTCCAGGTGCTTCTGAAATAAGGGGATGTACTTTACAGTGGGGATGTACTCACCAGAATGGAATTCTTTCTTAGTTCTGCCACAAAATCTTTGGCCCCTTGGGTGTCTGCTTCAGGGGCACACTGAACTAGGTGGTTCATCTAGGGAAAGGGAAAGCAAATTTCATATATGTAATGGGCTAAGAATAGCCATCACAGAAGCCTTTCACTTGTAATTCATGTATTTCCACACTGTTTGTCTAAACAAGTATGCTAGTTCAAGGCTCAGGGCACATGCAGAATATCTCTTAACACAGGTTAGGTAGCATGGTTCAACTGTACTGAGAATGACAGTGGGAAGAGGCGTGTTAAGCAGCAATGGAAGTCTGACACTGTTCATGCTTATGAGTAGAGGGCAGATATTAATTCTTTTGTTGTGACCATGGAACCAGCAGGTGGGGAAGAACATAAAACTTGCTCTCACGAATCAGATAAAAGGAACAGCAGGTCCAGCAATGGCCAGTCAGGTACTTTTAGGAAACTCACAAGTAGACCGTGATGGAAACAGCCATCCACTGTTGTTTGTCTCAGCACCTGTTAGTCAGCAACACTGCCTCTGAACCTGGAGGATCCATTCTCCACTCATGGCCAGCAGCCATTGATAGGGCTATCCTCCATAATTTTGTCTAATTTGCCTCTATTTACTTATAGAATAGCCTGGAGAGGCTCTCAAAATGGCTTTAAAAAGCTTCTCCGATTAAATCTCACTCAAATCTAGCACAGGAACTGAATAGGCAGGATTGAAACTGGGAGGGGCTTCATTCATACAAAAGGAGCTTGCTGAATGAGCCCTGCCGCTAGAACATGGAGAAGGAGATGGCCCACTCTGGATATACACTCCTCTATTGAAAGAGAGCCATAAATTGATGTGGTATGTGGAGGGGTATTTTCTTTGTCCCCCTTGAATTTCCAGCCAATCAATTTTATTGCGTAACCCAAGTTCTAGTATTATGAAGGTTGAAATTTTTCTGGTTGTATACTATTGCTACACCAGTACTTAATTCAGTCCTATTAACAAAAAAGAAATCATATTTGGTCTCAGAAGGATATACCTCAGGAAGGATGTCCGCGGATGCATTCCACACCCATGTCCCATTCAGTTGCACAGGGAACTTAAACGTGATTGAGACAGGAACCTTTCGTGTATATGTGTTCTTCACCTAAACAAGAAGAAGATCCTGTATAAATGTGACAGGAGCCCAACAATCAGCCCATTGCTATCACTAACCAAGATATATTTTCCCCATTCCACAATAAGGATGGAAGAGAAATTCAATTCAATATGCATTTAAAGTCAAATCTACCTAAGTTAATAATAATGATAATAATAATAATTTTATTATTTATACCCTGTCCATCTGGCTGGGGAAACTCTGGGCAGCTTGTAGTACATATAAAAACATACAGTAGTAAAACCTCAAACATGAAAAAACATTTGTACTTTCTGAAGCAATGTGCAAAATGAAACAGTCATCCTTTGAAATGCACACTTCTCCAAATTTTGAGATGCAGTTCTCCAGCCAAATGCATATATAAATACTAGGGTAATGCGCGCGCGCGCGCGCGCACACACACACACACACACACAATAATGTACCAAAATGCATTTTATTCAGGAAGATTGCTTTGCAAAAATGTGTAAATTAGGTAAAATTGTATGTATATTGGGAGAAATTTGCACTAAAATGCTGGTGAATTTTCATGAGAACTTTTCTTTTTTTTAAGCAAACTGATGTGGAAATGTGGAGAACTGAAGACTGGAAATTTGAGAAACTGATAGAAACCAAATGTGACATATTTTCCCACCCCCATCCTACAAATGATTGTTGTACTGCCAAGCCCTTCTCGCCTACTATATGGCTCAAGCAGTTGCAGCCTTGGGGCCAGGATAGCAGTTGTATAAGGTGGGTGAGGGCTCTTTCCATCTTTTTAAACTTTTAAACCAAGGAGCTTGTTCTGTGCTGCTTGCACACACCCACCATGCCTCTTCTTTCTGCCTACATTTCCCAGAACAGCTTCAGAGCAACATAATACAAGATGATGTCCTGCAAGAGGGATGCAGCCAACCACACTCCCCAGAGTGGCTCCAGTATGACATATTGTGTTGTGCTGCTCTGAAGCCCTTAGCTGAAGGTCCGGATTTATTCCCTAAACCTGATCCACATAAATTTTGCCTTTTTCAAATTCTTAATTCCACAATGCTCCACAAACCCCTCACCTCATAGCGATGTTCCACAGTCTGATTTCCGTCTTCCTGACCAGCAGAAAAATTGACATACTTGGTTGACACATCAACACTGGAAGAAAAGAGGTGGGGGTCTGAGAAAAATCACTATGTCAAGCAATCAATCTGGGTTTGACCAATGCATTCCAATGGCTTTTTGGAAGATCAAAGCATAGCATTGCTATGGCAATTTAGATGGGGTCAATATTTTCTAGCAGCCAATGCCATTCATTTTAGCATGTCCTCCTGAAATGAGTATATTCTGATTGAACCAAGAAAACTGAGTAAGTGATTGATATCAGCTATGCTGATATCACCTTGAAGGTGACTCGGAAACTACAACTAATCCAGAATGCGGCAGCTAGACTGGTGACTGGCCGCCGGGATCATATAACACCAGTCCTAAAGGATTTTCATTGTCTCCCAGTGCATTTCAGAGCACAATTCAAAGTGTTGGTGCTGACCTTTAAAGCCCTAAATGGTCTCAGCCCAGTATACCTGAAGGAGAATCTCCACCCCCATCATTCAGCCTGGACACTGAGGTCCTCCTCCAAGAGACTTCTGCTGGTTCCCTCACTGTGAGAAGCGAAATTACAGGGAACCAGGCAGAGGGCCTTCTCAGTAATGGCGTCCTCCTGTGGAACACCCTCCCTTCAGATGTCAAGGAGATAAAGAACTACAGACCTGTATTGGGAAGTTTTTAATGTTTGATGTTTTATTATGTTTCAATATATGCTGTAAGCTGATCAGAGTGGCTGGGGAAACCCAGCCATTTGGGTGGGGTATAAATAATAAAAATATTTAAATTATTATGATGATGCACATCTAGCTGAAAGGAAGCCCTGTTAAATTCAGTGGGACTTGCAAGTAGACATGCTTAGTATTACACTGCAAGACAATAGCCAACAAACAGCACGCTGCAGGGCAATAGCCAGCAAACAGAAATTGGCCAGTTATTTGCAAAATGGGGGTTATCCAATAAATCAGAAGTGGCAAATTCCAAAAGATTCAAATTCATTAAACTTGAATTCATCCAAAATAATTAATTAAACAGAAGAAAATGAGGAAGCTGAAAATTCAATAGGCATTGGAATAGAAATTGATTTCTAAATACGGTATATGTGGAAATATCACCAGATGGATCCTAATTACTTTGTTAGGGATTAATACAAAAGGATTGCAAGAAGACCACTATTTTATCCTCCACCAAAGTATCTAAACCAGTATAGAAAATGTGCAGCTTCTTGGGGAGAGAGATGGAGTACGCGTGTATGAGGTCAGTGTTGCTATCAGACTGAGTAATAGTAGTAATAGTAGTGGTGGTGGTAATAGTAATAGGTTCACTATCTCTGCTTTATAGGCTTATGAGGTCTGCTGAAGTTGAAATCTTTTGAAAGCCAATCAAGCCCTGGAAAACCAGCAAATGCTGTTTCATCTAGGTCTTTCAACCCCTGGAACAAAAAGGGGGTGGGTTCCATTAAGTGGCTGAAATTATAGAGCTGCCATGAAACATAGACCCATGATAATTAGGAAAAGATATATGGCTGGAATTTCTTGTTTGTACAGAAGGATCATTATTCTAGGGCACTAGCCCTAAGAAAAACAGTGGTTGTGCAAACAAGCCTTCTGACAGTCGATAGTGAGTTGAGAAGGGCAGCTGGGTGGTGGGCTGGGATGCTCCCAGAATACTTGCAGTCACGTACGCATTAACAAAGACATATACTGCATATTTGACAAGCAGCTTCGCTTGGTGAATCATGTCCGGAGTGACAGGGCCATTGTTGTCACTAGAAAAGAGAGAGAGAGGCAGAGTGAAGACTGGAACAATTATCACGTATGCCACTGCCCCATCATACACTGCTACATGCACTGTGGTTCTACAACATTAGGGCTTGGCGAATCTGTTCATTTTGCTTTCATTTTATCTCTTTTTCATTCTGAAGTTCAGCTCTCCACATCAGTCTGTGTTTTTTTAAAGAGTCCCCATGAAAAATCACCAGTATCTGGGTCCAAAATTCTATTATTCACATTTATATGAGCCCCCATGAAAATTCACCAGTATCTGGGTCCAAAATTCTATTATTCACATTTATATATGTAATTCTGAATGATAGACACATTTTTGCAAAGTGTATTTTGCCTAATATTTATATTTTTCCTAATTTAATACATTTTTGTATGCTATTTTCACTAGCCTATTTGTATGCACACTTTAGCTTAGCATATGCATTTTTGTCAGCATTCCATGACTGGAGAACTGCATTCCAAAATTCAGAAAAGTACAGATTTTAAAGGGTGCCTGTGTTTTGGTTTCCATACTGTTTGGGGAATATGGTGGTGAATCAGGTAGATTTGCTTGCAAATGTGAAGTGGGTCAAATTTCTCCCCCATCCCACTGCCTGTTAGAATGTATTAGGGATACTCATGACCTGATTTGTATTTCCTAGACTAATATGCAAATTGGGATGCAGTTATCCTCTAGTTTTCATGCTTCTCAGAATGTTGCAATGTAATTCTTAGCTCAAAAGTGTGGCATATAAAAATGCATTTCTAAATGCATACAGTATGTGCATCTGCGAAAAAAATACATATACAAGTAATGCAAGTTGCTGTATGGTTGTTATTTTTTATCACATGGAAATGAAAAAGAATCAGATGTCAAAGAAATAAACAACTATATGACATTCAGAAGACATCTGAAGGCAGCCGTGTTTAGGGAAGTTTTTAATGACTGATGTTTGAATGCATTTTTAACCTTCTGTTGGAAGATGCCCAGAGTGGCTGAGGAAACCCAGCCAGATGGGTGGGATAAAAATAATAAATTATTTATGAATGGACACTCTCTGAGTCCCATCATTATACATTTAAGGCTGCAAATCTTATGTGACTGTAAGTTTCATTTACCGTAACTCAATGGGACTTACTTCTGATTAGAATTTATTGGGATTGCATTACAAACCAGTTTGAATGTGGCCTAGCCATCATGACAACTGAAGTGAAACTGATTCAAGCTGGTCAAATAGGAACATCTCCCAAGCCAGGCACATCAAACCTTACCTGCCAGCTGTGGCATTGATCTGTATCTCTCTCCCTAGATCTGCATTCTGGGAGACGGAAAAGGTGGCAATGAAAACAGCCTGCAACAGATGATGACACAATAAACGAGTGAGAGGGCAGCCAGGTGTTATTTGGGGAGAGAGGAGGAGTCTACTCTGTTAGAGTAGAGATCCTAACCAGATGACCACAGTTCCCTGGTCCACTTGCTTACAGAAGGACTTTACCTCAGCCCCAGCCCGAAAGATGGGGTGGTTGATGTTACAGGTGGTGTTCCTCATGGGGTCATCCTCTGCTGAAGGGGTAGAAGCACATTTAACAGCCACATTTCTCCTTTTGGACTGCAGTGGGAGGGATCAGATTGGGGAATTGGTTAAGATAGTGAGCAACAAACTTTTAGGCCAGCCCCGATCCCCTGTTGCCAAACTGCCACCTTTTGCCTCTTATACCTTCAAAAACGAGAGCCTGCGGTAGGACAGTGCGGAAGGGTAGAAGAAGGTTATAGTGGTGCCATAGGAATCCTCCCCATCATTCCGAATGAAGACTGTAGCATTGAGCTCAGGGGTCAGGCCCACCACCAGTGTGTCCAGGCTGAAGGAAAAAAAGAAGAGGGTCTCTTCTAAGCTTAAGAAAGTAAGAAGACCCTGCTAAATCAGGCCAAGGGCTCATCCAGACCAGAATCCAATTTTCACAGTGGCAAACCAGATGCCTATAGGAAGTCCACAAGCAGGACCTGAGTGCAATAGTGACTCTTCCCACCTGTGATTCTCAGCAACTGGTATTGAGAAGCATATGACCTTTGACAGTGGAAGCAGATCATAGCCTTCCGGGGTAGTAGCTGCTAATAGCCTTATCCTAAGACAATATGTCTTAGGGCTCAATCCTGCCTGGAAGTCACTCCCTCCATTGTGGAGACCCTGACCCGGCCCACGGAAGCTCAGGGGGGTGGGGAGGGAACACTCTCTACATGCCCATCCTCCTTTGTTACTACATTTATTATTATGTGTTTCAGAGATGAGCCTTGGAAATCAAAGTGTATTCTGCATCTTGGCTCTAATTAAGCCATGAAGAGAGGAAATTATGGGGGGAGGCTAAGAGATGAGACCTAGCATTCTACCCTGCAATGCTCTAACACTGAAGGCACGAGCACCTGAAATGCACCAGGTTCAGTGAGTCTGGGCAGCAGAGTAGGGTGACATGAAGAAGAAAAAAGATACATTACCCTGAGAAATTGAAGGAGGTTTTTAGCTGGTCTTTACAGACTCCATCTGCACCACAATTCTTTTGAAAATGTAGCTGTGAAGAGAAGAAGGGTGGGGTACAGACATGGGCATAGTCAAGGGAGGGTGAGGGGCAGCTGCCCCCTAGGTCAAGTAAAGCAATAGAAATGCTTAACTTAACTGACCAATCACATTGGTTCTGTCCCCCTAACAAAAGTCCTGTCCCCCCAACAAAAGTCCTGCCCCTCACAACAAAAATCCTGGCTATGCCCATGGGTACAAACATTGTCAGAGTTTGAGGATGGGTGAAGCTAGTAACATTTTGTTGTCTAGAGCTGAAATGTGAAAACGTTTTCACATTTCCCACTTTCCTAACCTTCTGGAAGCTGCCTGCCAGCTGTGGGCAGGGCCAAAACCAAAATGGGCTAGGCCACCCCACACACTCTCATACAACAACCTCATGTACTATCTCTCTTCCCTGTGGTTTCCACTCCTACTGTTCAGGTGACTGAGAAAAGGGAAGACTGAAGAGGAATTCCCCACCACCAATTAACATATAGAATGGGGGAGCAGATGGGTGGTGGAAGACAGCAACAGAAGCTGCTACCTCAAGGTGCATGGGACTTCTTAAAGCAACAATGTCTGAAGCAGAAAAGGGGCAATGGAAACCTTTGGGAATCTCCACTTGAAGGCACTCTAGGTGACAACCCTGTCAAGGTAGGTTAGGCTGAGAGAGAGACCAGCCAAAGGTTGCAATGAGTTTCATGACTGAGTGGAAATCTGAACCTAAGTCTTCCTAGGTGTACAAGTCTTCCCTGCACCCTAGTGACAGCCAGCTGCATGTAATAACAGACTATGAAACTTAGGGTTCATCCAAACTTCCACCTAGAAGTTTTTCAAGCAATTTCCCCCTTGCCCTGCTCTGATTGAATTTGCTCTGAATGAATGCTAAAGAGCAGTTTTCTCTAGGGAAAAGCAGTGGAAGAAGAGCAAGTACATTTAGTCAGCTGAACACTGCTGAGATTTTTTTAGCTAGAATGTGGAACCAATGGCCCTTCTATATTGGAGGTTCTTCTTGCTGCTAAAGGAGAGTTTCAGGGAAGACACTTATAGTGTGAAACGGTGAAAAATGGGAAGTGGTAAGAAAGGAAAATGATCAAAGACCATTTCCCTATATAAATTAAGCCCTTCGTCTCTGCCACTTCCATTTACAGACTGATCAACCAGACAGGAAACAGAGAGTGTGTGGACTCACCGGTGCTGTAAATATAGGGGAGCTATCTTTGCTTAGGATGGCTTGCAGGTTGTCAGCACCAGGAATGGGATCTCCAATGAGAGTATAATTCAACCGGAGGTTTATGGGTGTGAAGCTGTCTTCTACGCAGGTCTTGCGTAATGGAGGGGGAGAAGAAATAAAAATAAGTGAGGATCTGCTTTATTTTGTGATTAGAGATGGGAAAGAAATTTGATCCAGGTTTCATTTGAAGCTGAATCTACCAAATTTGCACTTTCCAAAACAGCATGCAAACAGAAATACAGCTATCCCTTGAAATTTGCACTTATCCAAATTTTGCTATGCAGTTTGCCAACTAACCAATGTTTACAAAAATGCATATATTAGGGGAAGTGTACATCACATTGGTGAAAATAGCACACAAAATGTATTACATCAGGGAAAACTTTTTGTAAAATTGTGTATGTTAGTCAGAACTGCATATAAAAATTTGTTTATTAAGAAAAAATGCATTAAAATATGGATTAATTTTCATAACTTTTTTTAAAAATCAGAAATTGCTGCAAAGTGAATTTAAGTGAATTTAAGATTGGAAAAATGAGAAACTGACATTGACAGATCCTTCTATCCCTAGTGGTGACAACACTTGTTTCATGGACCCAAATGCCAACATTTGTCTTTGCTTTAAACATCCACTGGATCTCTGAACTCACCGGCAACTTTATGCGATACTCCTCACAGTGTCTCTTCAGTCCCATTTTTATCTCCTTGGTGATGATGGAAGAGTCTGGGTTTCCGTTAAAAATGGCCCGAACCCTCATTCGACCAGGATCCAAGTTCAACTTGTACTGAATGGTGTTCAAAATGCTGCTGCCTGAGGGAGAGGAATTGAAAAGACAACACAGAGAATAGGATTCTGAGGGATACAGTGTGCTGTGCAGATTCTCTGCAAAGGCCCTTTAGCACAAAATCCTTGTGAACTTCTGATGCTCGTAGCTAAAGCTATGCATCCAGTATTGAGGAATGAAATGCCTACCAAGTTAAGAGGAAGCTCACAATACTAGGTCTTATAACTGGGGGCCATCTCCTTGCTAACACCCTCCCTTCTGGGCTCTCTAGGGGCACTGGACTCAATGAAGGGCTCACATCAAAATCTGGCAGTAGCTTTCAAACAAAGCATTAGAGTTGTGCTCCAGGGTGAAACATTCAGCGCATGTGGGTGTGGAGTAAGCCTCAGGGACTTCACTGTTACCTCACACAAAGCAGAAGTTCACCCGGAGTGTGTCCAATTGTACCAGTATTCCTTTTCAGATGTACATTGCATGGGAAAGTCAGTAGCAGTAAGCAAGCTATCTTGATGGGAAGCTGTCCATCATTAGTAATTGCAACATGGAAGAACTTCTGATAAGTTTCTCAGGGACCCAGAGGATTCTAGGAACACAGTTTGAAAAGCCACAGGAATATGGTAATGATGGGTAATCAAACTGTGTGGCAAGCCAGCTTCTCTGTTGCCCCACTTCTTGTACTGAGGGGTCCTCCTGTCCTCAGCATGTTATGTGCACTGTCAGCTAGCACCCAAGCCCAGCTTACTCCCTCAAAGTGCTTTGGGCCTACCTTGTGTAAACCGAGGATCCATCATAACAGTGAGGCAGACAGTTGCCTTACTGACTTCCTTGTTCAGAACATCCTGGTCCTGGCATTCAAAGGCAGCGATGGGGATCTCATTCGGGGTGAAGGTGATAGTGGGTACTACTCGTACCACGGGCCGAGCCCTGTTGCAGACAGAATGGGGTAGGAATTTGAGTTGGAGGGAGACAAAGGTTCATTACGTAGCCCACTGGGGAGCACAGGGCTAGTGCCATCCGGACATTCCAACCATGGGTTATATTTGCAAAGTGTTTAAAAGAAGTGCATTCCAAACAATTGTCACATGTCCAGTCTGCACATCATCTTGTGCTGTGTGGGACATTTCTGTTGCTGGGATATTGCATGTTCTCAGCATTCAAATGACATGGGAAATGCCATCACCGCCCTGGCTTACTGAGCAGGACTAAGCTGTACAAGAGTTGTGGTTTTGGATGAGGTCTTCAAAGGTGTCCCTACTTGAAGCAACAGCTCGCTTAGACTGTGGATGCCAACTCTGCCATTAAGGGAAGCAGAATGGAAGACACAACTCTGAGGTTCTCCTATATAGGCTTCTTTGTTATCAGTGTGAGCTATGTTCCATGATAATTAATTAGGGGAGGAGTTCTATTTGCATCTCCCACCTCAGCCACCAAAATACATTGGATCAGTCCAGAGAGCTCTTGGCATTCCTGCTTGTGACTGACACTACTACTTGCTCAACCATTTAAAAGGGTTATTTTAATTGATTAGAATTCCTTTTTAAAATTATTAATGAGAGACTGATTACTCTCTAATGTACTACAAAGGAAGTGTGCATGCAGACTTTTTTTAAAAAAGTTGGCTCCAAGAGTCCCGAAGCTCCTTACCTCAGCAGCAGCACTCTTCCTTGAGCCCCCACTGCTACGTCTGGGAGTCCATCTCCAGTCAGATCTCTCCCGGCACCAATAGCCTGGCCAAAGTAATGGAGCCTATTGGGAAGCAGAGAGCCTTGGATGCGCTAGGAGCAGGAGAAAGAAGGAGAGGTTGGTGCCTGAGGTCTCCTTAGAGGAGGACCCTCCAGCAGATCTTCATACCACCAGTGACCCTGAAGAGCCTTTGGATCTAGATGACCTTGTCCCAAGACTGGGGGCCACCCATCCCAGATGTTTTGTTCCTGGCTGGCTCTTGGACTACCCCCATCACCCCAATCTACCCCAGGGGCACAGGAGCTAAAGTGACAGTGAGCCAGGCAGGAACTTCAGGGTTGTTGGAAGTGCCCAGTTAGCTGCACATGAGGCTACTCAGGAGGAGGGGAACATGCATGGAAGTACCTGCCTAGATCATTAGACAGGAAGGGGTGGAGCCTCAAGCTCCTATATAAACTTCCAGTCTGAGCTCCTTCATTGATAAAGTAACTTCTTCAAGCTTCAGCCTTCTTGGACTACCAGACAGTGAAATGACAGTTGCCTGCGCTTCCTGCTATGGAGTAGGGGGGCTGAGGGCTCACCTGGCTATATGCTGGGTTGATGGATCTTCTGCTCCCATGGAATATGTACACAGCTCCTCTGTTCTCATCCTCCATTGGAGCCCCAATGGCCACATCCGTCCATCGGTCCCCAGTTATTTCGCCTATTTCTGCTATGCTGGCTCCAAAGCGGCCCAAGGGCTGTTTGGCTGCCCCCCGCAATTTCTGGCTGCAGAAAAACCCATCCTCCTGGCAAATGATGAAAGGGGACACTTGAGGGGTTGAAACCAAAATAGTTCTGATGAAGTTGTTCCTTCTATTTTCAATCTCCTGGACTATTTGTTCTATGGCACCCCCTTGTGCCAGAAAGGGGACAGACTCAAAGGAATCAAACTAGTAAGACAGTGAATGCCCTGTAATTTATAGAAATTATGGAAGCAGTCCCTTCTGACTTTCATTCTGCACTTCCCATTTTTCCATTTGGCAAGACACTTTGGAGCCCTTGATGAGAAAAAGACCAGCTCACATTGGGCTCTGACCATCCCCATTGGTGGGCGCCAATTACTTTTCCCATCTCTTCATTTCTATAAGTAAAGCAGCTATCTATCTGGTTCTTTGGTGGATGTCCCAGTTCTCCTCTCCCCTGCTATCAGGGCTGGGAAAATCCATGAATGTCATTGAAAAACATGACATTCAAACACTATCTCCCTGCTTCCTCCACCCAGCAACTTGGAAGAGCTGTAATTTGTGCTGTGTGACATCACAACATTCCATGTGTCCTTCCCTGACCTCACTCTACATCATTAGCTGCCAGCTGTCAGCAGCCAGGAGTACAGAAATACAGAACAATGTGATGCCCTATAAAGGGGTCTGTTCCGCTGTTTAATTAGCACTGCCCAGCCTTCCTTCAAACCTCTTGTGCTTTCGCAAAAGAAACCAAAGCACAAAACGTGCTCTAGGAAAGGAAAATACTTTTGATGTCCCACTGCTACAAAAAGAGCTGTGCTCAAACAGGGATGATAGAAAATTCTGATGAAAAGAAAAATGGGAGAAGAAATTGCTGATGTTCGTGTATTCATCCCATTTCTGGAATGGAAACAAATCTAGTGAATACAATCAGTATTCACTGTTGTTGTTGCTTTCAGTCCACAAACGATATGTCACTATGTTCCCCTCTCCCCCACCCGCACCTATGCATTACATTTCTTTTGCAATGAAATGCATAGGCTGAAATAACTTCATGGTAATGTAACTTATGATGTTTATGTGTTTAATTACATATGTACACTCTGAAAGTTATGGAATTTTGCCACATTGAACAGTGAGACAAATAGCATAGTTTTGGGTGGGAGTTAAACTGCAGCGGAACAGAACAGTGCTGCATTCAATAAATACAGGGTGGAGTGGGAAAGGATGCCTTCTTACATCCCTGCCCTCAAATAACTGCTCTTGGTAGTTGCCTTGTGCCACCAAGTACAAAGGGCAAGCCTGCATTCCCCTTCACCTACCTGCCTCTCGCAGATGTAGACCACTCCTCCTGCCATGCCGTCATAGTACATGGGAGCACCAATAAGAACCAGATCTGTGTTTTTGTCTCTATCAAGGTCCACGGAGCAAAGCGTAGCACCAAAGTAGGAGCCAATCTGGGGGGACTAAAAATCACCATTGTTAAACTTTTTCCATTTCTTGATCTCCCTGACCCCAGGCATTTACACATCCTTCTCTTCTTCTTTTCCCCATCCAGTGGACTCTCCCATCCATTCATTCATTGCCTGGGGCTAAAAGAGAGGGAGATTTATACTGTAGGCAAACATGGTGCAGCAGGACATTTCAAACGTTTTGAGACAGATGTAGCTGTCATGGCTTCCCACAAAGAACAGTGGAGACTAAAGTTTTATAATGTTGCTAAAGGTTTCATATGCTAACAGTGCCCAGAATTCCCTAGGTGAGAGTAATGACAGTTAAAATGGTTTGAAATGGCAACCAGTTCATTGTTTGCAACTACAACACTTCCAGGATTGAACACCTTGCCCAAGTCTCTAGATACTTCAAAAGTTACTTTTGTTGTTGTGGTACTTATAAATCAGGAACAGGGAACCTTGTTCTGCCTGAGGGCCACATTTCTTTCTGAGAAACTTTCTGGGGGCCACCTGCCAGTAATAGGTGGGACCAGAGGCAAAAGTGGGTGGAAAAATAAATGTGACTGCTACCTTTGTACAGTAGGCTAGTTTCTTCACACCCTCTCTAGCCTCCATCAAGGAAAGCAAGAAGCCTTATCATAGCTCAATGGCACATTCAAGTCAGGCACAAATATTATGGATTTATGACTTCCCCTAAATTCATGGGACCAAAGGGTGCTAGAATTTAATCAATGCTTGGGGTGTTAACCTGGGTGCCAGACATGGGATTTAGCAAGAGTTAAAATTTAAAACCAGTCAGCTTCCCAAGTTCAGGAAATTGTCTGGGAGAAGAGCCACTAAGGAGAGCAAAAGGAAAGTGATGGGCCATTTAAAAAATGTCAAGGAAAGGAGATTCTGTGCCAGACAGCTCTTGTGTTTGAATCCAAAGCTGCAGCTATGGGAGAAGCAAGAGCCTCATGGGGCCTTGATGCTGTGAGTCCCTTCATTGTAGGCTCAGGTTGTATACAGTGGTACCTCTGGTTGTGGACGGGATCCATTCTGGAGCTCTGGTCAGATCCCAAGGTTTTCACAACCGGAGGTGCCTATTCTGCACATGTGCGTGGCTCGGTAGAGCGCTTCTGCACCTGCGCGCATGGCTAAACCCAGAAAAATACTTCCGGGTTTGCTGCATGCATATCCCGAAGGATACGTAACCAGAGGTGCTAATAAGTAGAGGTTCCACTGTATGTGTAAATAAACCTTATATCATAAAGGCACCAAAGTCTCCACTGTGCCTCATTGCTGAAAGGAAACATGAACTCTGGGTTAGCGTTTCTGGAACTCCTTGGAATCTCACACCACTCAGAGATTGGGGATGGCATGCAACATTACTTAAGCAGGGGCCAAAGCAGATGAAGTGAGGGGTGAGGCTAATGAGAGTGTATGGCCCGGGGAGTCTTGAGGGCCAGATAGTGAGGTCTGGAGGTACACATGTGGATCTCTGCCTGGGGTTCCATAAAATATAAAGACTGAGGCTCTGTTCTGTTATTCAAATGTACAGTGAGAATTAAAAACAGTTTGTCAGAATTAAGGGAAGTCATTTCAATGGGAGATCCTGCTTTGTGGGCTGCATGGTCAACTTTAATTGCCACAGGCAAAGGAAACATGCTCAGATATGCACTGACACAACCCACAGTTCATCCCAAAGCCTTCTTACCTCCTTTGGAGACAACTCTGATGTCTTCTGCCACTGCAAATTTTGTCGGCTGAACAAAAAGACTTTGCCAGCATGTTGGTAGCGAGGGGCTCCTACCACAAAGCTGCTCTGGCCATTCACTTGAACCATCTGCATCACATAACCTTGTAGGGACACAAAGGCAAGTGAGACAGGTACAAGGAGAAAACATAGCTGCATCTGGCAATGACAGAATCTCCTCTATAGTTCTATATTTATTTATTTAATTAATTTCTATACTGCTTTATATTTTTAAGAAATATCTCAAAGCAGTTTACAGCACATTAAAACATCAATAAAACATGATTCGATTGCAGCGAAGGAAGGTGATCCATGCTCTTTACTTGACCCCCACTCTTGACATCGCTAATGGCCACTGTTTCTCTTCCTCAGCTCCACCAGGCAAGGTGCTAAGTACCACAGACATCTTTCCCCACTGATCAGGGACCGTTGCCCCAGCCATGGGCAAAGGCGACCCGAACAAGCCCTGGGGCAAAATGTCCTTGTACGTTTATTTCGTGCAAACGTGCCGCGAGGAGCATAAGAAGAAGCACCTGGACACTTCAATCAACTTTTTTGACTGCTCCAATAAATGCTCCAAGAGATGGCAGACAATGTCAGCAAAAGAAAAAGACAAGTTTGAAGACATGGCAAAGGGTGATAAACTTCGTTATGACAGGGAGATGAAAAATTATATTCCTTCTAAAGGGGAGAAGAAGAAGAAAAAAGGACACCAATGCCCCACAAAGACCACCACCTGCTTTCTTCCTCTTTTGTTCTGAGCATCACCCAAAGATAAAGTGACCACCCAAGTATGTTTATTGGCAAAGAAACTAGGAGAAATGTGGTCTGAGCAAACAGCAAAAGACAAACAGCTCTTTGAGCAGAAGGCAGCAAAACTAAAGGAGAAGTGTGAGAAGGACGTGCCAAGGGGAAGGGTGATGCAGGAAAGAAAGGTCCAGGTAGGCCAGCAGGCTCCAAGAAGAAAGTAGAACCTGAAGAGGAGGAGGAGGAGGAAGAAGATGAAGAAGAGGAGGAAGGTGAGGAGGAGGAAGATGAAGAGTGAAGTTATAAAGCTGCTGTAAAGATTTTGTGCTCAAAAAGTCAATGATTTTGCTAAGAATGTGAAGTCGAGTGCAGCTCATTGTTAGCTTCAGTATAAAAACTGTACAGAATTGTATATAGGTAATGTAGGTAGGGAGACCTGTATTCTAATGTAAGTAGTAGCTAAATGCCACTACAGTTAGATTTTTAAAAGCTGATATTGTCAAAAGTTCAGGGATATTTAATGGTCCTTTGGATTCAGTGACAGCTTGGTTTTGAGCATTTTTTTAAAAAATTGTAGTAAAATTGGTAGTCAACCTTGTCTTGCATACTATTGCATTGTATTACATTTTTAACAATTTTGTAATAAAATGATGAACATTATTCTTGTTACTATACTGTAGTGTTAATTTGCTTAAACAGCTGGAGAGTCTAATGTATGCCTGTAGTAATGTCATGAAGGGTAAGATAACCTTAAAGCAGCCTTCTCTAAATTGGTATGCTCAAAACATTTTGAGCTGCAACTCATTTTCCTTGAGAGTTTACTGGATTTAATGACATTTGTCCAGAACATTAATAAGGCATGAGGTTGGAGAAGGCTGACTTAAAGGAGAAGCTATATTAGACTTAATTCATGTTGCGACTTTTGAGACTGGAATAATTACAAGCAACTTTCTCCTAATTTTCACATAAAGCAGAAGTGGGCAACCTGTGGCCCTTCAGATGTTAGACAACAATTCCCTTCCCTGACTATGCTGATGATAGTTATTCAGGAATAAGTGGAGGGCCAGAGGTTCCCCACTCCCAATTGTACAGCATTGCAAATGTTCCTCTTTATAACTAGAACTGTATATCACATGCCTCTTAAAGTGGTACTCTAAAGTGGGGCTTGTAGTATGAAAAGTCTTGTGTAAGTTCAGACCTAAAAAGTATGTAGGAGAAAATTAAAATGTCAAAGGAGCCCAATTCTATAAACAGGGATAGCTAACCTGTGGCCCTCCAGATGATGTTGGATTCCAACCCCTATCAGCCCCAGCCAGCATTGCTAATGGTCAGGGATGATTTGAACTATAGTCCAGGTGGTGCTGTGGGTTAAACCACAGAGCCTAAGACTTGCCGATCAGAAGGTTGGCAGTTCGAATCCCTGAGACGGGGTGAGCTCCCGTTGCTCAGTCCCAGCTCCTGCCAACCTAGCAGTTCGAAAGCATGTCAAAGTGCAAGTAGATAAATAGGTACCGCTCCAGCGGGAAGGTAAACGGCGTTTCCGTGAGCTGCTCTGGTTCGCCAGAAGCAGCTTAGTCATGCTGGCCACATGACCCGGAAGCTGTATGCCGGCTCCCTCGGCCAATAAAGCGAGATGAGCGCCGCAACCCCAGTCGGTCACAATTGGACCTAATGGTCAGGGGTCCCTTTACCTTTTACCAGTAATATCTGGAGGGTCACAGATTAGTCACCTCTATTATAAAGGGGTGACTTCTCTGAACTTCCTACCAGATACCGTACTAGACAAACACATCCAGCACTTCATGCAGAGCCTTAGAGCACAAAAAAGAAATAATATTTGTTTTTGACACTTACCGAGATAAGCATCTTTCATATCCTTAGTGGAGCTGGGCACATCAATAAAGGCTGGTTTATCAGGGTCCCCATATAGGAAGAGTCCTCCAGACCAGTCATTGGCTCCTACTGCCCCCAAAATGGGTCCAACCTAATTCATCACAAGGAGTGGAAGAGATAATAATACCAAATCAGCAAAGAAGAGATGGTGTTAACCAGCAGGAGGGGATAATCCTAAAATGTAGACTGCATGAGCACTCTTATTATTATACTAGAGTATTATTTTTTTAAAAAAATGTTTACTTTTTGAGGAGCCAGTTCTACGGTCACAATTGCATTGACCTTGCTTGGTCAAATCAGGTCTCCAAGAGTCATCCCAACACTGGATTGGCCAGACCAATTCATGTCCCAATCAGGTCAGGCTTCCAAGAGGACTTAACTCCAAAAACTTACCTAGCTCTTCAAAAGTTGGAACCGTATATATTCCATTTTGTGTTAGCAGGAGTTCATTCTGTCAGTGATTTGCCATATCTTCATAACCAAGTGGGCATTTGAATCTGGAGTCCTGTACAACCTAAATCTAAATTTCAGTGTATCAGGCTGGTCCTCTACGTGCCCAAATTTAGCTTGTTTTGGAGGATTGGGATGAGAAAGCTGAGATTTATCAACCTACAAAAAAGGAAGAATAGGTAGGGGATTGAAGTGACTCACCGGGGTTAGCAAGGCACTGAATCCCTCTTGGGACATCTCATACTGGAAGGAGCTTTGGGATGTACCACCTTGGGAATGTGTACCTGCAGACGAAAGATGGGAAGAAAGAGATGCAGGGTGGTAGAACTTGAGAGCTAAGGGGTAATATCTAGCTAACTGAGGATGGAGTCTTGTAGACAGAGGTGAAACCTCATCCTATTGGTGTGGCAGAGGGTAGCCTCTGGTTGATCAGAACAAGACCCTAAATGGAGAGGGAAGGTGCAGAGAGAATGTTAAACCCTCTCAAACCAAGCAGGAAAATGTCTGCTCCCTCACATAGATATTCTACTACACAGGTGAGAAACTAACCAGTAGGCCAAATCCTAATCCTCTCACAGACCTGCAAGCCTAGTTTACACATACCAGTCACTTTATGCCGGGTGACAACATCACCTTCAAAGTCCATTTGCTTTTAAACAAACTGCTTGGAAATTGACTTCAAAGTGAAAGCAGTCATGCTTTTTCCTGCCTCCCACCTGACATCAGGGTTTGAGGTAGTTGGGTGTGGTTTATGGGGAAACAGCATTGTTTTGGGTCAAGTTAGGACCCTGCTGGGCCTAATTTTCTCCTAATGTTATCCCTTAGAGTTTCCTAATAGACAATTCTCAAAAGTTGGCCAAAAATATCTGGATTTTTCAATATCAATATAATTATATATTACTCCAAATTATGGCAATGGCAGGACATGTAAATCAATAGATAGGTTATCTATTGCATAGGTATTTATGCAGTACCTAAGATCAGATTAGATTCAAGCAGAAAGATTTATGTCTCCTCTTCTCCTCATACACCTTGATTCCTGATTGCCAGCCTTGTGTCTTTCAAATGTTTTGGTCTACAATTCCCACCAGTCTGTACCAAAACATCTGAAAGGCACCATGTTGGTGAAGGCTGGAGTAGACAATGGAATGATACTATGTGACATGGTATTCAAGAGAGGTCCCTAGATAGCCAGCTTTATGTAGTGGTTAGTGTTAGACTAGGACCTAAAGGCCAAGGTTCAAATCTCCACTCAGCCATGAAGCTGAGTGGAGATTGGGTTAGTCACAGCCTTTTGCTACCTCACAGGGTTGTTGTGAGGGTTAATTGAGGAGGAACTTTGAGTTCTTTGGAGAAAAAGGTGGGATATAAAAGGTAGTTGAAGTGCTGGCATCCAGAGCCTGTAACAGTATGCTAATCTGAACTGTTTCCATGCTTTATTCCTGCAGATCATGGCATCAGTGCAGTTGGCATAGCTTAACGTAAAAAGAAACCTCCATTAGGAGCTATTTTAACTCTGTTACTAGTTCTTCTCTTGAACGTGACCTGGAACCTACAAGTAAATATCCTCACCTCCTAATATTTAATATAAAGATGAGCACACTAATCTTGTGTTACCAACCATGTTTAATTATTACCTCTTGTAAGAAAGAACTAGACATATACCTCATAACAAGCCTATTTGTCGTCATGTGAATGTGAGCTGTCTCCATTTCATTTAGGCAGGGTAATGGTCAATAAAATATGGACTAGATTCATGTCCAGATTTGGACTGAGTTAGAGTCTCCCAACCACAAGTCAAAAGCTACAGATCTTAGCATTATCTCTAGATCCCTAGAACCACCTGCTGCATTCGGTACCTTCAATGGCAAAAATTTTATCCTCAAGCTTGTTCTGGATGTCCTTGAGAGCATTAAAGTTGTTCACAGAGAAAACATGGTCCGAGGGCGGGTAAGAGGCAATTGTGTTGAGCTCTTGCCTTGGTTTGCCTTGAGAAAAAGCTGCTCCAACCTTTAACAGCATGCCAGAGAGGAGGGGGAGGGGACAAAGTAGAGAATGAAATGTACTGAAAGTAATGATGCCACCAAACTTTGTAACTGCCTTGCTTAGAATACAAATCTGGCATATAGTAATACATATCTCAACTTTGAACTGTGTCTATTTCTTCCATGGTTCTTCTCTACTGTCGATTGCAATCCGAGCTAAGAAGAACTCTCAACTTCCACTCTCAAATATATGGCTGGCCCCTATGGAGAGGGAGGTCTCTCTCTTGCCCTTATCCTTCTGCAACTCCCTCCTCCACCTTTGTTTTACTCCAGCCTCTTGTTGGTGGCTGAAATAAAGCCATTCATTCATTCATTCATTCATTTATATGCCGCTTTTAATTTTTATTATGGTGTCATCACCGCCAGGGATGGCCCATCCCATTTCACCATCTGGGGCAAAACAGGAATCCATAGAAATGTAGAGTTGGAAGGGACCACAAGGATCATCTAGTCCAAACCCTGCAATACAGGGATCTTTTGCCCAATGTGGGGCTTGAACCCATGAGATTAAGCATCTCATGCTCTACCAACTGAGCTATCCCAGTTGCCACCTTCTGTCTTTCCACTAGCCCCATGCTTCTGCTGCCACCACACCCTGGCTCTCTCTGAACTCAGTGGGAGCTGGAGCACTCCTCAAAGTATTGCCACTCTGCTTCTGCCATTGGGGAGGGGGAGCCAAACGTGGTGTGCAGGAACGCCCCAGCTCTTGCCAAACTTGTCAGGAGCCAGGGCACTCCTCATAGCATTGCTGCTCACTTGATTTCTCCACTTAGGGCAGGGAAGACAAGCAGCAACACCACATGCTGGAACACCTCTCTCTTGTTGGTGAAACTAGTGGAGTGCTGCTTCTTGCATTTCTGCCACCTGAGGTGGGCATTTCACCTTCCCTCATGGGCAGGCAGGCTCTGATCACAGGCATTTAGAAGAAATACCTTTTTTTGGAATTTTTGAGAGAGAGAAAATAAATTTCTTTCTATTTGCTCTGTCCATACTGTTTCAATTCATTGCCAACTGACCAGAAGAAAATAGAGCAGCCTGCTTTTAACCACAGCTTGATTCGCCAAAATGAAGAGGTGAAGCTTTTTTCAGAATTAAAATAGTCCATCTTGCTAATAACTGTACACCATGCTGGCATAACAGGTACAGGAGGCAGGGAGGGGGAGTTGGTTTTACTTATTCCACTCTTCTAACCTGACTTCCTTGTAATGTCTTGTGGATTTGCTTCTTAGTTTTCTTACCCCAATGGCAAAACGGATGATGCCAGCATTGTCAGCCTCTGGTATCACGTCACTATACTCCAGCTTGTCTTCAAATTTCTCTCCATCTGTTATCACAATGAGAATCTTAGAGGCACCACTGCGGGATCCTTTTGCTGGGACAAAGAGCTCACGCCTGGTGGTGGGGAAGGAATATGAAGGCGAAACAATAAACAAAACTCTTTCTCAGACACATCATTGAGTTCTAAAAACGTGACATACAAATCAAAGCTGAGTAAGCAATAAAGTGAAATGTTATAAATAAGCAGCAAACCAAGTAGCAAACAAAATAAGTGCTTAAAACTTAAGGATTTTAAGTGTGTGGGGTGTGTGGGTGTGTGGAATCAACACCAATCAGGTCTAAAAAAAGATCAGAGAATAACACAGGAAAAAACTCTGGAATACCAGTGTTTCAGAAATTACATGATGCGGATCCTTTTTAAAAAGTGACTGAATGAAAGATGATGTAAGGGACTAGACTGAAGAGCAATGGTGGAGCCCCCCCCCCCCCGCCCCTGAACCTTCCCAAGAAGAGGAGGACAGTATAGATTTACAATGGTAGTTTGCAGAAGGTCATGACCCTGAGACATGACAGCGCTGGGAAATAATGGAAGGGGAGGAGGGGGAAGCAGCAGATCCAGAACAGCTGGCTGAGACGTTATCATTAGCATTTCCAACCCCACTTCTCCTAGAACCAGGAGGGCTGTAAAAGTGGAAGAGCAGAATGCAAACAGACAAAGGGCCTCATGCAGCCACCGTAGAAGGGGTGACGCTGCAAATGACATAAAAGGAGGGAGGAGATTACTCAGAGCTACGCTATTGATTAATTAGGGAGTACATTCCTTTCTCTCTCTGTGTAAATCCTGAATAAATTACGTGGTAAGCACTCTTCTTGTTACCTGTTTGGGTTTTTTTGGTTTTGGGGGTTTTTTTGCCGCCAGTGGGGGAGGGAAAGGATTCCCTGAACCCTGACAGATGATAATTCCAAACTGAATGGAAGCACACAGTATCTTATGCAGAAACAGATGAACACAAAGGAGATACTTACACCACTTTCTGTATAAATGTAGCTGTGTGAGTAGTCCCGAACAGTTGTCTAACTGGTATAAGAAGTGTATTGGGATCTCGAGTGTTCTTGAACTGAAGAAAGTTGAAGTGTTCTTGATATAGGTTTGAATACTGGGCCAAGGCAAACTAAAATGGGAGTGAAAGATGTTAGATACAGCAGCTAAGTGGAAACTGAGGAAAGGATTTGGATACATGATGAAGAAGAAGAAGAAGGAGAAGAGTTTGGATTTGATATCCCGCTTTATCACTACCCGAAGGAGTCTCAAAGCGGCTAACAATCTCCTTTCCCTTCCTCCCCCACAACAAACACTCTGTGAGGTGAGTGGGGCTGAGAGACTTCAGAGAAGTGTGACTGGCCCAAGGTCACCCAGCAGCTGCATGTGGAGGAGCGGGGAAGCGAACCCGGTTCCCCAGATTACGAATCTACCGCTCTTAACCACTACACCACACTGGCTCTCTGGCTCCCTATGAGGGAAATAATGTACATGAAGTGTATCCATTTGGCTCTGTTTTGAGGAATGATCAGAAAGCTGCAACCAAAGCTGTATAAACTCTCATCTGACACAGTATCCAATTTGAAGCAGAACCCAAATTTTGTGGGAAGAAAATCTGAAGCCTGCAACCTATGTAAGTTCTGCACATTAAGCAAAGTTGCCTCCATTTGCAATACTAAATTGAGTTTCTAGTAAACCTAGGAAGGGTTTAAAAAGTTGTTCAAGTCACAAAAAATCTGCTCAGTCAGTGAGCCACTAGAAACCCTAACAAGAATATGGTCATGTTACTGCTTACTCTACATCCAGTGCATTCACATTGCATGTTTTCTAAGCCACATTCACACTATATTAGCCATAACCTATGCTGATCCTGTAGTTTCCTGACAAATACAGCAGTTTGATGCATGTCTTTCCTCAAACCAGCTTCAATTTGACTAGAAAACTGGGTGCGGAGTAAGCAGTAGTGTGAATATTTTGGACACCCTTCACGGATGCGCAGAGGAGCGCATATGCACAGATGACAGCTTTGTGAATATGAGTTCTCTCTGTGTGTGCGTGTGTGTGTGGAAGGGGCGGAGAAATCAGAAAGGCCATGTGTGTTGGGTGAAGACATACTTGCCTCTTCTCCGATATGAGCAAAACTGTGCAAATGTGGTTTGAAATGCAGTAGGGGAAAATGACTTTACTTATGTAAAGATTGCCTAAGACTCTGTTTGACTGCTCAGATTTCAACAGGACTTTCCCACATATATTTAAGTGCAGTCATAACGGATAGAAACCAGCTTTAAATAAATAGAAGAAAGAAAGGAAAACAGAACTCTAAAATTCCCAGGATATGTAAACTATGTATGTGCTTCTTTGGCAGAATTGCTGAATCATGGAATACAGCCTGGTAATGTTGTTGTTGTTTAGTTGTTTAGTCGTGTCCGACTCATCATGACCCCATGGACCAGAGCACACCAGGCACTCCTGTCTTCCACTGCCTCCCACACTTTGGTCAAACTCATACTGGTAGCTTCGAGAACACTGTCCAACCATCTCATCCTCTGTCGTCCCCTTCTCCTTGTGCCCTCAATCTTTCCCAACTTCAGGGTCTTTTCCAGGGAATCTTCTCTTCTCATGATGTGGCCAAAGTATTGGAGTCTCAGCTTCAGGATCTGTCCTCCCAGTGAGCACTCAGGGCTGAAGCCTGGTAATGGATCTCTGGATATGAGAATTTGCCCAACTCACAGTGGACCTTTGAATTGACATACAGTGGTACCTCAGGTTAAGTACTTAATTTGTTCTGGAGGTCCACTCTTAACCTGAAATTGTTCTTAACCCGAAGCACCACTTTAGCTAATGGGGCCTCCTGCTGCTGCCGCACTGCCAGAGCACGATTTCTGTTCTCATCCTGAAGCAAAGTTCTTAACCTGAAGCACTATTTCTGGGTTAGTGGAGTCTGTAACCTGAAGCGTATGTAACCTGAAGCGTATGTAACCCGAGGTACCACTGTATACTGATATGGCATGATTTTCGCTGTTACTGATATGCATTCAAGTGATGGGCACAATTAGATGAAACCTTATCCAATAATAACCAGTAGTTCTGTCCTATTATTGCTCAGTTTTGAAGGGGAGTTGTGAGTTGAGAATTAAACTAGTTTTTAAAATACATCATTCATAGTGTCTACTCTGACATAATTGGCATTTTTTGAATGTTGCCATGATTGACTGTGTGATGTTGGCAGGGTAGAAATTGGAATTTGAGACTGACCAGATGGATGGACAATATTTTAAAGTGAGCTATAGGAAGCCCCTGCTGATGAAGTGTCTCAGTTCCAGCTGACCAAGCACTAAGGCAAGTTAAGCAGACATATGAGTCCAGAAACACATTTGTTCTGTTGAGGCCAAGGTAGCAGACCTGGAAAAGCTAAAAGAGGCATGAAACCTTCAGTAGCTGTGCCCCACTCCCTTAATGATAGTTCCCCTGCTGTCAGAGAGAATGAGGGTCTTGGGGAAAGGAGAGCGTCATTTTGAGGAAGAGGGAAACATTCCCTTAGAAGGGACCTATTCCTTGTGGGACAAACAGCTATCCTCTCATCCTAAGATACAGTATTTTTCACTCCATAAGACGCACTTTTTCCCTCCTAAAAAGTGAGGGGAAATGTGTGTGCGTCTTATGGAGCGAATGCAGGTGGGAGGCAGGCGGGAAAGGCCCCCAAGAGCTGCACACAGGCTCCACGCAGCTCTTGTGGGATTTTCTATGAGGTGGGAGAAGGGCACTTTAAAGAGCGTGTGGCTCTTGGGGGCTTTTCCAGGAGGTGGGGGAAGGGACAGAGGGCAGCCCCTCAGTCCCTTCCCCCATCTCCTGGAAAAGCCCCCAAGAGCCACGCTCCCTTTCATGAGCTGTATGGAGCGTGTGTGCGGCTCAGCGCTCCCTTTAAAAATATTTTTTCTCTTGCATTCCCCCTCTAAAAACTAGGTGCGTCTTATGGTCGGGTGCTTATGGAGCAAAAAATACAGTATTTCTCTGGGGGTGGAAGGATCCTGTAGCGGGTGATTAAATTATTAGAAAGTGTGTGATGGGCATAGCACCACAAGGTGAATTGCCTGCCTGGCACAAAAGAGAGATGTTGTCCTTTACCTAGATAGCCTGGTAGATAGGGAGGAATCAGTGGTCATGGTGCACATTGGCACCAATGACATAGGGGAAATGTGGTTGTGAGTGAAAGAGCAGTTAAATGGCAAATGCAATTCAATGTAAACAAGTGTACAGTGATGCCTGTTTGGGCAAAAACATCTTAATTACACATACACACTCATGGGGTCTGAACTGGCACTGACTGACCAGGAATGATACCTTGGGGTTGTAGTAGATAGCTCAATGAAAATGTTCACTCCATGTGAAGAAGATGTGAAAAAGGCAAAATCCATGCCAGAAACTGAAAAGAAAACTACCCCACACCCCAATGTTACCTGGGTGTCAGTATTTTCAAAACGCTTTATGACCTCCGATATAAATGTCTTCATTTGTGGAAACTCGTGGCGCTTGATGCTTCCTGAACCATCTATCAGAAACACTATGTCAGAGCGCTGATTTGAACATTCTAGGAGAGGAAACACCAGTTAAATGGTGGAGAGGTGAGATTGAGGCATGTAAAAGAGGGGCACAAAATCAAGAAACTTACATAACACTTGTGTCATCATGCTATACAATCACAATTATTTTTTTTTAGGTGGGGGTACCTCTGGCTACTAGTGGTTGTAGTGGGAAGGCCTACTGATATTTCCAAGCTAGTTAACCTGTTCAGCTGACCCAATCTTTTTTTAAAAAAGGTCGTATTTAATGTTAGTTCTACTCAGAGTGGACCCATTGAAGTTAATGGATATGACTAACTTAAGTTCATTGAGTTCAGGATTTATTTGAATACTATCCAAAGTCTGACCAAAGGGTTGCCACCTTTTTTACCAAAGAGGTGGTCCTGTGTGGTGATAAGCAGTAATTTAACAGGCAAATCTTCCCCGTCATTGCACTCCCATGCTTGAAAAAGCGTATCTAGCTGAGTTTCTACATGTTAAAAGTAGAAAACCACTGCCAGAAAACCTGTGATCAACATTCACCAATGCACATAACTACTACAACTGATACCTGGGACTTCCATATATCCTGTTCCCAATCTCTGTTTCCTCCCCCAGCCTCTAGACATTCAGGCCAGTGAGTTGTTTAAACACTAGTCCTTCCCTTCCCTTGCCATTCCATCAGTGGTATCTAACTTTGATATTTGCTCATTCCTTCCTTGCACCTCAATCTCACCTGTTTGGTTCTTAGGAAAGTGTTGTATCTCCCTCAAATTTTCATCCAGGTGAAAGCAATAGCCCTTGAGGTATATGTTTTTCCCACAGGTCTGATGGACTGTGGGACCACACACCTGCAGAACCAAGACAGTCATCAGTAATGGTGAGGAGATGGTAAGGATAAGTTAGTTAGTTAGCTAGTTAGCTAGTTAGCTAGTTAGCTAGTTAGCTAGTTAGCTAGTTAGTTAGTTTATAGAGTTGGAGTTCAAACCTGTGCAGATACCATACTACTAGACTTGAAAATCTTGTACAGTTATGCTCAGATGTGTGGAGACTAAGCTGGCAACTGGTTAACTGAGCTAGAATAAAAAGGCATTCTAGATATGCTCAAAGGCAAGCCCTTCTTAAATGAAACCCTGGCATTAGATGAGGTTCTAAGGGGGGAGCTGAACCCAAGCCCTGGCATAGTGAGACAGAAAGGCACGATGGTAAAGTGTCAGTTGTTGGGGAGGGGGTTGTGCCATGGGGCAGACAAGGCAGACATTTGAAAGAAAATTCCAAACCCAATTATCTTGATGTAGTGATCTGTTGAGCATGTTCCTCACAGCAGCATTTCACTGTCACTATAGTCAAAGGTTTTTCACCCTGCTGCTACCTTCCTTTCCACGGGTCATCGGGAAAGTTTTTGCAACTTCCTAAGGAAATTAAGGAATTATTTAGGGAACTTAAGGTTGGATGTAGGGTTGTGAAATAACTGAGAGGGTTCCTTCGCTCACTTAAAAAATATAAGAAGAGCCTTTCTGGATCAGGCCAATGGCCCATCTAGTCCAGCATTTTGTTCTCACATTGACCAACTAGATGCCTGCGGGAAGCCTGAAAGAAGCACCTGAATGAAACAGCAATTCTCCCCACTTGTGATATCCAGCAACTGGTATTCACATTATGAGTCCATGATATACCTACAAGTAGGGTGGTACAGAATTAAGAAGCGGTGTTTCAGAAAGAGAAAGAGAAAGAGAAAGAGAGAGAGAGAGAGAGAGAGAGAGAAAGAAAGAATATTCTGAGGTAAATCTTGACAGCTTGTAGTGTTATGAAGTTGCAGGCCTTTTATTAGCAGCTGCTTTTTGACATTATTATTATTGCTTAGTGGCATATCTGAGAGTTTAGTCAGTTAGGGAGTTGAAGGGAAGACACACCAGAGAAAAGCTATGGGGAATACTGAGGCCTGGAGGTGTCCACCCAGTATATTATCAATACTTTTCTAGGGAAGATCAGGGGAAGGGAGGTGATGACTGAGTTGGTCTTAAGAAGCTGCCCTGCATAAAAGTCTTATCAGAGGAAGGTGACACAAGTGGCTTTTTAAAAAGTTGGCTAAACTGTCCAAACAGCCTGGAGTACAACCAGAGGAGCTTTGGGGTACAGATTGTCCCCAGTGGCTGCACTGGGTGGTGGGAGTCTTTGTCTGTGGTGTTTTTTGGAAATTGACCTGAGGTAAAAGAGTCTTCGGAAAATGCCAACAAGCACCTTTAAGTCTCTAATGTGTCACTATCACTTTATGTATATAGTATCCCCTTAATAAACCAATAATATTTGTTAAAAGATCATCCTGTTAGTGTCCATCTCATGCCTAAGCTTACCATCCCAGTTACTAGGAGGCTATTGAAAGGAAAATTAAAGAAGCACAGATACCTAAACTTGTGTTTATACAGGTACTTCTGAGGGAACCTGTATCCCTGACATGGACTTTGCTGCTTACCAGCAACTGGGAGTCTTGGACAGAGACAGACATACCGAGAGACATGTTCACAGCATCAATGGGTCCTGAAAGGAGAAATGTGTACTAAGGTGATAAGGCTAACAGAATATTACCATTATCAATGCAAGAACACTTGTTTGTTATTAATAGAGCATTTATATTACATCATAGGCTGAAACTCTATGCAAATTTACTTGCATTGTTTTAGTTTTAAACAAACAAATGTTTGACTGACTACTTGGGAGTAAACCTCTTTGAGTACTGTAAATAAATATGCATAGGCTTGGCTTGTTTTCTCTTGGCAAACATATTTAAATAATCTTTATGCCACAGCGCAAAAGTGTTAAGTAGAAATATATTTCAGACTCATGGAGAAAGCAGACAATTGTTGCCTAAGAAACCTGCCAATAGCTTTTTCTTAAAAAAAATATGAATGCACCTACAGATGTTATTTCATTAGCCAGCAATCCCTATGAAGTAGTTATAGCCAACTATTAATCCCTGAGTTTCTAAATATTTATTTTCTTTCTTTCTTCCCTTTGCTCTGGCTTTTCTTCCCTCAGAAACTCTAACTAGCCTCACAGCTTCTAATCGCCCCTCCCCGCTTCAAATTCTAACTGACACTTAACGGATTTTAACTGCCTTGGAATGCTCCTGTCAATCAAAAGTAGCTCCATATGCCAATGTTCTCACAGGGCTAAGGCAGGCATGGGGAACCTCAAGCCCTGAGGCTGAATGCAGCCCTATAAACATCTCTATCTCAACTTTGGGACTGTTCCCAGGCCACACTCCTCATCTGTCCTGCTCAGGGCCTTGCCTGGATGGTTTTGCCTGACCAGAATGTGTTCTTGAACTTTCACAATCCCCCTTGCACATTGTTATCATTAGTGCATCTCTAAAAGCATACCTCAGCATCTCTCTGACACACAAAAATGGGGACGAAACAGGGGCACTGTTCTACTATGGGGCGGTACCACAAAACCTAAGTTCCTGGACCACTGGGGATGTTGAAAAATATGCATCTTAGGAATTCTGACTTCTCCTGACATTCTGACTTTAAACAGTGGTCAAATTAGACAATACAGTAATGCCTGAAAACATTTCCATTACTTTTTAAAAATTGCTTTTAAAAATAGCAGCAGTGCGGGACCTCAGACCAGATACAGACTGCAATGTAAACTCTTCAATGCCATTGCCTGAATGCAAAGCTTTACTCCAAATTTTCTTCAGTCTGTTTCTTGCACCTGGTAGTGCCATTAGATATATGTAGAGGCTGCAGATGCACCATACATTTTAAAGCACTTCCCACGAAGAATCCTGGGAACTGTAGTTACTCCCCACAGAGCCACAATTCCCAGCACATTTAACAAACTACAGTTCCAAGGATTCTTGGGGGGTGCTTTAAATACGTGGTCTGTACGCAGCCTTAGACTCTGGACTTGGTAGTCTTGTTGGAAAGGCTCCAGAATCACTTCCAAATGTTGTAAGCTAAGTTTACCAGATTTTTTTCAATGACTCCAGGGACACTTTTCAACTTCAATGGATTTTGTATGGGGACTGATTTGTAAATCCAAGGACTGTCTCAAGGAAACAGGGACGTCTGGCAACCTTATGGTAAGCTAGCCTTGCAATGTTTCAGGGCCCTCCTGCTCATTCTTCATAGTGGGATTCTGCTCCATATTCCTCCCCTGATATCATCAATCATTTGCTCTTATATCAGGGACAAATAGCAGCTTCTGGGGGGGTGGGGGGTGCAGCTGGAGATTTTTGTGTGGGGGGGGGAGCACAGAAGGAAAGGATTGACCACCCATGCACCTTGATCTAGATCCAGGTCAGGCATTCTCTGGCTGCTGTTTTATTAACAAAAATTGTGAAAGGTACAGAAATGTGATCACACACTGAATGCATTGTTTAAGTCTGGCCCCTTTGGATTCAACACAATTCTCAGAGCCAATTTCTGTTCTTGCTCAATGGGCAGTGCGATTGCCGAATCACAGAAGAGAGGCACACAGCCTTGGGTGTTTGCTCCAGACTTAAGCCACAAGTCTTGGCTCCCAATTCTCTTCTTCTTTTGCAACTCCACAGGAACACAGACTCCACCCTGTGACATACTCACTTTGCACAAGGACCTCCTGGCAACTGCCTGATCTTCTTGGCCCCGGCTGACATTTGTAGAGTTTACCCGTTTCATTCACTCCCCCCTTCTGGAGTGGGGCACCAACCAACAGCCTGCGGGAGCAAAAACACATGGAGACAATTCAGGGCTGTCTCTTCTGCCACTCCTGGGGACTGAATGATGAGACAGAAAGCTCTCCAAGGACCCAGAGAACCAGCAGTTGCATACCCTCCATTTCTTCCGCTTCCGAACTGCGCTACACTCTGCCCAAAGCCCAGTGCTGCTTCCTGGAAGACGGTTGGCTGTTCGGTATCCAAACTGAATCCATGGCATGGCGTCAGCACTGCAGGGGATGATCAAAGAACTTCCTCAAGCTTTTTTTTATACAGAAAGAGGGAATTTATTTGTTTTATTTATTTATTAAATCGGTATACTGCCCTTCATTTGACGATCACAGGGCAGTTGACAACATTAAAATACAAAATAAAAACACAAAATGTACAATAAAAATGAAAGCCGAAGGAAACCAGTTTAAAAGGACACCCCACAAACCCATTGAAAAGGACATCAAATTTTAATCACCCAAAGGCCTAGCGTCACATTCTGGGCATTTGTAAATACTCTCTTCAGTGTGCATTCTTTTATGTTTAATACGATTGAATGGAGAAGTAAAGCCCTTGTTGCACTCTGAGCATTTTTATCTCCTCTCCACTTCATAGGCTCTCTGGTGTGCGATAAGACCTGGCAGGGAAGGACACCTCCTATCACAGTCTGAGCCTCTCCCCTGGTGTGCTTGAAGGCTGGTGCTGTAATTGAAGTTCTGCCCACGTTCTGAGCCTTTATAAGGCCTCTCTCCAGGGTGGAGGAGACCCCAAAGAGGCCAAAATAGTTTGGCAAATGCTGGGCTAGATTAACCAGCTAAATCTTAGAGCAGGAGTAGCCAACATATTGCTCTCCAGGTGTTGTTGGACTTCTCATCAGCCCCCCAACCAATAGGCAGAAGTGATGGGAGTGGTAGTTCAACACCTGGAAGGCACCGCATTGGCTACCCCTGTCCTAGATGATTATCAAACTTTGGGTCTGGCAACCCATAGTTGAGGGTGATCAAGAGACACCTGTAAGGAGGTGTCTTGAATTCTAGTGGGCTGGCCATGATCTGCTGCTGCTAGATGGCAAATGGCATCTGAGGGTCTCCCCTGAACTGGGATTTTGTTAGGAGCAGTTGTAAGGAGAAACCAATTGCTTACTCTGTTATCTACTTCCGTCAATAAATCTCTATATGTGGCCCACTTTCCTCTCATATTTAATTTTTTGCTCACTCTAGGTCTTTGGGTCAGTGCCTAGAGCAGCAGGCAATGCATATTGTCAGGCAAGAGGGGGTGAGCGTAAGACTGGAAAAATGAGAAACGGAGAGAGAGCAATAATGACATATTTGCTCATTCCAAGCATAACATCCCCACTTTTTCTCTGATAGTGGATCCTGATCTTGAGGAAGATACCGTGCCTTTAACAATGCATGACAGGTAAATCCAACAGGTGTTCCTTTACCTAAACACAATGGAGTTATGGTGATGAGAAGGGAAAAGCTAGGCCTGTTGAACTTCTGCCCATTAGTACACTGTCCAAATCACAAAGGCTCTAATTAGAAAAAGGGTGATGCCCCATGAGGTTTACATCACAATTTCTGGGGAATGGGTGTATGTGAAGGAGGGCATGAGACAGCAATGGGTGGCTGATGTAGGGGGGAAAATTAGGATGCTGAAAGCATAATTATTCAGAATGCAGTTCAGGAAGTAACCGTCTGGTTATCTCTGCAAGACTAACTGGCTTTGTGACCTTTGAATTTGTTTATGCTGGGTCACACTGCAAACCCACGCAGCTAGTACTTGCAACACATTTTCTTCATGCTATGGCCTCGGACATAGGCCCTCCTGTGAAACAAATAGAGAAGAGAGATCCTTGGTGACAGGAAGTTGGGGGAGGGAGGAAATGACTAAGTTGCATGGTTCTGGCCGAAGAAGAGTCTGATGACTGAGGGACATATGGATCCTCTGCTTGCGACTGCAGTGGGATCCTGCCGCCATCCGTAGGCATTCACTCCATAAGACGCACAGACATTCCCTTTACTTTTTAGGAGGAAAAAAGTGTGTCTTATGGAGCGAAAACTACGGTATATATTCCCAGGATTCTTTGGGGGAAGCCATGCTGCCTTGAGGCTACTGCCTCAGCCTAGCTCACAGGCAGGCCAGCTCTGATCGGTGAGGTCAAATGCACTTGTATAAAGTGGTACCTCGGGTTAAGTACTTAATTCGTTCTGGAGGTCCGTTCTTAACCTGAAACTGTTCTTAACCTGAAGGACCGCTTTATCTAATGGGGCCTCCTGCTGCCGCCGCGCCGCTGCTGCACAATTTCTGTTCTCATCCTGAAGCAAAGTTCTTAACCTGAAGCACTATTTCTGGGTTAGCAGAGTCTGTAACCTGAAGCATATGTAACCTGAAGCGTATGTAACCCGAGGTACCACTGTAATATTTTGGTTTATTGTGCCAAGCTCCTGTCAGGGATGGACCAATCTGTGAAGTTTGGTTCTCTCAGTTGCTAACTTTTCCATTTCAAATTCAGTCCTCCAAATTTCTGCAGCAGTTCTTCTTCTTCTTCTTCTTCTTCTTCTTCTTCTTCTTCTTCTTCTTCTTCTTCTTCTTCGATTGCATAATCCAAAACACACATAAACGTACTATACCTTAGGGTTACCATATTTCAAAAAGTGAAAATCCAGACACAAAAGTTGTTGAGCTTTTTTTGGGGGTGGCAGAAATTCCAGACATATGCCGGCCCTACATACATACTTTGACTAAGTATTGAGTATAAATTACACCCTCTCCCATACACTATTTTTCTATCCTTCCCACTTGCCTGTAAAATATTTCTGATATTAGATTTTGTTGACTATTCTTCCATTGGCCTGTTACATCTTTCCTGCGAGTTATACCATTGCACCTCATTTATGGAATGCTCTCCTCAGGGAAGCTCACCTGTCACCTTCTTTACATATCTTTAAACATCAGGCAAAAATAGTCCTCTTCTCCCAGGCCTTTTAAACTGTGTATGTGTGAGAGTATATTGCTTCTGTTTGCTGCTGTGCTGTGTATTTTTATATTATAAACTGCCCTGTGACACTCAGATGAAGGGTGGTATAGAAATTTAATTATAAATAAATAAATAAATAAATAAATAATAAAATTAACCATCAATCTAATTTTATTAGAGTCCTAATAAAAACATCTCAGGAATTCTCAGCTTACCTTAGTTTTATTCACATTAGCAACTTTCCTAGATACTCTTGGTTTCTTGTTTTGTAGCTAGAGTAGAATTCTTGGAAATATATTCATTTTTCTTATATCTTTACCAATGAGGAATGGCTTGCCTCATCCCAGTTCATTAGATCTTTTTGTTCTTGTTTCTGCAGAGGATGGCGATTCATCTCATAAAGATCTTGCCATTTTGAAGCGATATTTACTTTCACAAATGTTCTAACTGTTGATCCATTTATCTTCTTGACCAACCCAATATCAACATTTAAGGAGAATAATTAACTTTTGGCTAAATTAACTTTATACCTGAAATGTTATTTAATTTTATTGCAATAATTCTTCTCTATTTGTCGGAAATCTTACCATATTACCTGTGTATAGGGTTGCCATACGTCCAGAGCTGAAGTAGCACCCAGAATTTTTGGATATCATCAAAAAGCACAACAACTTTCCCCCCAAAACCATTGTGTCTGGAGTTTTACTTCTTGAAATATAGCCACCTTACCTGCATATAAACTTATTTTATATTTGGTGTGCCTTGTCGTGTATCTTTTTGTTTTTGCCTGATAGCACCAGCTAACATTTCTAAAGTCATTATAAACAGCACATCTGTTATAATGAGGAGCTTTGGCCATTGATCATTAGTTCTGATATTGGAGCATTATTGATAATTCATATCCATTTACATAATTCAGATTCAAAATCATATTTGATCATACATTCTTTCAGAAAAGGTCTTTCTAGCCTGTCAAACTCTAGCCAGTCAAACGCTTTTTCTGAATCTAAAAATACACATTTTGTCAGTATATTCCCTAGTACAATGCATTTTTGAACATCATTTTCACTAATATATTCCTTTTGTATATATATATATTCCCCTAATGCATGCATTTTTGTAAACAATGGTTGCAGAACTGTATCACACAATTGTATTTCAAAGGATAGCTGCATTTTGAGAAGTGCAAATTAGAAAGTTTCTCATTAAAATGCAAACAAAATTAAACCTGCTTCCCGATCCCTAGCTTCCCCAAGCCCACCACTGTACCAGCTGAAAGGCTGGTGAGGACAATTTCATGATATATGGATATAAGAGCTAAATGGAACCTCCATTTTCAAAGGCATTTCACATGCAACCATTTTCATGGACATGATTGCATGGCATGGAACTGACTGGTTCCATCTCTGACTTCCATGTTTCCATTGGAAGGTCGGAACAGCTTCTACATGTATAAGGGTCTCATGTATAAGGAGGTGGAGTTGTGGGCTTCACGGCCCCACCATGCGTGGTGGCTGGAGCCCAGCTCCGTGCGATTGGGGGGATTCCCAGCCTCGTCATCCCCTGGCCAGCCAATCGGCTGGCTCTGGGGGCATGGCCTGCCCTATTTAAGGCAGGACACAGCCCTCTTTCCCTGCCTGCCAGCTGTTCCTGTTCAGTTTCTCATTTTTCCATCCTTCCAACTTCACATCACTTCAATTGTTTATTTTTCTAAAGCCCCCACAAAAATTAACCAGCATTTTAAAGTGGATTTCTCTCAATATAAATATTTTTGTTTGCAGTTTTTGCCTAATATAGACATTTTTGCAAGTCATTTCCTCCACTGTGTTTCAGTTTGCAAATTGTTTGGGGAAGTGTGAATTAGGCAAGTCCACTTTTAAATATGATCTATACAGAATTCCCCCTCACATTTCTAGGATATCAGCACATAATAAGAACCCCTAAATTCTGGCGGGTTCCCTTCCCAGCCACACAAATGAAGTTTACCTGCATACATGTCCTAATGGGTGGGACCAGTAAAACAAGCCTGTTTTCCTCTTCACAGATTAACAGTAACGGATATGTTTGTGAGAACCCAGTTAATATATCTCTAGGAAGGGCTGGTACAAGAAAATTAGGGATGTCAAGCTATTAATTTTTTTTTATTGATTAATTATCTGCATATTAGAGAACTGTTTGAATTTCAATACTTGAATGTTATCAAACTTCATTACATGGGTCTTTTCAGATACTAGAGGAAATGTGAGAACGCTTACAATTTAATAAATAAAAGCTACCACATTGCTCTGGTTATCTCCCGCTTGGACTACTGCAATGCGCTCTATGTGGGGCTACCTTTGAAGGTGACCCGGAAACTACAACTAATCCAGAATGTGGCAGCCAGACTGGTGACTGGGGGTGGCCGCCGAGACCACATAACACCGGTCTTGAAAGACCTACATTGGCTCCCAGTACGTTTCCGGGCACAATTCAAAGTGCTGGTGTTGACCTTTAAAGCCCTAAACAGCCTCGGCCCAGTATACCTGTAGGAGCGTCTCCACCCCCATTGTTCTGCCCGGACGCTGAGGTCCAGCGCCGAGGGCCTTCTGGCGGTTCCCTCATTGCGAGAAGCAAAGCTACAGGGAACCAGGCAGAGGGCCTTCTCGGTAGTGGCGCCTGCCCTGTGGAACGCCCTCCCATCAGATGTCAAAGCGATAAACAACTACCTGACATTCAGAAGACATCTTAAGGCAGCCCTGTTCAGGGAAGTTTTTAATGTGTGATATTTTAGTGTACTTTTGGTTTCTATGGAAGCCGCCCAGAGTGGCTGGGGAAACCCAGCCAGATGGGTGGGGTACAAATAATAAATTATTATTATTATTATTATTATTATTATTATTATATAGAAGTAGCAGGAAAGCCCCCTTTATACAACCTTTGTTATTTCCTACAGCAGTAACAACAGTAACCATAGTAACAAATATCCCCAATGATTAATCAACCCAGCTTTAGCTGATTAATCTGCTGGCTGAAGCTAGCAGATCCAATTCTGTAGTTTTAAAAAAGTGTCCACTGCTATGCATTCTGTTCTTTTTCAAGGGTGAGTGATTTGCCCTCTGTCATGTACTTCTGCTTTGCTCTGCCCTAGTGGGTTTTTGTTTACAAGAAAATCAACTGGTCTTGCCCCAGTACTTCTGTTCTAGCTCAGAGACTCCGCTTTTCCAAATAACAATAAGGAGGCACTTACCTGTAGCACACAAATAGATGAGCAGCGGCAGAGAGTCCATCCTTGGCTAAGTGTTGGCTGTGCAGAAGCCTTGGGGAGGCTGGGTGGTGATTAGAAAGATTAGGCATCACCACACCCTCCAGAAGTGGGTGTTAAAGTTATGACCCTGTATGAAAAAAAGCGGTCGGATGAAGCAAACTTCAGTGCCCTTTGCAAAACAGAGGGAACAGAGGGATCGAAGGGGAAGCTGTGTCAAGAGCAGTGGTAGATGAAAGCATGTGGGATGTGAGGTTTCACCCACAAGTGGCCAAATATAGTACTCCATCAATACATTTCCTCTTCTATTATATTCTCCATTTCTACATTCACGTTGTGAGATGATTTTGATAGTTATGGCAGCCATTCTTTATCCATATAAAAGTCACAGGAGTTAAACCAGAGGCATCTTACTGACATATTAGATACACCTGCCTGGCAGACCTGTGTGCTGAGAGAAAAGTCTGTGTTTTTATTCTGGCCAAAATGTCCTGCAGTCAGCATAAGGAGAAATCTGCTGGAGCCAGAACAAGAATGACCTTCAGTATGTTGACTTACGGCAAATGCCTTTCACTCTGGACAATGGGACCATTCAACAGATTTGTAACTAGCGGCCCAAACCCTCACACCTTGTTAATCCACAGCTGTGAACTGAGAACAATATCTTTCAGCCACCAAATGCCTGGGCAAACAGGATTTTTTAAAAATTCTTCCCGTACTTCCCGTACTATTACTACCACTGTAGTAATACATCGGTGTGTATGGCATTTGACAGTATGAAGTTAAAATTATGGTACAGCAGAGACAAGTGAGGAAGTGTAGAATAAAGGCATTCAATTCAGTGGCACCTATTTTAGCTTTGTTCCAGTAGGGGATGAAAGGCAGCTCCTGAGGAAGGATTTGAAGAAAATGAGGAAATTATAGCAGTTATGCAAAAGAAAAGAGGTGGATTGAAAGTCTGCAATCAAATGTGCTTTTTGTTGTCCCCAGGATATGTAGCACTCTATCATCTCTTCTGTTGTAAACCAACTTTAACAGCAGATGTAGCTATTTGTTTGATATTTGTTAATGGTAAAGTCAGGTCCTTTGGTTCAGTAAAGGATGTGCTTGGTTCAGCTGGCACTCCACCTACGCCCAAGAACAACTGGCTCCTTTTATTTCATTCTATAGGTCACAGTGAAATGAGTGCATCCTGTAGGCAGGCACAGCAGAGGAACTGATCCTTAGTGAGACTGGATGTCCTCATTGACAAGAGATTGCTTATCCTCATGGGATTGAGAGAAGGCACACCTCCGGCAATCAAGTCCCAATATGATATGGACTTAGGACACCTTGTCCTGACTGGCTCGTCCCCTTCAACTCTGTTCCCTAAGAGCACTCATTATGTGGCAGGAAACTTGTGTGTTGTATCTGTATCTGTTTCAGAGTCTTTGGTCTGTCTGGCCTCTGTCTCAACATCTCCAGTGGTTTCTGGTGCCCATTGAGACTGGTAGGGCAGAAGGCCAGTAGTAGTTGGAGCCAGAGCCAATGGCAGGCAGAGACAGCTAATTCTAGCTTGGCCCTTGTCCTCCTCCCTGCTGAGATCTACAAGGAAGAAGCTGAAAGGCAGGTAGGTATACCCTGGACTGGATATACAGGCAGATAGAGGACAGACAAAGGCTGGTGGGGAAGGGACCTCATTTGCCCTAATGGACCAGCGTCCACTGACTCATCTCAGTGGGTTAGAGTGGGGTGGCTGATACCGCCAAGGTTGCAGGTTCAATCCCCGTATGGGAAAGCTGCACATTCCTGCATTGGATTAGATGATCCTGATGGTCCCTTCTAAATCTATAGTTCTATGATTCTATGATTGTCTCAGGATGAGGTCCCCACCATGGTACCTGTGGCTACCATGGTGCCCTCAGGCACTCCCCTTGGTACTTGCCAAAGCTCCTACTTTTTCCGTTTTTTTAAAAAAAATTATTCAATTGTTGGGGGTGCTGCCTGAGTGTGGGTGTTTCCTGCCTTTTCCCCTCTGTGCTTCACTCGCTTATAGGTGAGGTATGAGACACTTCCTGCCTGCAAACTTGCAGCAAGGCTCAAACTAGGTGATACTGTCACTACAAGGCTAGCAACCATACCAGGATCCTGAGGACAGAGGCAGATTTAAGGGAGTGAGGAGACATGGGGGTGCCACAGGAGGCACCACAACTATGAGGTAGAGTGGAAGGCAAGAGGCAGGGGGCAAATTTTGAGCGTTGCACAGGGTATCACTGAGATTTGACACCCCAAGGTCTGAGGAACAGTACCCCTGTTGAAAGTCCACTGAATTTTTGTTATTTTTATTTTTTGTATGTGCTCTGTAGCTGCCCCCTGCCCCAAGCTGTTTATTTTGTACATCACCTTGGGATATATGTGGAAGGTGATTAAACAGTAATAGTAATAATAGTAACAATAATAAGTCAGTTTCCACATATATCCCAAGGTAATGTGCAAACTATATTGCCTTGGGACATATGCGGATGGTGAATAATAATAATAATCCTGGAAAGTATTAAAGGTGCTGGGAATTGTAGCTCTGTAGGGGGTAAACCACAGCCCCCTTGGATTCTTTGAGGGAACCCATATGCTTTAAATGTGCTTCAAATGTGCTTAAACGTACTGTATTGGCTCAAATATAAGCCACACTTCCCCCCCAAATTCTGACCATGAAAAGTTAAAGTGCGGCTTAAATTTGTGACCTTACAAAAATTGGCTTTACAGTGCAGTATTGATTTTTTATTTGCATTTAATTTGCATTTACGGTGCTACGAACAGGTGTTTAACCCATTTGTGGGTCCTCTCTAGTACGCATAATATTTTATTCTACATTTAGCATTTAGGGGTGTGAGTGCCTGCAGAACTTTAAGGGAGCAGCTTATATTGGGATATTGTCTTTTTCTCTCCCGCCCCCCTGTTGAATTTTAAAGGTGCGGCTTATATATGGGTGAGGCTTATATTCGGGTCAATACAGTATAGTGAGGATGTGAATAACATGGGCTCAACCAGTTCGGTCCTTCTGACTTTTGATTCAAGATTGAGAGATGGCCTGGTGCCTAATGGGGAAAAAAACCAGACTCTGCCTTTTTGTTTTGCAACTTCTTGCTCCGTTGCAGGAGATGATCTCAAAGAGGGAGTAAGATCTAGAGTGTTGCAAGGAGGCAGATCAGGAAGATAAATTATTACACCTCGACCACTTCCCCTTTTCCCGTGCTGAGCAAGCTTTGCATCCGGGCTCTCTTGGTGCTGGTCTGACTCTCTGGTGAGCTGCAGCAGGGGTTTCATCTGCAGCATCTTATCTTGCACTGATGTCCACAGCAGGAGTGATATAATCAGTAGATGGATTATAGCAGCTTAAGAGTGTTATATTGATTAAATGCTTATACCTGAAGGAGCGTCTCCACCACCATTGTCCAGCCCCACTGAAGTCCAGCTCTGAGGGCCTTCTGGCGGTTCCCTCGCTGTAAGAAGTGAGGTTACAGGGAACCAGGCGGAGGGCCTTCTCGGTAGTGGCACCTGCCCTGTGGAACACCCTCTCAGCAGATGTCAAGGCAACAAGCAACTATTTTACTTTTAAAAGACAACTGTTTAGGGAAGTTTTTAATGTTTGATGCTGTATTGTTTTTAATTTTCGGTTGGAAGCTGCCCAGAGTGGCTGGGGAAACCCAGCCAGATGGTGGGGGGTATAAATAAATTATTATTATTATTATTATTATTATTATTATTATTGAATATTGAATCTTCTAATGCAATTGGTATGATGGCTGCTGCGTACACAACATTTAAAGCCCCTCTCCAGGAATCTTGGGAACTGTGGTTTAATCCTTCACAGAGCTACAATTCGTGGAATCATAGAATCATAAGAGTTGGAAGGGACCCCGAGGGTCATCTGGTCCAACTCCCCTGCAATGCAGGAACCTCAAATAAGGCATCCATGACAGATGGCCATCCAACCTCCTTAAGTAAATAATTCAAAGGTACTATAGGATAGTTATATTTCAAAACACATCTTACAACATCCAACCTCCAGTCATGATCACAAACCGATGCCTTTCTTAGAATCACAGAATTGGAAAGTTGGAAGGGAACCCAAAGGTTTCTAGTCCAACCCCCTGCAATGCGGGAATCACAGGTAAGAATTCCTAATAGGTGGCCATCCAATCTCTGTTAAAAAACCTCCAGTGAAGGTGAGTCCACCATCTTCTGAGCGAGTCCCATTGCTGAACAACTCTTACCATCATTCTTCCTTTCAGAACACTCCAGATGACTCTCCAGCAGTTTCCTAGTCATTTGGGGATATTTGCCTGCAATTTTCCCAAGCAAAAGTTGGGGTCAAAGTAGCTTGGCTGTGGGCCTTTAAGGGAGATGAATTGGTTACTTGCTATCCAAACTGGACCTTACCCAGTCACCGTGTATAAATTGGTGTGTGTGTGTGAAATGCAGCATGTGAAATTTACATGTATGTAAATTAGGGATGGAGTGTGGGAGAAAATTGATTCAGTTCACACTTAAAGGTGAAATCACCTAATTTCCAAAGTAATAAATGAAAACACAGCCATCTTTTGAAATTTGTGCTTCTCTGAAGTTTGCAGTTCAGTTCTCGTCATGCAATGTACACAAAAATGCATATAACCTGGGTAAAATGTGCATATTAATGCATATAGCAGAGAAAAGAACAAGCAAAAATACATGTTTATTAGGGGGAAATGCTTTGCAAAAATCTGTATCTTTAGAGAAATTTGCACAGAAATGCTGGTGAGTTTTCATGAGGCTCAGGATTCCAATTCTGAGCAATTTGCAATCCCATGTACGTCTATTTGGAAATAAATTCCTACTAGTTGCCTAGGGAAGCAGGTGGTGCTGTGGTCTAAACCACAGAGTCTAGAGCTTGCTGATCAGAAGGTCGGTGGTTTGAACCCTCGCGACGGGGTGAGCTCCCGTAGCTCGGTCCCTGCTCCTGCCAACCTAGCAGTTCGAAAGCACATCAAAGTGCAAGTAGATAAATAGGTACTGCTTTGGCGGGAAGGTAAACGGCGTTTCCGTGCAGTGCTCTGGTTCGCCAGAAGTGGCTTAGTCATGCTGGCCACATGACCTGGAAGCTGTACGCCAGCTCCCTCGGCCAATAAAGTGAGATGAGTGCCACAACCCCAGAGTCATCCATGACTGGACCTAATGGTCAGGGGTCCCTTTACCTTTACCTTTAGTCAGTGCCTCCTGAGCATGATGGCTATGTTCTCCTTCCACTGTTGGAGGCAGTGTGCCTTTGAACACCTGTTTCTGGGGCTTCCAAGTGGGGAGAGTTGCTCTTGTGCTCAAGTCCCACTTGTGGTCTTTCCATAAATATCTGGTCAGCCACTGTGAGGAAATCACTTTGCCCTCCCATTGAAATTGAAATTGCTAGGGATTTTTAACTGCATGCTCATTATTCAAACTACAACTCCCAGGAAACTTTGTGGGAAGCCATAGCAGTTAAAGGGGTATACAGAACAACATCATTTTGCAATGCGTATCTGCTGAGTAGAGAGAGAAAGGGTATTGTGGGTGACTTCATTCGGCAAACATTTTGGAGTTCCTGTTTGTACATATTAGGAACAGAAAGTATAGTTGTTTTGAAACAAGTAGACAGATCATGAACTACTCATTGTCTGAGGAGTTCCTCTCTTTTAGAAAGAAAATGCCCCTTTCTTCACCTTCCGAAGACAAGATAGCTGTTTTTAAACACACTTGAAGGCTGTCACCCACGTTCATGTTCAGTAAGCTGGTTTTTTGACAGTGGGATAAAAGGAATGTGTTTAAATCACGTGTGTTTGTGTGCATGCTTATAGAAATGCAAAGCGATTCTTCTCTCAAAACACCTTAGTTAGTAAGAGAGGACCTGACCTGGTAGAAGTGTATAAAATAATGGAGGAAATGGATAGAGAAAAGCTCTTCTCCCTTTCTCATAACACTAGACGTTGTGGACGTCCAATAAAGAATGTTTGGAAGATTCACGACAGGCAAATTGACGTGTTTCTTAACACAGCGTGTAGTGAAATTACAGAACTTGCTCCTACAAGATATACTCTTGGATGGCTTTAGAGGAGGATTTGAAGAGAAGGCTACTAGCCATGATTACTGTATACTATCTCTACTGTGGAAGGCTGTATGTTTCTGAATGCCTTGGCCTGATCCAGCAGAACTCATCTTATGTTCTTGAGTGTATCAATCAAGGTCCAAGCTTGAGACCCTTAAAAATGACATTGAGCGCTCAGAAGAAGTAGAAAAAGAAGAAGCATGTAAGGTAAATTGGCACAGACCTCCTTGTTTCTTTACACCAATTTATTGTGCCTCCAAGACTCAGGCTTTCAAAAAGAAAAAAGAAAAGAAGGGACTCTTCTGTATTGTGATGGCAGATATAAATGGGTGGATGGAATGGAGGACATGGAGCTTGACTTAAGATGGCTGGTGTTGGGAGAGAGGAAGGGGCACAGCAGGCACTGGACTGGGGTACAGAGCTCTCTAGGGCCACCAGACCCCCATCCCCCAGCCACTGGGAGGCATGCCCAGGCTCTCACTCATTTCTGAGCGTGCAGATGCTGCCCACATTTCCCCCCGTTTTACTTGGTGAACTACAAGGGCAGAGAAGTTGCATTTGGAAACCAATCAGGCGGCTAGGATTCCAGACTTGGTGCCAGATCCCGTGTTTATGCTGAAGTTATGACACTTCCGCTCCAGCAAGCTTATACCCGGAGGCAATATGGGTGTCTTTTCGAATGGGCTAGGGATGTGGCTCACACACTTTGGGGACATTTAAAGAGAGGCCATGGCTTGGTGTGTCTATAAAGTAAGAGCTGACTAGGTTTGGTGGTGCCAATAACTTCTTCCCAGGGTTGACTACGGCCCTTCTGGTTCTGGAGTGTAGATGACCAAGGGTTGGCTGTTCTTGCCCTTATCGTGCCAGCAGACATCAAAGAAGGGGTAGACAGTGCCCGTGAAGCGCTCGTGGAAGGCAAACATGGGAACCAAGTTGTCTTCATCACTGGCATCGTAGAAGGCAAGGATGCCGTCATCAAAGCTCAGGTAGACGCCAATACGGCTGGGCTTCCCCTCCAGCTTCAGCGACTGTGGGTCCTTGTGTTCCACATGGGCCTCGTATGTCTTGCCTTCCTTGCAGCCCACCAGCCAAAAGCCATTGGAGGGGGTGGCATGGAGCCGGCCCTTGCGTCCTGCCTCGGCCGAGATGAGGCCCAAAGCCCAGCGGGGCTTGTCGCTCACTATCACCTCCCAGTAATGCTCGCCTTGCGAGAAGCTCTGGTGCGACACCAGGCAGTTGGACTTATCGAAGCGCTGCGGGTCATCGGTGCTCACGGCTTGCTTGTGATCCACGCACTCCACTCGCTTGCCGTTCTCGTTCACCACCAGGTTAGCTTGGGCCGTGTCTGGGTCAAAGGTGAGGTTCTCCAAGGCTGGGGAGGAGGAAGAAGGTGAGGTCAGGGGACAAGTGCAACTATGGACATCTGAAGCTGACTAGCAGGTGCTCTCTGGGGAGATGCTACCAGAGATTGAACCTGGACCTTCTACATGCCAAGCAGATGTGCTACCACTGAGCCATGACTCTTCCCTTCATTTACTTTTCTTAAGGCAAGGAGTAAATCCACAGATGGGATTTCCATGCTTTATTTTTGGAACAAAAATACTTGGAATCATATTGCTCATTTTAATGTGCTAAGTTGCACAATGCACCACAAAGGGATGTTGGTTTTTCGGTTGTGAGGGGAATTTGACTGGTCTTACAGATGCTGCAAGATATGTCATTTCCTTTGCATAGTTTTCCTGATCAAGATCACCCCTCTCAAAGGTGCTATTAGTGCAGTTTGATGGAGTGGGGGGGGGGAGATGAGCACAATAAATACCTGTTCCCCCTTCTAGTAGCATCTAGGAGGGGAGGCAATGTAGGACAGGGAAACAGCAGGGAATGGGACACCACTGCTGTAGGCAGAACTTCAGGCTTCCACAGCTGCTTTTAGTATTAAAAAGTCAAAGGACGCCCAGTCATGGCACTCTTGATTCACTCCTAAGATTTCTGGTGCTTCAAGGGTAAAGCTGTATTGTCCTGCTGAGTCCCTTTCTCCTTTCACTGATTGGCTAATGTAGAAATCAATGAATGTATGCAGATTTCCTGCATTTGCATAATTTATCTGAGCTGCAGGTATCAGCTTCCCCAGGTGTGGAATATGGGTTACCTGGATGAATTTTTTTAAAAACCTTGTTCAGAAAAGTACACATAGCCTTGTCCAACAGCTCCTCCCTCCTTGGATCTCTACCTGGCATGAGTGCACGGAACATCTTCCTCCAGACTTGGAACTTGAACTCATCTGAAATGATGGGGAGTTGGATGTCCATGCGAGCAATTGGAGGGGACTCTCCAAGAATCTTCTGCAATCTACAGAAAGGAAAAGAAGGTGTGCATTGGGGTTGGGTTGGGTGGGTGGGGGAATAGAAATCCAAATTGCCACTCCCACACCTCCAGAAATTCAAGGGCATCGTTTCTCCTCTAAACTTTCACACTGCTGTTTTAAAGCTCTGCACCAGTGGTTCCCAAATCCCTCACTGCCATGGACCACTTGAAACTTGCTGAGAGTCTTGGCAGATGACTAAGTTATTTATCTGCTTGCTGGAGCAACTGTAATGTGCTGTGCTCAGTGCTGTATGGTTTTTAATTGTATCTTAACTGCTTATTTTATTTCTTGTATTGTACAGGGGTACCTTGGGTTACATACACTTCAGGTTACATACGCTTCAGGTTACAGACTCCGCTAACCCAGAAAGAGTGCTTCAGGCTAAGAACTTTGCTTCAGGATAACTACAGAAATCGGGCTACGGCGGCGCGGCGGCAGCAGGAGGCCCCATTAGCTAAAGTGGTGCTTCAGGTTAAGAACAGTTTCAGGTTAAGAACGGACCTCCAGAACGAATTAAGTACGTAACCCGAGGTACCACCATATTGCCATTTGAATTCCATAGAATTCAAATTGTAAGTGAACTTCACACACACATTGAGGACCACTTGAATGAAGCTTGCGGACCATTGATGGTCCATGGACCACAGTTTGGGAACCCTGCTCTGCTCTGCACAGTTCAAGTTCTGAAGATTTTCAGCAGTGGAAAGAGCATCCCAAAAATGCTGGTCAGACAAAGGTTTGCAGAAGTACAAATAAATATAAGTAAAGAAATAGCCAAGAGAGAAAAGCCCTGCAAACAACCAAATGAGGACTGAGCATTCTCACTGGGCACAGAATGCAGTCTCTCTCTCTCTCTCTCTCTCTCTCTCTCTCTCTCTCTGTGTGTGTGTGTGTGTTTTAAACAGAGAGTAAGGAGAATGAAACATTTTTGAAGATAGCAGAGCTGGGGGATTGGCTGGCATCCTGAACAAGCACATTCCACACTGCATTCCATTATAATGCAGGTTTCAACACAGTATTCAAGTAAAACAAGTGTAATGCAAAAGAAAACCCGTCATATTGAGGATCAAATTGAACTAGAATGGCGTTCAGATTATTGGAAAGCACCTGAATGTGCTTACATCAAGAAAAAGCAGGGCTTTTTCTTCCTGCAGCACCTCTCAGGTGGGCACCATTGCCATTCTCAGAGAACAAGGGAAGTTTTCATGGTGAGTTCTGGCACCACTTTTTCTAGAAGAAAAAAGGTGAGTTTTTGTTGCTGTTGTAAAGAGTGGTATGGTGAAAGGTGACTGACTTAATACAGAGCTAGGTTGTCTCACTGTGTTACAGTGGTACCTTGGGTTAAGTACTTAATTTGTTCCGGAGGTCCATTCTTAACCTGAAACTGTTCTTAACCTGAAGCACCACTTTAGTTAATGGGGCCTCCTGCTGCCGCTGCGGGCCCAATTTCTGTTCTTATCCTGAAGCAAAGTTCTTAACCCGAAGCACTATTTCTGGGTTAGTGGAGTGTGTAACCTCAAACGTATGCAACATGAAGCGTATGTAACCCGAGGTACCACTGTATTTATCTACCATTTATTAACAAAGATTAATAAGCCACTTAATGAAAACTGTGTCTTATCTGCACAAGAGCAGTCATTGGCATTTCATGGATGGCATATTTCTGAATGGTTTGATCCTAACATAGGAACAGAGGGTCCCAGGAGGTCTGGAGGAATGTTATATATGTGGAGTGAAGGTCTTGTTCTGCTCATGAGGAGGTGGGTGAGGGCAGGACAGGGTCAGGTCAAGCTTAGGCAGAGCTCAGGGTTTAGAAAGGGACAGCTGCTCACCTGCTGGCCACCATACAGTATTTCTGCAGAGAAAAGACAGGGAAAAGAAAGAGCTTAGATTAGAATAATAAGAAGCAGCTGCTATGCCCTATTCCAGTAGGTATCAAATTTCTTTCCCCCATGGACCACTTGAAAATTGCTTGCAAAGTCTTGGCAGAGCATTAAATGATTTTTCTGCCTTCTGTAGCAATCACAATGTGCTGTGCTAGGCACTGTATGGTTTTTAATTGTATTTTTCTATTGCTGCTTCATTTCTTACGTTGTTCACTATTGTATTAAGGAAATACAAGAAAAGAAAAGAAAAGAAAAGAAAAGAAAAGAAAGCAGCAATAAAAGCACAATGAAAAATCAGCAATATTTTAATTTCATTTGTTTATGTAATACAATTTTTATACACCATATAAAATAAAACATTAAAATCCTTGATCATGTGAGGATGGGTGTATTTCAGGTAGAAGTCATAGGGGGGAAAGATAAAATTGGTACCTGGGGGTTCTAGGATGGGGGTGGGAAGTTCAGTATTTTGGAACTATGAATTATGTAACCCAATTATGTATGCCTTCCCCACAAGCCCCAATGTTTCAAGTTTCCTTTTCTAAACATGATACCAACTAGGATTTCAGATGGAGACTCTGGATGACTTGTGGGAAGTGGCAGAATGAGGTGCTGCTTGGCTGCTATTCCAACATTTTAATTGTAGTCTTAGGCTGAAATGGGGAGAGGTTTCGTTCCTCTAAACTGGAGGTGATACAAAACTGGGGAGCGTAAGGGAGGATTCTGCAAACACTACAAAGGACAGTCTTGATGATCTGTAGTATTGGATCAAATATCTAATAGCTAGATAAGGGTAAAAGATGCAGTAAACATAATATTAAAGATGGAACCCATGGAGGGATGGAGGGGGGTCTAAGAGTTCGAAAGAACTCTGTATTTTGTTGATTGAAAATGTTATGTTTTATATGTATAAAAAATGTTTTTCCCCCAAAAAACCTAATAACAAAATTATATAAAAAAACAAATAAAAGCGGACAAGGAAAAGAACGTCCAATTGCATAAGCGGTGTAGGAATTGCATATATGTAGTGACTCATTAGCGCTATGACCAAAAAAGAGAGAGAAAAAGTCAGGGATGAGGACCTTTGTGGCCCTGAAGAGCCTCACCCTGAGAAACTCCGTCTGTGGTTCGTCTTGCACCTCTCTCAGCACGACCTCCATCTGCCTGAGCTGGTCCAGGTAGCGGTTCATGGTCTTGCTCTCGTTTTGCAAGGCGTCTGTGGCCTGCTGCTGCACCCGCTCTGCCTCCCGGCCCAGAGAGGCCTCCAGCGCCCCCAGGAAGGCTCGCATCACCCCCAGCTGCTCGGACACTTGATGCTTGAAGCGAGACACCGTCTCCTGGAAAGGAGAAAGAGGGCTCCTGGGATCACTTCTGCACTTCGTGCCCTAGTCTTTGGCATTTTCTTCCCGCCAAATAGCAGCCTTCGTTTTATCTTTGGTTCTCGCTCAGCTTTGTGTCATTCTTTCCCAGCATCCTCTTTGGCATGCAGCCTCCCTCGCAAATCCCGTGGTGTTTAGGTTAGCTGTCGAGGTGGTAGTTTACTCAGGAGGAAAATGAGTTGTGGAGACTTAAATGACTTAATTAATAAAGATATTTAAGGCTGTGTACATGCCTTAAAGCACATCTGCCCTCAAGAATCCTGGAAACTGTAGTTTGTTAAGGGCGTTGGGAATTGTAGCTCTGTGAAGGGTAACTACAGTTCCCAATATTCTTTCTTCAGGGCTTTCTCTCCACATGAGGAAACATAATTTTCAGGCTGGGAATTGAGTGTTAACTGGCCCTCACAGAATTGAACAATCCCTTCTTCACCAGTGAGCAGTTAGGAAAAATAGGCAGGATTTTATCAAACAAGGCTTCCTAAATATTCTGATTAAATGTACTTTGGGCACACATCAACCCTACAAAGTGGCTTCATAGCCATTCCTTACTTCCCAGGGGACCACTGGGAATTGTAGTTCTGTGAGTAGAGTCCCAGGGAGCCTGGACCACTTCCAGGTTTTGTTCGCTTAGCTATAATAAAAATGAAAAGCAATGACACACGAAAGCAAAACAAGGCACTGAGGAAGAGTGAGATATAATTGGAATACATATATATTTAATGTAACAAACACTTTTCTAGCTTCTAGCTGAAAGTGTGTGTCACAGTTTGGTCTGATGTGCAAAAAAACAAGTTGTGAACCTTATCAAATGCGCCCCCCCCCCCCATTGGCAAGTGTGTAAATTTGAGGCCTCCTTTGAGTTTGGAGCTCAGGTCAAATGGCCCTCCTCTGATTGGCCCTGTCTGTGAGGAGCAGATGGGGATCTCCCACAGACAAGGCCGACACAAGGCATTTTGCTGCCTGAGGCAAAGGACAATATGGTGGCTACCCCTTCCACATACAGACGATAACTGGTCTGTCAGCTGAATATTACGCCAACCCCAGCAATGGGAGAACACCTTCCAGAGCACCTGAGGGCAGCAGGCAAGTTAGTGGCTGTAGAACATGCCATGAGGTACACATATCTCAATCTAAGCACCTGCTGCCTGAGGCACTTGCCTCACTCTGCCCTATGATGCGGCCGGCCCCAGCCACAGAGGATTACTGGGACTTCTACGGAAATCCAAATCTCAAGATTCTTTGTGGGGAAGTCATGTTAGTTAACCCTGTAAAAAAACAAACCTCTGATATGTTGGTAGATTAAATGTGTCCTTACAGATAACTTCACTCACCTCCACTTCTGCTATTTGCCGATTCAGAAGGGCAATTGTCTTCTCCTTGCGGACTTGGGCCTCTTGCAACTGGACTTGTTGCTGAGGAAGCTGCTTCTAAAATTACGCCAAGAAAAGAAAAGGGGAATAAGGCATGTGGGTCTAATCCAGAGAGGAAACCACTACTATATCTATATCATTTAAAACAAATGGTTATTTAGCTGGGTTTCTTTCTCCCACCCTGGTTGCAAACCTGAGAACTCAGGGTGGATCTGGTGGGTAAACCACACAGGTTGTAGCCGATGCTAGATTGACTCAGACCCTTTGAGGTTAATGGGTGTGGTTGCAATTTATTCATTTCACTGGCTCTGCTCTGAGCAGGACTAGCATGAGATGCAAACCCCACATTTGGGGCAAAATTCCCATTAAAAACACAAAAGACAGGTCTTAGTTCAGGTACAGAAAATATGCTTTGCATGTCTAGCTCAAATCCCTGGCATCTCCAATAGGGCTGGGAAAGATTTCTGTCCAGTTGGATAGCCAATATGGTGCTCTCCAGATGGTGCTGAACTACAACTCCCATCATCCCTGACCATGCAGGCTGAGCCTGATGTGAGTTGGAGTCTAGCAACATCTGGAGGGCACCATGTTGGCTAGCTCAGGGGCTTTCAACCGTAGGTCTCCAGGTGTTGGTCTACAACTCCCATAATCCTCAGACAGCTTAACCAATGCACAAAGATGATGGGTGTTGTAGTCCAACGTCTGCAGACCATAGGAGAGTTTTGCCACATGATACTCTCCAATTGTCCCTAGTTTCCAGGAACGTCCCTGATTCAGAGAAGCCATCCTGGTTTCTGATTTGATCCTGGAATGTCCCACTTTTCCTTAGGATGTCCCTATTTTCATTGGAGAAATGTTGGAGGGTCTGGAGTTATCCGACCCCCCCAAGCGGTCTGAAGGCAATCATGTATAGGGAAGGGTTTTTTATGTTTAATGTTTTATTCTGTTTTTTTATATGTTGGAAGCTGCCCAGAGTGGCTGGGGCATCCCAGTAAGATGTGCCGGGTAAGAATAGTAAAATTGTCATTACGGAATGGGACGTCCCTATTTTCATCAGAGAAATGTTGGAGGGTATGCATGATAAACTGCTCAGTTTAAACTGGTTTGTCCACTGGAGTGATTTACAAGACCAGGTAAGTCTGGTGCCAGATAGGAAGGCCTTCAAAAACTGATACCTACCTTCATCCTCTGGTGGGCCTCAGCTGCAGTGATGATGTTGTGTCCTTTGTGTTTGCCCAGGGAAGCGCACACCCCACAGATGACCTGCCGGTCCTGCTCGCAGTACACGCTCAGGGGGTCCAGGTGCTCCTCGCAGTGGTCTCGGGGCACCTGCCGGAAGCTCTCCACCAGGTGCTCCATCTGTTGGTTGATGCACAGCTGTTCCACCTTGGTGATGGCCTGGCAGGTGGGGCACCCTGTGCTCTTGCCATCTTCTTCCTTGGGCACCTTGGACAAGCAATCCTGGCAGAAGGTGTGGCCACATTCTGCCGTCACGGGAGATTGGAAGAGCTTGAGGCAGATGGGGCAGCTGAGGTCCTGGTGCATGCCCTGAATGAGAGGCTTCTTCGACATGGTGGCGGAAAGAGCAGGAACCTGGGGCCAAAAGAGCTTGCACTTGAGATTTTGAACCCATGTTCTATTTTTATTTCGCTTAACCACACACATATCAGACCGCCAGTGCCTCCTTATTCTCTGCACTGGGGCAGGCACCCACCAGAAACTGGAAATACACTATTATTACTACCACTACCACTATTTATTATTTATTTGTTGCATTTATATCTCAGCTTTGCGCTTGAGGTGGCATATATGGTTCTCTCTTTCCTCATCGAATCCCCATGACAACTTTGTGAGGTAGTTTAGGCTGAGACGCAGTGACTTTCTGGCCCAAGGTCACCCAGTGAGCTTCATGGCAGAGTGTGGAATTTGAACCTTGGTCTTTCCCAGGTCCTAGTCCAACGCTCTAACCACTGTACCGCACTGACTCGTTTAGAATTGTTACTGTAACATCACAGTTCTTTTAGGCTGGAGAAGCTTCTGTACAGATTCTGAGGGGAGTTGGAGACTGAGGGAGAGACAGAGGAGATTCTGGTGAGAGAGACCAGAGAGACTGTGGAGATTATAGTGGATCATAAAGGATCAGCCAGAGAAGACAGCAGTGCATCTTCCTCAACCAGAGTATGAGACCTCTACTTCCCAGAGGCTTCTCAGAGTTCCCTGGGAAGAGGGATTTGATTGTTGAACCCCTCTGAGAGTTGTAGCTCTGTGAGGGGAATAGGGACCTCCTAACAACTCTCAGCACCCTTAACAAACCACAGCTCCCAGGATCCTTTGGAGGAACTCCTTAAAGTGGTATCATAATGCTTTAAATGCATGGTGTGGATGTGACCTTAGTCAATGTTTCTCAAGCCTGGGTCCTCAGCTGCTGTTGGACTACAACTCCCATCATTCCCGACATGCTAGCGAGGGATGATGGGAGTTGTAGTCCAACAGCAGCTTGGGACCCAACTTTGAGAAGCGTTGTGTGAATTTGTGGAAGAAACCCATTTCAACCCAGGCTCTCCTTGATTCACAGCTCGGTCTCTTAGCAACTGTCCTGCATGATAAAAGCACCCAAAGCTGGTGCCTTTCTCAAAGTGGGAATCCCAGGCTTGTTGCTCAATTGCAGAAGGCTAGTGCAGTTCTTCTGAGCAAGCAACCTGTGATTTCCTTGCTTTCGCCACCTCTTCCTCCCAGGCCCCGTCCTACTCAGGGCTGACTCAGGCTGAACTATTGCAAGCCGGAGAGGAATGTGATGCCTGCAAAGCAGCTGCTGGATAATCTACAGGCCAAGCTGACAAATGCCCTATAAATAGTTCAGAAGGGGAAACTGGCATGGTAACTGGAGCCCTGCTCTGCCTTGTGGTATATTCTTGCATTTCCCGATAAACTGCTTAGCGTTCGTGATGCTGGTTGTTGCAGTGTTCTGGGCTGCATGGCACTGTAAATTCGGATCTAGACAATGTAGTTTACATCTGCAGTCTTCAATTTCATCGCCTCTGTGTCCGGCTTTTATTTTTATCCTGCCTTTCGTCTAAGGAGCATGGGCAGCATACACTGTTCTCTCTCTCGCCCTTTGCCCCTTCTCAAGTTTATCAGAACAAGCTGTGTTGTGGGTTAGGCTGAGAGATTGACATTGATTAAGCCAAAGTCACCCAGTGATGACCTTGGGCATTAAGCAGGGATATGAACTGAAGGCTTCCTGGATCTCTGCTCAATTCTCCACACTGCCTCTCAATGATGGATGCAGGAGAAATTCAATTGTGTTGGCAATTTAATGCGTGGCTGCCTAACCCACATTTCCTGAAACAATGCATGAACACAGCTAAGCACTGAATGCTGCACTTCTCCAACTTTTCCAACGCAGGTCTCCAACCACTGCATTGCATTGCAGGTGCATAGGTAAAGGTGTATTATTAGGGAAAGGTGTACATAAACATGCATATATTAGGTAAAATAACACCTATAAATGCATTACATGAGGGGGAAATGCATTTTAGTAAAAACATCCTGATGAACTTTCATGATAAGCTAATTCAAAGGAATTTGGGCCAAGTTGGATTCAGTGGATTAACCTAAGCCTTGAAAAGCAGAGAGGTCTGAAAGGGGAAGAGGAGAAGACTGACATTCTTCCTGCTGCAGCTCTGTGTACTTTCTGGGGGAGGAAAAAGGAACTGCCTGAGCTCACCACCTCATGACAAAGGGGCCAGTAAGTGGGTTATATGACCAGAGGCTTTGTGGGCACCAGGGGGAGAATTCAATGGCATCGCTGTGCCCACGGGCACCATGTTGGCAACCCCTGCTCCATCACATCCCTGAAAGTGGCACCTTTGGGATGTTATCTTAGCCTTTCAAGGGATGCAAGAAGCCTGCTGAAAGCCTTACCTAGATTTCCCAAGGATCAAGCATCAGATCCACCTTTAAGGTTCCAGCTTCAGAGTCCTTTCAAAAATTATATTGTAACTCTCCATATCGTGCCTTTCTGCCTAGGACCACCTGGCTCATCTAATCTCCTTTTACAGAACAACCTGCAGCATCCACCTCACCTTTAATTTATGCTTGCAGTGGAGGCCGAGCAATAAATTCAAAAATGGGCGCAAATGCCAGATAGGTGCTTGCTGGCTGCAAAGAACAGGGGCTGTGCTGCCCAAGACTTTCGTCTTATCTGCTCCACTCAACTAGGCAGCATTTGGACTTTTCTCCCCTCGGTCACTCCCTCCCACATTTGAAGAACCTGCAATACCCACCAGGTATTTTTTTTAATTAAAAATTATCTGTTTAACCAACTCTTAAATAAAATGCCAGCCCGATCCTCTAGATTTTGGGGATGTAAAGGCATGAAGTAAGAATCAGAAGAGAAAGAAAGAAAAAGAAAGGAAGATCTTACTAGGACAGACAAGCGTTGAAGAGAGGCAGCAGCGTCCAGAGAGGGAACAGCCAGAGATCAGAAAGGCAGCAAGGAGACACCAACCATCCCCGGACGGGCACAGAAGCCAAGTGAATGACCCTTGGTCCCACCCAGTTCTAACTATATATAGCTCTATAGGGCACCGTACTTCTGGGAAGGCTGGGGTGCGGGGGGTGCCCTGGAGGAAAAGGCGGCTGGTGTGTGGGAGGATTCCTCCCCCTCACCAAAGATGCCACTCAAATGACTTGGCCCAAGAATATTCATTCCTTCATGCAGCCTTCTCTGCAGATTCAAGGGCGCCTCCTAGAGGCGAATGCCTGACATTGTTGCATAAAATACCTAACTCCCTGCTTGTTGCTATGGGGGCAGGGCAAGGGACAGCCCCTTAGTTGCATTCTTGAGTGCATGGAGCAGCTGAGGGCTGGGGCGAGGGAAAGTGGAAGCTCTAGAGTTTCCTAGCAAAGGATATTGCAGACTGACAGGCAACTTGACCATTACATTTGGCATTTGGGGATTTTTAGGAACAGGCAGAGGGAACTGAGCTGGGTGGAATAAGACATGGGTGGGGGATGAAGCTCGATCTTCTGGGTGAGTCATGGACAGGGTGGTATTTGGGGTGAACTTTGGGTACAGGAGGTGATTAGATGGTGAACCTGCACCACGACTGTGTATCAGGATGGGGGTTTTTTTCTGGCCATGTGGGCAGTGCCGGATTTACCATATTTTTCGCCCTATAGGACGCACTTTTTCCCCTCCAAAAATGAAGGGGAAATGTGTGTGCGTCCTATGAGGCGAATGCAGGCTTTCGCTGAAGCCTGGAGAGCGAGAGGCGTCGGTGCGCACCAACCCCTCTCCCTCTCCAGGCTTCAGGAAGCTATCCGCAAGCCTTGGGAGCCCGCGGGAGTGCCCGCTGGGCTCCCAAGGCTTGCGGGCAGCAGCCTGCAGCCCGAAGCATGGGGCGCGCTGCAGAGCACGCCCCGTGCTTTGGGGAGATGTCCGCAAGCCTTGCGCGCCCGGAGGGAGGTACCGCTGGGCGCGCAAGGCTTGGGGCGGCAGCCTGTTCTGGGGGCTGGGGTCGGGGGAAGCTCGGGCTTCCCCAGCCCCACGGCTGGTGGGGGGGGAAATAATTTTTTTTTTAATTCCCCCCCCAAAAAACTAGGTGCGTCCTATGGGCCAGTGCGCCCTATAGGACGAAAAATATGGTACATATAAGCTAAACAAGCTATAGCCTAGGACTCCACTCTCCTGGGGGCCCCAAAAAAAATTAAAAGGAAAAAACCTTGATACTTCTTCTTAATTGTATTTCAGTTCAACAATTGCTTTGATATAATACATATTTTGTTATGTGCAAATGGCTATGGATACCTGTTAGGTCCTTAAATTACCATATAGCATATATTCAACACGAAAAACAACGACAATTTGTTGTTGACAAAGGACAGCTGGACATATAAAGGGCCCCATTACCTTCAGTAGCTTAGGGCCTCATCAAACCTAAATACGGCCTTGCCTGTGAGCCAACTTTGTGTTGTCCCACCCACCTGTCAAAATCTCAGACGTGGAGTTCCCATGCTTGGGAACGGCAGCACAAGAGGCCTTGCCAACCTGACGGTTGGCAAGCCAGTTTGTGTTGCTCCTTTCAACCTCTGATTCTGGTGGCTTCAAAAAAAGAAGCTCCGTGAGGGAGAAATTGCTTCCACTGCATGGACACTGCTCCCTGCCAACTTGAGAATGGTGCCCTCCTACCAACCATCCTCTGACAGGCAGTTGGGAGTGGGCCCTGCTCCAGCAAAGGGTCAATTGGGAAGCCACTTTGTCTGGATTGTTCCCTTGAAGCCCTGCCCTTACCTGCCCCACACCTGACATAACATATGACATCAGGTGTAGTGTGGGGGAAGTGGCTTCCCAAAAGCAGCCTGGTGGACCATGTTTGGAGATTCCCTGCCCTGCTGCATCACTTCAGACTGAAAATGGAGGCCCAGGTGTGTTCTGGTCCAGGTTTGCAAGGGAGAAAAGGTTCCAGCCCAGGCATCACCCTGGCACCTCTGTTTTCTAGAAGCACTGCCTGCAATCTGAAGTGGCACAGCACTGACACAATTTTACATGATCCCCTCCTCCTCCAAGGACCTTACAACAACCCTGCGAGAAAAGTTAGGAAGATTGGTGTCTTAGTAGTTGCAGTCCAAGCTTCAGGTCTAGTGAGGAATCTTTGAAGGAATGGGGGCCGTGACCCTGAGCCTTAAATCTGAAAGCCTGTCTCCCTCTCAACTGGTCCAGTGCAGAGTGATTAACTACCCAGCATCTTTTGGTACCATAGGCCAGGGTCAGCAAGGTTTATCTTGCCTGGGCCGGATTGGTCCTGCAGAGATCCCTCCGTGGGCTGGATCGCGTAATTTCCGGTGCTGCGGAAGCGAGTCTCCACCCACGCCAGTTTAGCGCAGTGCGCGAGCGGGCAACTCAGTTTGGGGGCGGCTCATGGGGTGGTCAAACGAACTCCGCGGGCCACTTCTGGCCCATGGGCCTTAGGTTGCTGACCCCTGCCATAGGCTATGCAGCCTTCCATGCTGCCACCCAACTGCAAACTTTGTCAAGCTCTTCCCTTGAAGCAGCCCTACAGAGGCACCTAATGGCTGACTTGCGGCGCCTCCTCACTTCCTGGCTGGGTTTGTTTCTAGATGGCCTGTTCTGGATGAATGCCTAATGATTTGTTTGCTGGGAGATTGGACAGTGCTGGCTGTTGAATGAGCATTGAATAGGCTAAGCAAATCAGTCTCTTAAGCTTAAGCCAAGAAAGAGTATTCTCTATAAGATTGAGTATCAATATACATATCAAGACTTTGAGATTAGGCCGCTGAAGAAGCCCAGAAAACTAGCTTGGGAGTGTGCTACCTGAAGCCCCAGTAAAAGGGCTCCATTGGGGGCAGACAGCGGCCTCCTGATTATTTGGACTGCCAGGGCGAAACAGGTGCAAAACGCCGGCACCCTGTCGTCTACAACTTTATTGTCTACAACTCCACTAGCATCTCTCGGTATTGTGAATAACACCGAACTTATCTTTGGTTGGTATCTTCATGAACTTATCTAAAAGACTGAATTAAGCATTTGAAAAATCTATTGAAACCAGACATTATAAGTTCATCTTAGGTTGGGTAGTTCGCAAGTCTCTGTGGCTTTGTTTAATGTTTTGTATTTTTCCTCAGAAGGTTGATAAAGTATGTATAATTATGTATAATTATTCTTCTGTCTTGCATGCGTGTTGCATGAGTCACACTACTGCTATTGAAAGAGCATTGGCTTCTGATTTATTTGTTGGGAGGTGAGATGACTTTGCATCCAAGTAAGTCCTATCCCACACTTTCCAACACATTTCCCCTTCACTTTCCTTATCACAAAAAGTCTGGTCTTTGGGAGAAGCAGATTGATTGCACAGGGCCTCCCCGTCAACTGTCATTGCACAACCTGTAATTGCTGATATGTGATTGCATCCCACTCGAAAATAGCAACAGTCTGGAAGCACCCTGAGTCGGCAGCATTCCCCTATTAGCCTGGCTTCCAGGAAACGTTTGCACAAAGATGACTCCAGAGCAGAGCCAAGAGGTGTGTCAGTGAAATATTAGGTTTGAAGAAACAAAACATCTGCTCAAAGGGGCAAAAACCATGAGATCACTGGATGGAAGAATGGCTTTAACTGCAACTGCTTTTAGAATGTTGTTGTTTTTAAAACTTTTATCTGTTTTTGGTTTTTTTTAAATTGTAATTGCTTTTAGAATGCTTTAGCTGTTTTAGAATGTTTGGTTTTGGTTTTTAAATTGTGTACCTGTTGTCCTGGGCTCCTTGGGAAGGAAGGGCAGGATATAAATTCAATAAATAATAATAAATATTAGCATCAGGCAGTCAAACGTTCTGCTTGAATGGGTGATATACTTGGTTCAGATAAACAAAAGATCTGTTCAAATGGGCCTGACCAATCACTCACCTAGTTCAGCATTTTCTACAAGGAAAGCCATTACAGGAATAGCAACAAGGATCTGGAGTCACCTTAAAGAGCAACATATTCATTATGGCATAAGCTTTCATGGGTCCACTTCATCAGATGAATGAAGCATTAACCTCAGTTCACAGGAGTACATGTGCAATGTGCATGCAGGTGGGAAAGTGGAGTGAAGTGCCAATGAAATGCAAAAAGGACAGCCTGTAGCAAGTCAGCCAGAGGTGGGTTCTCCATCCCTGAATCAGTGCTATGAAGAATAAGAAGAATAAGACCAGTGACCATAATTCCTCTCTTGGAGAAAGGCAGCTTTCAAGTCACTAGTAATCTGAAATGTTCTTCTACTGGTTTGTGAATATTTCTGATTTTTTCTACAGTCAGATGTGTGTTCGTTTAGTCCAGCAAGGTAGGACTTTGCCCAGGAACCCACCACAGTGGAATGACCAGGAGGGACCCCAAAAGCAGGAGGCCTGGCTTGCCACATTTTAAAGTCCGTGCAATGATACCCTTTGCCATCTCAAGGTAGCTCCTGCCCACCCCCGTGAGAATATTAGGCCCTATCTGCACCATGGTTTGTACAGGCGGAGAGGCTGCCTGAGCAACCTCACATTATGCGGGAGGTTCCAGCTCCTTCCAGCTAGGAAACTAGCCAGGATTCGGCCCTGGTAGCTAGCACTGGGAAAGGAGGCTAAAGGCAGCGTGCTAGGACTGCGCTACCTCCATCTGGCCACTCGAGGGCACTCCTGTACAGTATAAGTAATCGCTTTTGCACCTGCTGATAAGCACCAAAACCCTAGAATGCCAAAGGTTGTTTTGCGTGAAAAGGAAAGAATTTTCCTTATTTTATGCATGAAAAAATTAGAAAGTCAGCTTGACCTTCAGGTTTCTGTTTAAGCAAAGAGATCGTGGTTAGAGATTTTGCTGACAGGTTGGAGGAGCTCCCTCCAGCTATGCGATCTTTTGTGAGATCTACCCCATCTAAAAACCTCTGAAAGAAGCCCAATAATTATAGCCTCTGACGCCTCATTTCTCCTACACAAGCATTCAAAATGCTTTACTTAATGAAGTTGGAACAGCTTTTAAATGGTTTACCTGCTTGCTAGCCAAGGCAGGCTGCAGGGAGGCAAATGAACCCCATAATTCCTAAGTCAAGTACAGTGGTACCTCGGGTTAAGTGCTTAATTCGTTCCGGAGGTCCGTACTTAACCTGAAACTGTTCTTAACCTGAAGCACCACTTTAGCTAATGGGGCTTCCTGCTGCCGCCGCGCCGCCGCCACACGATTTCTGTTCTTATCCTGAAGCAAAGTTCTTAACCCGAGGTACTAGTTCTGGGTTAGTGGAGCCTGTAACCTGAAGCGTATGTAACCCAAGGTACGACTGTACACAAAAGTTTCTTAGGTCTTTTTAAACCGGGGGGTCGTTCGGCCCGCCTCCTCCTGCGGCTATTGAAAAACAAGCTCGCCCTATCAAACAGCTCATCTCAACTTAGCCAGCAGGAGTCACGTGTTGCAAACAAAAAACAGGATCGCGAAAGGCAGAAGCGAAAGCGCCGGGTGAGCAAACGGACGCGGATGCATTTTCTTGCATTTGCTCAGTGCTCGCCTCTTTCTCAGCGCGGAAAGGAAGCGGCGGCAGCTCCTCGTCCGGCTCCTCCCTCTTCCTCGGAGGACGGAAACGGATCCTGGGCGATCCTGGGCCTCCTTCCTTGGGTCTCCCCGGCGCGCGCTCGGGCTGAAGGGGCGCGATGGCCAAGAGCGCCCGGCAGCGCCTGATGGACGCCCTGGAGAACTTGCACGACGGCGAGCTGCGCAAGTTCAAGGCCAAGCTGGCCGAGATCCCGCTCGAGGAAAGCCACGAGCACATCCCCCGAGGGCGGCTGGAGAAGGCGGACGCGGTGGATCTGTCCAGTCTGCTGATCAGCTACTACAAGCAGGATTACGCCCTGCGCCTCACCGCGCAGGTCTTGGAAGAGATCCACTGCAAGGACCAGGCGCAGAAGCTCCGCGGAGGCGGCGAGCAGAGTAAGGGAGGAGGGGGAGGCCTGGCCGGGAGACAAGCGTGGATCCGGGTCATCTCATTGGACGAGGGGAAGGGAGGCGAGGGGGGGGGACTTTCCCAGCTTCTCTTTCAGGTCCGTCCCAATCAACTCATCAGGAGTTAGTCCGAGGAGCTCTTTCTTCAAGGTCTAGTGAGGCGCCTCTGAAATGTTAGGTACACTTTTGCAAGGAAAGCCACATAAAGAGGGGGAGGAGTGATTTTGAAATCAGCAGATCCTCACCACGTACCTTCTTCCTCGCTACCATAATAATAATAATAATAATAATAATTTATTATTTATACCCCGCCCAACTGGCAGGGTTTCCCCAGCCACTCTGGGTGGCTTCCAGCACATATAAAAATGTAAGATAACGTCAAACATTAAAAACTTCCTGATATAGGGCTGCTTTCAGATGCGTTCTAAAAATTGTGTAGTTCTTTATTTCCTTGACCTCATTTGGTAGGGCATTCCACAGGGAGGGTTCCACTGTGGAGCAGGCAGTACCACCCCAATATGGAAATTAAATCCTATTTGGAAATCGTACCTAATATATTTCTCAATCACTCAATTCTGTCCACAGAGGGCTTTTCTTTTCAGTAATGTTACAAATTAAAACTTAAAACCACAGGACTGTCAAAACACATCCACCCATGCCACGTGTCTTGGCATACTTGTCCTGCAGACTGGAAGCTATGATCTTCTTTCCACTTTTATCCATTTGGAAGTATTTCAAAATTCCCACAGAATAAATGCATATAGCAGGTATTAAATATCTTACTATTTTCCCTTGCATCCTCTGTGCATCTTTACATCACCTTCATTTTAGATGGCTGCCTCTCAGCTGTTGTATTTTTCTCCTTTCTACATTTCCAAAAATTAGTTTCCTGATATTTAGTGGCCTTATAATCATGAAAGGGTTGCTCGTTTCATGTATCTAAAAATCACATCCGTTGAAATGCAGAGATGGTGTTATGCTTCTGTTAAATGGGTGGAAATGTTTCCAGTTCCATCCATTCCTGATTATTGTTGGAGCTGGTTTGGGGGGCCCAGAGGTACCTTTGGTGGAACTGCCCTGCCATCAAGAGTTTTGGGGTAAAAATCTAATGAGGTATCAGAAAGAAAACATTTTTAATTTTGTCTATAATAATGAAGGATGTTTGTGTGGAACGGAAAACTCAGAACATCAACTCTCTTTTCTGTTCCAGCTGCTTGCTGTAACCCTCAGATCCCTGTGCCTTCCACCAGTACCACCTCTGGAAGAAATGGTGAGCTCCAGCCTCTATCTTCTTAAATATTGTCCGTCCCCCATCAACATCCATAAGCTAACCTCCAGGTCTCTGCTAGGTGTTGGCCTTTGCTCCAGCCTGCAGTAATCCTCTCACTTAAGCCAGATCCACACTACAGTGTTACCTCAGGTTACATATGCTTCAGGTTACATATGCTTCAGGTTACAAACTCTGCTAGCCCAGAAATATTACATCAGGTTAAGAACTTTGCTTCAGGATGAGAACAGAAATCGTGCAGCAGCGGCGCTGCGGCAGCAGGAGGCCCCATTAGCTAAAGTGGTGCTTCAGGTTAAGAACAGTTTCAGGTTAAGAACAGACCTCCAGAACGAATTAAGTTCTTAACCCGAGGTACCACTGTACTGCAAATGCCTCTCAATTTCATGCTGCTTTAATTGTCCAGGCTTCCCACACACACACAAAACGGGAATAGTCGTTTGCAGTAAGCCATACTTAGCCATGGAAAAAGCAAAGGCAGCTGTGTCTGTATTCTTTACTTAGCCAATGGCAAGAGCTTTCCTTAGGAAAATGAGGAGAGCTCACCAGGATATTGCAGAGAGGAGCAAGGCAGACACACATAAAATACAAAGAGGAATGTACTCTGCTGCTAACTCACTAGCATGAGTGAGGAAGGGTAATATTTCATCAATATATCCTCTTCTACTAGCCACAACATTCCCACAGATTCCACATCCAGTGGTACCTCAGGTTAAGTACTTAATTTGTTCTGGAGGTCTGTTCTTAACCTGAAGCACCACTTTAGCTAATGGGGCCTCCTGCTGCTGCTGCACCTCCGGAGCCCAATTTCTGTTCTCATCCTGAAGCAAAGTTCTTAACCTGAGGTAATATTTCTGGGTTAGCGGAGTCTGTAACCTGAAGCGTATGTAACCTGAAGCATATGTAACCCGAGGTACCACTGTACACAGGAACAACACAAGAATCTGCCTCGTGTAGAGTCAACCCTTAGGCCCATCTAGCTTAGTACTGTCTGCACTGACTTGCTTTCCCACTTCTACCTGGATATGCTGGAGAATGAATCTGGGACCTTCTGCATCCCTGCAGATGCTCCACCGCTGAGCTGTGGCCCTTCCCCCACCTGTGCACACCCTTAAGGAACCCATAGTCTTCCCTCACAGAGAGGACAAGTGTAAATGTCTGGTGCGTGGCTGGATCCCTTGATTCTGGTTCTTCCTTTGGCAGAGACACAGCCTCCAGCTCCACCGGAGCAGCATTTCATTGAGCGGCATCGGGAGGCCCTGATCCAGAGGACGGCCACCGTGGAGGGGATCCTGGACGTGCTGCTTGGCGATGTCCTGGATGATGAGCAGTACCAAAAGATCTCCGCCAAAAGCACCAGCCAGGAAAAAATGCGGGAGCTCTACAGGTTGCTGCCCAGCTGGAACCAAGCTTGCAAGGATAAGCTGTACGAAGCCCTGGAGATGAAAAACAGGTTCCTCGTTGACGACCTGGAAAGATAAAGAGGCAGCCAAGGCACAGCCCCATTCTGGGGCACAGGAATTCCGCCTCGGCATGTCAGGGGACTACCTTCAAGCCATGTAATATCTTGTATGAGCAAGAAAAACAAGGAAATATACTTTGGGGAAGGAAATGCAGGTAGCTACAGTGGGAAGAACCTGGAGGAGGCCGTCACATTTGACTCGGGGACACTGGAGTGAGAAGGAACATGAATCTGTCCTCTTTGATAAAGGCCAATTCTATTTTCTCTTTGTGTTTAGCCCCCTCGGTGCTTGTAGGAACCATGATGTGTGGGAATGTTCTTGGATGCAGGAGAGGATGTAATGTTTGATTATAGCCTTTCCAACTTGTGTTAACAAGTTCACAATTTAGCAGAGTAACATTCCCCTTTTTAAACTTACAGCGGATGCGTTTGCTCAGGCTCGCTAAAGCCTCTATAATAACTGTTTGGTATTTCCCCCTTATTCCCTCATAAAAGATAAGACACGACACAGTCTTCTGTAAAAGTATAAAAAGAGTTTACTCACATTTTGTTCACAATCGGATCCCAGAAGGCAGACTTAGCTTAGAAAAGTAACATACACTTTGAAACTATCTCATAAGGAGACAGTCCTTCTGTCCTGTGATGGCCTGGGAATCCGATTCAGAGGCTGAACCGGAGGAATCCCAGCCTGCACAGGAGTCCCCGCCTCCAGGGCCGGCTGAACTGGGGCAGGGCCTTGATTCTGAAGCGCCTGCACCTGTGCCGGATCCTCAGGAGCAGGCACCAGGTGAATCCACTCTGGCTCCGGAGGTGGTTGAGGACTCAGTGCCTACAGGTGAGTCTCCCCCTGGGTCCAGTAACCCTTCATCCTCTCCTGAACTGCAGAGGCTCAGGGCAGAGAGGCGAAGGGAACTGGTTTCTCCCAGGAGGAGTGCTCGCCTTAAGGCCAGGAGAGGCGGGTCTCCTGGGGGCCGGGACCGCCCCTGGCCTCAGAGAAGATAAAGGCCAGTCAGCCCGGTCCCAGGTTGTGGGAGCAACGTCGTTGAAGAGCTGTTTTGGCCAGCATCCAGTCCTGTTCCCCCAGAGTTCCTGTCCTTGCCTGGCTTCTCGCTGTGGACCCCGCTTCGCCCGAGGAGGACTGTCTGCCGACCCTCAACTCAGGTCCTGGACCTCGCCCCACGGTAACCTCCCCCCTGGACCAGCACAGTCCTCTCTTGGTTGGAAGCCAAGAGAGCATCTTTGGCTAAGCAGATGTTGCTTCTTTGATGCATGTAGTCAAAGAGAGAGAGATGGCTGTCCTACCCTGTGCTTTTGTCGTTACCTGCACAGGTGAGGCCACACCCACCTCTACTCACATGCAGAGGAAGTCTGTCCCGGCCCAGAAGGAAACAGGAAGTTGGACAAACATTCCTCCCCATGTGTTAACATGTTCACTCTAGGAATGTTGTACTTGACTGCTCTTGTGTTTCACATCCCACATGATGCCCTCAGAGAACCCACTGGCACCTCTCAAGGTCCCCTGCCCCTCCCAGATTCATTTTTTTTCTTTAAAAAACTGGTTTTTGGTAGGTCTTTTTTTGGGGGGGGGGTTCCTTGTTTGGAAACCTGTTCTCTGCTTTTGTGAGATGTTTGAGGTGTTTTGAGTGGGTAGGTTCTGAGCATTGCCATTTCCCCCCCTGTGAATTGGGATTTTGTAGTGCCCATGGCAGTTTCTTAGGAGAGGAGCTTGTTGGCAGGTGTTTGCTCAGCTGAACCAAGGGAGAAGGCTTTCTGCTCCACTTCCACTGCAGCCATGTGGCTACTGGCTGATGATAGTTTAGAGGGAGGAGGAGGAGGCTAATGGACGCAGATCTCTCAAGCTCTTTCTCTGCAGCAGCCATACAATTTAAGGGATAAATTGCTTTGCATGCAGATGGTCCCGTATTCCATCTCCTCTTTGAAACTCTGGAAAATCACTGCCTGTCAGTGTAGACAGTACTGAACTAGATCAGCCAAATAATCTGACTCAGTACAGTGGTATCTTGGTTCTCAAACTTAATCTGTTCCAGAAGTCCGTTCCAAAACCAAAGCGTTCCAAAACCAAGGTGCACTTTCCCATAGAAAGTAATGCAAAACGGATTACAACCCCTAAAACAGCAATTTAACATGAATTTTACTATCTAACAAGACCATTGATTTCTAAAATGAAAGCAATAATCAATGTACTGTACTATAAATAAATAAATAAGACAGTACTGTATTGTAGATGCGAAAAATTAAAATTACATTTTTTTCTTATCTGCACTGATGATAGTCATTGTTTGGATGCAGGGGGGTTTTATCCATTTCCGCAGTCACACAATCAATCAGTAGCTGAACTGGATTCCACACAGTCACAAAAACAAATAAACCGTAAAAGCCTCAAAAACAAAAATGCAAACCAGAAGTCCGTTTGACTTCTGAAATGTTCGAGAACTAAGCCACAGCTTCTGATTGGTGCAGGCATCCCTGAAACAACAACAACAACAATAATAATAATAATAATAATAAATTTTATTTATATCCCGCCCTCCCCAGCCAAAGCCGGGCTCAGGGCGGCTAACAACAATAAAACAGTATAAAAGTATAGCATAAACAACACTCTAAAATCATTCATTATAAAATTAATTAATTCAGGCCACTGGCAACTATTGGGCCAGAGCTCCGCGAAGATTGCCGAGGGAGGGAGTCAGGCTGTGCCCTGGCCAAAGGCCTGGTGGAACAGCTCTGTCTTGCAGGCCCTGCGGAAAGATGTCAAGTCCCGCAGGGCCCTGGTCTCTTGTGACAGAGCGTTCCACCAGATCGGAGCCACAGCCGAAAAGCCCTGGCTCTAGTTGAGGCCAGCCTAACTTCTCTGTGGCCTGGGACCTTCAAGATGTTTTTATTTGAAGACCGTAAGTTTCTCTGTGGGGCATACCAGGAGAGGCGGTCCCGTAGGTACGAGGGTCCTAGGCCGTATAGGGCTTTGAAGGTTAAAACCAGCACCTTAAACCTGATCCTGTACTCCACCGGGAGCCAGTGCAGCTGGTGTAGCACCGGGTGAATGTGATCTCGCAGCGAAGACCTCGTAAGGAGTCTCGCTGCAGCATTCTGCACCCGCTGGAGTTTCTGGGTCAGTCTCAAGGGCAGCCCCACGTAGAGCGAGTTACAATAATCCAGTCTGGAGGTGACCGTCGCGTGGATCACAGTGGCTAGGTCAGGGCGAGAGAGGTAAGGAGCCAACTGCTTAGCTTGGCGGAGATGGAAAAATGCCGCCTTTGTTATAGCTGCAATCTGCGCCTCCATGGAAAGGGAGGTGTCGAAGATTACACCCAAACTCTTAACGGACGGTGCTGGCACTAATTGCGCCCCCCGCAAGAGATGGGAGTTGCCCCCCCAATCCCATATCGCCCCGTCCCAGCCACAGGACCTCTGTCTTCGACGGATTTAGCTTCAACCGGCTCCCACGTAACCATCCAGCCACAGCTTCCAAACATCTGGTCAGTGTGTCTGGGGCCGAGTCAGGATGGCCATCCATCAACAGATAGAGTTGGGTGTCATCGGCATACTGATGGCAACCCAGCCCAAAACTCCGAACACGCTGGGCGAGGGGGCGCATAAAGAGGTTGAAAAGCATCGGGAGAGTATCGCACCCTGAGGTACTCCACACACCAAGGAGTGGCGTGATGACAATTCCCCCCCAAGCGCTACCCTCTGTCCCCGACCAGAGAGAAACGAGCGCAGCCATTGAAGGGCTGTGCCCTGGATCCCCACGTCGGCAAGGCGGTGGTCCAGAAGTTCGTGATCGACCATGTCGAAAGCTGCTGACAGATCTAGAAGAATCAGCAGCCCCGACCCGCCTCGATCCAGCTGTCTACGAAGATCATCTGTTAGGGCGACCAGAGCCGTCTCGGTCCCATGACCAGCGCGGAAGCCGGACTGGAATGGATCCAGAGCCGATGTTTCATCCAGAAACCCACCAAGCTGTTCAGCAACCGCTCTCTCAATCACCTTACCCAGGAACGGAAGATTCGAAACCGGGCGGTAATTGGATAGATCTAAAGGATCTAATGATGTTTTCTTTAAGAGCGGGCGCACCACTGCCTCCTTCAGTTCCCCTGGGAATGTCCCCGTGCCAAGGGACAAATTGATGATATCCCCAGGAGGGCCCGCACCTCGTCTGGACACGCTCTAATCAGCCAAGACGGGCACGGGTCGAGAGGACAGGTGGTGGGCTTTCCAGCTCGGAGGAGTCTGTCCACATCGGCTGGGGATATCCGGTCGAAGTGGTCCAATACTGGACCCGAGGACAGTCGAGGGGCCTCCAGTTCCTTTATTGTATCCAAATTGGCAGGGAGGTCATGGCGGAGCAACAAGACCTTCTCCGCAAAAAAGCTCGCAAATGCCTCACAGCTAAGTGTCAAATTGTTATTTAAATTTGGCTGTCCCTCAAGGGACGTTAAAGACCTGATTATACTAAATAATTGCGCCGGGCGAGAGCTAGCGGATGCAATGGAGGCCGAGAAGTAAGACTTCTTAGCAGCCTTCACCGCCATCTCGTAGGTTTTCATAAAAGCCTTATAAGATGTTCTTGAGGCTCCGTCACGGGCACCCCGCCATACTCGCTCTATCCGTCTGAGGTCCCGCTTCATTTTCCGGAGCTCCTCGGTAAACCAGGGAGCCCGGTTTCTGCGGGGTCGCAGAGGGCGCTTAGGTGCGATCTCATCGATGGCTGCCAGGAGCTGGGTATTCCAGCCCTCAACAAGCTCAGTCAATGAGTCGCCAGGGGGAGCAAGGTCCCGCAAGGCTTGGCGGAATCTATCAGGGTCCATCAGCCTCTGCGGGCGAGCCCAAATTGGCTTGCCACCTAAGCAGGGTGGGGGTGGAAAGTCAATCCTGGCTTTCAGAGCATAGTGATCAGACCATGGCACCTTCATTGAAGGAGACATGATCACATCTATACCTACGCCAAAGATCAAATCCAGCGTGTGGCCTGCTTGATGTGTGGGGCCCGAAACAAACTGGGAGAGCCCTAGTGTCGCCATGGAAGACACCAGGTCCAGAGCCTGTGAGGAGGGAGTGGCATCAGCATGGATGTTAAAGTCCCCCAATACCAATAGGTTAGGGACCTCCAAGGCCCAGCCGGCCACCGCCTCCAATAGGCCTGACAGGGTGGCTGCTGGTGCGCTAGGTGGCCGGTACACCAGCCAGACAGCCAAGCTCTCCTCGGAGCCCCACACTAGGCCAACACATTCAATGCCGGGGATCGATGGCGATGGTAGAGCCCTGAAAGAACAATCTTCCCGGATTAATAATGCCACCCCTCCCCCTGGCCCACAGTCCGTGACTGGTGGAGGACGGAGAAACCCGGGGGCGCCATCTCTCGTAAGGTAACTGTTGCCCCTTCGCGCACCCAGGTCTCCGTCACACAAGCCAGGTCGACCCCCTGCGAGATAAAGAAATCTCGCAGGGTGGCGGTTTATTGCCTATAGACCTGGCATTGCACAGCACCAGTGACGGAGGTGAGTAATCCTTGCTCACCCTACCCTCGTCCCTCGGGATGGGGCGCAGATTGGAAGGGGTACGAGCGTATCCATATCTCGATCCCCTTCGCCTATAACATCTGCCCCCACCGCCATACCTCCCTCGCCCCTCCACGGTAGCAATCCCAGGCCTCATGGTAGCCTCCATTGATGGCAATTAATGTTATTCTTTTGCAGCCTAAAACAATAAAACCTTAAAACAATAAAAACAAAAAACAAAAACAACCCAGAAAGCAATAAAACAATACAAATAAAAACTTCAAAAATTACAAATTCATCAAAATCTAACAAATTCCCAAGCCCACCCAAACATCCATCCCACCCCCATATATAAAAAATCTAAAGGGAAAGGAAAATATATTATTATTTTTTTAAAAAAACATGTTAAAAAGAACTCTGCACCCCTACGGGTCCTCCTGGGCAGTAGCAGCATCAGTGGCAACAACCATCCTTGTGAGGCCCCACCCTGGGCCAGATAGTAGGTGGCAGGAGCAGTCCTTGTGAGGCCTGTCAGGCCCTCCCTGGGCCAGGCGGTAAGTGGCAAGAAGGAGCAGGGCCCTCAGGCACTCACACAGGGGAGTCCCCCTGGGCAGCAAGCAGTCCTTGTGAGGCTTCAGGCCCCGCCCCAGGCCAGATGGTAAGTGGCAAGAGCAGGGCCCTCAGGCACTCACCACAGGGGAGTCTTCCTGGGCAGCAGAGCAGTCCTTGTGAGGCTTCAGGCCCCGCCCCAGGCCAGATGGTACAGTGGTGCCTCGCAAGACGAAATTAATCCGTTCCGCGAGAGTCTTCGTCTAGCGGTTTTTTCGTCTTGCGAAGCAACCCTATTAGCGGCTTAACGGATTAGCGCTATTAGCGGTTTAGCAGCTATTAAAGGCTTAGGGGATTAGCTGCTAAAAGGCTATTAAAGGCTATTAAAGGCTTAGCAGACTAGATAAAGGGGGGGGGAAAGCGAAAAAAAAAATCTCAAGACTCGCAAGACATTTTCGTCTTGCGAAGCAAGCCCATAGGGAAATTCGTCCTGCGAAGCAACTCAAAAACGGAAAACCCTTTCGTCTAGCGGGTTTTCCGTCTTGCGAGGCATTCGTCTTGCGGGGCACCACTGTAAGTGGCAAGAGCAGGGCCCTCAGGCACTCACCACAGGGGAGTCTTCCTGGGCAGCAGAGCAGTCCTTGTGAGGCTTCAGGCCCCGCCCCAGGCCAGATGGTAAGTGGCAAGAGCAGGGCCCTCAGGCACTCACACAGGGGAGTCCCCCTGGGCAGCAAGCAGTCCTTGTGAGGCTTCAGGCCCCGCCCCAGGCCAGATGGTAAGTGGCAAGAGCAGGGCCCTCAGGCACTCACCACAGGGGAGTCCCCCTGGGCAGCAAGCAGTCCTTGTGAGGCTTCAGGCCCCGCCCCAGGCCAGATGGTAAGTGGCAAGAGCAGGGCCCTCAGGCACTCACCACAGGGGAGTCTTCCTGGGCAGCAGAGCAGTCCTTGTGAGGCTTCAGGCCCCGTCCCAGGCCAGATGGTAAGTGGCAAGAGCAGGGCCCTCAGGCACTCACCACAGGGGAGTCTTCCTGGGCAGCAGAGCAGTCCTTGTGAGGCTTCAGGCCCCGCCCCAGGCCAGATGGTAAGTGGCAAGAGCAGGGCCCTCAGGCACTCACCACAGGGGAGTCTTCCTGGGCAGCAGAGCAGTCCTTGTGAGGCTTCAGGCCCCGCCCCAGGCCAGATGGTAAGTGGCAAGAGCAGGGCCCTCAGGCACTCACCACAGGGGAGTCTTCCTGGGCAGCAGAGCAGTCCTTGTGAGGCTTCAGGCCCCGCCCCAGGCCAGATGGTAGGTGGCAAGAGCAGGGCCCTCAGGCACTCACACAGGGGTGTCCCCCTGGGCAGCAGAGCCAGACGTCGCATTGGACATTCAGCTTCCAAAAAACGTTCGAAAACCGGAACACTTCTGGGTTTTCAGTGTTTGGGAACCAATGCATTTGAGAATCAAGGTACCACTGTATAAGACAACTTCCTATGTTGCAGGACAATCCAGCATGGTGGACCTCCTTTGTCCCTAGTCCAATATCACAGAATTCCCGTACTTGGTTTCCCATTTTATAATCAGACTGCCTTGTCCAAATTCCCCCAAACTGGCACGCAAAATGTGTACATGTTTGTGTATTTGTGGATTGTTTGGGAAAACAATTTAGCAACTCAGTACATTGTTTTGTAAATGAGATAAGAGTGTCTGTTGAATAAGTATATTTGTGCCTTCTGGGCGGTTTTTTTTTAAACAAACCCAGATTATGTTTTCAGTTCCAGGTGAAATAAAAAATTGAAGGTCTTATATATATAATAAATGTTCATAAATGTACCAAGCAAACACATACATAAATATATAAACCACATTTCTGAAGCAGCACAGGAAAACAGCCCTGAAACCATTTTCGACTCCCAAGCTGACCAAATGATTTCTCTGCAAGGTCAAGGAAATGGAAAAGCCTCCCCATTGTCTTTTCATTCACAAATCCTGTCTTAAGGGTATGTCTGTGTATGAATAGGCTGAGCCTGTGACCTGGCTCAGGAACTAAGTATTTATCATTATAAAAGACTGGCCAGGCTCCCCAGGGTATCCAATCAAGTAAGCATTAACAGATAACCTGCCAGACAGGAGGTAAACAACGCACTCAGATTTCTGTTGTAGACAGCCTCTTCTGTGATGTAGGTATGATGTTTCTGGGGGTGGTCTTGGACTCCAAGGCGGGCAATTTAAAATGTCTATAGAAGGGCGACACACCTTGGTTCTGGGTCCTCCTCCTGCGTGTGAAGGGGGCACCCTGTTGCAACAATTCAATAAAGATCAGGCTTACTAGCTGCTTTGCTACTCAATACTCACTGGTTGGCCTCTGTTACTTTCTCCAACCGATGGAGAACCTGCAAAGGACTCTATAAGGGCTCTTGTGTCCTCCATAAGGGAATAAGGGCAGATTTACGTTTATTACACAGCCTTGAGGTGTCTTCATTTGGTGAAAGGTGGGCTGGAGTGACCTATCAGGGGGATTTGCCTGGAATTATCTCATTCATTTATTTCCAGTACAGCCATTGTTCCACTTTATTAGCTGTTCTGCAATGCTTCCTCCCCCCCCCCCGGGGGGCGGGAGAAAGAGAAAGAGCAAACAACACATTTCCATCAGCAGGCAAACAAAAAAGAGTATGATATGAGGCAAGGAGGAAATGCGAAATCCTTTGTCTAAGTTTCCCTCCATAGAAGTTCAGTGAAAAAGAATTCATAGAGGTGTTCACAGAGGAATTTATACACATGTACAGTAAACAGAAATTGTCATTTTGGCTGCAGATTTCTCCCACACTTCAAATGACCCTTCCCACAGCATCCGTTTCTTGCTCACTGTGGTGTGAATGGAAGAAACTACACACAGAAAAGAAAACACACGCGTGGAAAGTCAATTTCAATTTTTACTCGTAGTTTACAGCAGAAGAGTAAGCTTGGGTAGCAGTAGGAAGCAGCCGCCGACAGATGGGAAAACCTTTGAGATGCGTCATGTTTCCTTAACTGTTGTTAGAGAACTAAGGTACTGATGGAACCCAGAGCGTTTGAGAAAGCGTTGAGTTTCCCCCTCCCTTGCCAAATGACAAAGCAGAGGAGGGAAAGAGGAAAAACTTCTTCTGCCCTGGGATGGCAAAATCTTTCTTAGGGCAGCCTAAAATGCCCCCAGCCCCCAATCGTCTGCCGAAAGAGAGGGAGAGAAAGAAAGAAAGAAAGAAAGAAAGAAAGAAAGAAAGAAAGAAAGAAAGAAAGAGCAGGCAGCAGGCTTTCCTGCAAGCTCCCTCCAGCGTTGGCACCACCTGCTGCAGGAGCCCCAAGTGCCTGTGGACTCCGCTCTGCCAAGCACCTTCGGCGCTGCTTTCCCGAAGGTGCCGCTTGCAGTTCAGGGGAGCCAACTTGAATAAGCTATTCGGGGGTGCAGGTATCACAAGATCACACCCTTTGAATGACTGTGACCGTCAACCTTGGAGGTGGACCTGGCCCCCTCAAATATTTGGGGGGGGGGGCAAAAGGACCTCCGGCCCTGGGAGTTGGCTCCTATGCTGCAGTTAATCCCACTGAAGATCTGGGCCAGGGGTCAGCAAACATACCGCGCCTCGGGCCGGTGTCTCCAGTGCCTCCTCCGACTTGGATGTGCACTGGAAATAATGTTTGCGCATACGCAAATAACGTGTGTGCATGCACACAAGCTATTTCCGGCGCTCCTCCAACCCGCAGCGCAGCACTGGTAAGAGCGGGCAGTGGCAGTGGGCGACCCCGGGCTGGATAAACGAGTCCCTCGGGCCTTATCTGGCCTGCGGACCTTAGTTTGGGGACCCCTGATCTGGGCAGTCAGGTGCGGGGCTTCCCCCTCCGTGTAGTAGTGAAGCCGGAGCAGGCTCACGTGCATGGCATCCTCTCGTTCAGTGCCCTCTGGGGATGGCATGCATCCATCAACTGGAATTGCCTTCGGTTTCCATCTGAACTTCTGCAGCTCATCTTTCAGGTTCTCCAGGGTGTCCTTCAGGCACCGGCGCGTGGGCGTTCGCAGGAATTTTTTTTGGGGGGGTAGGAGTTTTGTGGGGGGGGGGCAAAGCCGACGTGATTGTTCAGTTAGTCCTTTTTCTTGTTTTTCTTTTCTTCCGCGCTGAGAAAGAGGCGCGCTCAACCCTCTTTCTTTGCTCACCAGGCGGTTCAGTTTCCGCCTTTTTTGGTCCTGCGGTTAAGCAAGGGCGGATGTGCTCCTTTTGGTAGCGGGGGGAGAGAGGAGATGCTGGTGGCTGATACGCTTTTAGAGGTTGAGCCGAACTTGGAAGGAAGCGGCGTGTTTTCATTTTGGCCTTTTCCCCCCTGCCAGCAAGCCAGTCTTCTGGGAGCGCCGAGAAGACCCTTCCCACGTTCTCGCCTGCCCAGGTCCGGCGCTGATTCTCTGCTCGACGGGAGGAAACCTCGGGAGTCTCCGCCCCCGCCAAGCGCCGCGGAGGAGCCGCTTCCCCGAGGGCTTTGCCTGCCTCCTTCTTCCCCCTTCAGACGCTGCCGCCTCTCCGGCTCTGCCGCGGGGCGAGACTTTCCTCTGGGCAGGGGCGCCATGGCGACCCCCGAGGAGAAGGGGGGGAGGAAGCAGCGGCGGAGGAGCCGCACAGGCAAGTACCCCGAAGACCCCTCGGCGAAGGAGCCCTTAGAGGAAGGAGGCGAGAAGCTGAAGGCGAAAGAGGCCGGCAAGTCCACGAAGAAGATGGGAGGGAGGAAGGAAGGGGAGAGGGAGGAGGATCCCCTCCTCAAGTTGCAGAGGTCCCTAAGGCTCAAGGGTGTGCGCCCGAGTAGCAGCAGCAGCGACGACGACGACGGCAGGGACCCCAACACGTGGGGATTGCAGCAGTCGGTCGCTCCGCAGTCTCTCTTCCTCGTTGAGTGCACGAAGGAGATGGGAGGGAGGGAGGAAGGGGAGAGGGAGGAGGATCCCCTCCTCAAGTTGCAGAGGTCCCTATGGCTCGAGGGCAGTGGGCGCCAGAAGGAGCCCCTGGAGGAAGGAGGCGAGAAGCTGAAGGCGAAAGAGGCCGGCAGGTCCACCAAGAAGAAGGGGGGGAGGAAGGAACGGGAGAAGGAGGTGGATCCCCTCCTCAAGTTCCAGAGACGGCAGAGGTCCCGAAGCCTTTACGGTGCTGGGCGCCCGAGTAGCAGCGGCGGCAGCTTTTCCCTCTGGTGCCTCCCCAGGGGCAGGCTTCGTATCTCTTACGCCTTGCGATGGGCCCTGCAGGATTTGAGTCGGGACGAGCGGCGGAGTTTCCTGGGCAAACTGCGCGAGATCCAGCTCGAGGAGGGCTTCGTCCGCATCCCCGAGGAGGTTCTGCACAAGGCAGGCGCCTTTCGCCTCCGAGACCTGCTGCTCAGCTACTACGGCGTAACTTACGCAGTCGAGGTGGCGGCCAAAGCACTGAGGACCGTTGGTCGCAATGACAAGGCGGACAGGCTCCTCTCCGTCAGTGATGGTAAGGCTTTGGTGGATCCTGACCTTCGCAGCCGATCAGTTTCACAGCAGCGCTGAGCTGCAGCAGTGAAGGAGGGAAGGAAAAACAACCACCTGCTTGCAATTTTTGGAAGTATCTTTACTTTAGCGCCAGGCATTTAGCGCATTTGGAATAATTTGGAATGTTTCAGCAGTCTGGTGGCTTTAAAAATTACAAATACCTTCAGCGCCCTTAGGACACACAGAACAATACCCATTACAATTAATAGCCAAAATATGTAGAAAAAGAACAAAAGAAAATTCACATATGATTGGCTGCACTATTTTCAGATAAATGAAATGTTTAAAGAAGAGGTGAAGGAAAGGGGTTACGAGGAAAAGGAATCGAAATTCCAAAAAGAGATAATAAATAACGAATATAAAAACCTGTCAAAAATGTATAAAATATTGTTAGAGTGGAATACGAAGGAGGAGGAAGTAAAATCAGTGATGGTACAATGGGCAAGGGATTTCGGATATAACATTCAATTGGAGGATTGGGAAAAGTTATGGAGAGTGAACATAAAATTTACGGCATGCACGTTACTGAGGGAAAATGTGATGAAGATGCTCTACAGGTGGTATATGACACCTGTAAAATTGGCTAAGATGTATAAGGCAGATAACAAATGCTGGAAATGTAAACAAAAGGAAGGGACTTTCTATCATCAATGGTGGGAGTGTAAAAGTTAAAAACTTCTGGGATGAAATTTATAACGAAATGAAAAAGATGTTAAGTTATACTTTTGTAAAAAAGCCAGAAGCCTTTTTATTAGGCATTGTGGGAAAGGATATCAGAAGAAAGGATTGCAAACTCTTCCAGTATGCGGTAACGGCAGCCAGAATTGTGATAGCTCAGAAGTGGAAGCAGGAAGAAATCCCAACGGTAGCAGAGTGGAGAGTAAAACTGACAGAATACGCCGAGTTGGATAAATTAACAGGGAAAATCAGATATACTAAGGATCAAAAGTTTATTGAGGACTGGGGAAATTTGTGGGTTATCTGGAGAATAAATGTTTTGTAAATACAACGCTAGTGGGATTTAAAGAGGCACTGTAAAGAACTAATAAGTATTGTTCAATAGAAATAATGTATGAAGGGAGGAACGAATGGCAATATGAAAGAATGGAATGTGTGTTAAAGATATAAACACGAATGAATGTCAATGACGCTGAAGGAAGTCCAAAATGTATGAGATATATTGAAATATGGATATAATGTATAAATAATGGGAAATTAATAAAATTTAAAAAAAAAAAAAGAAAAAAAAGAAAAAAAAAGAACAAGGAAGTAAAAATGTGACCACAATAAGCTTTGGGCCATTTCAAACAAGACACTCAGTATGGAGGATACTGGCCTCTACAAGATGGCATTGTGTCCAACCCAGTGATTTTTGGGGTCCAAAAAACTGTCAAGGGTGTCAGCCATTGCCAAGAATAGCCTATATATTAAAAATAATGAGGAACGGAGAGTGTGCACCCCACAGTAAGCTTCTCTCCACCCACAATGATACAGCCACACCCCCAGGAGACTGTCGGTGGATCATATCCATCCCAATTTCTAATGTATATGGACCCAACAGCAAAAAAATTGCCAAAATATTTTGACTAGAATAAAGTGCTTTTCATAGCCATCCTTTTCCTTGTAAGAATTCTCAGGTCATTGTCAATCTTAGAATCATAGAATCATAGAGTTGGAAGAGACCACAAGGGCCATCGAGTCCAACCCCCTGCCAAGCAGATTGCTTCAGATTGAGAGGCAACTGGTGAAATTCAGAAGGAAAAGGTCACTTTCACCTTTCTTTTCTATTGATTTTTCCATGTATACTTCTTCTAACAATATATCTTTAACAATTTTTCATATTTCCTCCCTTCTCCCCTGGACTTCCCTCATACTCCCGTTTGTTTTATTTCCATATCGTTCACCCTGCATATTGTTTCCCTAAAATTTGCTCAATACATATACAGTGGTACCTTGGGTTAAGAACTTAATTCGTTCTGGAGGTCTGTTCTTAACCTGAAACTGTTCTTAACCTGAGGGACCACTTTAGCTAATGGGGCCTCCCGCCGCCGCCCGATTTCTGTTCTCATCCTGAAGCAAAGTTCTTAACCTGAGGTACTATTTCTGGATTAGCACAGTCTGTAACCTGAAGCGTCTGTAACCTGAGGTACCACTGTAGTCTTATTTTTTTGTTGTAAACAGTTGTGATTGTTTACTCAAACCCTGCCAATGAGTCCATTTCTTTATGTTGCCTCTTCATATATGTTGTAAATGGTTCCCATTCTCCTTTAAAGTATTTGTTGTCCTTTTCATGTAATTTTTCTGTTAGTTTTGCCAGTTCTGCATATTCCATAAGTTTCCCTTGCCATTGTTCTTTTGTTGGTATTTCTTCTGTCTTCCAAGTTTGTGCTAATATAATTCTTGCCGCTGTTGTTGCATACATAAATAATTTCCAATTTTCTTTTTTTACATCTTGGTCTAAAATTCCTAGAAGGAATGCTTCTGGTTTCTTAACAAAAGTCTTTTTAAACATTTTTTTCAATTCATTATATATCATTTCCCAATAATTTCTAATCTTTTTGCATTCCCACCACATAGGATAGAATGTCCCATCTTTTACTTTACATTTCCAACAAGTTTTTGATTCCTTTTTATACATTTTGACCACTTTCTCTGGTGTTATATACCATCTATATATCATTTTCATATAATTCTCTTTCAGTAAGATACAATCTGTAAACTTTAGGTTCACCTTCCACATCTTTTCCCAATCTTCAAGTTGTATATTATGACCTAAACCCTGAGCCCACTTTATTTGTGCTGACTTTACCATTTCATCTAACGTTTCCCCATAAAGTAGGAGATAATACGTTTTTTAAGGTAATTTTGTGTCACTCTCGACTATCTCTTTTTGAAAGTTTGAAACTGTATAACTAAAACCTTTCTTATTGTCTTCCTTAAACTGTTCATTTAATTGTCTATGATGTAGCCAGCTTTGTAAAAAGGTCTTCAGTTCCTCATATCCTTTCAGCCTTAACCCTTTTCCCGCCTTTATTAATAATTCTCTATATGTCGGCCAATTCCTCCCTTACTAAGTGGTTTTAATGCTAATGCTTCCACCTGTGAGAGCCACCATGGGTTTTTTTGGTTCTAGAAAGTTTTTATATTTATTCCAAACTTTTATAAGTGTTTTTCTTACTATATGATTCTGAAAACCTTTTTTATATCTTTCCTGTACCATAATTATGAATGCCAACCAAATCTATTATCATGTCCTTCCAAGTCCAGTATTTCATCTCTTTCTAATTTTATCCAATCCCGAATCCACGTGATGCAAGCTGCTTCATAGTATAATTTCAAGTCTGGAAGGGAGAAGCCAGAGGAGGCTGACATCCACCCCCTCAAACCCCCCCATCGGTGGGGTTCTGAAGTACCTCACCCTCACTGGCGATGGGAGGAGGGGGTGGGAATCTAAGGAAAGAATTGTCATCCTCCTCTGTGTCCTCAAAAACTGCTTCCCAACACCCCCCACAACCCCGTCCCCATTGGAGAGTCCTCGGGGTGTTCCTCCTCATCAGAGCTCTCAGCGACTTCATCAACTATTCCCCCCCCCCGAGGGTGGGAATCCCTCGAAGTCCCCCTCGTCCTCTGTGGGTCCAAACACTTCTCCAAAAAACCTCCCCGGGGGTTTGGGCTTGTCTGAGAAGAGAGCGTGGAATTCCTCTATGAGAAACTCCTCTGTTACGCACCCCTCAGAAATCCACGCATTTTCAGAACTGGGCACCTCCTCCCAGACAACTAGATATTCTAGTTGATGTCTGTTCCACCTGGAGTCAAGTCTCTCCGTCACTGTTGCATTGTTCCCTCTCTTCTACGTTTGGTGAGGTGGGTACCTCCTGCCCCCTCCCTGGGCAGCCGTGCCTCTCCCTGTAAGGTGACAGCAGGGACCTGTGGAAAACCGGGTGTATTCTCATGTTGTCTGGCAGCTTCAACCTAAACGCTACTGGATTGACCTGCTGGATGACCTCAAAGGGGCCCACTCTCCTAGGCTGCAGTTTCTTGCACCTCCCCCTCAAGGGCAGCCCCTGAGATGACAACCACACCTTGTCTCCCACCTGTATGACCTCCCCTGGTCTTCTATGCTTGTTGGCCTCTTTCTTTTACGCCTCCTTTGCCCTCTCCAAGTTCATCTTGAGCTGTTGGTGTATGGCCTCCATCTCTTCCGTAAATTGCTCTGCGGCCGGCACACTCCAAGCCTCTTCCCCTCCGTCCTAGGAAGGCCCTGGGGTGGCACCCTTAATTGGCAAGAAAGGGACTCATCCCTGTAGACACGTGTTCAGCATTATTGTGCGCAAACTCTGCCAGTGCTAGTTTCTCCACCCAATCGTTCTGCCTGATTGACATAACAGCGCATGTACTGCTGCAAAAGGGCATTTGCTATCTCAGCTTGTCCGTTAGTTTCTGGGTGCCTTTCTGTCGAGAAGCTCACCTCTACCTGCAACAAACTCATGAGCTTGTGCCAGAAACGCGAGGTGAACTGCCTTCTATGGTCTGAAATTACCCTCGAAGGGACCCCATGCAGTTGGAATACGTGATCCACGAACAACTTGTTGGTCTCCTCTGCTGTCACCGGATGGGAACATGCCACAAAGTGACACATCTTAGTTAGTAGAACCATCACCACCATCTTACCTCTGGATATGGGCAGGTTCGTCATGAAGTCTATGGACACCACCTCCCATGGCCTCCCGGGTGTGGGCAAGGGTTCTAGCAACCTCGCCGGCGCCGCCCTCTCACCCTTTGCCCTTTGACACATGTCGCATCCTCGCACATAATCTCACACATCCTCCCTTACTTTGGGCCACCAAAAATCCCAGGTAACTAACAACATGGTCTTGTGTTGCCCAAAATGCCCAGCAGTGGGGTTGTCATGGAGCTGTTTGAGAACTCTGACCCTTAGGGACTCTCCTGGTACATACAATGCTCCTCTGTAGAACAACAGCCCCCCTTTCTCCTCACCCCCCTGCTCCCAACCCGCGCTTGAGCTCGCTGAATTTCCTTTGAGCAAAGTCATCTTCTCTGGTGAGTCGCACCAGTTTTGCTTCTTCCACTAGTGCTCCTCCACAGGTCCATTTGTCCTTCTGTAACGTATTCCTAGCCACGGGGGGTTCTTTTTCCTCCAAGTACTCTGGTTTCCGAGATAACGCATCTGCCCTCACGTTCTGCTCTCCCGGGACGTACTGGATCCTAAAATTAAAGTTGGCAAAAACTCCGCCCAACAGATCTGCCTCTGGTAAAGCACATGCGCAGTGCGCCAGTATTCCAAGTGCTTGTGATCTGTATGCACCTGTATCTGCTGCTGAGCCCCAATCAGGAAGTGTCTCCACTGCTTAAAAGCCGCAAAAATTGCCAACAATTCTTTGTCATAGATACTGTAGTTTTGCTCCAATTTGTTCAGTTTCCGGGAGAAAAAGGCGCAAGGCCTCCAATCCCCCCCTGCATCTTGCTGCAACAGGACTGCTCCGATGGCCCGATCGGAGGTGTCAGTTTCCACCTGTAATGGCTTGTCAGGATTCACGTGCAGTAGCTGCTCCTCTGATGCAAAAACATTCTTCAGTTTCTCAAATCCCCTTTGCGCCTCCTCAGTCCACAGAAACTTTTTCTTCCCACTGAGACAATCAGTTATGGGCGCTGACAAATGGGCAAAGTTCTTGATAAACTTTCTGTAGAAGTTGCTGAAGCCAAGAAATCTCTGTACATCCTTCTTTGTTTTTGGGTTTTTCCCTTTCCAAAATGGCTCTCACCTTCTCCCGGTCCATTGCCAGTCCCCTATCTGACAGCCGGTACCCTAGGAACTCCACTTCCCAAACATGGAACTGGCATTTCTCCAGATTGACCCATAACTGATGCTCCTTTTGGCTTCTCCAACACTTGCAGGATATCTCTTACGTGCTGTTCCTCGTTCTCCGAGAAGACTAGTATGTCATCTTAAAAGCAGACGCAGTTCCGGTACAGTAGGGACTCCAGTACATGGTGCATGAATGCCTGGAAACAGGGGCTTCCACTTTGTAATCCAAATGGCATAACAAGATATTCAAATGCCCCTGGGGGGTAAACATGGTCGTTTTCCATTCGTCCCCCTCCCACACCCTGATCAGATTGTACGTTCCCCTGAGGTCCAGTTTGGTAAAAATCCTGCCACGCCTGACTCTCGCCAAAATGTCGTCGATTCTCGGCATGGGGAAGGCCAGGGGTTCCGTCAAGGAATTGACAATCCTGAAATCCACCACTAGGCGGTGCTCATTTGTCCCCTTCTTGTCCACAAAGAACACAGGACTCCCTCCCACCGCCTTGGATTCCCTGATGAAACCCCTCCTCAAGTTCTTATCAATAAACTCCTTCAAATCATGTATTTCTTAGTCGGACATTGATTACAGCTTACCTGCCGGCAGTTTGGTCCCTGGGACTAAATTGATCTGACAATTGTACGGCCGATGTGGGGGTAACGTGTCAGCTTCCCGCTCGCTGAACACCACCTCAAAATCTGCGTACTGTGGAGGGATTTTCTCCTTCTCCCCCAGACACATCGTCACGACCTTGGCTTTCCTTTCCTGTGGAATCATCGTTTCCCTGTTCCTTGGCCCCCTGTCCTTCCTCCTTGGCCGTTGCCCCCACCATCCCTTGCCAGCCTTGACGCTGCGGGCAAGCCTTGGCAAAGTGCCCTGGTCGTTGACAGAGGAAACACTTTTTGCCTGTTTTCCAGTCCCTTCCCTCCTTTTTCCTGCTTGTTCCTCCTCTGCCGCTGCAGACAGTGGCAAAGGCGGCGGAGGAGCAGCCTGAAAGGGCTCCTTTCTCGCTGTTCGTCCCTATGCCGCTCGCAAGAGCAGGCATAGGAGCCCGGTTGGGGGAGGCACAGCGCAGCACAGCAGAAAGTATGCTGGAAAAGTTGTCTTATATTCGAGTATATGCGGTACTATTTTTCCTCTGGAAACCCAAATAAACAAAAAACCCACCCCATTTTGCATAAAATGCCCCAGAAATGCATTGAATTTACCAGATTGGATTCCATCATTTTTTAAATAGAGAAATTATCAATGAAAGGTCAAGGATGTGTCGGTAAGTTGGCCCAAACTTTCTCTGAATAAGTGTTTTCTGGTTCTGGGTGTTTTGACTGTTGACAAGTGGTATTTAGAAGGTCTACAGTCTAAGCCTCTTCCCAAATATGTTGGAATTCTCATTAGGGTAGAAAAACACACACACACCCCGCTAGTGTGACACCCCACCCCGGTCATTAGTTAAGGAAATAAGCGCTTAACCAGCAAGAAATGCACTAGAGCCAATTCAATACAGAAAAAGACGGGGGGGGGGGAATAAAACACCCAATTTTGACCTCTCCCTTACCTGCCCACAGGTTACAGTACCAAGTCCCTTGTTATGCGGAGGATTGCAAGAAAGAAAAAAGTGTGGTAAGTCCATCACAATTCTGTTTGCAGCTTACAGTGGAAGAGCAATGATTGGATGGTATGAGTTTCAGAAGACAGGATTAGACCTTAGCTTGGGAGAGAGCTGCATCTAGGAACCAGGATGGGCAAATGTGTTTCTGGAAAGAACAGTGCTAAGGGATTCGGTGATAAGCAAGGGGGACAAAGGACTGACAACCCCCCAAATTTCAAGGAGGGGTCTGGATCCCCTCAATATTCTGTGGTTGTGACCATGGACGTAGGCAGGGGGCCAGCTGTCTCTCCCCTCCGAATCCTTCTGGGATCTGATTGTGAACAGAATGTGAGTGAACTTTTTTTATACTTTTATAGAAGACTGTCGTGTCTTATCTTTTATGAGGGAATAAAGGGAAAATACCAGAACAGTTTTTATAGAGGCGAGCCTGAGCAAACACATCTGCTGTGAGTTTAAAAAGGGGAATGTTACTCTGCTAAACTGTGAACTTGTTTACACAAGTTGGAAAGGCTATAATCAAACAATATATCCTCTCCTGCATCCCTGAACATTCCCACATGGTTTGCATGCAGGGCTGGCCCCAGACATTTTGGAACCTGAGGCAAATCAAATTGGTGTTCCCCCAGGAAATTGTATTTGCTAAGGGTGTGTGTTGGAAAACACAGGGGAAAGTCACTTCTCTCCTTTCTTTCCCTCCTGCCTTCTTTCCTTCTCAGCAGCCCCACCAGCAATGAGCAGTGGCAGGAGCAGCATCAGTGGCAGGGAAGACCCTCGCCCTGCTGTGGGGGGAGGCAGTGCTGGGGCTTCTGCTCCTCTCAAGGAGGAATAAAAAGAGTGGAGGAGTCACATGCAATCCAGGGGGGTCCTTAACAAGAGATGGCAATCTTTTTCCAAAACGCATGTTATGTACACACATGCACACACTTTCCCTTTTTCAAAACCAACACCTAAATGTATACAAAATCCAATCGGTGGGTGGTGGGCTCCAGGAGGAGGACTGTCACACTAAACCTCGAGTTAACTTGGTTGATTAGCTAGCTCTGCTAGAAAGACTGCCCCATTCTGCTCCCAGTATATTTCTGAAGTCCATTATTTATAGCTGCCCAGGGGCAGAAGGGTTCCCCACTTAGGCCTTTTAAAAAACCCTAAAATCAAATCCTGAGTTGCCAGCTTGTCAGTTCCCCACCCCCTGATGGGGTGGCTAGTGGCTATTGCCTTCTGCTGGTGGAAAGGAGGCTGCCTTGCCTGAAAGCCAGCTTGATAATAATAATACTATAGCCCAGAAGGGAGAGAGGGAGAAGCAACAACAAAAGAGGCAGCTGATGGGATTGAGCTTCCTTTACAGATTTGGGCCACCAGCACAGCTTCAAACCAGCCACACACCTTCCTTTCAGGTCTCTGTTTTGAAAATCACTCCATTACAACTTTGCCCTCCTTGTTCCTTGGGAGTACAAGTGAAGTCGTAACAGTTCCATTTTCAAAACAGGTGTGCAACTGAGGAGGCGGGAGAGTTAGTGGGCTGCGAAGAGGCACCCAAGCAAGGTGAAATAAGCTGCCTCTTCATGGGCAGCCTGGCTCTGTTTGCATGCAGAAAGTATAAAAACTAAGTCAGCAAGGGGCATCAGCTTTGGATGCAACCTAGAGAGCAGTGCAAAATGTATCACTATCACGAAGACTGCGTATATTCTTGGCCGTTAAAAAAGGGATGGCTTTCTTTTCAATGTGGAATAAATCAGCATGTTTTCCAGATTGCAATGGAAAAGCAGATCTCAGCGTGCTCAGAGGATCAGTGAGGGCAGTATACTAGGGGTGGAGAAATTAAGCCCCAGCTTGTATCCCAATCAAGCTCTAATTCTCTCCCCACAGCAATGCCTAAAATCAAATAAATGTTTTTGCCACAGGTCACTGGAAGGAGTCGCTATCACTGGTGATGAAATAGTCTGCAAAGGAAGAAAAGAATTACTTGAAATTATTGAAAAGGACCTAGAATTCTTTTTACGTGAATTATGCTATGGCTTTATTATCACACCGAAAGAATACCGAGACTATCAGAAAGCAGAGGAAGACTCCAAAGAGAAAAGTCAAAAACTGCTGAATATGATCCAGGAAAGGGGGGAGGCAACTTGTTGCTGGTTCCTGGAACAAGTAGAAAGGAAACATCCAGGCTCCATTCAGATTCTGCTATTTGCAGTACATGGTGAGTTTGACTTAGAGTACTTTCTAAGCTTCAGGGACAGTTCAGCTACCTTCCTTTTCCTTCCAGCATTCATGTCAGGTAAAGAATTGTCTTTTACAGGCTCAGGTAAAAAATTGGTCCAGGCGACAGGCTCCTCAGTGACGCAGTCAGAATCCCCACTATTTGCAGAGGAAGGAAGAAAAACCAAGATGGAAAACCCAGCATGTTTTGGCATAAGAGTCGTGTGTAACCTGTGTCCCAGTGAGGTAGGTGACTGGACATCTTACTTGCATACACATTGATACTTGGCAGGTGGTTCTGTCAAAGCTCTGATGGATTTCTGGAATGGAGAAATGACCAGGGCAGCTTCTCTTCTCTGCAACTGGAGCCAAGTCCCCTGGTTGTTTATAATAATAGTTGAACAGCAACAGGCCCAGGACAGAACCCTTTGCACCCCACTTTTCATTTTTTCCTGAGGATCAAAAGGAAACATTAATGAGCACTCTCTGTGTTCCTTTGGTCAGTCAACCAGCTACAAATCCACCTAATGGTCATCCAGCCCTCATTTTGACAGCTTCCCTGCAAGACTATCATGGGGAACATTTTCAAAAGCCTTTTTGAAATCAAGATACACTACGTCCACAGCATTCCCCTAATCCACCTGATTCCATTTCTGACGAAGACTAGAATCACCATTTTCTGCTTGGTCTCCCACATTTCTCGAATTGTCTGCCATGTTGCTAGTAGTCTGTGTCTGTTTCTGTAGTGGACCCGTACTAGATTGCTTGCAGTTGCACAGCTTGAAGAAATCAGAAAGATTGCCTGTTTTTTTGTTGATTCAGAATCACCGGCATGCCCAAAGAATTAAGAATAAATTTATGATGAAAAGTAAGTGCAAGGTTGGTTTTGTAAGAGGGTTTGATTCTGGCCTTTGCTGGAGTTAAGGATTTAGGCAGCCATCTTCATCAGTATTGGCCATGCCCAATTTGCCTTTCTACAGCAGGCGTAGGCAAACTCAGCCCTCCAGATGTTTTGGGACTACAATTCCCATCATCCCTGATCACTGGTCCTGTTAGCTAGGGATCATGGGAGTTGTAGTCCCAAAACATCTGGAGGGCCGAGTTTGCCTATGCCTGCTCTACAGTCATGGGGGAAAAGAAAGTACACCCTTTTTGAATTCTGTGGTTCTACATAGGAGGACATAATAACAACCATATGTTCCTTAGCAGGTCTTCAAAATAGGTAGCACATGATGTCTAACACCATGCCATGGTTTATTTAACAGAAATAAAGCCAAAATGGAGAAGCCATGTGTGGAAAACTAAGTATACCTTACGATTCAATAGTTTACACAACCACCTTTAGCAGCAATAACTTGAAGTAATTGTTTTCTATATTACTTGTTTTCTGTATTACTTTATCAGTCTCTCACATCGTTGTGGAGGAATTTTGGCCCACTCTTCTTCACAACATTGCTTCAGTTCATTGAGGTTTGCTGGCATTTGTTTATGTGTAGGTCTCTTCAAGTCCCATCACAGCATTTCAATTGGGTTGAGGTCTGCAGTTTGACTGAGCCATTGCAACACCCCAATTCTGTTCTTTTTCAGCCATGCTGTTGTAGATTTGTGGGCATGCTTCGCATCATTGTCCTGATGCATGACCCAAATTTGGCCAAGCTTTAAGCTGTCTTGGGTGGCCTCATGTTTGACTCTAGAATACTATGGTATACAGAGGAGTTAACTCTGACTCAATGACTGCAATGTTCCCAGGTCCTGTGGCTGAAAAACAAGGTTTCTCCTGGCTACCCTTCCAAACAAACTATATTTGTTCAGTCTTTTGCTAATTGTACTGCCATAAACTTTAACATTTAACATGCTAACTGAGGCCTGTACAGCCTGAGATGTAACTCTTGGGTCCCTCCCCCCCCCAATTTCTCTGAGCATTGTACGGTCAGGCTACTACAGCCAAAACGAATGCAGAACAAAGCAGATACAGAAGAGCCTTTAGAGGTGTTTTTTGTGGGTTTGACCGCAAGCAGTGCTCCTTGGTGTGGTCATAAGGATGTTAGAAACAGACAAGAATGCCCTGTTTTCAGATGCGAAAAGGTGTCTGGCGGCCACATTAATGAATAAGGATTTTGTTACAGGGTCTTCCAGAAACAGTCAGACCAGAGGTGCTTTCGGAATCAGAGCGGAATCATGAAAGATACAGGTGATCTTCCAAAGCTTTCATGAATGCCTCCCTTGTTCTCTTTGAATGGCACTAGCACCCACCTGAGAGATGCCGGAACTGAGTTCCGGAGAGTTCTGACTCAAAGAAAGGTCTGGTGTGGTGAAAGGTAAAAATAATATGTGCTCATCCCCAGCGCCTCTCATGGCCCTATCTGGCAAAACATGAAGAAAGTGGCTAGCCCAAAACCACCCAAGGAGCTTCATGAAGGAAGATCATTGTCCTGCTTTCTCTTTCTCCACTTCCTGGGCTTTATTGCCCCTTCGTCCAAATAACCGTCTCTACTTATGATTTGCTACACTGTCCAGACATTTGCTGGGATGCAAACCATCCATCCCACTTTTTAGTTGTGATCCTGGCATTAATATTCCACATCGCCAAGCCATTCTTTTGTGCACTGCTTTCCATAGGGGTTTAAGTGTGCATAGGTCTATTCTTAATCTTCATAGAATCATAGAATTGTAGAGTTGGAAGGGACCCAGGGGATCATCTAGTCCAACCCCTGCAATGCAGGAATATGCATCTCTCCCATACAGGGATTGAACCTGCAACCCTGGCACTGATCAGCACCATGATATTTTATAGTTAAATATTATCGAGTCCAAGTAGTTGGGGTGGGGATTTCTTCCCATCAGGAAGATGCAGAGGGTGTCCGGCTGGTGTTCAATCCACTTCTCTTTCCATTTTTCCCTTTGTGGCATTCAGGCTGTGCTTCACGAAGGCCGGATCCTTCCTTTGCTTTTATACTGATGTAATATTTGAGGTGAGAGGAGCTGTGACCATCACCTACCACTTTGATTCATGGTCTAAGCACCTGGCCGAACAGAACACAGAGGACTGGGTTGTCGCTGGGCCTTTGATCAACATTGAAGCAGATCCAGCAAAGGCTGTGGCAGCTGTTCACTTCCCTCACTTCTTGTGTCTTGCAGGTATGGTAGGCGAAAAAGTTTGGAACAAAATAAATATTGCATGTAACAGGATGGGTGCAGTGATGAGCTCTGTCATCCACACTCAGGGGAGGTCATGCCCAGGCTGGCTGCAGAGGAGTGGTGGGAGGCACCAGTTGGGGAACCCCCAAGGGAACCCCCAGGGGAAGAAGGCTCAGAGCCAGCAGAGTGCTGGTGGGACAATGACGAGGGACCAGAGGGAGCAGCCTGGGAGGAGGTGGTGTTGGAAGCTGGAGAGGGAACAGGGTTTAGTGAGCAGGAAGGGACTGTGACTGAGAGGAGTGCAGAATTGGAGGCAGAAGTGGAGACTGGAGAGGAAGGGGGCCAGGAGACAGATGTGAGGCAGGCCGCTGAGAAGCCAGGGAGTCTCCCTTCCTGATGTGACCAGCTTTCTTCTCCATTTGTCTCCCAGAATCAGAAGTGGTATGAAGAAGGCAGAGCAAATTCAGACATGGTGTTGGAATCTCAGATCACTTTGGGAAGGACCTGGGGGAGGAAAAGCCTTAGGGAACAGCCTCATAGGGGCTAGATGTACTGGAATGAGTTGCAATGCTCAGTAGGTGTGGCTTCCTGGGCTACCCTTCTTTCTTTCTAGGTAAAGATGTTTCCCAAGTCTACATTGCACATTTTGTGGAAGGGGGGATGAGTCTAGAGAAGCCAGACAGAGTGGGGCCGTATCGTCTTATTTTGGAAAACCCAAACTTCTCTCCGCGTGGAGCCATTTTGAAAACATCATGGTCATGGTTTAAGTGGAAGATACTGGTCCACACTGTGGCACTGCTCTATCAAATGGTTCAGTTCCAGCCACCAACATTCCATCTGTACCTCCTACCCAATGACTCTTCTCTAAGAAAGGTAATCGGGATTCTCCAACTGTGATTGGTATTCCAGACGTCCTGGATCTTTTGCTTGACCATAGGACGCCTGACAATGTAGCTATACAAAATTATGCATCAGAGTGTGACATGGTTCATGAACTGTATCTCTCATTGTTGGGCTTGAACTAATTTACCAAACTGCTTTCCAACATTAACATGCCCCTAGAAAGAAGATTGGCAGTTGTCACTCAATGAATTACTTTTGTTCCCACCAGTAGTGATGTTTAAAATGGCATTTCCAATACTGAAATAAGCATTTTTCTTTTGCTGGGTAACCTCCTTTCCAGAGGTCCACTGCCTTGCCTGGTTCCCTTGATAACAGATATGTCAATGAAATAATGCAAGCAAATATATTTATGCTCCAGTTCTAAGTCCCCTAATCCTTCTCTGAAATCAGTGGAGCTTCCTTCAAAATAAATGTATTTAGTGATGACCAAATTTTCCTTGCTTTCTTTAGGAATTGGCTTAGTAGTTACTATGAGGTTTCTCCAAAGTCTCTGGAGGAAATCCGTTGGTTCTGGTTTGCAAATATTGCAAACATAAAAGATAAAATGCCTTCTCAATTTTAACTGCTCCTAAGAATTTTATCTTACTTTTTCAGCCTTCTATGGTTTCCTGTGTTGTCTCATCAGGAGAGGTGGCAGGGTGTCCCAGGATAGCTGGTTCCCCTTTTGTTGCTTCATAGGTCACCCTGGCCATTCCAAGAGTCCAGACTGGAGTTCCCCATGGGGTGAGGAAATGACATGTCCATATTTTGGTCTCTACTACCAAAGTGGTTTAGTTTTCTTTATATCACTGGTGGAGATCCTGTGTCCTTTCAAATGCTGTGGGACTACAAAACCCATCATTCCTGACTCATGACATCTAGAAGGTTGCAGGTTCCCCATCCCTGCCTTACATGCTGCAACAAAGCCAAGAAAGGGGTAGGGATCCAATCTTCCAGAAGTTGGTTATCTTTCTTGCATATCTCAAAAGTGACATTTGCCTTTCCCAGGCGGTTCATGAGCATGAAGTACAGTGTCCTTCACAGAGAATAGACAAACCCCCTTGGACCCTGAAACCTTTGACAATTGGCTGTCGCTTCTTTGTGGAGACAAATGATGTCAGAATCTGTCCCAAGGTGAGGCACAAAGATGATGAACGGCTTTGCTAGGGCAGAGCCAAGGCTTTAAAGTATGAGAACGGGAGAACTCCACCAGGATCCCTCATCACCCTTTAATTTGACTCCCTTGGACTGGTCAACTGGGCTAAGCCTTGTTTGCACATAAATAAGGCAGTTTCATGCTTCCCCACAGGAAGTGGAGTTTCAATATCTGGATGCTGACAAGCTGCAGCAGTACGTGGAACTGTCTGCTGAGCAAATGCAAGATACCTTCAACTTTAGTGTGATGGAGAAGTTCAAGAATGAACTCATCTGGGAGGCCCTTGTGACACAAAGTGAGTTGGAATGGAGGAAGATCACAAGGTTGGACCATAATTTGGGAGGCAGGGTGATAAAGGACATCCCAGTCACATTCCCTCTTTGACTTCCTCTTTCCTGTTCTGTATCAGAAGAGTTAAAGTCCCCTGAGATGAGTTCTCCTCTTCTACAAGAAGCACAAGGTCAGCAGGTTTTAATTATTTCCTCTTACTTAAAATCTCACCTTCCTCCCAATGGGAGCACAGAGTGGCTGGTGATAGAGTACTGCTGTATACATGGTACAACACAGAAAAGTCACTCTTGTTATGGAATTGCCTTCCGATATAGCTCCACCTGGCTTTATATTCTTTTTTGGTGCCAGATGAAGGTCTTTCAATCCAGCTCAGTTATGTAAAAAACAACTTTGGCGTGGATTCAAATAACCTAATGTGTTGATGGAATCTTGTCCAAGTGCTCAGACTAGTGCAATTGGGCTATCCTCCCTGCGCCCCGCAGTTCCCCCAGATGTGCTTTGAAGGGTCAGGAGAACCTCCAGAACAGTGGGAAAGGGAGTAATGTGTGTTCTTGGCTGTTGTGGGGAGAACTCTCAGTCTGTCAAGTAGAAATGGCCATAGAGGGTGATGTTGAATTTCCCCTGGTATGTTTTACCACATGGGCTTCTTGGTTTTCAGTGATACAGTGCTGCATACATGGTGCAACAAGGAAAAGTCACGTTTGTAATGTTAGGGAATCTCCTTCCAATACAGATTCCCCCTGCTTTATAGTCTCCTTTGGTGCCAGATGAAGGTCTTTCATACCAGCCCAGTTTTGTAGAAGCCACTATGGCCTGGATTCAGCACACCCTGTGTGCTAACGGAATCCAGTGCAAATGCTCACGATAGTGCAATTGGGCTTTCCTCCCTGCTGGGCTTGGGCAATATATTGATATATATCACCCAGGACCCAGTATGAGGGACAGACCATGATGTCAGTTTCACTCAGCGGTGTATCGCTGGTGAAACTGCTGGGCACCTGAGTCCCTCGGCCAGCAGCACTCGCTGGAGGGAGTCAAGGTCCTCTCCTGGTTCATGTCCCATGATCATCATTTTCCCATAGTCCCTCCTTGTTTCATATGTATCCACGCCCTTTTGCTTTCTCTCTTTTCCAGGTGCTTCTTGCTGCACATCAGCTGATGCAGCATCCAGCAGCACTGACTCAGGACATGGTGCGGAAAGCAGGTAGGGCTTAAGGTTCCCTTTCCTCACAAAAGGCCAGTCTTGCTATTAGGCCCATTGAAGCAGCTTGGCCTTTTCTTGCTGATAAACGTAAGGACTATTGCAACCCGCATCTCTTCCTGCTCCCTCTGGGCCAATCCCAGTCACAGAAGTTGGCAGCACTTGCAGATGGTGTGTCTCCTTCCCGGGTCCCTTTGCTGATCTTCTCTTGTTTTGTGCCTGCTTTGCCCTGCCTCTGGGGTGAAAATGCAGAGTGATGAAGAAGACCACCAGAGACCACCTGGTGTCCATCCTGGAGAACCTGAGGGAGGATGATCTCAACAGGTTCAAGTTCAAGCTGAACAAGATCCCTGTCAGTGAGGGCCATGACAACATTCCCCTGGGGCGGCTGAAGAAAGCAGATGTCATGGACCTGAGCCAACTCCTCCTGAGTTTCTACACGGAGGATTATGCTGTGCAGGTGACGGCTGATGTCCTCAGAGCTATCAACTGCAGGGATGAGGCACAGAGGCTCCTCAGCCTCACCAGGAAGAGGTAAGAAAGAAGGAGGGCCTTCTCATGGAACTTGCTAGGAGGCCAATGGAGCACCAGTCGCCCTTGATGTCAGTGCCAGATTACCAAATAGGCAGAATAGGCACCGGCCTTTGGGCCCCACACTGTTTAGGGGCCCATGACAATGGATCAGAATAATATTGATTTGATTTTGAAAGAAAATTACAAAAGATTATTAGGGGATAATTTATGAGCTCCTCCCTCCGGAGATTTTGACTGCCTCTGCAGGGTTTAATCCTGCGCTGCCTGATGCCTCACCCACTGTGAGGTGAGGGGGATTGATTCTGATCATCTCTTCATGGAGTCTGAGGAGGTGAAAGGAGAAAAACTTTATTTCAGGGATAACCAATCTGGTGCCCTTCACTGTTGGTTTATCTTTTTTATTTAGCAGAATTTATATAACGCTTAGTTGTAATAAAATACCTACTGTAAGCAATTTGTATTAAACATAACGTCATTTTTTAAAGTCAGATGTTTAAAGTGACTTGAGTGGAAAAAATTCAAAATGTTACTAATAAAAGCAGTTAAAATATAATTTTTTAAAATGAATTCACATATGAAGATAAATGTCAGCTTCACATTATCTGGGTCGGCTTGCCTTAAAAAATAAGTTATTTTTTAAAAAGCAGGCATTTAACATAATACAAAGAAGGCAGCTGCCTAATGTCAATGGCCAGGGAGTTCCACAGGGTAGGGGCTGCCTTGCTAGAATATGGGTTCCTCTCAGGTGTTTGACTGCTGCTCCCACCAGTCCCAGCCAGAACAAGATCAAATCTAGATGGGAGAGATTGTAGGACAGCTTGTTCTCACTGGAAGCAGGTGCATTAGTGAAGCTTTTCACAATTATAGAGATGTCTTCATATATTTGGATTATCTGCATAGGCCACCACTTGGAACATTCTAGAGTTCTGTTTCCCTGATGTTGCTGAACATCAACTCCCACCCTCTCCAAGGTCAGGTTAAGCTATCTGGGGGTGATGGAACTTGTAGGCCAACAACATCGGGGGCCCAAAGTTGAAGATCATTCTCTAGAGGTAATTGTTGAACCTCCAGAAGTTGTTGAACTTCAACTCCCATCAGCCCCAGCCAGTTTGGGCAATGGAGCCCAGGATGATGGGAGTTGTAGTTCAGCAACATTTGGAGGGCCAAAGGTCCCCTATGCTTTTTCTAGGGTTCCTGACAGCATTTGGGGGCTACTTTCCTCTTCATTTCTTGACAATATTTAATTGATTCACACATGTACGGAATTGTTTTTTTCTTTCCTCCAGGAACTAGCAGTTCATTGCTGAAACCTGTGCCTTATAAGGTAATAAGAGCCTGCTGGATCAGGCCAGCATCCTGTTCTCACTGCCGCCAACCAGATGGCTGTAGGAAACCTGCAAGTGCAACAACTCGCTCCCTTTCTGTGGCTTCCAGCAACTGGTATTCAGAAGCATTTCTGCCTCTGACTGAGGAGGGAGAGCACAGCCATCATGGCAAGGAGCCATGTCTTCCATGAAGTTGTCCAGTAATTTTTTTGAAACCACCCAAGTTGGTGACCAGCACTGTCTTCTGTGGAAGTGAGTTCCATGGTCTAACTCTGCGCTGTGTGAAGCACTTCTATCTGTCCTGTGTCTTCCAACATCCAGCCTCATTGGCTGCTCACTGGTTCGAGCGTTCCAAGAAAGGGATAAAAACATTTCTCTGTCCACTTTGCTCACACCCTGAATAATGTTATAAACTTCTATCATGTCCTCTCTTACCTTTTCTCTAAACAGTCTCAAACCCTGCAGCCGCTCTCATATGGGAGTTGCTGCATCCCCTCAATCATTTGCCCTTTTCTGAACATTTTCCAACTCTACGGTGTCCTTTTTGAGGTGTGGAAACCAGAACTGTACACAGTATTCCAAATGCGGTTGCGCCATGGATTTCCATAACGGTATTATTGCTGTGGTTTAAACTGTGGGATGTAAAACACAGGAGCAGTCAATTACAACATTCCTAGAGTGTACATGTTGAGACATGGGGAGTGGTGTTTGTCCAGCCAGCAGGTAAACTTCCTGGGACAAACGTCCTCCGCATGTGACCAGAGGTGGGTGTGGCCTCACCTGTGCAGGTAATGATAAAAGCACAGGGCAGGGCAGCCATATCTCTCTTGCCTCTTGCCTCTCTCTCTGCCATCTTCCTTCGAAGAAGTAACATCTGCTAAAGATGCTCTCTTGGCTCCCAGCCAAGAGATGAGAAAGGGACTATCTTCTTATAAGATAGATTCTAAATGTATTTTACCTTATTAAGCCTGTCTGCCTTCTGGGATCCGATTGTGAACAGAATATGAGTAAACTCTTTTTATACTTTTATGAAATACTGTGTCGTGTCTTGTATTTTAAGAGGGAACAAAGGGGAAATTACCAGAGTAATTGTTATAGAGGTTCTAGCGAACCTGAGCACACGTTACCGTTGCGAACTTAAAAGGGGAATGTCTTACTCTGCTGATATTTGGGGAACTTGTTAGCACAAGTTGGATAAGGATATAATCTCACAATATATCCTCTCCTGCATCCCTGAACATTCCCACATAAACCACAGAGCCTAGAACTTCCTGATCAGAAGGTGGGCTGTTCGAATCCCCGTGATGGGGTGAGCTCCCGTTCCTCAGTCCCTGCTCCTGCCAACCTAGCAGTTCGTAAGCACGTCAAAGTGCAAGTAGATAAATAGGTGGGAAGGTAAACGGCGTTTCTGTGCGCTGCTCTGGTTCGCCAGAAGCGGCTTAGTCATGCTGGCCACATGACCCGGAAGGTGTATGCTGGCTCCCTCGGCCAGTAAAGCGAGATGAGCGCCGCAACCCCAGAGTCAGTCACGACTGGACCTAATGGTCAGAGGTCCCTTTACCTTTACCTTTATTGTGAGATTCAGAGTTTTAAGTTCAGCTCCTTTCCTAATGATCCTCAGCATGGAATTGGACTTTTTCACAGCTGTTGCACACTAGATCCACCTCTTCATCATGCTGCCCGCTGTGACCCCAAGGGTTGTGCTGCCCCCTTTCATCCTCCTCCCTGGGAAACAATGGGGAGCCCCTTCCCACCGTCTCTGATCCTTCAGTCTCCAAAAAGATCTGGATGTTTTGTCTCAGCTCTCCCAGCATCCTCTCCAACACTTCACTCAGGCCACAACTACAAACATTTGCCAGTTTTATAATGCCCTGACCTCCTCTGGAGAATCCTGTGAATTGTAGTCCAGTGAGCTGTTAAGAATTCTCCCACAAAATTCCTAGCCTTTTCCAACAGAACTTCAATTCCCAGACCTCCAGGAAAATACCAATGAGCCACACAAAGCAGAGCCGTCACATTCACTAAGCACAGTGCGCTTGGAGAGCAAAGTCCCTCCTGAGGCTGCAGTTCAGTGCATGTTCCTTTCTTGCTATAATTTTTCTCCTACTGGGAGATGTATATCTTGGGAGGAGGAGCAGGTTTCAATCCCAGGAGATGAAGCCAGAGAGAGACAGGCTGTCCTCCTCTGAACTTCCTGGGTGGTGGAGACTTCAAGTTGTTTTGCCTTAGGGCTTCCTAACATTTCTCCTTTTAATTTTGTACATTGTAAATAAAAGTACTTTGTAATAAAGATATTTTACCAATAATATTATGTCCTTTTCATTAGGCCTGCATAAGCTTCCAGTAGTCTTTCATTGAAGGGAAACTGGTACTAGAAGTCTTGCGCAGTTTTTGAGCCTGTTATCATGGGAATTTCTGAGACAGTTTTGGGAATTTGACCATTGGAAAGAAATTGGAGAAATGGTCTGGAATGAGAGACATTCCCTGGGGTTCCTTGGGCCAGTCTCTGTCTTAAGTCTATGTCTGCTTCAAAGAATGTCTGTAAAATCAAATGTGTGAGAGGAGGAGCACCTTCAGGGATTCTCAACTCTTTGGATAAACATGGGAAATATGGCCAATAAAACAACAGAAAACACTAAAACAATAAAACACAAAAGGGGCTGAGGGAGGGGCAGGGATTATAGGAGTTGTAATTCAGCCACATCTGGAGGGCCAAAGGTTCCCCACAAGAAGATTTCATTGATCCACTAATAACACCTGGGCATTCTCTTCTTTCCCACCTCCCATGAGGCGTCTCCGGGTTTGGAAGGCAGGCGCCATCCATGCAAGGAGCTGAATTTTGCCACCTGCACAAGAGAAAGTTATATATAGAAAATGCTGTGTATGAATGCATTGTATTTGCAATGCTGTAAGGAGATGTTTACCTTAAGCCATTTCTTCCACTCGAGGTGAAAGAAGAAGAGTGGTTCTCCATTTCAGTGAGTTAAGCTACCTCATTGCTGGAAACCCACACTGCAGTTTTCACAGCTGGAAAGGAAACTTGAGAAATCAGAGATGGCTAACAGCAGCAGAGAAACTCTGCGTGATGAACAAGCTTTGGATCTCTCTCTCGGACCAGAGAGAGAAAAGTTGACTGAAGTGCATAAAGGACGGAACCCCATTGCTTGCAATGTGTTCAGTGGCGTAGGAAGATGGGGCGGGCCGCCCTGGGTGTCACTCTGAAGGGGGTGACATTCACGCCCCCCCCCCCCGGCGGCCGCGCTGGCGGGCTGGGCTCTGCTCGGCTCTCCGCAGTATATAGAAGAAGCTCTGGCTGGAGATCTGGCAGCGGCAGCAATCTGGCGTTTGCTCCAGCTCCTGCTTATTTTGCTGCGGGATCAACTTCGCCCTGCCAGTTCCGCGAGGGAACCGCTGCTCTTGCAAACCATCATGTCTCCATCCTTGGCACCCTTTCGCCAGCCCTCGCTGCCCGGCTGCAGCGCCTCTGGCGGGCAAGACCAAACTTGAGATCTCCCCTTTATTTTGTTTAGTGCGTGTGCGCTTCCCCTCCTGAAATTGTGTGTGTGTGTGTGTGTGTGGTGAGTTTTCCCCTGCATTGCTGGTTTGAGTTATGTGCGTTTCCTGCTTTGCTGCCGGCCTCCCAGTCCCTGTTTTGCATTGTTGGAGTGTGTGTTCTTTGCCACTTGCCTCCCAGTCGCGGCTGATGGGAGGGGGGGGGGGAGTGTTTTCTGGGCACTGCGTATTTTCCTCAGCGTTCTAATGAGCTGCCTGCCTCTTTAAGAGGCTTTCTTCCTCTGCCGCCAGGCTTTGGGTTTTCCTGGGGCTCTCTTCCCTACCCCCCTTGCATAGTGCATTTAAGCCGCGGGTGCCTGGCAGGGCTGCCTGTTGCCAGCTTTCAGCTCCGTTTAGAGCTTGGAAAATATCTGCTCCTTTAAGGAGTCGGCATTGATACCCCCCTTTTCGGAAGAGCAAGACTGGGCTGGTGGAAATAATCCTAGAAATATCAGATGGTGCCACTTTGCGAGGTGTGGTTTGTTTTGTGTGTGTGTATTATCTCTCTCCTCCCACCTTTTTTTTGCAATCGGTAGTACATGAAACAAGCCTCTCTGTTGTTAATTATTTAAACGTATTTTTAAAAAAAATTAAAGAGGGCTGGATGCTCAAGTTCCTAGTCCCTGGGGTGTGCTTGTCTCATGAGCTATGGGAGTAGCCGTCCTTCTGGAGAAATAGTTAATGGGCCCTTCCGCAATGGTGTTCTGTTCCTAGACAGAATAACAGCGCATCGGTAGTGGATTTAATTCTGCCTTTTATTAGTTGTTCCCTGTGGCTACCATATTGTTGATTTCTGGAGTGGCACAGCAAAAGAGGGAACCACCCCCCACTCTTCCCTAGGACATTTGTGGCATGAACAGCTATAGGATTTCATCAGGAAGTTCTAGGACTGGTGGGAAAGGAAGTATGTAGGACAGCCCCAAAACTTTTGCAGGTGCAAATAATATTGATGCATGTCCAATGAAAAGGACGTTTAGAAGCACCTAGTGTTCCCTGGACTTTTAGGGCAATGCATGGTGCTTTTGTTTGACACATAAAAATCTAGTTGCTCCCAAAGACTTGTTTTTCTGTCTCTGCACCACAACACTGCTTTGGAGCGACTTCTTTCCGATTAGTGGTTAAAATGACTATTGGTTGATGCTAATGCTTGAGGATGTTGAAAGGTGCTTAACAAAAAAAAGTTTGGTTTTTTTTAAATAAGTCAATAAATTCTAATGAAAAAGATCATTAAAAAAACTGTTCCAAAAAAAAAATCCTTTAAAAGAATCAAGTCTTTATTTTTTTTTCCTAAAAAAAGTCCTTAAAAGGTATCTTTCCCAAAATTGTCCAGTAGCACCTTAGAGACCAACGAAGTTTGTTATGGTATGAGCTTTCGTGTGCATGCAGACTTCTTCAGATATCTGATATCAGGTATCTGAAGACCAACACGGCCACCTTCCTGTATTAAACAATAATAATCCCTAAAGCCATGTTTCTAGGGCTAGATGGGCCATTGACCTGATCCCACTCATCTTATGCTGGACTACAAAGCTCTTAACAGCTTGGGATCATCTTACTTGAGAGATTGCCTTCCCCCATGTATTCCCAACTCAACTGCTTTGATCTGAGAAAACTGGCGCAGTTACTGGTTCCACATAAAACACCTGCACTTGTGAAAAATCAATATTTTAGTGTGGCAGCATAGGCAGACTTTGGAACTCCCTGCCTATTGATACCAGGCAGGCGCAACTTTGGGGTACCCTCTGTAAAAAAAAAGATTCGGGGGGGTGACAAAAAAAAATTCCGCAGCGGGGCGCACCTAACCTTGCTAGCCTCTGGTTGAGCCAAACTTAGAAGGAAGCGGGGTGTTTTTATTTTGCTGTTTCCCCCCTGTCTGCCAGCCAGCCAATCTTCTGGGAGCGCCGAGAAGGCCCTTCCCACGTTCTCGCCTTCCCAAGTCCAGCGCTGATTCTCTTTTTTTGGGGGGGGGGGGAGGAAACCTCGGGAGTGTTGGCCCCCAACTCCGCCCCTGCCAAGCGCCCGCGGAGGAGCCTCTTCCCCGAGGGCGTCGCCCGCTTCCTTCTTCCTCCTTCAGACGCTGCCGCCACTCCGGCTCTGCCGCGGGGCGAGACTTTTCTCTGAGCAGGGGCGCCATGGCGACCCCCGAGGAGAAGGGGGGGAGGAAGCAGCGGCGGAGGAGCCGCACAGGCAAGTACCCCGAAGACCCCTGGGCGAAGGAGCCCTTGGAGGAAGGAGGCGAGAAGCTGAAGGCGAAAGAGGCCGGCCGGTCCACCGAGAAGAAGGGGGAGAGGGAGGAAGGGGAGAGGGAGGAGGATCCCCTCCTCGAGTTCCAGGAACAGCAGGGGTATCGATGGCTCTACCACCGGAGTAGCAGCAGCAGCAGCTACGACGACAACTTTACCCCCTGGGACCTCCCCCCGGGGCGGCGGCAGGACCCGTCTGCCCTGCGCTTTGGCTTTGAGCAGGCGAGTTACTATCGGGAGAGTCTCTTTATCGCTCGCGCCTTGCAATTCTCCCTGGGGCGTTTGAGTCGGGACGAGCGGCGGAGGTTCCTGGGGAAACTGCGCGAGATCCCGCTCGAGGAGGGCTTCGTCCGCATCCCCGAGGAGGCGCTTCAGGAGGCAGGCGCCTCTCGCCTCCGAGACCTGCTGCTCAGCTACTACGGCGGAACTTACGCAGTCGAGGTGGCGGCCGGCGCGCTGAGGGCCGTTGACTGCGAGTACGAGGCGGACATGCTCCTTCTCTCCGTCGGAGAACGTAAGTCTTTGGTGTTTCGTGACCTTCGCAGCCGTTCAGTCTGACAGCAGATCCTTCCATCCCTGGTTGCGCCAGCCCAGCGCTGAGCTGCAGCCGTGAAGGAGGGAAGGGAAAACAACCACGGGCTTGGAATGTTTGGAAGCGCCTTACTTTAGCGCCAGGCATTTAGCGCATATGGAATAATTTGGTATGTTTCAGCAATCTGATGGCTTTAAAAATCACAAATACCTCCAGCGCCCTTAGGACAGACAGAACAACAAAGAATCAGCCTTAAGTACAAGGACAGGCCGTTCTTTGGACGCAGGGTTGAGCTTGTCTACCCTGCACAGGGTAAAAGGGAAAGTCCTTTTTCTTTCCTGCTTGAGCCCTGCAAAAAGTTTTAATCAGGCCTGTAAATTCAGAAGGTTTGCAGGCCATCCTGACATCTCTGGAACAGAGGAAGGTCCCAAATGGGCCTCATGGTCCATCTAGCTCAGGATTGCTAATATTGCCTGACTGTGGCTCTCCAGGGTTTCAGGCAGGAGTCTTTTGCAGCCCTACCTGGAGACACCAGGGATTGAACCTGGGACCTTCTGCATGCAAAGCAGGTGTTCTGCCACTGAGCCATGGCTCTTCCCTGGTCATCCAGCTGGAAGTGCTGCCTGCAGAATGTCCTGCAGAAAGGTTGCTCTAGGAAGAGAAGGAGGAATTTCCATGCTTTATGATGGTATAAAATGGTTTAGTGATGTTAAAATCTAGTGAATAATCTTCTGGAGAATAATCTTTTGGAGAATATTCTCGAGAATATTATCAATTAATGAGAATGTTAGAGAATTTTCATTTAAAATAGGAGGATATTCATTTTAATGCATTGAAATCGATTTAATTTTGATGCATTGAAAATGATATAATTAATTAATATGCAAGTTTATTCATGGGTAAACTTGTTCAGATGGCAACCAAAAACTGTACAGATGCTTTTATTCAATGAGGCAATGCAGTGAATTCACATTCTTTGATTTTTTTGCACCAAACTTCAAATTGAAAAAACAACGTGAATGACTCGCGTTAATCACTAAGCCTACCACCCACCATTAACCGTATATTTACCATCAACTTTGAATTCTAATTATGTTGTGTATGTTTGAAATGTAGCTTTTAAAGTAAAAGGAATATTAAAAGAACCTCAGGTCCGCTATATGAGTACGTTCTTTAATAAGCATATCTACATGGTACAGTATTTTCAGTACAACACTAATAAAATCAATATAATGTTAAAAATAAATGCTATTATTTCCAGAAAATAAAACACAAATAATCAGTAATGACAAGTTACATAACATCAGAAATGCAAATTGCTATCTGCTTAGTGTCGTCCGCAACTGGACTTAACGGTCAGGGGTGCCTTTACCTTTACCTTTAGACAAGTAAGGCAACACACAACATATTTAAATTATAACTGATAAATTGTGACAAGAAAAAAAATCACACTGTATGGCCAAGGGTATACAATTGCTAAGAATAAGGTCACACCAAAATAGAAAAAGGCTATTACATATAGTTGAAATACAAACAAATTCAAATGTTCATCAAATTTAAACAAATAGCATTTTTAAAATGAAAAAAAAAAGTTTTTTGTAGCTCACATTTCATAAGTGCCAGTGGTGAATGACACATTGCCCAGTAATGTAACTGGATCAAAAAATCCACTATTCATTATTTACACTGGCAATATCACAGCTTGACTTATTTTTTACTTGATTTTTAAAATGTGGGTTGTAAAACTTTTTCTTACATTAGAATTTACAGTTTGTGGAGAATATTCTATACTCCCCCCCCCCCCAAACAGCTAGTGTGACACCCCTAGCCATTGGTTAAAGAAATAAGTGCTTACCCAGCAAGAAATGCACTGGCACCAAGTAAATATAGAAAAAGACTGTTTTGGGGGCAGGGGGAGGGGGGGAATAAAGCAGCCAATTTTGACCTCTCCCTTACCTGCTTACAGGTTATTATATGCAGAGCAATGAAAGAAAGAAAAAAGTGTGGTAAGTCCAACACAATTCTGTTTGCAGGATGGGCAACTGTGTTGCTAAAACGAATGGTGCTAAGGGATTCGATGATAAGCAAGGGGGACAGGGGACTGACAACCCCCCAAATTTCAAGGAGCGGGTTGGGTCCCCTCAATAGTTTGTGCCCATGACCATGGGAGTAGGCAGAGGGCCAGCTGCCCCCCCCAATCAAGTAAATAATAATAAAAAGGCCCTTCCTGCTGTTGTGACAGACGCCATCAGGCCTCCTCTCATCACATGCAAACCATAATTCTCTGACTTCAGACTTCTGCATATTATCATACAGCATGCTTTGTATGCAGGGCTGGCCCCAGACATTTTAGTGACTGAGGCAAATCACATGGGTGTTTCCCCAGAAATTGTAGTTTGCTAAGGGTGTGTGTGTGTGAAAACACAGGGGAAAGTCACTTCTCTCCTTTCTTTCCCTCCTGCCTTCATTCCTTCTCAGCAGCCCCACCAGCAATGAGCAGTGGCAGGAGAGCATCAATGGCAGGGAAACCCCTTGCCCTGCTGGGACCAGGGGGGCTGAGCCAGGCTGGGATGGAGGAGGCAACCTGAGATGAAGTGGCTGTTGCCTTGTGCTGGTGGAAAGGAGGCTGCCTGACCTGAAAGAGGAGGGGGAGCTGGACCTGACAGCCAAGACCAATCAGCTGGATAATAATAATACCCTACCCAGAGGGGAGAGGGGGGAGGCACAGCTGCTGCATCTTCCTTTCTCAGGAAGATGGAAAAGTATGGACAAAAGAGGCAGCTGGCTGGTTTGAGTATATTCTTGGCCATTAAAAAAGATGGCAAATTACATCATGCTTTTCCCCCCAATGTGGAATAAATCAGCATATTTTCCAGGTTGCATAGAAAAGCAGATCTCAGCATGCTCAGAGGATCAGTGAAGGCAGTATACCAGTGGTGGAAAACTTCAGCCCTAGCTTGTATCCTAATCAGGTTCTAATTCTCTCCCCACAGCAATGCCTAAAATAAAATCAATGTTTTTGCCACAGGTCAATGAAAGGAGTCGTTTACACTGGTGATGAAATAGTCTGCAAGGGAAGAAAAGAATTACTTGAAATTATTGAAAAGGACCTAGAATTCTTTTTACATGAATTGTGCTATGGCTTTATTATCACACCGAGAAAATACTGGGATTTGTGGAAAGCAGGAGAAAACTCCAAGGAGAAAATTCAAAAATTGCTGGATATGATCCAGGAAAGGGGGGAGGCAACTTGTTGCTGGTTCCTGGAACAAGTAGAAAGGAAATATCCAGGCTCCATTCAGATTCTGCTAGTTGCAGTACATGGTGAGTTTGACTTAGAGTACTTTCTAAGCTTCAAGGACAGTTCAGCTACCTTCCTCCTCCTTGCAACAGTCATGTCAGGTAAAGAATTATCTTTTACAGGCTTGGGTAAAGAATTGGTCCAGGGGACAGGCCCCTCAGGGCTGAAGTCAGAATCCCCCCTGTTTGCGGAGGAAGGAAGAAGCAGTAAGGTGGAAAACCCAGCAGTTTGTGGGGAAAGTGTTGTGTGTCATCTGTGTCCCTGTGAGGTAAGTGGCTGAACACATGGGCCCAGGGGCAGCTGCCTCCCCCCAGTCAAGTAAATGAATAAAAATACTTAACTAAAAGTAGGAATTGTAGAAACATTTTGACAGATTTTTCTGAACAAAGTACCGTATTTTTCGCTCGATAAGATGCACCTGACCATAAGGCGCACCTAGGAGGAGGAAAACAAGAAAAAAAATATTCTGAACGAAACAGTGGATGTATGATTTTTGTGGTTCATGCTGTGGCCACAGACATGATATGTGATTTGACAGTGAGTTTGGGGTAGCCCATGCTTTGTAACCACGTTTTTGTGCCATTGCGGCCCCACGAAACAGTGGATGTGTGGTCTTTTCGGTGCAGGCTGTAGCCATGGACATGCTATGTGATCTGATGGAGAATTTGGGGTGACCCAATGCAAAAATCCTGAGGATCCATGTGCTTTTACCTCCCTCCTTTATCACTAGAGTCCCTTATCTCCTCTCCCGATCGCTTGCTGATCAGCTGCTCATCTGCTTTGTTTCAACACCCCCTTCCCTCTTTCTAAAAAAAAAAAAAAAAAGCACAAATTGCTTTTAGACCCTGGGCAATTCGGCTCCCGGGACCACGCATTCACTCCATAAGACGCACAGACATTTCCCCTTACTTTTTAGGAGGAAAAAAGTGCGTCTTATGGAGTGCAAAATACAGTGATTTTAAACAACTGTTGTTGAGACATTTCATTCCACATCTGCAAGACACAGCCAGACAGATTACTCCTGAGTGTCCCTGCTCAGGAACTGGAGCCAGACCAGCCGCCTGGTTCTCTATGGAGCTGGTAATGAATAAGCGTGTGAGAGGGTGACTACAAGGAAGTTGGCAGAATGAGTCTGACTGAACACAGACTAGAGCCTCTTTGAAGACCTATTCTGTGGCAGTGCATTCCCATTTCCTGGAATGGGAATGTTTTCTTACGTTAACATGGGTTTTTCCTTTCACTGTATCTCTCATGTGATTGGTTGACTGTGGGTCACATGAGAGAGGCATTCCATTCTGTTCCAACTGTTATTCCAGTAACTATCATTTTCAACTGTCTTTCTGCTTCTCTCTCTGCGTGAGAGGAGGGAGAATGGCTGCCAAGAGAGAGTTCTCAGGATACTCATTTGGGCAGTGTGTGTTAGTGTGATCTGTCTAAAGTGAAACAGAAAGAGGAAGATCCCTAAACGTTAATAGGGAGAAACCTGTGCAGGGGTTCTCTGTAAGGAACAGGGAGAATGCCACTGAGGTGAAAGAAAAAACCTTTCATAAGAAACTGTCAGACCTGAGTGAGAACTACTATGGCCAAAATGAAGAAAGTAGCTCTAAAAGAGCCATTAGTGGTCTGTATTTGTGGGTTTGACACCAAGCAGTGTTCCTTGGTGTGGTCGTTTGGGTGTTAGAAACAGACAGGAATGTCCTGCTTTCAGGTGGCAAAGGGGTATGGCGGTCATATTAATGATAAATTATTTTGTAGCAGGATCTTCCAGAAACAATCAGACCAGAGGTGTTTTTGGACTCAGAAGTGAGTCGTGAAAGATACAGGTGAGCAATGTCTCTCTCAGATTTTCAAAGCTTTCTCCTTTAAGGGAAAGTTATCTACATTGAATATCTTTTGGGGTTTCAGAGAAGTGTTCAGCAGAGCACATTTGGTATATGAAGGTTTCACAATCATCACATGTGGTGGTGCTCTCTAAAACGTTCCCAAACTACATCTGTGTCAGGGACTGGGCAGAGGAGGAGTGGGGGAGACCGCCCCCCCCAAACCATCCAGGGAGGAGGAAGAGGAAGACAGTATAGATTTACAACAGGGGGTTGAGGGAGGTCACAGCTCAGAGTCAGATGAGAGGGAAAGTTGGGAAATCATGGGAGAGCAACACACAGCTAACATGTCATTAGAAAGCATTCCAGACACTCCATCTTCCAGAACCCAGTGAGCCTTTAAAGTAGGAGAGCTAAGAGGTCAAAGACAGCACCAATAGAAGTGACGAATGAGGAAGAGGGATAGACGGGATGTGTGGAGATTCACACGGGACAACTCCATTATTGAAGAGACTGGGTTGTATAGCCTCTCTCTGTAAATATTGAATAAAAAAGGATGGTAAGAAATATTCCCTTGTTACGATAATTTTCCGGGCAACAGCTGGGCGTTGCTGACAGCATCCTGACAATCTGTCACTTGCACATTGCATTCTTGGGTTCTCAGGAACAGAGCTGGGAAAATATTACGATTCAACATTGGTGTTGCTTATATCCAATTGTTTATATCCCCCATCCTCTGAGGAATGGGCTTAGCATCACAAAATGATGTCTAAGCCAAAGCAGATTATGAGGAAAGTGAAGTCTGTAAGTTTGGAGAAAAGGTTTTTCTACTCTTTAAATAAAGGAGCTCAGACTTATCAGATCTTGCAACATTGCAGGCACATGGAGAAGAGCAGAAAGAAGGTGTGCCCAGGCAGAGAGGAGGAGATATAGTTTTGCCCACTTCCTGCCTGGGCACAAGGGGATGTTCTCACAGAGCTCTTGCTAGCAAGTTTATGGGAAAACCCTTTCATGCGCCTATCTAGCAAAACACAAATTGTTGGTTCGACTGCATTTTAAATGTCTCACACAAAGAGCTCATGGTTTTCCACTTTTCAGTTGTGATCTTGGGGTTAATTTTCCACATCTCCATTTCACTCTTTTACACCCTGCTTTCCATAGGGGTTTAAGTGTGCGTAGGTCTCTTCCTAATCTTCATAGAATCATAGGATTGTTGGAAGGTATCCTGAGGGTCATATAGTACAATCCTCTGCAATGCCAGAATATGCAGCTGCCCCATACAGGGATAAAACTTGAAACCTTGGCATTATCAGCTCCAGGGCTTTTTTCATCTGGACCTCACCAGAACTGAGTTCCAGCACCTCTCAGGTGAGCGCCATGGCCATTATAAAAGAAGAAGGGAAGCGTTCATGGTGAGTTCCAGCATCTCTTTCTAGAAGAATAACACTGATCAGAACCGTGCTCTAACCCATTTTATTGTTTCTTTGAGATTTTATGGTCAAATATTATTGGGGTGGGGATTGCTTCCCATCATGGGGGATGCAGAGGGTGTTCAGCTGGTGTTTAATCCATTTCTCTTTCCATTTTCTACTTTGTGGCATTCAGACTGTGTTTCACGGAGGCTGGATCCTTCCTTTGCTTTTATACTGATGTCATATTTGAGGTGAGAGGAGCTGTGACCATCACCTACCACTTTGATTCATGGTCTAAGCACCTGGCCGAACAGAACACGGAGGACTGGGTTGTCGCTGGGCCTTTGATCAACATTGAAGCAGATCCAGCAGAGGCTGTGGCAGCTGTTCACTTCCCTCACTTCTTGTGTCTTGCAGGTATGGCAGGTTAAAAAGGTTTGTAACAAAATAAATATTGCATGTAACTAGGAAGGATGCAATGATGAGCTTTGTCTTTTTTTTTTTTAATGATATTTATTGGGGGGGAATTTTTTTTTTTTGTTACAAAAAAAACAAAGTAGAAAAAGAGAAAAACAAACCACTTCCAACAATACAAATTCAAATTCAAAACAAGAAAGAACAGAAAAAAAAACAAAAATACACCACAAACATTTAAAAACATTTAAAAACAAATCCATTTGTCAGGGGTTCAGGAGCAGAGGCAAGGGCAAGGGAGGAAACAGAGAGCGAGGGGGAGGAGGCAGAAGAAAAGATGAGTGATGACGACGACCCGAGATCTCCGAGTCTTTCCAGTGAATCAGAAGATTCACAGAAAGGAGCACCAGTGGCCAGGGCAAGGGGGAGCCTAGGGGACACTCCAGGAAGATAGAGCCAGAGGGGACTCAGAGCGGACCAGTTGGAAATCGGGACCAGCGTCACAGCCAGAGAGCAGGGAAGAGGAAGGGCGCCAGGGATCAAGCGCTGGCAACTCACAACAGGGGGAGGGCACGAGTCAGGGAGGGCCACACCTCCATCGGGAGCGAAGAAACGGTCAGACGGAAGGTGGAAGGTTGGGCGCGCGCGCCAAGTTCAAATGCACAGGAAGGTGGCGCAGTAGGCAGCCCGGAAAGGGAGCCAGGTCCTAAAGCCCGCCGAAAGGAGGGAGAAGAGTCAGGGGGGTCAGCGTCAGAGGAATCCCGGAAGGAAGAGACCCCGGGGGGCAGAGGGACCCAGAGAAGAACAGTCAGGCGGAAAAGGTGGAGCAGGGCTAGGATATTAAGTTGGTGTACAAGGGGCGGAGACTCAGACGGAGCTTCGCCGATCTAACCATGAGACGTAGAGTTGCACGCAGCAGCTTGAGAATGGAAACTGTAACTCAATAAAGACTTTTGTTTAATGATCGCTGGCTAGCGTGATCCTCTGTGAGCTAGGATCTGGAAGCAGCTCTGACACCATTATTCTCAAATCCTCAACTGTCATTACCTTCTTTCTTTGACCTCCTCCTCCTCCCTTTTTTTGTATCCTAGTTGTTAATTATCACAGCAAATCCTTTCCATATTTCATAATATTCTGTCATTACATTACCTTAAACTATTTTAATCTTATCTTTCTATAAAAAAACCTTGAAACTTAAAACTTAAATCTTATCCTTACCAACTTCTCATAACCATAATATTCTTTCATAATTCTTTAAACATTTTTACTAAAGCCGAGTAGTTTCATTCCAACATTTTTCTAACATTCATCAATTTTATAAAACAGTCCTAATAGTAAAAAAGAAATAAAAACAAATCCAATCTTCATCCAGCGTCCCTTCCTCCTGGTCCCGGGTTTTGTCAGTCCTTATTATCCCATTGATCTAGTGCATTAACCTGGCAACCTTATATCCGAGGCCCTTAAGTCTCTTCCATGTCCCTTCCGCAGCTCTTCTTCATATTTGTAACTGTATTTTCCCTTGTCTCCTGCTCGTGGGAACTCCAGCTTAGCAATATTTTTGACCCTTCTCAACAGATCAGCCCCTTTTCCATATTCGACACTAAATTCCATGTGGTATTTAAAAACATGTTTCAAAAACCCTCCAAAATTAAGAGCCCCCACAATCCCAAACATCTCACGGCCCATTGCCAGATTTGAAAAGTCCAAACATCCCTGCATGGGGGGGGGGTCAATCCAGCCCCCCATTTCCAAGCCAAACCAAACTTTTTCTTTCCAAATCTGGCTTTTTCCAAGTTCATTTGTCAAATCCGAAACTCATATTCCTGTTGGGCCTGTTCTGTCAAGACACACTCGTGATTTAATTCCTGGGTGGGCTCCACATATTTTCCCACTGTCTGTTCAAAGTTTCCCACTGCCTGTTCAAAATTTCTAATCGAATTCGCCATCAAATTCGTCTTCTCATGTAACTGTTCCAGTAGGGCATTTGTTTTATAGAAAGCACACAACAGAGCTTCTGAATACATTGTCCTGCAAGGTCAGATGCCTCTTCCCACGATTGTAATCTGTAACAGCTGCCGGCTCCCTGGAGTTAGTTACAGTTTCACAGTCTCCCTCTAGGGGGAAAACTTCTATTTATTCTTGCAACCAAGTTTTCCTTTTTGAGATATTTTGTCAATATTTGTTCCTTTAAACTGCGAAAGGAAACAGTGGAATCACTATGTTTCTCCTCTTTTAGCTATCTGTCAAAAACGTTTGTCTCTGGTCAATGAGCTTCAAACGTCAGTCCTGACACCCCGCTCCAGGATCAGGACGGTGGAAAGTTACTTTACTTTAAACTCACTTCTGCAGGTTTAAACAGTCCGAAAAAGATCCCGCTTCTTCTCCTGCTGTCGAAGGGGGGTTCCACAATTTTAAATGATGAAATCCAATCCTTTAGAGGCGATTTTCTGAGCTCTAGTTTACGTTGTCTTTGCTTTATTCTGTCTACAAAAGAACGGAAGGCTGACTTCCTGTTTAGACCTTCCCGTTTCATTTTTTATTATTATTAATATTTATTAAATTTTCAAAGAATAACAACAAAAGTTCCAAAAAAGTTGAAAATACAAAAAGCAAAAATGATAAAGAAATAAAAAAGGAAAAACCCAACCATAAAGAAAAAAAGAAAAAAGGAAAAACAAAAGTATAAAATCATTTACGATCTCTATTAACTTCCTTTCTAGACTTCCTCCTCCTCCCCTCTCTTGTTTCTTAATTTTTAATTTTTACAGCAAATCCTTTCTGTTTTTTCATAACATTCTATCATTACATTTCCTTATTCTACTTCCCTCTTGTCATATAAAAACTTTAAAACTCAAAGCTTATATTCAGTATTTACCAAATTCTTACATCATTACCTTTTACAAATCATTTACCAATCATTACTTAAGCCATATAGTTTCATTCAACATCTTTCAAACATTTATGAACGTTCCCAATATTGAAAAATAGAAAGATAAAATAAAATAATAAGTCAGACACAATCCAGTCAACTTCCAGCGCCCCCTCCCCTGGACCCGGGATTGTCAGTCCTTTTAACCTCAATAGTCCAGCTCCTTAACCTGGTTGTCTCGTGTCCGAGGCCCTCAAATCTCTTTCTTGCCCCTTTCGCAGCTCTTCTTGATGTTTCCCTTTCAGTCGTGGGTACTCCAGCAGAAAGATACTTTTGACCCTTTGCAACAAGTCCATCCCATGCCCATTGTCCAAGCCAGACAGCAGATAATACCACTTCAAGTTTCCTTGAAACTTGGAGGCTCCGACTACTCCAATCCTCTGATGGCCCATCACCAGACTCGGAAAGTCCAGATAACCATATAAAGGGGGTCAATCCATCCCCCATTTCCAAATCTAACCACATTTCATCTTTCCGAATCTGATTTATCCCAAGTTCATTTATCAAGTTCAAAGGCTGATCCTGCCGGTCCAAAGGTCCCTCCATCTCTGAAGCCTCCATCACTACAGCAGGTTCATATACTTGTAGATATTTTAACTGAGTTCCATTTACTTGCTGCTGTGCTCTGGTAACTTCCGTCATCAAGGTCGTCTCCTGACGCATCTGGTCCAGCTGGGCACTTAGTTTTGAAAAACCTTCCAGGAACATTTGTTCAAGCCTTTGTACAAGCATTGTCCTTCAAGGTCAAAGAAAATTCTTTCCCACGATTATAGTCCTTCACTTTTAAGCTCTCTGCGTTGCAATTTCACTAAATCCCACTAGAGGGAAAACCTTCTTTTTTTCCTTTTTTTTTTTTTTTATAAAGGAAAAAAAGATCAGCAACAGTCTTTCTTTTCCAGATACACTTTATCCAAAGTTCCCCCTTCAAATTCAAGAGGCAACAGTAGAGTCACAATGTTACCTTTCTTTTAACTATCTATCGAGCTGGACAAGCTTCAAGACGTCAGTTCTGACAGCCCACTCCTGGTTCAGGGCGGTGGAAAATTACTTTGTTTTAAACTCACTTCCGCAGGGTTAAAAAGTCCAAAACAACCCCCTTCTTCTCCTGCAGTCAAAGGGGGGTTCAGAAATCTTAGATGTTGAATTCTAGTTCTCTCAGAATTTAATTTTCAAGCTTTAGTATATTTTGTCTTTGCTTTCTTCACGTAACAAAAGAACGGAAGGCTGACTTCCTGTTTAGACCTTTCCGTTCCAAGTCCCAATTAAATTCAATTTCAAGTCCAATTTATTTATTTAAAAGTAATTCAGCTCTTCCAAGATCAGGTACTCACGGATAGATGTTTTAAATGCCAAATTGTCCCAGGAAAAAGGCAGCGCTCTCCGGAAACGGCAGTGCGGCTTTGCTGCACGAAAGAAGCAGTCGACTCACAGCACCACGCACCTCCCACTCCGGAGCCCGTTACCGGGCTCCTGTACAAAGGGAGAGAGCGCTCACGGTGCCCGCTGAGTCCCACGTCCACAGGCTTCATCCGCCTGTGGGTTTTAGGGGTCCCCGCTGCGCCGTAGCGGTAGGACCCAAGCTTCCGTGCAGCGGGTTCCCTTCAACTTGAAGGGAATTCCGCCATTTTCCGGAGGCGCCACCCCGGAAGTCTAGACCTTCCCGTTTCAGTACCAAATTGAAATAAATTTTTAAGTCCAATTCCTTTCTGCTCGCAAGTCCTTATTTAAAGTACAGTTGTTCAAAGTTTAAGTACTCACGCGTGCTTATTTTAGTATCCAAATTGTCCCAGGAAAAAGGCAGTGCTCTCCGGCAACAGCTATGCGGCTTCGCTCCACGGAAATAGCAGTTGACTCACAGCACCGCGCCACTTCCCCCTCTTCACTTCGGAGCCCGTTAGTGGGTTCCTTTGCGGGTTGGGGGGGCGCTAAAGGTGCCCGCTGAGTCCCATGGTCACAGGCTTCATCCGCCTGTGATTTTTAAAAGGGTCCCCGCTTCGCCGTAGCAGAGAAGACCCGTTTCCCGCGGAGCTAGTCCCTCCAGTTCAGAGGGAGTCCGCCATTGCCGATGGCGCCACCCCGGAAGTCTCCAATGATGAGCTTTGTCATCCAAACTCAAGGGAGGTCATGCCCAGGCTGGCTGCAGAGGAGTGGTGGGAGGCACCAGTTGGGGAACTCCCAAGGGAACCCCCAGGGGAAGAAGGCTCAGAGCCAGGAGAGTGCTGGTGGGAGAATGATGAGGGATCAGAGGCAGCAGCCTGGGAGGAGGTGGTGTTGCAGGTTGGAGAGGGAACAGGGTTTAGTGAGCAAGAAGAGGCTGTGACCGAGAGCAGTGCAGAATTGGGGGCAGAAGTGAAGGTTGGAGAGGAGGGGGACTAGGAGACAGATGTGAGACAGGCTGCTAAATAAGTCAGGGCAGCCTCCCCCTCCTTTTGCAGCCTGTTCCTTTCTCCATTCGTCTCCCAGAATCAGAAGTGGTATGAAGAAGGCAGAGCAAATACAGACATAGTTTTGGAATCTCAGATCGCTTTGGGAAGGACCTGGGGGAGAAAGAGCCTTAGGGAACAGCCTCATAGGGGCTAGATGTACCGGAATGAGTTGCAGTGCAGGGTTGACTTCACTGACACTGGGTGTTTTATTGCTGACCTGCTCTTGACTCCAGTTCCTGGTGGACAGCTCCACAGTTTCCCACTTGTAACATGTCTGTTTGTTTTTTCTTTTGCTCATTTCAAGGTAAAGATGGTTCCCAAGTCCTCATTGCACATTTTGTGGAAGGCGGCATGAGTCTAGAGAAGCCAGACAGAGTGGGGCCATATCATGTTGTGTTGGAAAACCCAAACTTCTCTCCACGTGGAGCCATTTTGAAAACATCATGGTCATGGTTTAAGCGGAAGATAATAGTGCACACTGTAGCACTGCTCTATCAAATGGTTCAATTCCAGCCACCAACATTCCACCTGTACCTTCTGCCCAATGACCATTCCATAACAAAGGTAACCAGGATTCTGCAACTCTGATTGGTATTCCAGACGTCCTGGATCTTTTGCTTGACCATAGGAAGCCTGACAGGGCAGCTATACAAAATTATGCACCAGAGTGTGTCATGGTTTATGAACTGTATCTCCTTTTGTTGGGCTTGAAGTAATTTGCCAGACTGCTAGCCAACATCATATTACCTATCCATATTTTGGTCTCTGCTACTGAAGTGGTTTAGTTTTTTTATATCACTGATGGAGATCCTGTGTCCCTTCAAATGTTTTGGGACTACAAAACCCATCATTCCTGACTCATGACATCTGGCAGGTTGCAGGTTCCCCATCCCTGCCTTAAATGCTGCAACAAAGCCAAGAAAGGGGTAGGGATCCAGTCTTCCAGAAATTGGTTACCTTTCTTGCATAACTCAGAAGTGCCCTTCTTTGCCTTTCCCAGGCAGTTCATGAGCATGAAGTACAGTGCCCTTCACAGAGAATAGACAAACCCCCCTGGACCCTGAGGCCTCTGACGATTGGCTGCCACTTCTTTGTGGAGACAAATGATGTCAGAGTCTGTCCTAAGGTGAGATGCAAAGATGATGAAAGGCTTTGCTAGGGCAGAGCCAATGCTGTAAAGTATGAGAATGGGAGGGACTCCACCAGGATCCCTTGTCACGCTTTAATTTGACTCCCTTGGACTGGTCAATTGGGCTAAGCCTTGTTTGCACATAAGGAGGTTTTATGCTTCCTCACAGGAAGTGGAGTTTCAATATTTGGATGCTGACAAGATGCAGCAGTACGTGGAACTGTCTGCTGAGCAAATGCAAGACATGTTCAACTTTAGTGTGATGGACAAGCGCACAAATGAACTCATCTGGGAGGCCCTTGTGACACAAAGTGAGTTGGATTGGAGGAAGATCAGATGGTTTGACCATAATTGGGGAGGCAGGATGGAAAATGACACCCCAGTCACATTCCCTCTTTGACTGCTTCATTCCTGTTCTCTTTCAGAAGAGTTAAAGTCTCCTGAGATGACGTCTTCTCCTTCAAGCTCAGAGCAAGGTCTGCAGGTTTTAATTGCTTATTTCCTCGTAGTTAAATCCCACCTTCCTCCCAATGGCAGCACAGAGTGGCTGGTGATACAGTACCATAGAAAAGTCACTTTTGTAATGTTAGGGAATCGCCTTCCGGTGCAGGTTCCCCATTGCTTTATAGTCTCCTTTGGTGCCAGATGAAGTTCTTTCCACGCAGCTAAATTTTGTAGAAACAGCTTTGGCTTGGATTCAGCACACCAAGTGTGCTAACGGAATCCAGTGCAAATGCTCAAGATACTTCAATTGGGCTTTCCTCCCTTCACCCGCCACTTCCCTCAAATGCACTTTGGAGGGTCAAGGCGAACCCCCAGAACAGCCAGAAAGGGTGCAGTGTGTGTACTTGGCTGTTGGGGAGGGATAGCTCTGTCTGGCAAGCAGGAAAGGTCACAGAGGGTGACATTTAATTTATCCCTGTATGTTTTACAGCCTGGGCTTCTTAGTTTTCAGCTGAGTGTCAGTTGTTAAACTATTTTTCTAATTGCATGTTAATGTGTGTGTTTGTTGCTCTGTTTTTCCTTGTGAGCCAACTTTGGAAATTGTGTTATGAAGGGGTAGTGCAAGTGTAAGACTTTAACAAGTAACATATGTGACACAGAGTCCAAAAAGGTGGTATTCTTCCAAGGACAGGGGCCTTGTGGGTAGTTTTCATGGATTTACATGCTGGCAGAATGGCCTCTCTCTCTCTACAGTATTGCAGCAGACCCCTGCCGGCAGTCCTGGTTTGCACCCCCAAAAAATCGTTCACCCGGGACGATGGCCCCCTGGGCCCCCCACGCTATACCCCTGCTACAACTATGATGTAGAATGGAAGGTGAGAAGCGTGTGAGTGTGCAAAATTTTGGTGTCACACACAACACTGCTGTAATTTGAGACCCGAAGGTCCTCTACTGGTTAACGTTCCATGATTATCATTTCCCCGTGATCCCTCCTTGTTTCCTACCTATCCATAAACTTTCTCTCTCTCTTTTCCAGGTGCTTGTTGCTGCACTCTGACCCATGCTGCTTCCAGCAGCACTGACTCAGGACATGGTGTGGAAAGCAGGTAGGTCTTGACATTCCCTTTCCTCACACAAAGCCAGTCCTGCTATTAGGGACAGTTCAGCAGCTGCCACAGGCAGACAGCAGATGTTGGGGGGGGGGTGCTGTTTAGGCATTGGCTGCACTGCTGTTGCTGGAGGAGCAGGAACATGCAAACGTGTAAAGTCAACAGAAGCTAAATTGGGTATCTCTCTACATATTGGTTGCATGCAAGGCTCCCCTCAGGGCAGGAGGAGGTTTAGCTCCAATCCCAGCATTGTGTTGCTCGGACCTCGAATCACTGATCAAAGATGGCTCTCTAAACTTCAAAGCAACTTCAGGCCACCCCTCTTTCCCCTCCCTCAGTGCCAGTCACAGTCATGGAAGGTGACAGCACCTCCTGATGATGTAGTTCCTTCCCATATCCCTTTGCTGAGCTTCTCTTGTTTTGTGTCTGCTTTTGCCTGCTGTTGGAGGCGCCAGTGCAGAGTGAAGGTGAGGACCATCAGAGAACGTCTGGTGTCCGTCCTGGAGAATCTGGATGAGGATGAACTCAAGAGGTTCAAGCTCAATCTCAGCGATTCCCCCATCAGGGGTGGCTATGACAACATCCCTCGAGGGAGGCTAATGAAGGCGGATGTCATGGACCTGAGCTTGCTGCTGCTTGGTTTCTACATGGAAGATGCTGTGCAGGTGGCGGCTGAGGTGCTCAGAGCCATCAACTGCAGGCCTGAGGCAGAGAGGCTCATCGCCCTCTCTGAGACTGAGTAAGAAAGAAGGAATTCCAGCTCACAGAACTTGCTAGGATGGAAGGCAAATGGAGTGCCACCTGCCCCCCCCCCCCGCAAATGCAGAGTGGTGGATTGATAATCTCTTCATGGGGGCAGTGGGGATGAGAGAATAGAAACCTTACATCAGGGATAACCAACCTGGTGCCCTTCAGTAGTTGGCTTATCTTTTTTATTTAACAGAATGTGTGTAATGCTCAGTTATAAGAAACAAATCTCTAAGCTATTTGTATAAAACACAAAATATTATTTTTAAAAGTCAGAAGTTTAAAATGAGTTGAGCTTAAAAATTTCAAAATGTTAATAGTATCAGCAGCTAAAATATAATTTTTAAAATAAAATCACCTATTAAAATACGTGTCAGCTTTACGTATCTGGGTAGGCTTGCCTAAACAAATATTTTTTTTAGCAGGCACTGAGCATAGTACAAAGAAGACAGCTGTCAATGGGCAAGCCGTTCCAGAGTGTAGGTGCTGCCTTGCTAGAATATGGATTCCCTAGAGGTGTTGGACTGCTGCTCCCATCAGTCCCAGCCAGCACTGCTAAAGATCAGGCATGATGGGAGTTGTAGTCCTGCAGTTTACTTAGGGCACTGTGTTGGCTACCGCTGCTGTACATAAAAAAGCTGTTTGCTCTGGGGCAATGTTGTTGGAGATAAGAAGACATGGATCTAGTTGTGCATCCACACCACATTTTTAATGCACATTTAGAGCATGTGGCTTCCCCCAAAGCATCCTGGGAACTGTAGTTTAGCCTTTCACAGGGCTGAAATACACCATGCTCTAAATACAATACTGTTCCCAGGATTCTTTGGAGGAATTTATGCACTTAAATGGTGTCGATCAGCCCTTCGTCTTGTGTCCCTCAGATCTGAGGCTTACAGAAGAGCACTTCACATGGTCACGCAAGATGGGAGTTGTAGTCCAGCATCTTCTGGAGGGCACCATATTGACTACCCCTGATTCACATGGTCTCATGTTCCCCAGTTTGGGGAGTTTTGCTACAACATGATCAGGGGACAGCTTGCTCTGCCTGGGAACAGGTACATCAGTGAAGCTTCTCACAAATTTAGGGATGTGTTTCTCACTTTAGGTAAAACTTGCCCTTTCTAACTTCCTGGACCCCTTGCCTGCACCCACCATAATACTTTAGGATTACCTGCATAGGCCACCACTTGGAACATTCTAGAGCTGTTTTTCAACTTTGGATCCCCTGATGTTGCTGAACTTCAACTCCCACCCTCTTTGAGGTCAGGTTAAGCTAGCTGGGGGTGATGGAACTTGTAGACCAACAACATCTGGGGGCCCAAAGTTGAAGATCATTCTCTAGAGTAGGAACAGGTAACTGTTGAACCTCCAGAAGTTGTTGAACCAACTCCCATCACACCCAGCCAGCCTGGCCAATGGAGCCCAGGATGGTGGGAGTTGTAGTTCAGCAACATTTGGCGGGCCAAAGGTTTCCCACACTTTAGAAATTTGGGGGCTTCTTTTCCCTTCATTTCCTGACAGTATTTAATTGCTTCACACATGTACTCAATGATCCCTTTTTTCCTTCCTCCAGGAAGTAGTTCATGCTGAAACCTGTGCCTTAGAACTTAAGAAGAGTTTGCTGGATCAGGCCAGCATCCTGTTCTCACCACTGCCAGCCAGATGGCTGTGGGAAACCTGCAAGTGCAACAACTCGCTCCCTTTCTGTGGTTTCCAGCAACTGGTATTCAGAAACATTTCTGCCTCTGACTGAGGAGGGAGAGCACAGCCATCATGGCAAGGAGCCGTGTCTTCCATGAAGTTGTCCAGTAATTTTTTTGAAACCACCCAAGTTGGTGACCAGCACTGTCTTCTGTGGAAGTGAGTTCCATGGTCTAACTCTGCGCTGTGTGAAGCACTTCTATCTGTCCTGTGTCTTCCAACATCCAGACTCATTGGATGCTCACTGGTTCTAGCTTTCCAAGAAAGGGATAAAAACATTTCTCTGTCCACTTTGCTCACACCCTGAATAATGTTATAAACTTCTACCATGTCCTCTCTTACCTTTTCTCTAAACAGTCTGAAACCCTGCAGCCGCTCTCATATGGGAGTTGCTGCATCCCCTCAATCATTTGCCCTTTTCTGAACATTTTCCAACTCTACAATGTCCTTTTTGCGGTGTGGAACCAGAACTGTACACAGTATTCCAAATGTGGTTGGCCATGGATTTGCAAAATGGTATGATATTCACAGTTTTAAGTTCAGCTCCTTTCCTAATGATCCCCAGCATGGAATTGGACTTTTTCACAGCTGCCGCACACTAGATCCACCTCTTCATCATGCTACCCACTGTGAATTTTAGCCCATTGAGCTCTTAAGAATTCTCCCACAAAATCCCTAGCCTTTCCCAACAGAGCTTCAGTTTCCAGACCTCCAGGGAAATACCAATGAGCCACACAAAGCAGTTCTGGTATTTCCCCCTTTATTCCCTTATAAAAGAAAAGACACGACACAGTCTTCTATAAAAAGAGTTTACTCACATTCTGTTCACAATTGGATCCCAGAAGGCAAACTTAGTTTTCAGGTGTATGTTATTTTTCACAGCTAACTCATAAGGAGACAGTCCCTTTGTCCTCTCTTGGCTGGAGGCCAAGAGAGCATCTTTGGCTAAGCAGATGTTGCTTCTTCAACTAAAGTAGTCAGAGAGAGAGAGATGGCTGCCCTGCCCTGTGCTATTGTTGTTACCTGCACGGGTGAGGCCACACCCACCTCTAGTCACATGCAGAGGAAGTTTACCTGCTGGCTGGACAAACATTCCTCCCCATGTGTAAACGTTCACTCTAGGAATGTTGTACTTAACTGCTCTTGTGTTTGACATACCACAGCAGAGCTGTCTCATTCACTAAGCACAGTGCCTCTGGTGAGCAAAGTCCCTCCTGAGGCTGCAGTTCAGTGCATGTTCCTTTCCTAACAGGACTTTTTCTCTCACTGGGAGATGTACATCTTGGGAGGAGGAGCAGGTTTCAATCCCAGGAGATGAACAGAATCTCAGGAGATGAAGCCAGAGAGAGCCAGCCTGTCCTTCTCCGAACTTCCTGGGTGGTGGTGACTCCAAGTTGGTTTGCCTTAGGGCTTCCTAACATTTCTCCTTTCCAGTTTGTACATTGTAAATAAAAGTACTTTGTAATAAAGATATTTTACCAATAACATTCTGTCCTTTTCATTAGGCCTGCATAAGCTTCCAATATTCTTTCATCCAAAGGAAACTGGTCCAAGAGGTCTCTCTCAATTTTTGGTACACTTCATCATGGGAATTTGGTTATTTGAAAGAAATGAGAGGAATAGTCTGGGATGCACAGAAGTCCACCCAAGATTTCTGGGCACCTGCGCTAGATATTGAAGAAAGCCCTCTTCTAACCAGCTCCCTACAGATCCAGATAATTTGATCAGGACCGACCTACCAGAGAACTTGGGGGAGTTCTCCTTCCTATCCCTAGTCCAATCCACTTCCCGGAGCCTGTGCCTGGTCGCTGCAGTTCAGGGGAGCCAACTTGAATTAAATATGTGGGCGGGGGGGGGGGGCTTAGGTAAGCCTTGCCCCACATAATCGATCACAAGATCACACCCTTTGAATGGCAATGACCGTCAACCTCGGAGGTGGATCTGGCCCCCTCAAATATTTGAGGGGGCACAGGGCCCTGGCTCGTATGCTGCAGTTAATCCCATTGAAGATCTGGGCTGTCAGGTGTGGGGCGTCTTCCTCCGTGTAGTAGCGAAGCCGGAGCAGGCTCACGTGCGTTTGTGGTACCCGCTCCTTCAGCGCCATCCATCGATGGGAATTGCCTTCAGTTTCCCCCTGAACTTCCGCAGCTCGTCTTTCTCCAAGTTCTCGAGGGGGTCCATCAGGCACCGGAGCGTAGGCGTTGCAAGGATTTTTTTTGGGGGGGTGGACCGTTGTTAGGGGGGCAGAACCGACGTGATTGTTCAGTTAAGTATTTCTCTTCTTTTACTTCATCTAGGCCCCCCTGGTTGCGCCCCCCCTGCACCGGCCGGCCGTCTTCGGGATCCCGCAGCCAAAAGGTGGGCAGCCACTTTGGGTTCTTCGAAGAAGAGGAGGCGGCCAAGGGCTTCCCTTCCGCGCTGAGAAAGAGGCGCGCTCCACCCTCTTTCTTTGCTCACCTGGCGGTTTTGTTTCTGCCCTTCTGGGTCCTGCGGTTCAGCAAGGGCGGATGTGCTCCTTTTGGCAACAAGGGGAGAGGAGGGAGGGAGATGCTCCTGGCTGATACACGATTAGAAGTTGAGCCAAACTTGGAAGGAAGCGGCGTGTTTTCATTTTGCCGTCCCCCCCCCCCCGCCAGCCAGCCAATCTTCTGGGAGCGCCGGGAAGACCCTTCCCACGTTCTCGCCTTCCCAGGTCCGGCGCTGATTCTCTGCTCGGCGGGAGGAAACCTCGGGAGTCTCCGCCCCCGCCAAGCGCCCGCGGAGGAGCCGCTTCCCCGAGGGCGTCGCCCGCTTCCTTCTTCCTCCTTTCGGACGCTGCCGCCTCTCCGGCTCTGCCGCGGGGCGCGACTTTCCTCTGGGCAGGGGCGCCATGGCGACCCCCGAATACAACTGGGCGAAGGAGGCCCTGAAGGAAGGAGGCGAGAAGCTGAAGGCGAAAGAGGCCGGCAGGTCCACCGAGAAGAAGGGGGAGAGGGAGGTGGATCCCCTCCTCAAGTTGCGGAGGTCCCTAAGGCTCAAGGGTGTGCTCCCGAGTAGCAGCAGCAGCGGCGGCGACGACAGGGATCCCAACAGGTGGCGATTGCAGCAGTCGGTCGTCCCGCAGTCTCTCTCTGAGTGGGAGAATGTCTCTCTCGCTCTGCTCCCTGTCGTTCGCGCCTTGCAATTCTCCCTGGGGCGTTTGAGTCGGGACGAGCGGTGGAGGTTCCGGCGCAAACTGCGCGAGATCCCGCTCGAGGAGGGCTTCGTCCGCATCCCCGAGGAGGCGCTGCAGGAGGCAGGCGCCTCTCGCCTCGTATACCTGCTGCTCAGCTACTACGGCGGAACTTACGCAGTCGAGGTGGCTGCCGACGCGCTGAGGGCCATTGACTGCAAGTACGAGGCGGGCAGGTTCCCCTACATCATGGAACGTAAGTCTTTGGTGGATCCTGACCTTCGCCGCCGTTCAGCCTGACAGCAGATCTTTCCTTCCCTGGTTGCGCCAGCCCAGCGCTGAGCTGCAGCCGTGAAGAAGGGAAGGAAAAACAACACAACCATGGGCTTGGAATGTTTGGAACTATCTTTACTTTAGCGCCAGGCATTTAGCGGATATGGAACAATTTGGTATGTTTTAACCGTCTGATTGCTATTGCTTAAAATATTACAAATACCTTCAGCGCCCTTAGGACACACAGAACAGCAAAGAATCAGCCTTCAGCAAAAGGGCTGGCCGTTTTTTGGACTCAGGATAGAGCTTGTCCCTTTGTAGAAGGGAAAGTCCTTTTTCTTTCCTGCTTGAGCCCTGCAAAAAAATTAAATCAGGCCTGTAAGTTCAGAAAGTTTGCAGGCCAGGAACAGAGGAAGGTCCCAAATGGGCCTCATGGTCCATCTAGCTCAGGATTGCTAATCTTGCCTGACTGCGGCTCTCCAGGGTTCCAGGCAGGAGTCTTTCGCAGCCCTACCTGGAGACACCAGGGATTGAACCTGGGACCTTCTGCAGTCAAAGCAGGTGTTCTGCCACTGAGCCATGGCTCTTCCCTGGTCATCCAGCTGGAAGTGCTGCCTGCTGAATGTCCTGCAAATAGATTGCACTAGGAAGAGGAGGAGGAATTTCCATGCTTTATGATGGTATAAGCAGGTTCCCTGGATTTTCTGTTCAATACTTCCACTACAGCACAGTCTCCAAATGGCTGTCTGCTGAACATGCTGCATGCCATTATTACAGGATGACGTCAGATGATTATTATAAATAAGGAACTGGGTTTCCACCCCACAATAAACTTTAGGTTAACCTTCCTTCAAATCAGCCTGCAGCGCGCCCGAGCCACACATCTCTCCCAAGAAATCTTCTGTTGTAATTTTTGTTGCTCCACAAAAGTCTTCCATATTACAGAGTTTAAAATAATACCTAAATAAGACCATAGGAATTTGACACTGTACTGGCATAGTTCCTGTTTCTGCTCTAATACTAGCTGCTGGAGTTGGGGGGGGGGATAAACCGAGTAGTCTTATTAGAAATTAATTTCTCCCCAATACGTTAACTGTGGGAGCACCTAACCATTATTTGTTCTCAGTGCAGAGACAATCATGTTTCCACCTTTGCTTCTGGTAAAACTAAGAATTGCTTGTGCAGATCTTGATGTCTTCAAGGCCTAAGTGCTGCTATATGGTACCAAGTACCAAGTACTTTTATCGGAGAACAAATCTCCAAATAATTGAAATGTCTCACTTGTTCAATTATTTGTTCATTTAGGAACCATTTATGCTTCACAGGCTGTGCCTCAAATACTACAGCTTTTGTCTTGGAATAATTTATATTCAAACCTTTGTTAGGACAAACTACTAAAGTTCTTTAGTAATCCCCTCATACCCACGTGTTTGTTCTCATAGCACCATATTGCCGGCATATAGCAAGATGGATACCTTATGGGATAAAAGTGTAACAGGAAAAAATTCTGGTTGTTTTAGTTCTAGTTATTACATCATTTACATAAATGTTAAACAGCAGGGGTGCCAATAAGCACCCTTGTTCTACTCCATTTGTTGTCAGAACTAGAGCTGTCAAGTGTCAACTGACCATTCACCCCTACTCTTTCTCTCATATACATTTCACAGTCTGATATCCACTGGAATTCCAAAGGGCTAGTGTCACACAAACATCAATGGTTAAAGGAAAATGTGCTTACCCAGCAAGAAATGCACTGGTGCTAATTAAATATAGCAAAAGACTGCTGGGGGCAGGGATAAAACAGCCAGTTTTGACCTCTCCCTTACCTGTCCACAGGTTACAGTGTCATGCTCCCTTATATGCAGAGGAATGTACGAAAGAAAAATGTGTGGTAAGTCCCATTGCAGTTCTACTTGCAGCTTACAGTGGAAGAGCATTGATTGGATGGTGTGAGAATCAGATCTTAGCTTGGGAGGGAGCTTCATCCAGGAAAAAGGATGGGCAAATGTGTCACTGGAATGGACAGTGCTAAGGGATTTAGTGATAAGTATCACTTCCTAGGAACGGGGTTGCTAGGTGATGCTGGTGTACTAGTAAAGAGACACAAGTAGTTCAGTGGTCCTCAGGAACCTGATGGATGGGGGAACGGGAGAAGCAGCCTTGAGGAGAGGCTTGTGTGTGAGTCCAGAGGGCAACTTCTCAGCCATTTCTATGACTTCAAGCTTCTGCTTATTATTATGGAGCATGGTTTGCATGCAGGGCTGGCCCCAGATATTTCGGCGCCTGAGGCAAATCAAATTGGTTCTCCCCCTGGAATTGTAGTTTGCTAAGGGACTCACTCTCTTTCTACACACACACACACACAAAACACAGGCCCGGAAAACACTTGTCTCCTTTCTTTCCCTCTTGCCTTCCTTCTCAGTAGCCCAACCAGTGATAAGCAGTGGCAGGAGCAGCATCAGTGGCCAGGAAGACCCTTACCCGGCTGTGGGTGGGCAGTGCTGGGGCCAGGGTCTGAGCCAAGTTGTGATGGAAAAGGAAATCTGAGAGCCACCAAAGATGCAGCAGCCAGTGTGACTGAAGGAGGGAGCTGAGGAGAGAGAGGACCCTGGCTTTGCAGCATCCTTCCTAGATCAGCTTCTGCTCCTCTCATGGAGAAGGAAAATGAAAGGGAAATCTCATGCAGTTAAGAGGGGTCTTTAACCAGGGTGGCAATCTTTTTCCACAATGCATGTTATGTACACACATGCAGACACTACCCCTCCTTTTGAAATTCAACACCTAAATGTATACAGAATCCAGATCTGTGGGTGGTGGGCTCTGGGAGATGGGCTGTCAAGCTAATAAGTCTAATTTGAAGCCTCTTGTTAACTTGGTAGATAAGCAAGCCAAATTTTCTTCTAGAAAGACTGCCCCATTCTCCTCCCAGTTTATTTCTGAAATCTATTCTTTACAGCTGCCCTGGGGCAGAAGGTTTTCCCACTTTGGTCTTTAAAAAAAACCTAAAAGAAAACTGTGATTGGCTAGTTTGTCAGCCCCTCCCCCATGAAGTGGCTTTTTCCTTCTGCTGGTGGAAAGTAGGCTGCCTTACCTGAAAGAGGAGGCAGAGCTGGACCTGACAGCCAAGACCAATCAGCTTAATAATAATAATAATAATAATAATAATAATAATAAATTAATTAATAATAATATCATAGTCCAGAGGGGAGAGGGGGAAGCACAGCTGCTGCATCTTCCTTTCTCAGGAAGATGGAAAAATATGGACAAGAGAGGCAGCTGACTGGTTTGAGTCCCTGCTGCAGATTCAGGCCAGCAGCGCAGCTTCACCCCCACCCACCACCTGCCACACAACTTCCTTTACGGTCTCCATTTTGAAAATCACTCTATTACAACTTTGCCCTCCTTGTTCCTTAGGGGTGTGGATGAAGTTGTAACACTTCCATTTTCAAAATAGAGACCTGCAAGGAAGGGCAGATATGCAGTTTTTGAGGAGGAGGAGGAGGAAGTGGTGAGTTAGCGGTCGGTGGAGAAGGAGAGGCAGCAAGAGGGCCTGTGGAAGAGCTGGTCACAGAGGCAGTGGCAGGCAGATTTGACACCCCTCTTAGGAGGGTCCAGGTATGCCTCCCCCCCCCCCGACAGCTTTCCCTCCCCTCTTCGTGGGCAGCCTGGCTGTGTCTGCATGTAGAACGTATAATAACAAAGTCAGCAGGGGCGCCTGCCTTGGATGAAACCTAGAGAGGAGTGCAAAATGTATCACAAATACTGTGTATATTCTTGGCCATTAAAAAAGGGGTGGCAAATTACATCATGATTTCTTTTCAGTGTGGAGTAAATCAACATATTTTTCAGGTTGCAAAGGAAAAGCAGAGCTCAACATTCTCAGTGGATGAGTGAAAGCAGTATACTAGGGGTGGAAAAATTAAGCCCCAGTTGTATCCTAATCAAGCTCTAATTCTCTGCCCACAACAATGCCTAATATAAAATAAATGTTTTTGCCACAGGTCACTGGAAGGAGTCATTATCACTGGTGATGAAATAGTCTGCAAGGGAAGAAAAGAATTACTTGAAATTATTGAAAAGGACCTAGAATTCTTTTTAGATGAATTATACTATGGCTTTATTATCACACAAAAAGAATACAGGGACTTGTGGAAAGCAGAGGAAGACTCCAAAGAGAAAAGTCAAAAACTGCTGAATATGATCCAGGAAAGGGGGGAGGCAACTTGTTGCTGGTTCCTGGAACAAGTAGAAAGGAAATATCCAGGCTCCATTCAGATTCTGCTAGTTGCAGTACATGGTGAGTTTGACTTAGAGTATTTTCTGAACTTCAAGGACAGTTCAACTACCTTCCTCATCCTTGCAACAGTCGTGTCAGGTAAAGAATTGTCTTTTACAGGCTCGGGTAAAAAATTGTTCCAGGCGACAAGCCCCTCAGGGCTGAAGTCAGAATCTCCCCTATTTGCAGAGGAAGGAAGAAGCAGCAAGATGGAAAACCCAGCAGTTTGCAGGGAAAGTGTTGTGTGTAATCTGTGTCCCTGTGAGGTAAGTGGCTGAACAGATGGGCCCAGACTAGGGGGTGGTGGTGGGGAGAGCTGCCTCCACCCAATGAAGTAAATGAATAAAAATACTTAACTAAAAGTAGAAATTGCAGAAAGATTTTGACAGATTTTTCTGAGCACTTGGGGTGAAAAAAAGTATTTTTTATTTTTATTTTTTTCCAATTCAATGCTTTATTGAGTTTCATAAATAACAAAAAACAATCCAAAAATGATCTTATGTAAGTAATCTTATGTAAATATACAGATAAAAATTGATTCAACCTTATACAATCTCTTTAGTTCAACATTCTTACTAAAGTGTAATCGACTTCCCGTCAACTCCCAATGCAGTTAACATTTCTAATATCGAGTGTACTTATAATTATTACCTTCATCTATTTATATTTTTTAATACATTTTTACAACATATCGTACCAATTTTCCTTATTTCTTTGTTATTATTTTACACAAGGGTCACTCAAATACAGCCATAGATATCACACCACTGTTACATTATTGTAAATATAGCTTAAACATGTCCCATTTTTGAATAAATGATTGTTTTTTATTACCTCTCATCCAATTAGTCAGTTGTGCCATTTATGCATATTCTAGTAATTTATTCTGCCATTCCATTCTCGTTGGAACCCTTGCCCCTTTCCAGTTTATTGCAATTAAGGTTCTGGTGGTGGCTGTTGCGTATAGCTGTTGTTGAGACATTTCATTCCAAATCTGCAAGACACAGCCAGACAGATTACTCTTGAGTGTCCCTGCTCAGGAACTGGAGCCAAACCAGCCGCCTGGTTCTCTAGGGAGCTGGTAATGATTACGGTAAATGTGAGAGAGGGTGACTACAAAGAACTTGGCAGAATGAGTCCGTCTGAACACAGACTAGAGCCTCTTTGAAGACCTATTCTTTGCCAGTGCATTCCCATTTCCTGGAATGGAGATGTTTTCTTATGTTAAATGACTGTGTACTTTAAGGGGGGGCGTGTTCCTTTCGCTGTATCTCTCACGTGATTGGCTGACTGTGGGTCACATGAGAGAGGCATTCCATTCTCTTCCAACTATTATTCTGGTAACTGTCTTTTTCAACAGTCTTTCTGCCTCTCTCTCTGCGTGTGAGGAGGGAGAATGGCTGCCGAGAGAGATCTCAGGCTACTGAGACATTGTTAGGAAGATAAGAAGTTTTTCTGTATGCCACCACTGCTGCAAGGGTACTTATAGTAAAACATTGGAAGAGTGACAGAATTCCCACTAAATCTGAATGGTTACTAAAGCTGGTAGAACATGCTGAATTAGACAGTCTCTCGGAAAAGATCAAAGTTAAGTCAAAACAGGAGTTCATTTCAAACTGGGAACCTCTAAGGAGATATTTAAAGAACAATTGTTGCAATCTGAACTTGATAGCAGCCTTTGAGTAATCTCTGTGAGAAAACAGATTTAATTTCATGAGTAATATATTGAGGCAATAGGTTTATTAGAGTGGAAAAACTGGGAAAGGACAGGAAGTCAAGCTTATGTATTAAATGTATTGTAGGAGGACTTACATTCTTTTGTTGGATTTTCGTTTCGACAAAATTGACTAATGTAAAATAAGGAAAGTATGTCTTTGATGTACAGATGCAAGTATGAACAATAAAGCATATATATATATATATATATATATATATATATATATATATAGATAGTGTTACAGGATGGAGATTTATTGGACCTTGAAGGGTTTAATAACTGCTGTGGGTGGCATGCATATTTAGGATACGAAAAGGTAAAAGTTCACAGGGGATTTACCAATCATATCATAAGAAAATCGATATACAGAGCATGGGCAAAATACAAAGAACTACTAGAACCGAAGACACCCGGGGCCGCTAGGGGCGCCTTGGAAGATGGCAGATAATACCATCTATCCAGCCCGCACGAGGTAATTTGAGGCTGATTATGGGGAGTAAATCAGTCTTCCCCGTCTCTCCAGGGAATGGAGAGACGCAGTTTTCACCCGCGGTTGCCATAAATCACCCCCGAGTTCGGAAGAAGGAGGGGTGAGAGGGACTGGGTGCACAACCCTTGGCGGGTCTCGGCACTCCTCCGAAACTGTTTCCAGGAGCGAAACTAGTTGCGTTACCTAAAAGGAAAAATTTGGAGATAGCCAACGCACATGCTTTGAGAGAGGCAGGAGGTTTTATCTGCTAATAATTTTGCCACTGAAAGGAAGAAGATTGAGACGGAAGATTACATCAAAGTACTGCAGACATGCTGGTATGTGGAAGGCAACGGAATGGAGAGGGGGGGAAACGACTTTTTATTTTTTGTTTCATGTGATTACCTAATAACCCTCCCCCTCAGAAGATCCGTCACAATAACTAATTGGCAAATGGGGTTAAAAACGAGTTGTGTGGGGGAAAATAATATGAATTTAAAGGTTTTACTCTGTGAAGGTTTTGGAAAAACAAAGGCTCTCTTTGTGACGCAGCAAGAATTGAGATTTGATACAAAAGGACAGACATCTGTTGCAGGGAGTTTGGTCTTAGGGAGGGCGAGCCGAAGATTTGTTATCTGCATGGGACTGTGAACTGGAAGCGGCAGCCCTCCTGGAAAAGACTAATTTACGATGCAACAGGTCTGGAAAAAACGAGCGAGCTTTTAGATTGTATTTCATCGGAATGACAAGATGGCATTTGCCCGCTCGAGTGGAAACATCTGGACTGTTGGAGGAGAGTGATTCATGAGAGAGCAATACAGAATCCACACAGAAATATAAATAATTGTTTGTTTATCCCACTTGCGGAGATAATTCGGAGGTGAATGAAAAGGAAAATGAGTAACGACAAGGATTGAGAAGAGGGACTGAAAATATCATTGTAAATATGAAAGCAGCAAAAATATTCAAGGATTGGACTCCTGCCGATCAAGAAGCATGGGTACCCCCCACAAAAAAATCTACAATTGGGAAATAATTGGATTGTATGATGTGTATTGTTATAATTTAGATTTATTGGTTTGATATGTTTAATTTGGTAAATGGAAACTTAATAAAAATTATTTTTTTAAAAAAGCAAAGAACCGAAGACACCCTGGTGGATTTCACCCTTAGAAGCGATAATGGTAAAAAAGAAAAATATGGAACTAAATTGGGCTACATATAAGGATTTATTAAAAGGGGGGGGGGGGAGCTGATATTAAAAGATTACAAGAAAATAAGGCATCATCTAACAGGGTGGATTCAGTATCACCAACTAAATGAAGTGTTCAAAGCAGATGAGAAAAGAGGCTTTTGAAAGGAAATCTCATTACTAGATAAAGAATTATTACAAAATAAGACCAAGGTAACTTCTAAAATTTATGAAACACTACTGGAGTGGGAGGTGAAGGACGAGCAGGTAATGATTAGATGGGCTATAGATATAGGTAAAACTACCAAATTATCATCATGGGAAAAATTATGGAAAGAGAGTTGGCAATTTATGGCTTGTGAAGCGATAAGGGTAAATTTAATAAAGATGTTTTACAGACGGTATTTAACACCAACCAAAATATGTAAAAGGGACACGGGTGGAGCTGTGGCCTAAACCACTGAGCCTAGGGCTTGCCGATCGGAAGGTCGGCGGTTCGAATCCCCACAACAGGATGAGCTCCCATTGCTTGGTCCCAGCTCCTGCCAACCTATCAGTTTGAAAGCACGTCAAGGTGCAAGTAGATAAATAGGTACCGCTCTGGTGGGTAGGTAAATGGTGTTTCCGTGTGCTGCTCTGTAGACAAATGTTGGCTCCCTTGGCCAGTAAAGCGAGATGAGCGCCGCAACCCCAGAGTCGTTCATGACTGGACTTAACTGTCAGGGGTCTGTTACCTTTTTAAAAATATGTAAAATGTATAAAACAAAATCAAATCAAAGTTGGAGGTGTAACAAATACATATGTGTCATACATATGTATTGGACATGATAAAATCAAAGGCTTCTGGGATATGGTGTATGAAGAGTTAAAGAAAATGTTTAAACAAAACTTTGTTAAGAAAACAGAAGCTTTGTTATTGGGGAAACTAGACACAGATATTGCCAGAGAAAATAATAAAATATTCCTTTACGCCACGGGAGTGGCAAGAACACTAATTGCCAAAAATTGGGAAAAAGAAATAATCCCAACAAAAAAAGAATGGCAAGACAAATTATATGATTATATTGAATTGGCCAGATTGACAGAGGCAATTAGGAGTCAAACCAACCCAAGCAAAAATTCCAAAAAGAATGAGTAAAATACAGAGAATATCTTAAAAAGCAGTGCCCTCAAATGAATACTTGGACTTGTTTTGATTAACTTCTGCAAAATAGTTTATGGTACTTAAGTTAAAAACAGAAAGAAAAAGGGGTAATAATGAACTAAAAAGGAGACAGTTTACCAAAAGCGATAAAAGAACCATGTTGAGGATGAAGTAAGTCAGTTGGAAGAAAAGAAGAAGTGTAATATGGTGTGTGTGTGTGTGGGTGTTTGTTTGTTTGTGTGTGTGTGTGTGTGTGTGTGTGTGTGTGTGTCTACTTGTTTTGTATAAGTTTTCGTACGTTATTATGTTTTATTTGTAGTTTTTTGTTTTGTTGTTTCTGTTTGTTGTTTGTCTGTCTTTTGATTCTGTATTATTATTTTCATGTTCAGTTTGACAAGTGTGTGTGTATGTTGTAAATAAACTTTCTCTCTCTCTCTCTCTCTATATATATATATATTAAAGTGAAACAGAAAGAGAAAGATCCCTAAATGTTAATAGGGAGAAAACTGAGCCAGGGCTCTCTGTAAGGAACAGGGGGAATACTGCTGAGGTGAAAGAAAAAACCTTTCATAAGAAACTGTAAGACCTGAGTGAGAACTACTATGGCCAAAATGAATGCAGAACAAAGTAGCTATATTTGGATTTGTGGGTTTGACCTCAAGCAGTGCTCCTTGGTGTGGTCGTATGGGTGTTAGAAACAGACAGGAATGTCCTGCTTTCAGGTGGAAAAGGGGTCTGGTGCCCATATTAATGATAAATTATTTTGTAACAGGATCTTCCAGAGACAATCAGACCAGAGGTGTTTTGGACTCAGAAACAAGTCATGAAAGATACAGGTGAGCAATGTCTCTCTCAGATCTTGCAGAGCTTTCTCCTTTAAGGGAAAGTTGATTTTCTTTTTAGGTTTCAGAGAAGTGTTCCGCAGAACACATTTGGTATATGAAGGTCTCACAATCATCACATGTGGTGGTGCTCTCTAAAACGTTCCCAAACTACATCTGTGTCAGGGACAGGCCAGAGGAGGAGTGGTGGAGACGGTATAGATTTACAGCAGGGGTTTGAGGGAGGTCACAGCTCAGAGTCAGATGAGAGGGAAAGTTGGGAAATCATGGGAGAGCCAGAGCAACGCACAGCTAACATGTTATCATTAGAAAGCATTCCAGACCCTCCATCTTCCAGAACCTGGCAAGTCTTAAAAGTAGGAGAGCAAAGATCCCACCCATACTGTCTTCCTCTTCTTCCTCCCTGGAAGTTTTTTTTTGGGGGGGGGCGAGTTTGGAGTGGGGATTGCTTCCCATCAGGAAGATGCAGAGGGTTTCCGGCTCGTGTTCAATCCACTTCTCTTTCCATTTTCCCCTTTGTGCCATTCAGACTATGCTTCACGGAGGCTGGATCCTTCCTTTGCTTTTATACTGATGTCATATTTGAGGTGAGAGGAGCTGTGACCATCACCTACCACTTTGATTCATGGTCTAAGCACCTGGCCGAACAGAACATGAAGAATTGGGTTGTCGCTGGGCCTTTGATCAACATTGAATCAGATCCAGCAGAGGCTGTGGCAGCTGTTCACTTCCCTCACTTCTTGTGTCTTGCAGGTATGGCAGACGAAAAAGTTTGTAACAAAATAAATATTGCATGTAACAGGATGAGTGCAGTGATGAGCTTTGTCATCCAAACTCAAGGGAGGTCATGCCCAGGCTGGCTGCAGAGGAGTGGTGGGAGGCACCAGTTGGGGAACCCCCAAGGGAACCCCCAGGGGAAGAAGGCTCAGAGCCAGGAGATTGCTGGTGGGACAATGACGAGGGATCAGAGGGAGCAGCCTGGGAGGAGGTGATGTTGGAGGTTGGAGAGGGAACAGGCTTTAGTGAGCAGGAAGAGGCTGTGACCGAGAGCGGTGCAGAATTGGGGGCAGAAGTGGAGACTGGAGAGGAAGGGGGCCAGGAGACAGATGTGAGGCAGGCCGCTGAGAAGCCAGGGAGTCTCCCCTCCTGATGTGACCAGCTTTCTTCTCCATTCGTCTCCCAGAATCAGAAGTGGTATGAAGAAGGCAGGGCAAATACAGACATGGTGATGTAATCTAAGATTGCTTGGGAAGGAGCCTTAGGGAACTGCCTCTATGGGCCAAATCTACTGGAATGTGTTGCTGTGCTCACTAGGCCTGGCATCCTGGGATGGCCTTGTTTCCTTGAATAAAGGGTTTATTTCACTGAAACAAGGTGTTTTATTGCTGACCTGCTCTTTTATGCTTCTTTCCAGGTAAAGATGGTTCCCAAGTCCACATTGCACATTTTATGGAAGGGAGGATGAGCCTAGAGAAGCCAAACAGAGTGGGGCCGTATCATGTTGTGTTGGAAAACCCAAACTTCTCTTCCCATGGAGCCATTTCGGAAATACCATTGTTTAAGCGAATGAGAAAGGTCCACACTGTGGCACTGCTTTATCAAATGGTTCAGTTCCAGCCACCAAAATTCCACCTGTACCTCCTACCCAATGACTCTTCCGTGAGAAAGGTAACTGGGATTCTCCAACTCTGATTGGTATTCCAGATGGCCTGGATCATTTGCTTGATCATAGGAAGTCTGACAGAGTAGCTATGCAAAATAATGCATCAGAGTGTGTTATGGCTCATGAAGTGTACCACCCTGTGTTGGCTTGAACTAATTTACGAAACTTCTCACTAACATCAACATGCCCCTAGAGAGATCAGTAGTTGCCCTTCACTGAGTGACATTTCCAATGCTAGGCAGCCTCCTTTCCAGAGGGCGAATGCCATGCCTGGTTCCATAGACGACAGCATTGTCACTGAATTTGCTTAGGAATTGGCTTGGTATTTACTAGCTTTCTCCAAGAACTCATGAGGGAAAATGTTGCTTTTGGTTTGCAAAGTTGGCACATGATAGATAAATTGCCTTCTCAATTTCACGTATTCCTAAGAATATTATGTTATGTTTTGATCAAAGTGTAATGCTTTCTATGGTTTCCTGCGTTGCCTCCTCAAGAGAGTTAGCAGGGTGACCCAGGATAGCTGGTACCTCTGCTGTTTCATAGGTCAAGCTGGCCAATTATGTGGGAATGTTCAGGGATGCAGGAGAGGATATATTGTGAGATTATATCCTTATCCAACTTGTGCTAACAAGCTCCCAAAATACCGTATTTTGTGCTCCATAGGACGCTCCGGCCCATAGGACGCACCTAGTTTTTTGGGGGGGGAAATAAAGAAAAAAAAATTTATTTCCCCCCCAGGTGCGGGGCTGGAAGAACTAGGTCGGGGAACAGCGGGAAGGTGCGCTCTGCCTCCCCGCTGTCCCCCGAGCTTGTGGGGCTGGCGATGGGGAGAAGTGCGCTGATCCCGGGACTGCAGGCAGCTCTGCGCGGCCATCCGGAGCGGGGCGGGACTTCGCGCCCGGCTCCCGGTGGCCGCGCAGAGCTGCGCTGATCCCGGGACTGCAGGCAGCTCTGCGCGGCCATCCGGAGCGGGGCGGGACTCGCGCCCGGCTCCCGGTGGCCGCGCAGAGCTGCGCTGATCCCGGGACTGCAGGCAGCTCTGCGCGGCCATCCGGAGCGGGGCGGGACTTCGCGCCCGGCTCCCGGTGGCCGCGCAGAGCTGCGATGATCCCGGGACTGCATGCAGCTCGGCACGGCCATCCGGAGCGGGGCGGGACTTCGCGCCCGGCTCCTGATGGCCGCGCAGAGCTGCGCTGATCCCGGGACTGCAGGCAGCTCTGCGCGGCCATCCGGAGCGGGGCGGGACTTCGCGCCCGGCTCCCGGTGGCCGCGCAGAGCTGCGCTGATCCCGGGACTGCAGGCAGCTCTGCGCAACCCTCGGAGCCGGTCTCCCGAGGGTTGCGCAGACCTTCCTGAAGCCTGGAGAGCGAGAGGGGTCAGTGCGCACCGACCCCTCTCACTCTCCAGGCTTCAGCGAAAGCCTGCATTCGCCCCATAGGACGCACACACATTTCCCCTTCATTTTTGGAGGGGAAAAAGTGCGTCCTATAGGGCGAAAAATACGGTATCAGCAGAGTAAGACATTCCCCTTTTTAAGTTCGCAACGGTAACGTGTGCTCAGGTTCGCTAGAACCTCTATAACAATCACTCTGGTAATTTCCCCTTTGTTCCCTCTTAAAATACAAGACACGACACAGTCTTTCATAAAAGTATAAAGAGAATTTACTCACGTTTTGTTCACAATAGGATCTCAGAAGGCAGACAGGCTTAAAAAGGTAAAATACATTTAGAATCTATCTTATAGGAAGATAGTCCCTTTCTCCTCTCTTGGCTGGGAGCCAAGAGGGCATCTTTAGATGTTGCTTCTTCAAAGGAAGATGGCAGAGAGAGAGAGAGAGGCAAGAGAGAGATGGCTACCCCTGCCCTGTGCTTTTATCATTACCTGCACAGGTGAGGCCACACCCACCTCTGGTCACATGTGGAGGAAGTCTGTCCCAGGAAGTTTACCTGCTGGCTGGACAGACACCCCTCCCCATGTCTTAACATGTACACTCTAGGAATGTTGTAATTGACTGCTCCTGTGTTTTGCATCCCACAAATTCAGGGGTCCAGAATAGAGTTCCCCAGGTGGTCAGAAAATTGCCTGTCCATATTTTGGTCTCTACTACCAAAGTGGTTTGGTTTTCTTTATATTACTGATAGAGATCCTGTGTCCCTTTAAATTCTGTGGGACTACAAAGCCCATCATTCCTGACCTATACTGTCTGTGGCTGATAGGAATCCACAGGTTGCAGGTTCTCCATCCCTACCTTACAAGCTGCAACAGAGCCAAGCAAGGGGTAGAGATCCAGTCTTCCAGAAGTTGGTTACCTTTCTTGCATATCTCAGAAGTGACCTTCTTTGCCTTTCCCAGGCGGTTGATGATAATGAACCACGTAGTCGTTCACAGAAAATAGAGAAGCCCCCTTGCACTCTGAGACCTCTGAGAATTGGCTGTCGCTTCTTTGTGGAGACAAATGGTGCTAAAATTTGCCCCAAGGTGAGGCACAAAGATGATGAAAAGCTTTGCTAGGGTACAGCCAAGGCTGTGAAGTATGAGAATGGAGGGGACTCCACCAGATCCCTCGTCACACCTTAATTTGACTCCCACATAAGGTTTAATGCAGGGGTTGGCAAACCAAGTTCCACGGGCTGGATCAGGCCCAATTGCCTTCAAGATCCGGCCCATGGACTGTCCGTGGATCAGCGTGGGGATTCTGTTCGTTCGGGCTGCGCCATCCCCCCCCCCACAGTGCCATTCCATCCCCGCCCTACTCTATCACACATACCGCGGCACCACCTCCTCTCTCCTGGCTTCTCCCCACCCTGCCTAGAGAAGGAAGGGGGCTGGACTGAACTGGCTGACTGACATTTTAAACAGCCCCTCTCCAGAGCCAGCCCTTTTGCACTGCTCATCTTCCCTCTGCTGCCGCTGCACTGGTGCTCCTGTGGGCCAGAGAGTGGAGTGGACAAGCTCACTCTGCCTACCCACGAGAAGCAGCGGTGGTGGTAGCCCCAGGGAAGGTAAGCTGGGGGTGGGGGTGGGGAGGAGGGCTACTTGCCCCCCTCGCCTCTTCTTCCAGCCCCCCCCCCCAGTGTCGCTTTTCCAGCCCGCCACAAGGTCTGAGGGACAGTGGACCAGTCCGTGGCTAAATTTTTTTCCCAACCCCTGGTTTAATGCTTCCCCACAGGAAGTGAAGTTTCAATACCTGGATGCTGACAAGCTGCAGCAATATGTGGAACTGTCTGCTGAGCAAATGCAAGACACATTCAACTTCCGTGTGATGGACAAGCGCAAGAATAAACTCATCTGGGAGGCCCATGTGACACAAGGTGAGTTTGAATGGAGGAAGATCAGAAGGTTGGACCATAATTTGGGAGGCAGGGTGATAAAGGACATGCCAGTCACATTCCCTCTTTTGACTGCCTCTTTCCTGTTCTGTTTCAGAAGAGTTAAAGTCCCCTGAGATGACTTCTCCTCTTCTACATGCAGCACAAGGTCAGCAGGTTTTAATTATTTCCTCATACTTAAATCTCACCTTCCTCCCAATGGGAGCACAGAAACTTCCGGCAGCAGGCAGGGTCAGACAGAGATCCCTGAATGGGGGCGTGATTTCTACTGGTATGTTTTACAACCTAGGCTTCTCAGTTTTCAACTTAGCGTCAGTTGTTAAAATATTGTTTTTAATGGGTTTAATTGGTTTTCTAACTGCATGTTAATGTGTGTTCTTGTTGCTTTGTTTTTCCTTGTGAGCCAGCTAGAGAACTTTTGTTATGAAGTGGCAATATAAGTGTAACACAGTAAGGTTTATTGCACAGAGTCCTAAAAAGTGGCTTTCTTCCCAGGGTAGAGGCCTTGTGGGTAAAGTTTTCATGGATTTAAAAGCTGGCATAATGGCCACTCTCTTCCCACAGAAGAAAGGAAGGATCATGGGAGACCCCCACTGCAGGCAGGGTGGAACAGGGATCACTGTGTGTCTGGTTTGGGCCCTGTAAAAATTGTGCATGTGGGGCTTATGCCCCCTGGCACCCCACACTGCTATAATGTAGAATGGAAGGTGAGAAGTGGGGGCTAGAAATTTTTGATGTTGCACAATGCGCTGCTATAATTTGAGACCCGAAAGCGTGGCACAGGTTCATGTCCCATGATTATCATTTCCCCGTGATCCCTCCTTGTTTCCTACCTATCCATAAACTTTCTCTCTCTCTTTTCCAGGTGCTTGTTGCTGCACTCTGACCCATGCTGCTTCCAGCGGCACTGACTCAGGACATGGTGTGGTAAGCAGGTAGGGCTTGATAATCCCTTTCCTCACACAAAGCCAGTCCTGCTATTAGGGACAATTCAGCAGCTGCCACAGGCAGACAGCAGATGTTGGGGGGGTGCTGTTTAGGCATTGGCTGCACTGCTGTTGCTGGAGGAGCAGGAACATGCAAACGTGTAAAGTCAACAGAAGCTAAATTGGGTATCTCTCTACATATTGGTTGCATGCAAGGCTCCCCTCAGAGCATGAGGAGGTTTAGCTCCAATCCCAGCATTGTGCTGCTCGGACCTCGAATCACTGATCAAAGATGGCTCTCTAAACTTCAAAGCAACTTCAGGCCACCCCTCTTTCCCCTCCCTCAGTGCCAGTCACAGTCATGGAAGGCGACAGCACCTCCTGATGATGTAGTTCCTTCCCATATCCCTTTGCTGAGCTTCTCTTGTTTTGTGTCTGCTTTTGCCTGCTGTTGGAGGCGCCAGTGCAGAGTGAAGGTGAGGACCATCAGAGAACGTCTGGTGTCCGTCCTGGAGAATCTGGATGAGGATGAACTCAAGAGGTTCAAGCTCAATCTCAGCGATTCCCCCATCAGGGATGGCTATGACAACATCCCTCGAGGGAGGCTAATGAAGGCGGATGTCATGGACCTGAGCATGCTGCTGTTTGGTTTCTACATGGAAGATGCTGTGCAGGTGGCGGCTGAGATGCTCAGAGCCATCAACTGCAGGCCCGAGGCAGAGAGACTCATCTCCCTCTCTGAGACTGAGTAAGAAAGAAGGAATTCCAGCTCACAGAACTTGCTAGGATGGAAGGCAAATGGAGTGCCACCTGCCCCCCCCCCCAAGCAAATGCAGAGTGGTGGATTGATAATCTCTTCATGGGGGCAGTGGGGATGAGAGAATAGAAACCTTACATCAGGGATAACCAACCTGGTGCCCTTCAGTAGTTGGCTTATCTTTTTTATTTAACAGAATGTGTGTTATGCTCAGTTATAAGAAACAAATCTCTAAGCTATTTGTATAAAACAAAAATAATATTTTTAAAAGTCAGAAGTTTAAAATGAGTTGAGCTTAAAAATTTCAAAATGTTAATAGTATCAGCAGCTAAAATATAATTTTTAAAATAAAATCACCTATTAAAATACGTGTCAGCTTTACGTATCTGGGTAGGCTTGCCTAAACAAATATTTTTTTTAGCAGGCACTGAGCATAGTACAAAGAAGACAGCTGTCAATGGGCAAGCCGTTCCAGAGTGTAGGTGCTGCCTTGCTAGAATATGGATTCCCTAGAGGTGTTGGACTGCTGCTCCCATCAGTCCCAGCCAGCACTGCTAAAGATCAGGCATGATGGGAGTTGTAGTCCTGCAGTTTACTTAGGGCACTGTGTTGGCTACCGCTGCTGTATATACAAAAGCTGTTTGCTCTGGGGCAATGTTGTTGGAGATAAGAAGACATGGATCTAGTTGTGCATCCACACCACATTTTTAATGCACATTTAGAGCATGTGGCTTCCCCCAAAGCATCCTGGGAACTGTAGTTTAGCCTTTCACAGGGCTGAAATACACCATGCTCTAAATACAATACTGTTCCCAGGATTCTTTGGAGGAATTTATGCACTTAAATGGTGTCGATCAGCCCTTCGTCTTGTGTCCCTCAGATCTGAGGCTTACAGAAGAGCACTTCACATGGTCACGCAAGATGGGAGTTGTAGTCCAGCATCTTCTGGAGGGCACCATATTGACTACCCCTGATTCACATGGTCTCATGTTCCCCAGTTTGGGGAGTTTTGCTACAACATGATCAGGGGACAGCTTGCTCTGCCTGGGAACAGGTACATCAGTGAAGCTTCTCACAAATTTAGGGATGTGTTTCTCACTTTAGGTAAAACTTGCCCTTTCTAACTTCCTGAACCCCTTGCCTGCACCCACCGTAATACTTTAGGATTACCTGCATAGGCCACCACTTGGAACATTCTAGAGCTGTTTTTCAACTTTGGATCCCCTGATGTTGCTGAACTTCAACTCCCACCCTCTTTGAGGTCAGGTTAAGCTAGCTGGGGGTGATGGAACTTGTAGACCAACAACATCTGGGGGCCCAAAGTTGAAGATCATTCTCTAGAGTAGGAACAGGTAACTGTTGAACCTCCAGAAGTTGTTGAACCAACTCCCATCACACCCAGCCAGCTTGGCCAATGGAGCCCAGGATGGTGGGAGTTGTAGTTCAGCAACATTTGGAGGGCCAAAGGTTTCCCACACTTTAGAAATTTGGGGGCTTCTTTTCCCTTCATTTCCTGACAGTATTTAATTGCTTCACACATGTACTCAATGATCCCTTTTTTCCTTCCTCCAGGAAGTGGTTCGTGCTGAAACCTGTGCCTTAGAACTTAAGAAGAGCCTGCTGGATCAGGCCAGCATCCTGTTCTCACCGCTGCCAACCAGATGGCTGTGGGAAACCTGCAAGTGCAACAACTCGCTCCCTTTCTGTGGCTTCCAGCAACTGGTATTCAGAAACATTTCTGCCTCTGACTGAGGAGGGAGAGCGTAGCCATCATGGCAAGGAGCCATGTCTTCCATGAAGTTGTCCAGTAATTTTTTTGAAACCACCCAAGTTGGTGGCCAGCACTGTCTTCTGTGGAAGTGAGTTCCATGGTCTAACTCTGCGCTGTGTGAAGGACTTCTATCTGTCTGCGTCTTCCAACATCCAGCCTCATTGGCTGCTCACTGGTTCGAGCGTTCCAAGAAAGGGATAAAAACATTTCTCTGTCCACTTTGCTCACACCCTGAATAATGTTATAAACTTCTATCATGTCCTCTCTTATCTTTTCTCTAAACAGTCTGAAACCCTGCAGCCGCTCTCATATGGGAGTTGCTGCATCCCCTCAATCATTTTGCTTGCCCTTTTCTGAACATTTCCCAACTCTACGATGTCCTTTTTGCGGTGTGGAACCAGAACTGTACACAGTATTCCAAATGTGGTTGGCCATGGATTTGCAAAATGGTATGATATTCACAGTTTTAAGTTCAGCTCCTTTCCTAATGATCCCCAGCATGGAATTGGACTTTTTCACAGCTGCCGCACACTAGATCCACCTCTTCATCATGCTACCCACTGTGAATTTTAGCCCATTGAGCTCTTAAGAATTCTCCCACAAAATCCCTAGCCTTTCCCAACAGAGCTTCAATTTCCAGACCTCCAGGGAAATACCAATGAGCCACACAAAGCAGTTCTGGTATTTCCCCCTTTATTCCCTTATAAAAGAAAAGACACGACACAGTCTTCTATAAAAGTATAAAAAGAGTTTACTCACATTCTGTTCACAGTTGGATCCCAGAAGGCAAACTTAGTTTTCAGGTGTATGTTATTTTTCAAAGCTAACTCATAAGGAGACAGTCCCTTTGTCCTCTCTTGGCTGGAGGCCAAGAGAGCATCTTTGGCTAAGCAGATGTTGCTTCTTCAACTAAAGTAGTCAGAGAGAGAGAGATGGCTGCCCTGCCCTGTGCTATTGTTGTTACCTGCACGGGTGAGGCCACACCCACCTCTAGTCACATGCAGAGGAAGTTTACCTGCTGGCTGGACAAACATTCCTCCCCATGTGTAAACGTTCACTCTAGGAATGTTGTACTTAACTGCTCTTGTGTTTGACATACCACAGCAGAGCTGTCTCATTCACTAAGCACAGTGCCTCTGGTGAGCAAAGTCCCTCCTGAGGCTGCAGTTCAGTGCATGTTCCTTTCCTGACAGGACTTTTTCTCTTGCTGGGAGATGTACATCTTGGGAGGAGGAGCAGGTTTCAATCCCAGGAGATGAACAGAATCCCAGGAGATGAAGCCAGAGAGAGCCAGCCTGTCCTTCTCCGAACTTCCTGGGTGGTGGTGACTCCAAGTTGGTTTGCCTTAGGGCTTCCTAACATTTCTCCTTTCCAGTTTGTACATTGTAAATAAAAGTACTTTGTAATAAAGATATTTTACCAATAACATTCTGTCCTTTTCATTAGGCCTGCATAAGCTTCCAATATTCTTTCATCCAAAGGAAACTGGTCCAAGAAGTCTCTCTCAATTTTTGGTACACTTCATCATGGGAATTTGGTTATTTGAAAGAAATGAGAGGAATAGTCTGGGATGCACAGAAGTCCACCCAAGATTTCTGGGCACCTGCGCTAGATATTGAAGAAAGCCCTCCTCTAACCAGCTCCCTACAGATCCAGATAATTTGATCAGGACCGACCTACCAGAGAACTTGGGGGAGTTCTCCTTCCTATCCCTAGTCCAATCCACTTCCCGGAGCCTGTGCCTGGTCGCTGCAGTTCAGGGGAGCCAACTTGAATTAAATATGTGGGGGGGGGGGGGGCTTAGGTAAGCCTTGCCCCACATAATCGATCACAAGATCACACCCTTTGAATGGCAATGACCGTCAACCTCGGAGGTGGATCTGGCCCCCTCAAATATTTTAGGGGGTGCAAAGGGCCCTGGCTCGTATGCTGCAGTTAATCCCATTGAAGATCTGGGCGGTCAGGTGTGGGGCGTCTTCCTCCGTGTAGTAGCGAAGCCGGAACAGGCTCACGTGCGTTTGTGGCACCTGCTCCTTCAGCGCCATCCATCGATGGGAATTGCCTTCAGTTTCCCCCTGAACTTCCGCAGCTCGTCTTTCTCCAAGTTCTCGAGGGTGTCCTTCAGGCACCGGAGCGTAGGCGTTGCATGGATTTTTCGGGGGGGGGTGGACCTTTGTTAGGGGGGCAGAACCGACGTGATTGTTCAGTTAAGTATTTCTCTTGTTTTACTTCATCTAGGCCCCCCCGGTTGCGCCCCCCCCTGCACCGGCCGGCCGTCTTCGGGATCCCGCAGCCAGAAGGTGGGCAGCCACTTTGGGTTCTCCGAAGAAGAGGCGGCGGCCAAGGGCTTCCCTTCCGCGCTGAGAAAGAGGCGCGCTCAACCCCCTTTCTTTGCTCACCTGGCGGTTTCGTTTCTGCCCTTCTGGGTCCTGCGGTTCAGCAAGGGCGGATGTGCTCATTTTGGCAACAAGGGGAGAGGAGGGAGGGAGATGCTCCTGGCTGACACACGATTAGAAGTGGAGCCAAACTTGGAAGGAAGCGGCGTGTTTTCATTTTGCCGTCCCGTCCCCCCCCCCCCCCCGCCAGCCAGCCAGTCTTCTGGGAGCGCCGGGAAGACCCTTCCCACGTTCTCGCCTGCCCAGGTCCGGCGCTGATTCTCTGCTCGGCGGGAGGAACCCTCGGGAGTCTCAGCCCCCGCCAAGCGCCAGCGGAGGAGCCGCTTCCCCGAGGGCGTCGCCCGCTTCCTTCTTCCCCCTTCAGACGCTACCGCCTCTCCGGCTCTGCCGCGGGGCGCGACTTTCCTCTGGGCAGGGGCGCCATGGCGACCCACGAATACCCCTGGGTGAAGGAGCCCCTGAAGGAAGGAGGCGAGAAGCTGAAGGCGAAAGAGGCCGGCCGGTCCACCGAGAAGAAGGGGGAGAGGGAGGTGGATCCCCTCCTCGAGTTGCATAGGATAGGCTCTGATCTAAGGCTCATGGGTGATCTAAGGTTCAAGGGTGTGCTCCCGAGTAGCAGCAGCAGCGACGACGACGACGACGACGACAGGGACCCCAACACGTGGGGATTGCAGCAGTCGGTCGCCCCGCAGTCTCTCTCTGAGTGGGAGAATGTCTCTCCGGCTCTGCTCCCTGTCGTTCGCGCCTTGCACCTCTCCCTGGGGCGTTTGAGTCGCGACAAGCGGCGGAGGTTCCGGCGCAAACTGCGCGAGATCCCGCTCGACGAGGGCTTCGTCCGCATCCCCGAGGAGGTTCTGCACAAGGCAGGCGCCTCTCGCCTCCGAGACCTGCTGCTCAGCTACTACGGCGTAACTTACGCAGTAGAGGTAGCGGCCGATGCGCTGAGGGCCATTGACTGCAAGTACGAGGCGGACAGTCTCCTCTTCTCCGTCAGGGAAGGTAAGTCTTTGGTGGATCGTGACCTTCGCAGCCGTTCAGTCTGACAGCAGATCCTTCCATCCCTGGTTGCGCCAGCCCAGCGCTGAGCTGCAGCCGTGAAGAAGGGAAGGAAAAACAACACAACCATGGGCTTGGAATGTTTGGAAGTACCTTTACTTTAGCGCCAGGCATTTAGCGGATATGGAACAATTTGGTATGTTTCAACCGTCTGATTGCTATTGCTTAAAATATTACAAATACCTTCAGCGCCCTTAGGACACACAGAACAGCAAAGAATCAGCCTTAAGTACAAGGGCAGGCCGTTTTTTGGACTCAGGGTAGAGCTTGTCCCTTTGTAGAAGGGAAAGTCCTTTTTCTTTCCTGCTTGAGCCCTGCAAAAAAATTAAATCAGGCCTGTAAGTTCAGAAAGTTTGCAGGCCAGGAACAGAGGAAGGTCCCAAATGGGCCTCATGGTCCATCTAGCTCAGGATTGCTAATCTTGCCTGACTGCAGCTCTCCAGGGTTCCAGGCAGGAGTCTTTTGCAGCCCTACCTGGAGACACCAGGGATTGAACCTGGGACCTTCTGCAGTCAAAGCAGGTGTTCTGCCACTGAGCCATGGCTCTTCCCTGGTCATCCAGCTGGAAGTGCTGCCTGCTGAATGTCCTGCAAATAGATTGCACTAGGAAGAGGAGGAGGAATTTCCATGCTTTATGATGGTATAAGCAGGTTCCCTGGATTTTCTGTTCAATACTTCCACTACAGCACAGTCTCCAAATGGCTGTCTGCTGAACATGCTGCATGCCATTATTACAGGATGACGTCAGATGATTATTATAAATAAGGAACTGGGTTTCCACCCCACAATAAACTTTTGGTTAACCTTCCTTCAGATGAGCCTGCAGCGCGCCCGAGCCACACATCTCTCCCAAGAAATCTTCTGTTGTAATTTTTGTTGCTCCACAAAAAGTCTTCCATATTACAGAGTTTAAAATAATACCTAAATAAGACCATAGGAATTTGACACTGTACTGGCATAGTTCCTGTTTCTGCTCTAATACTAGCTGCTGGAGTTGGGGGGGGGGATAAACCGAGTAGTCTTATTAGAAATTAATTTCTCCCCAATACGTTAACTGTGGGAGCACCTAAACCATTATTTGTTCTCAGTGCCGACTTTGCTTCTGGTAAAATTAAGAATTGCTTGTGCAGATCTTGATGTCTTCAAGGCCTAAGTGCTGCTATATGGTACCAAGTACTTTTATCGGAGAACAAATCTCCAAATAATTGAAATGTCTCACTTGTTCAATTATTTGTTCATTTAGGAACCATTTATGCTTCACAGGCTATGCCTCAAATACTACAGCTTTTGTCTTGGAATAATTTATATTCAAACCTTTGTTAGGACAAACTACTAAAGTTCTTTAGTAATCCCCTCATACCCACGTGTTTGTAGCAAGATGGATACCTTATGGGATAAAAGTGTAACAGGAAAAAATTCTGGTTGTTTTAGTTCTAGTTATTACATCATTTACATAAATGTTAAACAGCAGGGGTGCCAATAAGCACCCTTGTTCTACTCCATTTGTTGTCAGAACTAGAGCTGTCAAGTGTCAACTGACCATTCGCCCCTACTCTTTCTCTCATATACATTTCACAGTCTGATATCCACTGGAATTCCAAAGGGCTAGTGTCACACAAACATCAATGGTTAAAGGAAAATGTGCTTACCCAGCAAGAAATGCACTGGTGCTAATTAAATATAGCAAAAGACTGCTGGGGGCAGGGATAAAACAGCCAGTTTTGACCTCTCCCTTACCTTTCCACAGTTGACAGGGTCATGCTCCCTTATATGCAGAGGACTGTACGAAAGAAAAATGTGTGGTAAGTCCCATTGCAATTCTACTTGCAGCTTATAGTGGAAGAGCATTGATTGGATTGGAGAATCAGATCTTAGCTTGGGAGGGAGCTTCATCCAGGAAAAAGGATGGGCAAATGTGTCACTGGAATGGACAGTGCTAAGGGATTTAGTGATAAGTATCACTTCCTAGGAACGGGGTTGCTAGGTGATGCTGGTGTACTAGTAAAGAGACACAAGTAGTTCAGTGGTCCTCAGGAACCTGATGGATGGGGGAACGGGAGAAGCAGCCTTGAGGAGAGGCTTGTGTGTGAGTCCAGAGGGCAACTTCTCAGCCATTTCTATGACTTCAAGCTTCTGCTTATTATTATGGAGCATGGTTTGCATGCAGGGCTGGCCCCAGACATTTCGGCGCCTGAGGCAAATCAAATTGGTTCTCCCCTGGAATTGTAGTTTGCTAAGGGACTCACTCTCTTTCTCTCTACACACACACAAAACACAGGCCCGGAAAACACTTGTCTCCTTTCTTTCCCTCTTGCCTTCCTTCTCAGTAGCCCAACCAGCGATAAGCAGTGGCAGGAGCAGCATCAGTGGCCAGGAAGACCCTTACCCGGCTGTGGGTGGGCAGTGCTGGGGCCAGGGGTCTGAGCCAAGTTGTGATGGAAAAGGAAATCTGAGAGCCACCAAAGATGCAGCAGCCAGTGTGACTGAAGGAGGGAGCTGAGGAGAGAGAGGACCCTGGCTTTGCAGCATCCTTCCTAGATCAGCTTCTGCTCCTCTCATGGAGAAGGAAAATGAAAGGGGAAATCTCATGCAGTTAAGAGGGGTCTTTAACCAGGGTGGCAATCTTTTTCCACAATGCATGTTATGTACACACATGCAGACACTACCCCTCCTTTTGAAATTCAACACCTAAATGTATACAGAATCCAGATCTGTGGGTGGTGGGCTCTGGGAGATGGGCTGTCAAGCTAATAAGTCTAATTTGAAGCCTCTTGTTAACTTGGTAGATAAGCAAGCCAAATTTTCTTCTAGAAAGACTGCCCCATTCTCCTCCCAGTTTATTTCTGAAATCTATTCTTTACAGCTGCCCTGGGGCAGAAGGTTTTCCCACTTTGGTCTTTAAAAAAAACCTAAAAGAAAACTGTGATTGGCTAGTTTGTCAGCCCCTCCCCCATGAAGTGGCTTTTTCCTTCTGCTGGTGGAAAGTAGGCTGCCTTACCTGAAAGAGGAGGCAGAGCTGGACCTGACAGCCAAGACCAATCAGCTTAATAATAATAATAATAATAATAATAATAAAAAATTAATAATAATATCATAGTCCAGAGGGGAGAGGGGGAGGCACAGCTGCTGCATCTTCCTTTCTCAGGAAGATGGAAAAATATGGACAAGAGAGGCAGCTGACTGGTTTGAGTCCCTGCTGCAGATTCAGGCCACCAGCGCAGCTTCACCCCCACCCACCACCTGCCACACAACTTCCTTTACGGTCTCCATTTTGAAAATCACTCTATTACAACTTTGCCCTCCTTGTTCCTTAGGGGTGTGGATGAAGTTGTAACACTTCCATTTTCAAAATAGAGACCTGCAAGGAAGGGCAGATGTGCAGTTGTTGAGGAGGAGGAGGAAGTGGTGAGTTAGCGGTCGGTGGAGAAGGAGAGGCAGCAAGAGGGCCTGTGGAAGAGCTGGTCACAGAGGCAGTGGCAGGCAGATTTGACACCCCTCTTAGGAGGGTCCAGGTATGCCTCCCCCCCCCCGACAGCTTTCCCTCCCCTCTTCGTGGGCAGCCTGGCTGTGTCTGCATGTAGAACGTATAATAACAAAGTCAGCAGGGGCGCCTGCCTTGGATGAAACCTAGAGAGGAGTGCAAAATGTATCACAAATACTGTGTATATTCTTGGCCATTAAAAAAGGGGTGGCAAATTACATCATGATTTCTTTTCAGTGTGGAGTAAATCAACATATTTTTCAGGTTGCAAAGGAAAAGCAGAGCTCAACATTCTCAGTGGATGAGTGAAAGCAGTATACTAGGGGTGGAAAAATTAAGCCCCAGTTGTATCCTAATCAAGCTCTAATTCTCTGCCCACAACAATGCCTAATATAAAATAAATGTTTTTGCCACAGGTCACTGGAAGGAGTCATTATCACTGGTGATGAAATAGTCTGCAAGGGAAGAAAAGAATTACTTGAAATTATTGAAAAGGACCTAGAATTCTTTTTACATGAATTATACTATGGCTTTATTATCACACAAAAAGAATACAGGGACTTGCGGAAAGCAGAGGAAGACTCCAAAGAGAAAAGTCAAAAACTGCTGAATATGATCCAGGAAAGGGGGGAGGCAACTTGTTGCTGGTTCCTGGAACAAGTAGAAAGGAAATATCCAGGCTCCATTCAGATTCTGCTAGTTGCAGTACATGGTGAGTTTGACTTAGAGTATTTTCTGAACTTCAAGGACAGTTCAACTACCTTCCTCATCCTTGCAACAGTCGTGTCAGGTAAAGAATTGTCTTTTACAGGCTCGGGTAATAAATTGTTCCAGGCGACAAGCCCCTCAGGGCTGAAGTCAGAATCTCCCCTATTTGCAGAGGAAGGAAGAAGCAGCAAGATGGAAAACCCAGCAGTTTGCGGGGAAAGTGTTGTGTGTAATCTGTGTCCCTGTGAGGTAAGTGGCTGAACAGATGGGCCCAGACTGGGGGTGGTGGTGGGGAGAGCTGCCTCCACCCAATCAAGTAAATGAATAAAAATACTTAACTAAAAGTAGAAATTGTAGAAAGATTTTGACAGATTTTTCTGAGCACTTGGGGTCAAAAAAAGTATTTTTTATTTTTATTTTTTCCAATTCAATGCTTTATTGAGTTTCATAAATAACAAAAAACAAACAAAACGATCTTATGTAAGTAATCTTATGTAAATATACAGATAAAAAAGATTCGATCTTATACAATCTCTTTAGTTCAACATTCTTACTAAAGTGTAATAGACTTCCCGTCAACTCCCAGTGCATTTAACATTTCTAATATTGAGTGTACTTATTACTTTCATCTATTTGTATTTTCTAATACATTCTTACAACATATCTGTCAGGGAACTGACATTGGAGCTAGAGGCGGAGGGAAGGCTCTCAAATGATGCTGGAGAAGGGCCCAGCAGGGAGAGAGGCAGCTCCGCAGATGGGGAAGCAAATCAGCGCAACACCAGGGATAAAGAGGGGCTGATGGGGGAATCGGCGAGAGGGCTCCAGGACTCTTCACCGGACACCAGCGGGGAGAGCACGGGTCCTCCGCTACCCACGCCCACCCTGCGCAGAAGACTTCCGCGCAGAGAGAGTAGGAGGAGACTGGGTGTCAAACAACTTTTATGTTGGAAAAGATTTAAGAAACGCCCACTGACGGATTCTGATAGCGACTGAGGCAGCCACGAAGTGAAGGGCTGCCCAGACTGAAGGGTTTAGCAAGGCAACAAAGCCTGGAGAGGCGGCAACTTACGCACAAGCAACCCATACACATTACAGCAATCCGTCAGTCCCTGACGTCGCTCGTGCACAGCGACAGGCAGGCAGCATCATGAGCAAAACCGGAGAAGCTGGCGCCACAGAGGGAGCAGCTGGAGGGCAAAATCTGGTGGAGAGGAACCGAGATTTGGAACAGCATGTGGCTCTGCTGACGGCGCGGCTGGACGAAAGGCGGTCTCAGGATGCTCAGGTCAGACCCACCCCCGTAGCAAGGAAGGTACCGGGACTGGTACACAAGTTTGGAGGGAAACCCCAGGACTACAGTGCGTTCCGAACGGAAATAGAGTACGCTTTGGAACTGCAACAGAATGATTTTGCAGACGATGGGGAGAGGGTTGCCTATATTGTCGGACATCTGCAGGATGGGGCCAGAGAATGGATCAGGCCCCTAATGGCAACGCAGAATGCCGCCTTGAAAGACCTGAGGAAATTCTTCCAGGCGATGGATGCGATGTATTCCAGTGATGTACAGCAAAGTGTGACTCGGCGGGAACTGATGGGTTGCAAACAGGGGAACCAGTCAGTTAGAGACTACTGGTCACGCTTTGCCATGTTAGTCCACCGGCTCGGGTGGGATTTGGACTCTGAACCTATTCAAATGCTGTTCGAGGAGGGGTTGTCCCCAACGGTGAAGGACGAGCTTTCCCGCGCACCCCGCCCGCAGTCGATGGATCAGCTGACCAAGGCTGTGCTTGCGATTGGTGTAAGGCAGGAAGCGCGGGCCCAGGAGAAGCGGGAAGGGAGAGAGCAACGTTACCATGACTACTGCATTCCTGAAATAGCAAGGAAGCCTTCCCCGCCGGCGGAGCCCATGCAAATAGATGGGGCGCACGCGCGGGAGATTTCAAACTCCAGTGAAGGTCGCAAGAGGGAGGGAAAAGATGGGAAAACCACCAAGAAGTGTTTTCTCTGCCAGCGGCCAGGACATTTTGCCAGGGTCTGCCCGCAAAGAAAGGCCTGGCAAGGGATGGTGGGAGCTGCAGGGGGTGAGGAGGAGATGGTAAAGGAGCAGGGAAACGCCAAAGCTTGGCTGCCACTCAGCGGGCACAGCAGCCAGGCCAGCAACCAATAGAAGTGCCCAAACCAGACCCCCCCGGCGGCTATAGCCATAGAAGTGGTGCTAGAACTCCCAAATGGGCACCCAGTCAAGGTGAAAGGGCTGTTGGATTCAGGCAGTTCCTGCAATTTCTTCAGCAAGGACTTTGCACTAGAGCACCAGCTCCACCTGCTGCCCCTGGATTTCCCCTTGCAAGTAACCACCATTGATGGCAGGGAGCTTCTGGGAGGGGAAGTGACGCACCAGACCCCACCAATGAGAATGAGGGTTTCCAGGCACACGGAGACTATCGCCTTTCACGTAGCCTCACTGGCAGGGCCCCCAATAATATTAGGGATGAGCTGGCTAGCACAACATGATCCAGTGGTGGCATGGCATCAGAGAACGGTCACCTTTGGGTCCGCTTACTGCTTGGAACACTGTCTAGGGGGAGAAACCCCAAGGATGACCGTGGCCAGGGTGGCTGAGATAGCTGTGGAGCCGAAAGGGAGGTGCCACCACAATATGCTGACCTGCAGGAGGTCTTCAGCGAGAAGGAGGCAGATAGACTACCCCCACATAGGCCCTTTGACTGCCAAATCAACTTGCTCCCTGGGGCGCAGCTACCGGTGGGTAAACTGTATGCCATGTCGGACAGGGAGATGAAGGAGTTGCGGGAGTTTATTGACAAGAACCTGAAGAGGGGGTTCATAAGGGAATCAAAGGCGGTGGGGGCAATCCGGTGTTCTTTGTGGACAAAAAAGGGACTAACCAGCCCAGATTGGTCGTAGATTTTAGGGCGTTAAATTTGGTATCAGAACCCTTGACCTTCCCAATGCCCAGGATTGACGACATTTTAACACGAGTGAGGCAGGGAAAGATTTTTACCAAGCTGGACCTCAGGGGAGCCTACAGTTTGATCAGGATGAGGGAGGGGGACGAATGGAAGACCACAATGTTCACCCCCCTGGGGGCCTTTGAGTACTTAGTTATGCCATTTGGATTACAGTCAGGCTCCGCCTGTTTTCAAGCTTTCATGCACCACGTGTTGGGGTCCCTGCTGTACAAGAACTGCGTAGCCTTCTTGGACAACGTCTTAATCTATTCGGACAATGAGAAGCAACATGTCAGAGACGTCAGTGAAGTGCTGAAGAGACTGCAGAAGCACCAGTTGTGGGTCAAGCTGGAGAAATGTCAGTTTCACGCCAGAGAAGTCGTGTTTTTAGGGTACAAGTTGTCAGACAAAGGCTTAGCGATGGACCCAAGCAAGGTGCAGGCAGTGCTGGAGTGGAAGGCTCCCAAAACCCGGAAGGACGTGCAGAGGTTCCTAGGGTTCAGCAACTTCTACAGGAAGTTCATCAAGAACTTCGCCCACTTGACAGCACCCATAACAGACTATCTCAGTAGCAAAAGGAAGTTCGCCTGGACAGAGGAGGCCCAACAATCCTTTGAAAAACTGAAGAAGGCGTTCGCATCGGAAGAGCAGCTCCTGCACGTGGATCTGGAGAAACCCATGAGGCTAGAGACCGACGCGTCCGACAGAGCCATTGGGGCGGTTCTTTTGCAGCCAGGGAGGAGCAAGCAGGAATGGAGACCGTGTGCCTTCTTCTCAAGAAAGCTGAACAAGTCGGAGCAAAACTATACGGTGTATGACCGCGAACTGCTTGCGATCTATGCGGCGTTTCGTCGATGGCGACATCTACTAATAGGGGCGCAGCACAAGATCCAGGTTTGTACAGATCACAAGAACTTGGAATACTGGAGGACCGCACGAGTGCTCAACCAGAGACAGATTCGATGGGCACAGGAGTTCTCCAAGTTTTCCTTCGAAATCCGATACGTGCCAGGAGAGGAAAACGTGAGAGCAGATGCTCTCTCCCGGAAACCGGAGTACTTGGAAGGAGAGGGGCCACCGGAGATACGACACGTGATCCCCGAGGACCGATGGGTGTGTGGGGGAACCCTGGTGGGGCAACGAGAACTGGCTGGACTTACTAGAAACGACGTGTTCGCACAAACTAAAATCCGGGAACTCCGAGACGGAAGAGAAACCCAAGGAGGGTTTGAGGAGAAGGAAGGGGTGCTGTACTATAAGGGGGCGCTGTATGTACCGGGGGAGACCCTACGGGGGAAGGTACTCAAACAACTCCATGACAACCCTACAGCGGGGCACTTTGGACAGCACAAAACCATGATGCTCGTCACCAGGCAGTTCTGGTGGCCCAGGGTGAGGGAGGATGTACGGGAATATGTACGGGGTTGAGACCGCTGCCAAAGGGCAAAGGGGGAGCGGGCTGCCCCCGGAGGATTACTGGAACCCTTACCCACACCGGGGAAACCTTGGGAGGTGGTATCCATTGATTTTATGACCGATTTGCCCCCAAGTCCCGGGTGAAGACAGCGGTCATGGTAGTGGTCGATCTACTAACAAAAATGTGCCATTTTATAGCTTGCTCACATGCGGTCATGGCAGAGGAAACAGCCAGGTTGTTTGTGGATCACATCTTCCGGTTGCATGTGGCTCCTTCAAGGATCATCTCCGACTGCGGGAAACAATTTACTTCCCGTTTCTGGAGGAAGCTCATGAGCTTGCTGCAGGTCGAAGTGGGCTTCTCAACGGCGAGACACCCGGAAACCAACGGGCAAGCAGAAAGAGCGAACAGTATTCTCCAGCAATACCTACGCTGCTACGTCAGCGAGAGGCAGAACGATTGGGTAGAAAAACTAGCGCTGGCTGAATTTGCGTACAATAACGCTGAACATGTGTCAACGGGAATGAGCCCGTTCATGGCCAATTATGGGTGTCACCCCAGGGCCTTCCCGGGGAGTGGGGAGGAAGGTTGGAGTGTACCGGCAGCAGAGCAGTTTGTGGAAGAAATGGAAGCCCTGCACCAGCAACTTAAGATGAACTTGGAGCGGGCCAAGGAAATTTACAAGAGGCAGGCAGACAAGCGCCGTAGGGAAGGGGAGACCATACGGGTGGGAGATCGGGTGTGGTTGTCAACCCAAGGGTTACCTTTTAAGGGGGGGTGCAAGAAGTTGCAACCCAGGCGGCTGGGACCGTTTGAGGTAACACAGCAGGTGAACCCCGTGGCATTCAAGCTCAAATTGCCAGACAGCATGAAGATACACCCGGTGTTCCATAGGTCCCTACTCTCACCGTACAGGGAAGGACGGGGATTCCCGGGGCGAGAGGGAGAAGTCACCACACACCCGCAGGTAGAAGAGAGGGAGCACCACAACTTGGCCACGGAAATACTTGATTCAAGGTGGCGAGGGCGCCAGGTGGAGTACTTGGTGGCTTGGGAGGGAGAACCCGGGTCGGAAAACACGTGGGTTCCCACGGAGGCAATCACTGACGGGTATCTGGTGGAGGAATTCCACCGCCTGTTCCCGGACAAACCCAAACCACTAGCGAGATTCTGGGAGGAGCAATTTGGAACCACAGACGATGAAGAGGATTTTGTGGGTTTTTCTGTCTCCGAAGGGGAGGGAGAAGAGGCTTTGGAGGAAGAAGAATCCGACTGGGAGGCCCACCCCGCGGGAAGGGATCAGAGCGGGTAGGAAGCGGGTTTTGAATCCTCAGAGGATGGCAACAGCTCCTTCCAGGGGTTCCCCGCATCGTCGGCCAAAGAAAGGGACGAAGTTGGGTCAACAGGTCGGGCTGGGGGTGGAGGGGGTCCTGGGGGGGGAGGTGGATGTCAGGGAACTGACATCGGAGCTAGAGGCGGAGGGAAGGCTCTCAAATGATGCTGGAGAAGGGCCCAGCAGGGAGAGAGGCAGCTCCGCAGATGGGGAAGCAAATCAGCGCAACACCAGGGATAAAGAGGGGCTGATGGGGGAATCGGCGAGAGGGCTCCAGGACTCTTCACCGGACACCAGCAGGGAGAGCACGGGTCCTCCGCTACCCACGCCCACCCTGCGCAGAAGACTTCCGCGCAGAGAGAGTAGGAGGAGACTGGGTGTCAAACAACTTTTATGTTGGAAAAGATTTAAGAAACGCCCACTGACAGATTCTGCTAGCGACTGAGGCAGCCACGAAGTGAAGGGCTGCCCAGACTGAAGGGTTTAGCAAGGCAACAAAGCCTGGAGAGGCGGCAACTTACGCACAAGCAACCCATACACATTACAATATCGTACCAATTTCTCTTATTCCTTTGTTATTATTTTACACAAGGGTCACTCAAATGCAGCCATAGGTGTCACACCGCTGTTATATATTTTTTAATATATCTTAAACGTGTCCCATTTTTGAACAAATGATTGTTTTGTATTACCTCTCAACCAATTAGTCAATTGTGCCATTTATTCATATTCTAGTAATTTATTCTGTCATTGCATTCTCATTGGAATCCTTTCCCCTTTCCAGTTCATTGCAATTAAGGTTCTGGTGGTGGCTGTTGTGTATAGCTGTTGTTGAGACATTTCATTCCAAATCTGCAAGACACAGCCAGACAGATTACTTCTGAGTGTCCCTGCTCAGGAACTGGAGCCAAACCAGCCGCCTGGTTCTCTAGGGAGCTGGTAATGATTAAACGTGAGAGAGGGTGACTACAAAGAACTTGACAGAATGAGTCCGTCTGAACACAGACTAGAGCCTCTTTGAAGACCTATTCTGTGGCACTGCATTCCCAATTCCTGGAATGGAGATGTTTTCTTATGTTAAATGACTGTGTACTTTAAGAGGCGCACGCGTTCCTTTCGCTGTGGGTCACATGAGAGAGGCATTCCATTCTCTTCCAACAATTATTCCAGTAACTGTCTTTTTCAACTGTCTTTCTGCTTCTCTTTCTGTGTGTGAGGAGGGAGAATGGCTGCTGAGAGAGATCTCAGGATACTCATGTGGGCAGTGTGTGTTAGTGTGATCTGTCTAAAGTGAAACAGAAAGAGGAAGATCCCTAAATGTTAATAGGGAGAAACCTGTGCAGGAAAAAGAAGAATCACAGAAGATATCAGGATTGGCAATAGTAAACAAAACTAAGGACTTGGGAATATGGCTAACAAACAAAAATAGTAACCTATTTAAGGACAATGATACAAAAATTTGGAAAGAAATTAAAAGAGATTTGGAGATCTGGAATAAGTTAAGACTATCACTCTGTGGCAGGATATCAGTAGTAAAAATGAACGTGTTGCTTAAAATGATGTTTTTATTTCAAATTATACCAATCATTGGAGGGAAGGGCTGTTTCAAATTATGGCAAAAAGACCTATCAAAATTTATTTGGCAGTATAAAAAACCAAGAATTAAACATAAACTTTTAATAGATAAATATAGAGGTGGATTGGCATTACCTGTTCTAAATTTGTATTACGATTTGGTTTGTTTAAATTGTCTAAAAGAGTAGATATTCTGGCAAGGGAAAAGACCTCGAATTAAACATCAAATCTTAATTGATATTAAGGACAGAGGAGGCTTTTCCCTGTCCCATAATACAATTTAAGATTGTATTATGAGGAAGCCTGTCTCCCTGCTAAAGGAGTAGTGCACACTCAGAAACCCGGAATTGTTAGACCTGGAATGGTATAACAACAGGAATGGCTGGCATGCCTGCCTGGGTTATGGGAAAGTCAGAGTTCACAGCAACTTTTTGAATCATATCAGAAAATCCCTCTACATGGTCTGGGGAAAATATAAAGACCTCCTTGAACCAAAAGTGCCTTGGTGGGTCTCACCAATTGAAGCACTTGCAGTGAGAAGGAAGAACACAAACGGAAATTTGCCTGTATATAAATCATTATTAAAAGAAGAATAAAACCAGTTAAAAGTTTAAAAAATTCAAGAAATAAGAGACCAGGTGTCAGATTGGTTTCAATATTATCAATTATTTGAAACTTTTAAAAATGATGAAAAGAAAGGATTTGCGACAGAGATTCAAATCCGACCTAGTAAAGACCAAAACCCTTTCTGAAGCATACCGACTCCTCCTTGGCTGGCAAGTCAAGGAGGAGGAGGTCAAATCAGCAATGATTAAATGGGCCCAAGACTTTGACCACAACATAGAGATGAGCCAATGGCAACACCTACGGAAAGTTAATTGGAAATTTACGGCATGTTTTACGTTAAGGGAGACCCTCCAAAAGATGCTATATCGATGGTATTTAACCCCCTGTAAACTTTCCAAAATGTACAAAAATGTTCCAAATACATGCTAGAGATGTAGAGAACCAGGTGGAACTCCCTTCCACATGTGGGTATGTAAAAAGATTAAGACCTTTTGGAATGATATATATAGAGAGAGCTCAAAACAATGTAAATTGTAACTTTTCTGAAAAAACCAGAATAATTTTTATTGGGCATTACAGGTCCAGACATTGTTAGGAAGATAAGAAGTTTTTCTGTATGCCACCACTGCTGCAAGAGTACTTATAGCAAAATGTTGGAAGAGTGACAAAATTGCCACTAAGAATGGTTACTAAAGCTGGTAGAATATGCTGAATTAGACAGTCTCTCGGAAAAGATAAAATATCAAAGTCAAAACAGGAGTTCATTTCAAACTGGGAACCTCTAAGGAGATATTTAAAGAACAATTGTTGCAATCTGAACTCGGTAGCAGCCTTTGCGTAATCTCTGTGAGTAATATAGGTTAAAAGGGAGAAAACAGATGTATGAAATATGTATGAAAATTATTATTTCATGAGTAATATATTGAGGCAATAGGTTTATTAGAGTGGAAAAACAGGGAAAGGATGGGACGTCAAGCTTATGTATTAAATGTATTGTAGGAGGACTTATATTCTTTCGTTGGATTTTCATTTTGACAAAATTGACATGTAAAATAAGGAAGATATGTCTTTGATGTATAGATGCAAGTATGAAGAATAAAGCATATATATATATATATATATATATATATATATATATATATGGATATTCTTACAGGATGGAGATTTATTGGATCTAGAAGGGTTTAATAACCGCTATGGGTGGCATGCGTATCTAGGATACGAAAAGGTGAAAGTTCACAGGGATTTACCAATCATATCATAAGAAAATCGATATACAGAGTATGGGCAAAATACAAAGAGCTACTAAAACCGAAGACACCCTGGTGGATTTCACCCTTACAAGCGATAACGGTAAAAAAGAAAAACAAGGAACTAAATTGGGCTACATATAAGGATTTATTAAAAAAGGGGGGGGGGATAAGCTGATATTAAAGGTTACAAGGAAATAAGGTGGATCTAACAGGGTGGATTCAGTATCACCAACTAAATGAAGTGTTCAAGGCAGACAAGAAAAGAGGCTTTATAAAGGAAATCTCATTACCAGATAAAGAGTTATTACAAAATAAGACCAAGGTAACTTCTAAAATTTATGAAACGCTACTGGAGTGGGAGGAGAAGGACGAACAGGTAATGATTACATGGGCTATAGATATAGGTAAAACTATCAAATTATCATCATGGGGAAAATTATGGAAAGAGAGTTGGAAATTTATGGCTTGTGGAGCGATAAGGGAAAATTTAATTAAAATGTTTTACAGATGGTATTTAACACCAACCAAAATATGTAAAAGGGACATGGGTGGCGCTGTGGTCTAAACCACTGAGCCTAGGGCTCACCGATCAGAAGGTCGGCGGTTCAAATCCCCACGACGGGGTGAGCTCCCATTGCTTAGTCCCAGCTCCTGCCAACCCAGCAGTTTGAAATCATGTCAAGGTGCTAGTAGATAAATAGGTACTGCTCCAGCGGGAAGGTAAATGGCATTTCCGTGTGCTGCTCTAGTTTCGCCAGAAGCGGCTTAGTCATGCTGGCCACATGCGCCTGAAAAACTGTCTGTGGACAACTGTCGGCTCCCTCAGCCAGTAAAGTGAGATGAGCGCCGCAACCCCAGTTTGCAACTGGACTTAACTGTCAGAGGTCCTTTACCTTTTTTAAAATATGTAAAATGTATAAAACAAAATCAAATCTGTGTTGGAGGTGTAACAAATACATATGTGTTATACATATGTGTTGAACTTGATAAAATCAAAGGCTTCTGAGATATCACGTACGAAGAGTTAAAGAAAAGGTTTAAACAAAACTTTGTTAAGAAAACAGACGCGTTTTTATTGGGGAAACTAGACACAGATATTGCCAGAGAAAATAATAAAATATTCTTTTATGCCACGGGAGTGGCAAGAACACTAATTGCCAAAAATTGGAAAAAAGAAATAATCCCCCCAAAAAAAGAATGGCAAGACAAATTATATGATTATATTGAATTGGCCAGATTGACAGAGGCAATTAGGGGTCAAACCAACCCAAGCAAAAATTCCAAAAAGAATGAGTAAAATACAGAGAATATCTTAAAAAGCAGTGCCCTCAAATGAAAACTTGGACTTGTTTTGATTAACTTCTGCAAAATAGTTTATGGTACTTAAGTTAAAAACAGAAAGAAAAAGGGGTAATAATGAACTAAAAAGGAGATGGTTTACCAAAAACAATAAAAGAACCGTGTTGAGGATGAAGGAAGTCAATTGGAAGAAAAAAAGAACTGAAATACGGTGTGTGTGTGTGTATATGACTATTTGTTTTGTATAAGTTTTCATACGTTAGCATGTTTTATTTGTACTTTTTTGTTTTGTGTTGTTTTGTTGTTTCTATTTGTTGTTTGTTTCTCTTTTGATTCTGTACCTGAATTATTATTTTCATGCCCAGTTTGACAAGTGTGTGTGTATGTTGTAAATAAACTCAATAATTATTATTTTTTTAAAAAATGAAACAGAAAGAGAAAGATCCCTAAATGTAAATTGGGAGAAATCTGTGCAGGGGCTCTCTGTAAGGAACAGGGGGAATACTGCTGAGGTGAAAGAAAAAACCTTTCATAAACCTTTCATAAGAAACTGTAAGACCTGAGTGAGAACTACTATGGCCAAAATGAATGCAGAACAAAGTAGCTATATTTGGATTTGTGGGTTTGACCTCAAGCAGTGCTCCTTGGTGTGGTCATATGGGTGTTAGAAACAGACAGGAATGTCCTGCTTTCAGGTGGAAAAGGGGTCTGGTGCCCATATTAATGATAAATTATTTTGTAACAGGATCTTCCAGAGACAATCAGACCAGAGGTGTTTTTGGACTCAGAAACAAGTCATGAAAGATACAGGTGAGCAATGTCTCTCTCAGATCTTGCAGAGCTTTCTCCTTTAAGGGAAGTTGATTTTCTTTTTAGGTTTCAGAGAAGTGTTCCGCAGAACACATCTGGTATATGAAGGTCTCACAATCATCACATGTGGTGGTGCTCTCTAAAACATTCCCAAACTACATCTGTGTCAGGGACTGGGCTGAGGAGGAGTGGCGGAGACCGCCCCCCCCCCCCCGAACCATCCAGGGAGGAAGAAGAGGAAGACAGTATAGATTTAGAACAGGGGTTTGAGGGAAGTCACAGCTCAGAGTCAGATGAGAGGGAAAGTTGGGAAATCATGGGAGAGCCAGAGCAACGCACAGCTAACACGTTATCATTAGAAAGCATTCCAGACCCTCCATCTTCCAGAACCTGGCAAGCCTTAAAAGTAGGAGAGCAAAGACCCCCCCCCCATACTGTCTTCCTCTTCTTCCTCCCTGGAAGTTTTTTTTTTGGGGGGGGGGGAAGTTTGGAGTGGGGATTGCTTCCCATCAGGAAGATGCAGAGGGTTTCCGGCTCGTGTTCAATCCACTTCTCTTTCCATTTTCCCCTTTGTGCCATTCAGACTATGCTTCACGGAGGCTGGATCCTTCCTTTGCTTTTATACTGATGTCATATTTGAGGTGAAAGGAGCTGTGACCATCACCTACCACTTTGATTCGTGGTCTAAGCACCTGGCCGAACAGAACACGGAGGACTGGGTTGTCGCTGGGCCTTTGATCAACATTGAATCAGATCCAGCAGAGGCTGTGGCTGCTGTTCACTTCCCGCACTTCTTGTGTCTACGCAGGTATGGCAGGTAAAAAAGCTTGCAACAAAATAAATACAGCAGTACCTCACTTTTTGAACGTAATCTGTTCCGGAAGACCATTAGAGTTCTGAAACATTCAAAAACTGAGGTACTCTTTGCAGATAGGGAAACAAATAACTTGGACTTCCGGGGTGGCGCAACCGGCAATGGCGGACTCCCTCTGAACTGGAGGGACTAGCTCCGCGGGAAACGGGTCTTCTCCGCTACGGCGAAGCGGGGACCCTTTTAAAAATCACAGGCGGATGAAGCCTGTGACCATGGGACTCGGCGGGCACCTTTAGGGCCCCCCCCAACTCGCTAAGGAACCCACTAATGGGCTCCGAAGTGAAGAGGGGGAAGTGGCGCGGTGCTGTGAGTCAACTGCTATTTCCGTGGAGCGAAGCCGCATAGCCGTTGCCGGAGAGCGCTGCCTTTTCCTGGGACACTTTGGACTTTAAAATAAGCACCCGTGAGTACTTAGACTTTGAACAATTGGACATCAAATAAGGACTAGCGAGCAGAAAAGAATTGGATCTTAAAAACCTATTTTAATTTGAGTACGGAACAGGAAGGTCTAAACAGGAAGTCAGCCTTCCGTTCTTTTGTAAACAGAATAAAGCAAAGACAACTTAAACTAGAGCTCAGAAAATCGCCTTTAAAGGATTGGATTTCACCATTTAAAATTGTGGAACCCCCCTTCGACAGCAGGAGAAGGGGGGGGGTCTTTTTTGGACTGTTTAAAGTGAGTTTAAAGTAAAGTAACTTTCCTCCGTCCTGATCCTGGAGCGGGGTGTCAGGACTGACGTTTGAAGTTCATTGACCAAAGACAAGTGTTTTTGTTACGATATAGAAGCAATGCGGCCGCGAGCTGGTAGCTTGAAAGCAAAACATAATGGGAATGTTGGGACTGTTCCGTGGGAAACAGAGGGACAGTCAATTCACAGTGCAGAGGGCACCGGAATTAGCTCAGAGTGTAATATGAGCTGTACAGGAAGTACAGGAGGAGTTTGTCTCTCGACTGCTGAAGCTTGAAGAGAGCAGACATGATTTTTGTAACGCTGCAAAGACAGAAATAAAGGAATGTAAATACGTTTCTGTCTATCTCTCTCCCTGCCCAGGGGGCAGGAAAGAGGGGTGTGTTCTTCTCACGCTGAGGAGGATCGCCTATCGCGACCTAGCCTGGATCCTGCCGGGAATGCAGACAGGGAGGTCAACAGGAGATCAAGCCGGGTGCCTGGAGAGTGGCCAGTTTCTCCTGATAAAGGCTTGAATCCCAACATATGGTAGCAAGGAGCAGATGGTTTTGATCCATGAAAGCAACAAGAGAGGTTGATGGATCGTACTTCATCCTCTGCAAGGAGATAAAGAAAGAATGTGGTAGCGGGCGGATGGAAGCTACAAGGACGGCTGAGCACCGGAGGAGGTGTTTTTGCTGAGCAACGGATTCCCTCAAGGTATGGTGATTTTATGGCTGTGAGAGTGAACGCGAATTGAAGCATTCTTCGGTTCACTGAGTGTCTGCTTTTGGATGAAACCAGCACTGAAAGAGAGCCACATATTTCGCATACCTGAGTCTTGATAAGCCTGGAATGTCCAGTTGCTAAGCAACGAAACGTCAGTAAAGTGGAAAGTTACTGGCCAACAACGGAAGTAAGGCTGAGCACTGTGAGAGGCTGGAAAAACACTGATAAAACAGCATTTGTTTTGTCTGTATATCTCACTGCTCTTGGAGGGACTTTCAAAACAGCCTGCGTTTAGCTGCCAAGTGTGAGGCAGTAAACAGCCAATAGACTCTTGGAATTTTACAGGCTCGAGAGTGAGAGCTGACACTTGGATTCAAAATGGATACCAAGAAGGGGGGAGGCTTACCTTACCCACCTCCACTGACTAATGACAATTATTCCTCATGGTCTGTAAAGATGAAAGCCCTGCTTCAGAATCAGAGGATTTTTGGGGTGATTGATAACCCCATCCCTGCTGCACCAACGCCAGGTTGGAATTCACAGAATGTGAGAGCCAGGACGGCCATAATTCTGTGTATCTCAGATGATCAGCTCGTGCATATTCAGGATTTGGAATACGCGCGTGAGATTTGGCAAACGCTGCGTAGAATACATCAAAGAGATGCTGGTTCTTCAGCGTTGCTGCATTTTGAAAAGCTAACCAATCTAAGGCTAGCGCCTGATGGAGATGTACAAGCGCATCTGACAGAGATGAAATTCTTACGCCAGCAGATGGCGGAACGCAATTTCCCTCTACAGGAAGAGATATTCTGCTTCATGATTATTAACAGCCTTAATCGGACTTATAAAACGGTTGCAAGTCAGCTTGGTTCTCTACCTGCCGCAGATCTCACGACGGAGAGAATTTGTGCCGTGATTCTCAATGAGAAAGACAGACTTGCTGCAATAGATGTCAAAGACAGGGGGAGAGAAGCTCGGAGTTCTGACACCCCCACTGCTATTGCTAGTGAAGAACAGGCTGTTGCTTTGAACGTTGTCCGTTGTTTCAATTGTGGACAGACTGGGCATCTTCAGCGGAATTGTAAGAAGCCACGTCAACAGAAAGGAGCTAAGGGGAGCTCTGCAAAGCCTGAGGCATCAGGCAAAAGTCGTACCAAGTCCCAGGTGAAACCTGCAAAGGCATTGCTGTCAACAAAAGCCGCATTTTCAACGGAGAACGCTTTTATTTTGGACACTGGAGCGACGCAACACATGACGTCTCGGCGAGATCTGTTTTCAACGTTTAAGAAGCAAAGCTTCACTGTGAAACAAGCCAACGGTCAGGAGCTGGAAGCGACCGGGTTTGGAACTGTGTATCTTGAGAGTCTGAACTTGACTATTAACAATGTGTATTTGGTTCCTGATTTAAAGTTCAATCTGCTGAGTGTTTCGCAGATCACAAAGAAAGGACTGACTTTGTCCTATGATAGAGAAAGCTGCAAAATCTTCAAAGATGGAGAGCTGTATCTTTCTGCCAGAGAGAAAGATGGACTGTATTTGTTGACTTTTGATCAAAGTGATTGCATAAATTGTAATGCATCTGATTCTAACATGATTTCTCTCGCAGGTGTGTCGAAAAACGTCCAGAAGACGACAAAAGTAACCAAAGCTTTTCAGCGAGTGTATGCTGATGTGATTGGTCCTCTAGCACCGTCTAGAGGCAATGCAAGATATTATCTTGTGTGTGTGGATTATTTCTCTCATTATGTGTGGGTATATATATTGCAGAAACCACAAGAAGCCTTAGAAAGGTTTAAAGAGTTTTGTGACAAGGTTAAGAATGTTCATAATGCTAACATTGATTGTCTTTTCACAGATGAAAAGCCAGTTTTTCTTTTGCAGGATTTTCAGGATTTCCTGGATAAGAAAGGGATAAGGCACAAGACTGCTGTTTCTGCAGAAGCATGGAACAGAAGTGTCTGTGTGCAAGTGAACAAAGAATTGCAAAATGGCATGAAGGCGCAATTGCTGAGTTCACATTTGCCACATGAGTATTGGGCGGAATCGTTAATGTGTTTTTGTTACAGTTGGGTGAGAAAAGTTTCAAAAGGTTTAGGATGTTCTCCTTTTGAAAGCTATTCCACAGAAAACCGTCTGTTGCCCATTTTAAGGTTTTGGGTCTCATGTGAAGACTGAAGCTCCAGGTGGAGTAAAGAATGCTAGAGGCATTTTTGTGGGTTATGAAAAGGGTCTCTACAGAGTAATTTTGTCTGAATCTGGTCAGGTGGTTCTCACAAAATTTCTAGAGAGTGCTCCTGAACAGGAGAGAGTAATTGTTCACACATTTCCCACTGAGGACGATTCAGATGATGATGATGATTTTACTGATTACAGTGGTACTGAGAATGACAGTGATAGCTCAAAGAGCTCAGTTGACACAGTCATTGAGAGGAAATCTCACACAATGGATAGACCTTCACAGGTGAAGGATGAACCACTGTTTACTATTGGAACTGGTTCTCCAAAGAGTCCTGAGACTGAACCAGTGAGCAGAGAGGATCAGCACCTCATACGCAGGTCCGAGAGAGTTACAAAGGGTGTACCACCCAAGAGGTATTCAAAAGAGTTTGCTAACTCAGCTGTAGCATGTGTTACTATTGTTGACAACTCAAGACAGGTTGAAGCTGTGTCTAAGTCAGAGACAAAGACACAACAGAGAGTTGCTAAGCGTAACACTACATTCCCTAGCCAAGGTAATGCAGATGCACTCATTCCTTGGAAGACAGACAACCAGAGAGGTACACTGGGGAAACCAGTGGCGGGTAGTTCCAAGGGTGGAACTGAAACAACAGGGAGTGTTATATGTATAACAACTGTTTGTTTTCTTCTCTGGATCATGCTTTGCTCGCAGCGCACATTGATTCATATGGGGAGTATGTTACGATATAGAAGCAATGCGGCCGCGAGCTGGTAGCTTGAAAGCAAAACATAATGGGAATGTTGGGACTGTTCCGTGGGAAACAGAGGGACAGTCAATTCACAGTGCAGAGGGCACCGGAATTAGCTCAGAGTGTAATATGAGCTGTACAGGAAGTACAGGAGGAGTTTGTCTCTCGACTGCTGAAGCTTGAAGAGAGCAGACATGATTTTTGTAACGCTGCAAAGACAGAAATAAAGGAATGTAAATACTGTTTCTGTCTATCTCTCTCCCCTGCCTGGGGGGCAGGAAAGAGGGGCGTGTTCTTCTCACGCTGAGAAGGATCGCCTATCGCGACCTCAGCCTGGATCCTGCTGGGAATGCAGACAGGGAGGTCAACAGGAGATCAAGCCGGGTGCCTGGAGAGTGGCCAGTTTCTCCTGATAAAGGCTTGAATCCCAACATTTAAAGTGAGTTTAAAGTAAAGTAACTTTCCTCCGTCCTGATCCTGGAGCGGGGTGTCAGGACTGACGTTTGAAGTTCATTGACCAAAGACAAGTGTTTTTGACAGATAGCTAAAAGAAGAGAAACATAGTGATTCCACTGTTCCCCTTCGCATTTTAAAGGAATAAATATTGACAAAGTATCTCAAAAAGGGAAACTTTGTTGCAAGAACAAATAGAAGTTTTCCCCCTAGAGGGAGACTGTGAAACTGTAACCAACTCCAGGGAGCCGGCAGCTGTTACAGATTACAATCGTGGGAACAGGCATCTGACCTTGCAGGACAATGTATTCAGAAGCTTTGTTGTGTGCTTTCTATAAAACAAATGCCCCACTGGAACAGTTACATGAGAAGGTGAATTGGATGGCGACTTCGACTAGAAATATGAAGAAGAGCTGCGGAAGGGACATGGAAGAGACTTGAGGGCCTCGGATATAAGGTTGCCAGGTTAATGGGCTAGATCGACGGGATAATAAGGACTGACAAAACACGGAACCAGGAGGAAGGGACGTTGGATGAAGATTGGATCTGTTTGTATCTCTTTTCTCTACCATTAGAACTGTTTTATAAAATTGATGAATGTTAGAAAAATGTTGGAATGAAATTACTTGGCTTTAGCAAAGATGTTTAAAGAATTATGAAAGAATATTATGGTTATGAGAAGTTGGTAAGGATAAGATTTAAGTTTTAAGCTTTAAGGTTTATTTTAATATAGAAAGATAAGATTAAAACAGTTTAGGGTAATGTAATGACAGAATATTATGAAACATGGAAAGGATTTGCTGGGATAATTAATAACTAGGATACAAAGAAAGGGAGGCGGAGGAGGTCTAAGAAAGAAGGCAATGACAGTTGAGGATTTGAAAATAATGAATTTGTTTTTAAATGTTTTTAATTGTTTGTGATGTATTTTTGTATTTTTCTTTTTTTTTCTGTCACTTTTTATTTTTGAATTTATACTCATATGGTTGGAAGGGGTTTGTTTTTTTCTTTTTCTACTTTGTTAACTATTTTTATTTTGTACTTTCTTTTGCTTCTATTTTATTTTGTAACACTTTGAAAATTTCAGTAAATATCTTTTAAAAAACCAAAAACAAATAACTTGCACTCAGTGGAAGCTGCGTTTCCTGTTTGACTTTGAAGGCGTATTCAAAAACCGAAGCATTTACTTTTGGGTTTATGCAGTTCGAAAACCAAAATGTTTGTCAACAGGGACGTTCAAAAACTGAGGCACCGTATTTTTCGCTCCATAACACGCACCGGACCATAAGACGCACCTAGTTTTTAGAGGAGGAAAAGAAGAAGGAAAAATATTCTGAATGAAACCGTGGATGTATGATTTTTGTGGTTCATGCTGTGGCCGCAGACATGTGATTTGACAGTGAGTTTGGGGTAGCCCAATGCAAAAATCCTGAGAATCCATGTGGATCAGTGCTTTGTAACCACGTTTTTGCGCCCCAGGCAACAGTGAGTGTGTGATTTTTTTTGGTGCAGGCTGTAGCCATGGACATGCTATGTGATCTGATTTGACGGTGAGTTTGGGGTAGCCCAATGCAAAAACCCTGAGGGTGCATGTGGATCCGTGTTTTGTAATCACATTTTAAGTGGGGCGGGAAGGAAAAACACTGAAGGGACAAGGAGCATGCGTGGAGTGTGTGGAGAAGGAGCTTTTCAGCGAGCTGAGCCGGGGAGGAAGGAGGGAAAGAGAGCATGCTCGCTTTAAAGCAGCCAACTGGACAGGAGCCGCTTACACCCATATAAGCAGCTCCTCTCCTCTCCCACTTTGCTCCTTTAAAGTGAGCGGGCTCTCCTTCTCTCCCTCCTCCCGGCTCAGCCCGCGACTGGAGCAGGATCCCCCCACCATCCGTAGGCATTCGCTCCATAAGGCACACAGACATTTCCACTTACTTTTTAGGAGGAAAAAGTGAAGCGAAAAATACGGTACTTTACTGAGCAGGGAGAGGCTGTGGCTGAGAGCAGTCCAGAATCGGAGGCAGAAGTGGAGGCTGGAGAGGTGGTGGGCCAGGAGACAAATGTGAGGCAGGCTGCTGAAGAAGCCTGGGAGTCTCTCCTTCCTGCTGCGACAAGCTCCCTTCCCCACTGGTCTCCCAGAACCAGAAGAGGTACAGTGGCATGTGGTCAGTGGACTTGGGGGAAGAGGCTAGTTTCCTAAGTGTTCTCCTGGCACCTGCTTCTCAAAGCCTGTGAAGCTTCTGCCTGCCTTAGGAAGAGAGGCACATTACTCTGATGTGTGCAAGAGCCTTCCCTTCCCCTTCTCAAAGCCCGCCTAACGTTGGGAAGAAGGCAGCAGGGCTTCAGCATCCTTTCAGAGACCTGGTGCCCCTTCCCAAAGCCCAGGAAGCTTCTGCCTGGCTTAGGGAGGGAGGTGCTATACTCATGTATGCAACCTCACAATGTTTTCACCCCACCCCCCAAATCGCCTTCACAAGCTGGTGCCTACACCATAACTGTTACCTACAGAAAATGTCACCCCGTGCCACTAAAGAGGTATGAAGAGAGCAGAGCAAATACAGATATGGCGACGGAGTCTCAGATTGCTTGGGAAGGACCCAGGGGGAAAGGAGCCTTAGGGAACTGCCTCATGGGGGCTAGATCTACCAGAATGAGTTGCTATGCTCACTAGGCCTGCCTTCTTTCTTTGAATAAATAGTTGACTTTACTGACACCAGGTGACAGACGGTCAACAGTTTCCCACTTGTGACACATTTGTTTGTTTTTCCTTTCTGCTGCTTTCCAGGCAAAAGTGATTCCCAAGTCCACCTTGCACATTTTGTGGAAGGGGGGATGAGTCTAGAGAAGCCAGACAGAGTGAGGCCATATCATGTTGTGTTGGAAAACCCAAACTTCTCTCCCCGTGGAGCCATTTTGAGGACGTCGTGGTCATTGTTTAAGCGAAAGAGGAAGGTCCACACTGTGGCACTGCTCTATCAAAAGCTTCAATTCAGCTCACCAAAATTCCACCTGTATCTCCTACCCAATGACTCTTCTCTGAGAAAGGTAATCGGGATTCCAACTCTGATTGGTATTCCAGACAGCCTGGATCATTTGCCTGACCATAGTAAGCCTGACAGAGTAGCTATGCAAAATCATGCAGCAGAGTGTGACATGGTTCATGAACTGTATCTCCCGTTGTTGGGCTTGAGCTAATTTACCAAACAGCTAGCCAACATCAACTTGCTGCTGGAGAGAAGATTTGCAGTTGCTCTTCAACTGAGTTATTTTGGTTGCCACCAGTAGTGGTTTTTAAAAGTGAGCTTTCCAACACTGTAATAAGCATTTTACATTTGCTGTGCAACCTCTTTTCCAAATGCCCTGCTTGGTTCCATAGACAGCATGGTTAGTCAATTTTGCGAACAAAATATGTTTACTCTATAGTTCTAAGTACACTCAGCCTTCTCTGAAATCAGTGGCGCTACCTTCAAAGTAAATGCATTTAGTGATGAGCAAATTCTCCTTGCTTCGTTGAGTAGTTACAGGCTTTCTGCAAGAACATTGTTTCTGGTGTGTGAGGCTGGCACATGAGAGATAAATGCCTTTGCAATGTCAGCTGCTCCCCATGCAGTCTGAAAATTGCCTTTCCATATTTTGGTTTCTGATGAGATTTAGTTTTCTTTATATTGAAGATGGAGAATCTGTGTCTCTGCAGATGCTCTTGGACTACAAAACCCATCATTCCTGACCCACACTGGCTGTGGCTGATAGGAATCCAATGACATCTGGAAGGTTGCAGCTTCCCCATCCCTGCCTTGCATGCTGCAACAAAGCCAAGAAAGGGGTAGGGATCCAGTATTCCAGAAGTTGGTTACCTTTCTTGCATATCTCAAAAGTGACCTTTGCGTTTCCTAGGCGGTTCATGAGCACGAAGCACAATGCCCTTCACAAAGAATAGACAAACCCCCCTGGACTCTGAGGCCTCTGACGATTGGCTGCCACTTCTTTGTGGAGACAAATGATGTCAGAGTCTGTCCCAAGGTGAGACGCAAAGATGATGAAAGGCTTTGCTAGGGCAGAGCCATGGCTGTGAAGTATGAGAACGGGAGGGACTCCACCAGGATCCCTCATCATGCTTTAATTTGACTCCCTTGGACTGGTCGATTGGGCTAAGCCTTGTTTGCACATAAGGAGGTTTTATGCTTCCCCACAGGAAGTGGAGTTTCAATATCTGGATGCTGACAAGCTGCAGCAGTATGTGGAACTGTTTGCTCAGCAAATGCAAGACATGTTCAACTTCAGTGTGATGGAGAAGCCCAAGAATGAACTCATCTGGGAGGCCCTTGTGACACAAGGTGAGCTTAGTTGGAAGAAAATTGGAAGGTTGGACCATAATTTGGGAGGCAGGATGATAAAGGACATCGCAGTCACATTCCCTCTTTGACTGCCTCTTTCCTGTTCTCTTTCAGAAGAGTTAAAGTCTCCTGAGATGACGTCTTCTCCTTCAAGCTCAGAGCAAGGTCTGCAGGTTTTAATTGCTTATTTCCTCGTAGTTAAATCCTACCTTCCTCCCAATGGCAGCACAGAGTGGCTGGTGATACAGTACCATAGAAAAGTCACTTTTGTAATGTTAGGGAATCGCCTTCCGGTGCAGGTTCCCCATTGCTTTATAGTCTCCTTTGGTGCCAGATGAAGTTCTTTCCACACAGCTAAATTTTGTAGAAACAGCTTTGCCTTTCATTCAGCACACCCAGTGTGCTAACGGAATCCAGTGCAAATGCTCAAGATACTTCAATTGGGCTTTCCTCCCTTCACCCACCACTTCCCTCAAATGCACTTTGGAGGGTCAAGGAGAACCTCCAGAACAGCCGGAAAGGGTGCGGTGTGTGTACTTGGCTGTTGGGGAGGGATAGCTCTGTCTGGCAAGCAGGAAAGGTCACAGAGGGTGACATTTAATTTCTCCCTGTATGTTTTACAGCCTGGGCTTCTTAGTTTTCAGCTGAGTGTCAGTTGTTAAACTATTTTTCTAATTGCATGTTAATGTGTGTGTTTGTTGCTCTGTTTTTCCTTGTGAGCCAACTTTGGAAATTGTGTTATGAAGGGGTAGTGCAAGTGTAAGACTTTAACAAGTAACATATGTGACACAGAGTCCAAAAAGGACTTCCAAGGACAGGGGCCTTGTGGGTAGTTTTCATGGATTTAAATGCTGGCAGAATGGCCTCTCTCTCTTTACAGTATCACAGCAGACCCCTGCCGGCAGTCCTGGTTTGCACCCCCAAAAAATCGTTCACCCGGGGCGATGGCCCCCTGGGCCCCCCACGCTATACCCCTGCTACAACTATGATGTAGAATGGAAGGTGAGAAGCGTGTGAGTGTGCAAAATTTTGGTGTCACACACAACACTGCTGTAATTTGAGACCCGAAGGTCCTCTACTGGTTAACGTTCCATGATTATCATTTCTCCGTGATCCCTCCTTGTTTCCTACGTTTCCATATCCTTTCTGTCTCTCTTTCCAGGTGCTTGTTGCTGCACTCTGACCCATGCTGCTTCCAGCAGCACTGACTCAGGACATGGTGTGGAAAGCAGGTAGGGCTTGATAATCCCTTTCCTCACACAAAGCCAGTCCTGCTATTAGGGACAATTCAGCAGCTGCCACAGGCAGACAGCAGATGTTGGGGGGGGTGCTGTTTAGGCATTGGCTGCACTGCTGTTGCTGGAGGAGCAGGAACATGCAAATGTGTAAAGTCAACAGAAGCTAAATTGGGTATCTCTCTACATATTGGTTGCATGCAAGGCTCCCCTCAGAGCAGGAGGAGGTTTAGCTCCAATCCCAGCATTGTGTTCCTCGGACCTCCGATCGCTGATCAAAGATGGCTCTCTAAACTTCAGAGCAACCTCAGGCCACACCTCTTTCCCCTCCCTCAGTGCCAGTCACAGTCATGGAAGGTGACAGCACCTCCTGATGATGTAGTTCCTTCCCATATCCCTTTGCTGAGCTTCTCTTGTTTTGTGTCTGCTTTTGCCTGCTGTTGGAGGCGCCAGTGCAGAGTGAAGCTGAGGACCATCAGAGAACATCTGGTGTCCGTCCTGGAGAATCTGGATGAGGATGAACTCAAGAGGTTCAAGCTCAATCTCAGCGATTCCCCCATCAGGGGTGGCTATGACAACATCCCTCGGGGGAGGCTAATGAAGGCGGATGTCATGGACCTGAGCTTGCTGCTGCTTGGTTTCTACATGGAAGATGCTGTGCAGGTGGCGGCTGAGGTGCTCAGAGCCATCAACTGCAGGCCCGAGGCAGAGAGACTCATCTCTCTGAGACTGAGTAAGAAAGAAGGAATTCCAGCTCACAGAACTTGCTAGGATGGAAGGCAAATGGAGTGCCACCTGCCCCCCCCCCCCAAGCAAATGCAGAGTGGTGGATTGATAATCTCTTCATGGGGGCAGTGGGGATGAGAGAATAGAAACCTTACATCAGGGATAACCAACCTGGTGCCCTTCAGTAGTTGGCTTATCTTTTTTATTTAACAGAATGTGTGTTATGCTCAGTTATAAGAAACAAATCTCTAAGCTATTTGTATAAAACAAAAAATATTATTTTTAAAAGTCAGAAGTTTAAAATGAGTTGAGCTTAAAAAATTTCAAAATGTTAATAGTATCAGCAGCTAAAATATAATTTTTAAAATAAAATCACCTATTAAAATACGTGTCAGCTTTACGTATCTGGGTAGGCTTGCCTAAACAAATATTTTTTTTAGCAGGCACTGAGCATAGTACAAAGAAGACAGCTGTCAATGGGCAAGCCGTTCCAGAGTGTAGGTGCTGCCTTGCTAGAATATGGATTCCCTAGAGGCGTTGGACTGCTGCTCCCATCAGTCCCAGCCAGCACTGCTAAAGATCAGGCATGATGGGAGTTGTAGTCCTGCAGTTTACTTAGGGCACTGTGTTGGCTACCGCTGCTGTACATACAAAAGCTGTTTGTCAGAACTAGAGCTGTCAAGTGTCAACTGACCATTCGCCCCTACTCTTTCTCTCGTATACATTTCACAGTCTGATATCCACTGGAATTCCAAAGGGCTAGTGTCACACAAACATCAATGGTTAAAGGAAAATGTGCTTACCCAGCAAGAAATGCACTGGTGCTAATTAAATATAGCAAAAGACTGCTGGGGGCAGGGATAAAACAGCCAGTTTTGACCTCTCCCTTACCTTTCCACAGTTGACAGTGTCATGCCCCCTTATATGCAGAGGAATGTACGAAAGAAAAATGTGTGGTAAGTCCCATTGCAATTCTACTTGCAGCTTACAGTGGAAGAGCATTGATTGGATGGTGTGAGAATCAGATCTTAGCTTGGGAGGGAGCTTCATCCAGGAAAAAGGATGGGCAAATGTGTCACTGGAATGGACAGTGCTAAGGGATTTAGTGATAAGTATCACTTCCTAGGAACGGGGTTGCTAGGTGATGCTGGTGTACTAGTAAAGAGACACAAGTAGTTCAGTGGTCCTCAGGAACCCGATGGATGGGGGAACGGGAGAAGCAGCCTTGAGGAGAGGCTTGTGTGTGAGTCCAGAGGGCAACTTCTCAGCCATTTCTATGACTTCAAGCTTCTGCTTATTATTATGGAGCATGGTTTGCATGCAGGGCTGGCCCCAGACATTTCGGCGCCTGAGGCAAATCAATTTGGTTCTCCCCCTGGAATTGTAGTTTGCTAAGGGACTCACTCTCTTTCTCTTTCTACACACACACAAAACACAGGCACGGAAAACACTTGTCTCCTTTCTTTCCCTCTTGCCTTCCTTCTCAGTAGCCCAACCAGTGATAAGCAGTGGCAGGAGCAGCATCAGTGGCCAGGAAGACCCTTGCCCGGCTGTGGGTGGGCAGTGCTGGGGCCAGGGGTCTGAGCCAAGTTGTGATGGAAAAGGAAATCTGAGAGCCACCAAAGATGCAGCAGCCAGTGTGACTGAAGGAGGGAGCTGAGGAGAGAGAGGACCCTGGCTTTGCAGCATCCTTCCTAGATCAGCTTCTGCTGCTCTCATGGAGAAGGAAAATGAAAGGGGAAATCTCATGCAGTTAAGAGGGTCTTTAACCAGGGTGGCAATCTTTTCCACAATGCATGTTATGTACACACCTGCAGACACTACCCCTCCTTTTGAAATTCAACACCTAAATGTATACAGAATCCAGATCTGTGGGTGGGGGGCTCTGGAAGATGGGCAGTCAAGCTAATGAGTTGCTTTGAAGCCTCTTGTTAACTTGGTAGATAAGCAAGCCAAATTTTCTTTCTGCTAGAAAGACTGCCCCATTATCCTGCCAGTATATTTCTAAAATCTATTCTTTACAGCTGGCCTGGGGCAGAAGGTTTTCCCACTTTGGTCTTTTAAAAAAACCTAAAGGAAAACTGTGATTGGCTGTGATTGACACCCCTCTTTTTTTTTTTAATGATATTTATTAAAGTTTCAAAAAATACAAAAAATACAGAATACAGAAAGAAAAAGAATAAAGTTTTTTAAAATATAACCAAAAAAGTAAAAAATAAAAAGAAACATACCAAATAAAACAGTTAAAAGGACATTAATTTTCCATAACCTATCTTCCCTATACTTATTTCCCCGGACCTCCTCATACCTCCCTTTTTTTGTATTCCAGTTCAATTTGTTAGTTCAGCAAATCCTTACCATTAAACTTTTGCCCAGTTGCAAACCTTTTTTCATATCTCTTAAAGCATTACAGCTAAAAACCTCTTAATTTCTATCCAACATCCTTCTAAGATTCCTTAATTTTACAATATTTCTGTAAATAGTCTTTAAATTTCTTCCAGTCTTCTTTCACCGACTCTTCTCTCTGGTCTCAGATTCTGCCAGTCAGACCTTAAGTCCAACAGATGCTTTGGGATGTCCTTAAAGATCACCAAACTTGAATCGTCAATTTCCAAGGTTTTTTGATAGTGCAGATTCAGAATTTTATCTCTCTCTTCTTTTGTTCAAAAGGTAATCAAACAGTCTCTCACCTTGTCCTTACCTTGTCTTCTTCCGAGCCTAAATGCATTCACTATCTTAAATTCTTCCTTCCCCGAGTCCAGTTGCCAAAAATCTGTAAATTCCTGTGTAAGAAAGTCAGCCAAGTTATCTTTCTCCCGTTCTGGAACAGCCCTGATTCTTAAATTTCTTTGTCTATCTTTCAGTTCAATCATAGAAAATGTCACATCATGGTCCTCCAATTTCTTATATACTGGTGGAATTTTCTCTTGAGTAACAGTTGCAATATCTTTTGCTTCCTCTGCTATCTTTCGAATCGAGGCAGATTCCTGTAGTATTTTTTCAATGGTCTCTGTGTTGGCATTCACCTTCTGCCCCAAGGTATTAATACTTGCAGTGTTTAAATCAATTTTGCTTGATGCTTCCACAACTTGTCTATTTGTCTCAGCTACTCGTCTATTTGTCTCAGCTACTTGTCTATTTGTCTCAGCTACCTGTTTACTTAAGCTTTCCAAAGATTCATTAATTTTTGCCAGTGCCTGTGCCAAAACTTCTTCCGACGACATAACTTTTGGTTTAGCCTGTGGGAGTGCGGCCCCTGATGTTCCAGATGCTCCAGATGTTGAGCCCCTTCGCGGCTGCGCAGTGTCTATCCGATAATGTCTGCCAGACCTAGTAGTTTTTTCCTGCGGTTCTGCCTTCTCTATCTTCCCTTTGCCATCTGCCATAACAGTCTCATAGAAATTCAAGGTCGCTCCCACAGTCAGACAGTTGTTTTAGAATACAGTGGTGCCTCGCAAGACGAAAAGAATCCGTTCTGCGAGTCTCTTCGTCTTGCGGGTTTTTTCGTCTTGCGAAGCAAGCCCATTAGCGGTTTAGCGGATTAGCGCTACAGTATTAGTGGCTTAGCGGGCTTAGCGGATCAGCTGATAAGCGGCTTAAGGATCAGCTGATAAGAGGCTTAACGATCAGCTGATAAGCGGCTTAGTGATCAGCTGTTAAGCGGCTTAGCCGATCAGCTGATAAGCGGTTTAGTGGCTTGGGAAAAAGGGGGGGGGAAGGGAAAAACCCCCGCAGGAACTCGCAAGACATTTTCATCTTGCGAAGCAAGCACATAGGAAATTCGTTTTGCGAAGCACCTCCAAAACGGAAAACCCTTTCGTCTAGCGGGTTTTCCGTCTTGCGAGGCATTCGTCTTGCGGGGCACCACTGTAGAATGGAATTTTCCTCTAAACCAACTGCTGTTGTAACAATGTCCAACTTCCTCTAGGGGGACACAGTAACAGCCAGAACTTGCAACTTTTAAAAACAAAGATAGTCTTTATAAGTCCCCCAATTTACTTTAAAAACCACAGTCTCAGTGCACATAAACAGTTACTTTCAAGCCAAAAGAAGTCCAGAAACACTGTATCCCTTTTGCAGAATTGGCTGTCAGAAATAGACTTTCCACTATGCAACCCTTATCTCAAGGCAGTCCGTTCCAAATCTTAAACAGTAAATTTTTCCTTCCTTTCCCCTTCTTTTTTGCAGGGAAATTCAGCTCAGTCTTTTTCCCCCCCTCCTCTCCTGCAATCCGGAGGGGGAACCACTTACAAGATGTTAGGATTTAGCTCTTTTTCAAGTAACTTTCTGTGTTTCCGCTTTAGGGTCTCTTTGCTTTGATCTATTTACAATACAAGGAAGGCAGACTTCCTGGTTGTACCTTCCCCGCTCCGTGCCAAATTAACTTTTTTCTTTTAGATCCAATTTGATCCTACTCACGCGTAGTTGTTTTCAAAGTCTGATTATCCCAGGAAAAAGGCAGCGCTCTCCGGTAACAGCTTCGCGGCTTCGCTCCACGGAAGAAGCAATTTGCTCACAGCACCACGCCATCCCCGCTCCGCTCCGGAGCCCGTTGCCGAGCTCCTTTAACAGTTGGGGGGGGCGCAAACGGTGCCCGCTGAGTCCCACGGTCACAGGCTTCACCCGCCTGTGATTTTTTTGGGGGTCCCCGCTGCGCCGTAGCGGCAGGACCCAGATTCCATAGAGCCAGTTCCCTCCGAGTTAGAGAGAAGCAGCCATTACTGATGGCGCCACCCCGGAAGACACCCCTCTTAGGAGGGTCCAGCCCCCCCCCATGAAGTGGCTTTTTCCTTCTGCTGGTGGAAAGAAGGCTGCCTTACCTGAAAGAGGAGGCAGAGCTGGACCTGACAGCCAAGACCAATCAGCTTGAAAGTAATTAATAATAATAATAATAATAATAATAATAATAATAATAAATTAATTAATTAATAATAATATCATAGTCCAGAGGGGAGAGGGGGAGGCACAGCTGCTGCATCTTCCTTTCTCAGGAAGATGGAAAATATGGACAAGAGAGGCAGCTGACTGGTTTGAGTCCCTGCTGCAGATTCAGGCCACCAACGCAGCTTCACCCCCACCAACCACCTGCCACACAACTTCCTTTCCGGTCTCCATTTTGAAAATCACTCTGTTACAACTTTGCCCTCCTTGTTCCTTAGGGGTGTGGATGAAGTTGTAACACTTCCATTTTCAAAATAGAGACCTGCAAGGAAGGGCAGATGTGCAGTTGTTGAGGAGGAGGAGGAGGAGGAAGAAGTGGTGAGTTAGCGGTCGGTGGAGAAGGAGAGGCAGCAAGAGGGCCTGTGGATGAGCTGGTCACAGAGGCAGTGGCAGGCAGATTTGACACCCCTCTTAGGAGGGTCCAGGTATGCTCCCCCCCCCCGACAGCTTTCCCTCCCCTCTTCGTGGGCAGCCTGGCTGTGTCTGCATGTAGAACGTATAATAACAAAGTCAGCAGGGGCGCCTGCCTTGGATGAAACCTAGAGAGGAGTGCAAAATGTATCACAAATACTGTGTATATTCTTGGCCATTAAAAAAGGGGTGGCAAATTACATCATGATTTCTTTTCAGTGTGGAGTAAATCAACATATTTTTCAGGTTGCAAAGGAAAAGCAGAGCTCAACATTCTCAGTGGATGAGTGAAAGCAGTATACTAGGGGTGGAAAAATTAAGCCCCAGTTGTATCCTAATCAAGCTCTAATTCTCTGCCCACAACAATGCCTAATATAAAATAAATGTTTTTGCCACAGGTCACTGGAAGGAGTCATTATCACTGGTTATGAAATAGTCTGCAAGGGAAGAAAAGAATTACTTGAAATTATTGAAAAGGACCTAGAATTCTTTTACTTGAATTGTGCTATGGCTTTATTATCACACCGAGAAAATACTTGGATTTGTGGACAGCAAGAGAAAACCCCAAGGAGAAAATTCAAAAATTGCTGGATATGATCCAGGAAAGGGGGGAGGCAACTTGTTGCTGGTTCCTGGAACAAGTAGAAAGGAAATATCCAGGCTCCATTCAGATTCTGCTAGTTGCAGTACATGGTGAGTTTGATTTAGAGTACTTTCTGAACTTCAAGGACAGTTCAACTACCTTCCTCATCCTTGCAACAGTCGTGTCAGGTAAAGAATTGTCTTTTACAGGCTTGGGTAAAAAATTGTTCCAGGCGACAAGCCCCTCAGGGCTGAAGTCAGAATCTCCCCTATTTGCAGAGGAAGGAAGAAGCAGCAAGATGGAAAACCCAGCAGTTTGCGGGGAAAGTGTTGTGTGTAATCTGTGTCCCTGTGAGGTAAGTGGCTGAACAGATGGGCCCAGACTGGGGGTGGGGGTGGGGCAGCTGCCTCCACCCAATCAAGTAAATGAATAAAAATACTTAACTAAAAGTAGAAATTGTAGAAAGATTTTGACAGATTTTTCTGAGCACTTGGGGTCAAAAAAAGTATTTTTTATTTTTATTTTTTCCAATTCAATGCTTTATTGAGTTTCATAAATAACAAAAAACAAACAAAAAACGATCTTATGTAAGTAATCTTATGTAAATATACAGATAAAAAAGATTCGATCTTATACAATCTCTTTAGTTCAACATTCTTACTAAAGTGTAATAGACTTCCCGTCAACTCCCAGTGCATTTAACATTTCTAATATTGAGTGTACTTATTACTTTCATCTATTTGTATTTTCTAATACATTCTTACAACATATCTGTCAGGGAACTGACATTGGAGCTGGAGGCGGAGGGAAGGCTCTCAAATGATGCTGGAGAAGGGCCCAGCAGGGAGAGGCAGCTCCGCAGATGGGGAAGCAAATCAGCGCAACACCAGGGATAAAGAGGGCTGATGGGGAATCGGCGAGAGGGCTCCAGGACTCTTCACCGGACACCAGCGGGGAGAGCACGGGTCCTCCGCTACCCACGCCCACCCTGCGCAGAAGACTTCCGCGCAGAGAGAGTAGGAGGAGACTGGGTGTCAAACAACTTTTATGTTGGAAAAGATTTAAGAAACGCCCACTGACGGATTCTGATAGCGACTGAGGCAGCCACGAAGTGAAGGGCTGCCCAGACTGAAGGGTTTAGCAAGGCAACAAAGCCTGGAGAGGCGGCAACTTACGCACGAGCAACCCATACACATTACAATATCGTACCAATTTCTCTTATTTCTTTGTTATTATTTTACACAAGGGTCACTCAAATGCAGCCATAGGTGTCACACCGCTGTTATATTTTTGTTAATATATCTTAAACATGTCCCATTTTTGAACAAATGATTGTTTTGTATTACCTCTCAACCAATTAGTCAATTGTTCCATTTATTCATATTCTAGTAATTTATTCTGTCATTGCATTCTCGTTGGAATCCTTTCCCCTTTCCAGTTCATTGCAATTAAGGTTCTGGTGGTGGCTGTTGTGTATAGCTGTTGTTGAGACATTTCATTCCAAATCTGCAAGACACAGCCAGACAGATTACTTCTGAGTGTCCCTGCTCAGGAACTGGAGCCAAACCAGCCGCCTGGTTCTCTAGGGAGCTGGTAATGATTAAACATGAGAGAGGGTGACTACAACGAACTTGACAGAATGAGTCCGTCTGAACACAGACTAGAGCCTCTTTGAAGACCTATTCTGTGGCACTGCATTCCCAATTCCTGGAATGGAGATGTTTTCTTATGTTAAATGACTGTGTACTTTAAGGGGCGCACGCATTCCTTTCGCTGTGGGTCACATGAGAGAGGCATTCCATTCTCTTCCAACTGTTATTCGAGTAACTGTCTTTTTCAACTGTCTTTCTGCTTCTCTTTCTGCGTGTGAGGAGGGAGAATGGCTGCCGAGAGAGATCTCAGGATACTCATGTGGGCAGTGTGTGTTAGTGTGATCTGTCTAAAGTGAAACAGAAAGAGGAAGATCCCTAAATGTTAATAGGGAGAAACCTGTGCAGGAAAAAGAAGAATCACAGAAGATATCAGGATTGGCAATAGTAAACAAAACTAAGGACTTGGGAATATGGCTAACAAACAAAAATAGTAACCTATTTAAGGACAATGATACAAAAATTTGGAAAGAAATTAAAAGAGATTTGGAGATCTGGAATAAATTAAGAGTATCACTCTGTGGCAGGATATCAGTAGTAAAAATGAACGTGTTGCTTAAAATGATCTTTTTATTTCAAATTATACCAATCATTGGAGGGAAGGGCTGTTTCAAATTATGGCAAAAAGACCTATCAAAATTTATTTGGCAGTATAAAAAACCAAGAATTAAACATAAACTTTTAATAGATAAATATAGAGGTGGATTGGCTTTACCTGTTCTAAATTTGTATTACGATTTGGTTTGTTTAAATTGTCTAAAAGAGTAGATATTCTGGCAGGGAAAAGACCTCGAATTAAACATCAAATCTTAATTGATATTAAGGACAGAGGAGGCTTTTCCCTGTCCCATAATACAACTTAAGATTGTATTATGAGGAAGCCTGTCTCACCTGGCTAAAGGAGTAGTGCACACTCAAAAACCCGGAATTGTTAGACCTGGAATGGTATAACAACAGGAATGGCTGGCATGCCTACCTGGGTTATGGGAAAGTCAGAGTTCACAGCAACTTTTTGAATCATATCCGAAAATCCCTCTACATGGTCTGGGGAAAATATAAAGACCTTCTTGAACCAAAAGTGCCTTGGTGGGTCTCACCAATCGAAGCACTTGCAGTGAGAAGGAAGAACGCAAACGGAAATTTGCCTGTATATAAATCATTATTAAAAGAAGAAGAAAACCAGTTAAAAGTTTAAAAATTCAAGAAATAAGAGACCAGGTGTCAGATTGGTTTCAATATTATCAATTATTTGAAACTTTTTAAAATGATAAAAGAAAGGATTTGCGACGGAGATTCAAATCCGACCTAGTAAAGACCAAAACCCTTTCTGAAGCATACCGACTCCTCCTTGGCTGGCAAGTCAAGGAGGAGGTCAAATCAGCAATGATTAAATGGGCCCAAGACTTTGGCCACAACATAGAGATGAGCCAATGGCAACACCTACGGAAAGTTAATTGGAAATTTACGGCATGTTTTACGTTAAGGGAGACCCTCCAAAAGATGCTATATCGATGGTATTTAACCCCCTGTAAACTTTCCAAAATGTACAAAAATGTTCCAAATACATGCTAGAGATGTAGAGAACCAGGTGGAACTCCCTTCCACATGTGGTTATGTAAAAAGATTAAGACCTTTTGGAATGATATATATAGAGAGAGCTCAAAACAATGTAAATTGTAACTTTTCTGAAAAAACCAGAATAATTTTTATTGGGCATTACAGGTCCAGACATTGTTAGGACGATAAGAAGTTTTTCTGTATGCCAGAAAGTACTGCAAGAGTACTTATAGCAAAACGTTGGAAGAGTGACAAAATTGCCACTAAGAATGGTTACTAAAGCTGGTAGAATATGCTGAATTAGACAGTCTCTCGGAAAAGATAAAATATCAAAGTCAAAACAGGAGTTCATTTCAAACTGGGAACCTCTAAGGAGATATTTAAAGAACAATTGTTGCAATCTGAACTCGGTAGCAGCCTTTGCGTAATCTCTGTGAGTAATATAGGTTAAAAGGGAGAAAACAGATGTATGAAATATGTATGAAAATTATTATTTCATGAGTAATATATTGAGACAATAGGTTTATTAGAGTGGAAAAACAGGGAAAGGACGGGACGTCAAGCTTATGTATTAAATGTATTGTAGGAGGACTTATATTCTTTCATTGGATTTTCATTTTGACAAAATTGACATGTAAAATAAGGAAGATATGTCTTTGATGTACAGATGCAAGTATGAAGAATAAAGCATATATATATATATATATATATATATATATATATATATATATACCGTATTTTTCGGACTATAGGACGCACCGGCCCATAGGACGCACCTAGTTTTCAGGGGAAGTCAAGGAAAAAATATGATTTCCCCCCCCCAGGACTGGGAGTAGCGCACAGGCTGCGTGCAGCCTGTCCGCTGCTCCCAGACCTTCTCCCTGCTTTTGCGGGAGGTGGCGGAATTCCCCCACCTCCCGCAAAAGCCCACAGGAGCCCCGCGCGACTCCTGCGGGCTTTTCGACCAGGAGGGAGAAGGGACTGAAACGGCCAGTCAGTCCCTTCTCCCTCCTCGGGAAAAGCCCCAAGAGCGGCGCGCTCTTTAAAGGGTGCGCGGCTCCTGCAGGCTTTTCTAGGAGGTGGGGAATTCCCCCTCGTAGAAAAGCCAGCAGAGCCGCGGAGCCCCTTTAAAGAGCACGAGGCTTTGCGGGCTTTGCGGGAGGTGGGGAATTCCCCATCTCCCCCAAAGCTCGCAGGAGGGAGAAGGGACTGACTCGGCCTGTCAGTCCGTGCTCCCTCCTGGGGTAAACGCCCCCAAGCGCCGCTTGCTCTTAAACGGGTGTGGGGCTCGGGCGGGCTTTTCTTGGCGGTGGGGTAATCCCCCCACCTCCTAGAAAAGCCGCGGAGCCCCTTTAAAGAGCGCGCGGCTTTTGCCTGCTTTTGCGGGAGGTGGGGGGAATTCCCCCTTCTCCCGCAAAAGCCCAAAGGAGGGTTGGAGAGTAGCGGGAGGGCGTCGCACGCCTTCCCGCTGCCCCCAATCCTCTGGGGCTGGCGATGGGGAGCGCTGCTTCCCACCGCCAGCCTCAGCCGGGTTGGAGGGTAGCGGCAAGGCGTCGCGCGCCTTCCTGCTGCCCCCATCCTCTGGGGCTGGCGATGGGGAAGCGCTGCTTTCCCCACCGCCAGCCTCGAAGCCGGGTTGGAGGGTAGCGGCAAGGCGTCGCGCGCCTTCCTGCTGCCCCCCATCCTCTGGGGCTGGCGATGGGGGAAGCGCTGCTTTCCCCACCGCCAGCCTCGAAGCCGGGTTGGAGGGTAGCGGCAAGGCGTCGCGCGCCTTCCCGCTGCCCCCCATCCTCTGGGGCTGGCGATGGGGGAAGCGCTGCTTTCCCCACCGCCAGCCTCGAAGCCGGGTTGGAGGGTAGCGGCAAGGCGTCGCGCGCCTTCCTGCTGCCCCCATCCTCTGGGGCTGGCGATGGGGAAGCGCTGCTTTCCCCACCGCCAGCCTCGAGCCGGGTTGGAGGGTAGCGGCAAGGCGTCGCGCGCCTTCCTGCTGCCCCCATCCTCTGGGGCTGGCGATGGGGAAGCGCTGCTTCCCCACCGCCAGCCTCGAGCCGGGTTGGAGGGTAGCGGCAAGGCGTCGCGCGCCTTCCCGCTGCCCCCATCCTCTGGGGCTGGCGATGGGGAAGCGCTGCTTTCCCACCGCCAGCCTCGGCCGGGTTGGAGGGTAGCGGCAAGGCGTCGCGCGCCTTCCCGCTGCCCCCATCCTCTGGGGCTGGCGATGGGGAAGCGCTGCTTTCCCCACCGCCAGCCTCGGCCGGGTTGGAGGGTAGCGGCAAGGCGTCGCGCGCCTTCCCGCTGCCCCCATCCTCTGGGGCTGGCGATGGGGACGCGCAGCTGTCCCCACCGCCAGCCTCGAAGCCGGGTTGGAGGGTAGCGGCAAGGCGTCGCACGCCTTCCCGCTGCCCCCCATCCTCTGGGGCTGGCGATGGGGGAAGCGCTGCTTTCCCCACCGCCAGCCTCGAAGCCGGGTTGGAGGGTAGCGGCAAGGCGTCGCGTGCCTTCCCGCTGCCCCCCATCCTCTGGGGCTGGCGATGGGGGAAGCGCTGCTTTCCCCACCGCCAGCCTCAAGAGCAGACTCTCCTGGCTTCAGCGGAAGCAACGCGAAGCCTCCGGAGCGCAGGCTTCGGAGGCTTCGCATTGCTATCGCTGAAGCCGAGGAGTCTGCATTCGCTCCATAGGACGCACACACATTTCCCCTTCATTTTTGGAGGGGAAAAGTGCGTCCTATGGTCCGAAAAATACGGTATATGGATATTCTTACAGGATGGAGATTTATTGGATCTAGAAGGGTTTAATAACCGCTATGGGTGGCATGCGTATCTAGGATACGAAAAGGTGAAAGTTCACAGGGGATTTACCAATCATATCATAAGAAAATCGATATACAGAGTATGGGCAAAATACAAAGAGCTACTAAAACCGAAGACACCCTGGTGGATTTCACCCTACAAGCGATAACGGTAAAAAAGAAAAACAAGGAACTAAATTGGGCTACATATAAGGATTTATTAAAAGGGGGGGGGGGATAAGCTGATATTAAAGGTTACAAGGAAATAAGGTGGATCTAACAGGGTGGATTCAGTATCACCAACTAAATGAAGTGTTCAAGGCAGACAAGAAAAGAGGCTTTATAAAGGAAATTTCATTACTAGATAAAGAGTTATTACAAAATAAGACCAAGGTAACTTCTAAAATTTATGAAACGCTACTGGAGTAGGAGGAGAAGGACGAACAGGTAATGATTAGATGGGCTATAGATATAGGTAAAACTATCGAATTATCATCATGGGGAAAATTATGGAAAGAGAGTTGGAAATTTATGGCTTGTGGAGCGATAAGGGAAAATTTAATAAAAATGTTTTACAGATGGTATTTAACACCAACCAAAATATGTAAAAGGGACATGGGTGGCGCTGTGGTCTAAACCACTGAGCCTAGGGCTCCCCGATCAGAAGGTCGGCGGTTCAAATCCCCACGACGGGGTGAGCTCCCATTGCTTAGTCCCAGCTCCTGCCAACCCAGCAGTTTGAAATCATGTCAAGGTGCTAGTAGATAAATAGGTACTGCTCCAGCGGGAAGGTAAATGGCATTTCCGTGTGCTGCTCTAGTTTCGCCAGAAGCAGCTTAGTCATGCTGGCCACATGAGCCTGAAAAACTGTCTGTCGACAAATGTCGGCTCCCTCAGCCAGTAAAGTGAGATGAGCGCCGCAACCCCAGTTTGCAACTGGACTTAACTGTCAGAGGTCCTTTACCTTTTTTAAAATATGTAAAATGTATAAAACAAAATCAAATCCGTGTTGGAGGTGTAACAAATACATATGTGTTATACATATGTGTTGAACTTGATAAAATCAAAGGCTTTTGAGATATCACGTACGAAGAGTTAAAGAAAAGGTTTAAACAAAACTTTGTTAAGAAAACAGACGCGTTTTTATTGGGAAACTAGACACAGATATTGCCAGAGAAAATAATAAAATATTCTTTTATGCCACGGGAGTGGCAAGAACACTAATTGCCAAAAATTGGAAAAAGAAATAATCCCAACAAAAAAAGAATGGCAAGACAAATTATATGATTATATTGAATTGGCCAGATTGACAGAGGCAATTAGGGGTCAAACCAACCCAAGCAAAAATTCCAAGAAGAATGAGTAAAATACAGAGAATATCTTAAAAAGCAGTGCCCTCAAATGAATACTTGGACTTGTTTTGATTAACTTCTGCAAAATAGTTTATGGTACTTAAGTTAAAAACAGAAAGTAAAAGGGGTAATAATGAACTAAAAAGGAGATGGTTTACCAAAAACAATAAAAGAACCGTGTTGAGGATGAAGGAAGTCAATTGGAAGAAAAAAAGAACTGAAATACGGTGTGTGTGTGTGTGTGTGTGTGTGTATGACTATTTGTTTTGTATAAGTTTTCATACGTTAGCATGTTTTATTTGTACTTTTTTGTTTTGTGTTGTTTTGTTTTGTTGTTTCTATTTGTTGTTTGTTTCTCTTTTGATTCTGTACCTGTATTATTATTTTCATGCCCAGTTTGACAAGTGTGTGTGTATGTTGTAAATAAACTCAATAATTATTATTTTTTTTAAAAATGAAACAGAAAGAGAAAGATCCCTAAATGTAAATTGGGAGAAACCTGTGCAGGGGCTCTCTGTAAGGAACAGGGGGAATACTGCTGAGGTGAAAGAAAAAACCTTTCATAAACCTTTCATAAGAAACTGTAAGACCTGAGTGAGAACTACTATGGCCAAAATGAATGCAGAACAAAGTAGCTATATTTGGATTTGTGGGTTTGACCTCAAGCAGTGCTCCTTGGTGTGGTCATATGGGTGTTAGAAACAGACAGGAATGTCCTGCTTTCAGGTGGAAAAGGGGTCTGGTGCCCATATTAATGATAAATTATTTTGTAACAGGATCTTCCAGAGACAATCAGACCAGAGGTGTTTTTGGACTCAGAAACAAGTCATGAAAGATACAGGTGAGCAATGTCTCTCTCAGATCTTGCAGAGCTTTCTCCTTTAAGGGAAAGTTGATTTTCTTTTTAGGTTTCAGAGAAGTGTTCCGCAGAACACATTTGGTATATGAAGGTCTCACAATCATCACATGTGGTGGTGCTCTCTAAAACGTTCCCAAACTACATCTGTGTCAGGGACTGGGCAGAGGAGGAGTGGCGGAGACCGCCCCGCCCCCGAACCATCCAGGGAGGAAGAAGAGGAAGACAGTATAGATTTAGAACAGGGGTTTGAGGGAGGTCACAGCTCAGAGTCAGATGAGAGGGAAAGTTGGGAAATCATGGGAGAGCCAGAGCAACGCACAGCGAACACGTTATCATTAGAAAGCATTCCAGACCCTCCATCTTCCAGACCCAGCGAGCCTTAAAAGTAGGAGAGCAAAGACCCCCCCTATACTGTCTTCCTCTTCTTCCTCCCTGGAAGTTTTTTTTTGGGGGGGGGCAAGTTTGGAGTGGGGATTGCTTCCCATCAAGAAGATGCAGAGGGTTTCTGGCTCGTGTTCAATCCACTTCTCTTTCCATTTTCCCCTTTGTGCCATTCAGACTATGCTTCACGGAGGCTGGATCCTTCCTTTGCTTTTATACTGATGTCATATTTGAGGTGAAAGGAGCTGTGACCATCACCTACCACTTTGATTCGTGGTCTAAGCACCTGGCCGAACAGAACACGGAGGACTGGGTTGTCGCTGGGCCTTTGATCAACATTGAAGCAGATCCAGCAGAGGCTGTGGCAGCTGTTCACTTCCCTCACTTCTTGTGTCTCGCAGGTATGGCAGGTAAAAAAGCTTGCAACAAAATAAATACAGCAGTACCTCACTTTTTGAACGTAATCTGTTCCGGAAGACCATTCGAGTTCTGAAACATTCAAAAACTGAGGTACTCTTTGCAGATAGGGAAACAAATAACTTGGACTTCCGGGGTGGCGCCACCGGCAATGGCGGACTCCCTCTGAACTGGAGGGACTAGCTCTGCGGGAAACGGGTCTTCTCCGCTACGGCGAAGCAGGGACCCTTTTAAAAATCACAGGCGGATGAAGCCTGTGACCATGGGACTCGGCGGGCACCTTTAGGGCCCCCCCCAACTCGCTAAGGAACCCACTAACGGGCTCCGAAGTGAAGAGGGGGAAGTGGCGCGGTGCTGTGAGTCAACTGCTATTTCCGTGGAGCGAAGCCGCATAGCCGTTGCCGGAGAGCGCTGCCTTTTCCTGGGACAATTTGGACTTTAAAATAAGCACCCGTGAGTACTTAGACTTTGAACAATTGGACATCAAATAAGGACTAGCGAGCAGAAAAGAATTGGATCTTAAAAACCTATTTTAATTTGGTACGGAACGGGAAGGTCTAAACAGGAAGTCAGCCTTCCGTTCTTTTGTAAACAGAATAAAGCAAAGACAACTTAAACTAGAGCTCAGAAAATCGCCTTTAAAGGATTGGATTTCATCATTTAAAATTGTGGAACCCCCCTTCGACAGCAGGAGAAGAAGCGGGATCTTTTTCGGACTGTTTAAAGTGAGTTTAAAGTAAAGTAACTTTCCTCCGTCCTGATCCTGGAGGGGGGTGTCAGGACTGACGTTTGAAGTTCATTGACCAAAGACAAGTGTTTTTGACAGATAGCTAAAAGAAGAGAAACATAGTGATTCCACTGTTCCCCTTCGCATTTTAAAGGAATAAATATTGACAAAGTATCTCAAAAAGGGAAACTTTGTTGCAAGAACAAATAGAAGTTTTCCCCCTAGAGGGAGACTGTGAAACTGTAACCAACTCCAGGGAGCCGGCAGCTGTTACAGATTACAATCGTGGGAACAGGCATCTGACCTTGCAGGACAATGTATTCAGAAGCTTTGTTGTGTGCTTTCTATAAAACAAATGCCCTACTGGAACAGTTACATGAGAAGGTGAATTGGATGGCGACTTCGACTAGAAATTTTGAACAGACAGTGGGAAAATATGTGGAGCCCACTCAGGAATTAAATCAGGAGTGTGTCTTGACAGAACAGGCCCAACAGGAATATGAGTTTTCAGATTTGACAAATGAACTTGGAAAAGCCAGATTTGGAAAGGAAAAGTTTGGTTTGGCTTGGAAATGGGGGGCTGGATTGACCCCCCTATGCTGGGATGTTTGGACTTTTCAAATCTGGCAATGGGCCGTGAGATGTTTGGGATTGTGGGGGCTCTTAATTTTGGAGGGTCTTTGAAACATGCTTTTAAATACTACATGGAATTCAGTGTTGAATATGGAAAAGGGGCTGATCTGTCGAGAAGGGCTAAAAACATTGTCAAGCTGGAGTTACCACGAGCAGGAGACAAGGGAAAATACAGTTACAAATATGAAGAAGAGCTGCGGAAGGGACATGGAAGAGACTTGAGGGCCTCGGATATAAGGTTGCCAGGTTAATGGGCTAGATCGACGGGATAATAAGGACTGACAAAACACGGAACCAGGAGGAAGGGACGTTGGATGAAGATTGGATCTGTTTGTATCTCTTTTCTCTACCATTAGAACTGTTTTATAAAATTGATGAATGTTAGAAAAATGTTGGAATGAAATTACTTGGCTTTAGCAAAGATGTTTAAAGAATTATGAAAGAATATTATGGTTATGAGAAGTTGGTAAGGATAAGATTTAAGTTTTAAGCTTTAAGGTTTATTTTAATATAGAAAGATAAGATTAAAACAGTTTAGGGTAATGTAATGACAGAATATTATGAAACATGGAAAGGATTTGCTGGGATAATTAATAACTAGGATACAAAGAAAGGGAGGAGGAGGAGGTCTAAGAAAGAAGGCAATGACAGTTGAGGATTTGAAAATAATGAATTTGTTTTTAAATGTTTTTAATTGTTTGTGATGTATTTTTGTATTTTTCTTTTTTTCTGTCACTTTTTCTTATTTTTGAATTTGTACTCATATGGTTGGAAGGGGTTTCTTTTTTTCTTTTTCTACTTTGTTAACTATTTTTATTTTGTACTTTCTTTTGCTTCTATTTTATTTTGTAACACTTTGAAAATTTCAATAAATATCTTTAAAAAAAAACAAAAACAAATAACTTGCACTCAGTGGAAGCTGCGTTTCCTGTTTGACTTTGAAGGCGTATTCAAAAACCGAAGCATTTACTTTTGGGTTTATGCAGTTCGAAAACCAAAATGTTTGTCAACAGGGATGTTCAAAAACTGAGGCACCGTATTTTTCGCTCCATAACACGCACCGGACCATAAGACGCACCTAGTTTTTAGAGGAGGAAAAGAAGAAGGAAAAATATTCTGAATGAAACAGTGGATGTATGATTTTTGTGGTTCATGCTGTGGCCGTAGACATGTGATTTGACGGTGAGTTTGGGGTAGCCCAATGCAAAAATCCTGAGAATCCATGTGGATCAGTGCTTTTTAACCACGTTTTTGCGCCGCAGGCAACAGTGAGTGTGTGATTTTTTTTGGTGCATGCTGTAGCCATGGACATGCTATGTGATCTGATTTGACGGTGAGTTTGGGGTAGCCCAATGCAAAAACCCTGAGGGTGCATGTGGATCCGTGTTTTGTAATCACGTTTTAAGTGGGGCGGGAAGGAAAAACACTGAAGGGACAAGGAGCATGTGTGGAGTGTGTGGAGAAGGAGCTTTTCAGCGAGCTGAGCCGGGGAGGAAGGAGGGAAAGAGAGCACGCTCGCTTTAAAGCAGCCAACTGGACAGGAGCCGCTTACACCCATGTAAGCAGCTCCTCTCCTCTCCCACTTTGCTCCTTTAAAGTGAGCGGGCTCTCCTTCTCTCCCTCCTCCCCGGCTCAGCTCGCGACTGGAGCAGGATCCCCCCGCCATCTGTAGGCATTCGCTCCATAAGACACACAGACATTTCCACTTACTTTTTAGGAGGAAAAAAGTGTGTCTTATGAAGTGAAAAATACGGTACTTTACTGAGCAGGGAGAGGCTGTGGCTGAGAGCAGTCCAGAATCGGAGGCAGAAGTGGAGGCTGGAGAGGTGGTGGGCCAGGAGACAAATGTGAGGCAGGCTGCTGAAGAAGCCTGGGGAGTCTCTCCTTCCTGCTGCGACAAGCTCCCTTCCCCACTGGTCTCCCAGAACCAGAAGAGGTACAGTGGCATGTGGTCAGTGGACTTGGGGGAAGAGGCTAGTTTCCTAAGTGTTCTCCTGGCACCTGCTTCTCAAAGCCTGTGAAGCTTCTGCCTGCCTTAGGGAGAGAGGCACATTACTCTGATGTGTGCAAGAGCCTTCCCGTCCCCTTCTCAAAGCCCGCCTAATGTTGGGAAGAAGGCAGCAGGGCTTCAGCATCCTTTCAGAGACCTGGTGCCCCTTCCCAAAGCCCAGGAAGCTTCTGCCTGGCTTAGGGAGGGAGGTGCTATACTCATGTATGCAACATCACAATGTTTTCACCCCACCCCCCAAATCGCCTTCACAAGCTGGTGCCTACACCATAACTGTTACCTACAGAAAATGTCACCCCGTGCCACTAAAGAGGTATGAAGAGAGCAGAGCAAATACAAATATGGCGACGGAGTCTCAGATTGCTTGGGAAGGACCCAGGGGGAAAGGAGCCTTAGGGAACTGCCTAATGGGGGCTAGATCTACCAGAATGAGTTGCTATGCTCACTAGGCCTGCCTTCTTTCTTTGAATAAATAGTTGACTTTACTGACACCAGGTGACAGACGGTCAACAGTTTCCCACTTGTGACACATTTGTTTGTTTTTCCTTTCTGCTGCTTTCCAGGCAAAAGTGATTCCCAAGTCCACCTTGCACATTTTGTGGAAGGGGGGATGAGTCTAGAGAAGCCAGACAGAGTGAGGCCATATCATGTTGTGTTGGAAAACCCAAACTTCTCTCCCGTGGAGCCATTTTGAGGACGTCATGGTCATTGTTTAAGCGAAAGAGGAAGGTCCACACTGTGGCACTGCTCTATCAAAAGCTTCAATTCAGCTCACCAAAATTCCACCTGTATCTCCTACCCAATGACTCTTCTCTGAGAAAGGTAATCGGGATTCTCCAACTCTGATTGGTATTCCAGACAGCCTGGATCATTTGCCTGACCATAGTAAGCCTGACAGAGTAGCTATGCAAAATCATGCAGCAGAGTGTGACATGGTTCATGAACTGTATCTCCCGTTGTTGGGCTTGAGCTAATTTACCAAACAGCTAGCCAACATCAACTTGCTGCTGGAGAGATGATTTGCAGTTGCTCTTCAACTGAGTTATTTTGGTTGCCACCAGTAGTGGTTTTTAAAAGTGAGCTTTCCAACACTGTAATAAGCATTTTTCATTTGCTGGGCAACCTCTTTTCCAAATGCCCTGCTTGGTTCCATAGACAGCATGGTTAGTCAATTATGCGAACAAAATATGTTTACTTTATAGTTCTAAGTACACTCAGCCTTCTCTGAAATCAGTGGCGCTACCTTCAAAGTAAATGCATTTAGTGATGAGCAAATTCTCCTTGCTTCGTTGAGTAGTTACAGGCTTTCTGCAAGAACATTGTTTCTGGTGTGTGAGGCTGGCACATGAGAGATAAATGCCTTTGCAATGTCAGCTGCTCCCCATGCAGTCTGAAAATTGCCTGTCCATATTTTGGTTTCTGATGAGATTTAGTTTTCTTTATATTGAAGATGGAGAATCTGTGTCTCTGCAGATGCTCTTGGACTACAAAACCCATCATTCCTGACCCACACTGGCTGTGGCTGATAGGAATCCAATGACATCTGGAAGGTTGCAGCTTCCCCATCCCTGCCTTGCATGCTGCAACAAAGCCAAGAAAGGGGTAGGGATCCAGTATTCCAGAAGTTGGTTACCTTTCTTGCATATCTCAAAAGTGACCTTTGCTTTTCCTAGGCGGTTCATGAGCACGAAGCACAATGCCCTTCACAAAGAATAGACAAACCCCCTTGGACCCTGAAACCTTTGACAATTGGCTGTCGCTTCTTTGTGGAGACAAATGATGTCAGAGTCTGTCCCAAGGTGAGACGCAAAGATGATGAAAGGCTTTGCTAGGGCAGAGCCATGGCTGTGAAGTATGAGAACGGGAGGGACTCCACCAGGATCCCTCATCATGCTTTAATTTGACTCCCTTGGACTGGTCGATTGGGCTAAGCCTTGTTTGCACATAAGGAGGTTTTATGCTTCCCCACAGGAAGTGGAGTTTCAATATCTGGATGCTGACAAGCTGCAGCAGTATGTGGAACTGTTTGCTCAGCAAATGCAAGACATGTTCAACTTCAGTGTGATGGAGAAGCCCAAGAATGAACTCATCTGGGAGGCCCTTGTGACACAAGGTGAGCTTAGTTGGAAGAAAATTGGAAGGTTGGACCATAATTTGGGAGGCAGGATGATAAAGGACATTGCAGTCACATTCCCTCTTTGACTGCCTCTTTCCTGTTCTCTTTCAGAAGAGTTAAAGTCTCCTGAGATGACGTCTTCTCCTTCAAGCTCAGAGCAAGGTCTGCAGGTTTTAATTGCTTATTTCCTCGTAGTTAAATCCCACCTTCCAATGGCAGCACAGAGTGGCTGGTGATACAGTACCATAGAAAAGTTACTTTTGTAATGTTAGGGAATCGCCTTCCGGTGCAGGTTCCCCATTGCTTTATAGTCTCCTTTGGTGCCAGATGAAGTTCTTTCCACGCAGCTAAATTTTGTAGAAACAGCTTTGCCTTTCATTCAGCACACCCAGTGTGCTAATGGAATCCAGTGCAAATGCTCAAGATACTGCAATTGGGCTTTCCTCCCTTCACCCACCACTTCCCTCAAATGCACTTTGGAGGGTCAAGGAGAACCTCCAGAACAGCCGGAAAGGGTGCGGTGTGTGTACTTGGCTGTTGGGGAGGGATAGCTCTGTCTGGCAAGCAGGAAAGGTCACAGAGGGTGACATTTAATTTCTCCCTGTATGTGTTACCGCCTGGACTTCTCAGTTTTCAGCTGAATGTCAGTTGTTAAAATATCATTTTTCATACGATACGATAATCTTTATTGTCATTGTCCCATACAGAACAACCAAATTGAAAAAATCTACATCAGACATTCAAAAACTAACAAGCCTGCTATCCCAGCTATCCCAGCCTGGTTAACCCCCTAAAAACTCTGATACCCCATAATTAAATACAATATACTCCCATAGAGACTACCTTACACTGCGTTTAAAACCAAAATTGCATTTGGATAGAAACTGTTTCTCAGGTGGCTAGATCTAGTCTTTATAACTGTACCTTATTCCAGAAGGCAGAAGCTGAAAGAGATCATTTCCGGGGTGCGCACTATCCTGCACTATCTCTGCAGCTTTCTTATGACACCTGGAAGCATAGATTTGATCCAAGGTGGGAAGAGTGCACCCAATTATTCTCTCTGCAGTCTTTACAACCCTGGACAGCATTGTTTTTCCCCTGACCATGCAGCTCCCAAATCACACACACAGACCATAAGTTAATACACTCTCAACAGCACAATGGTAAAATGCCATCAACAGGTCCTTTGAGAGATTATTTTTCCAGAGGATTCTCAGAAAATATAACCTCTGCTGTGCTCTCTTCATCAGGTCTTTACTGTTTTCTCCCCAGGTTAGGTCATCTCTCAACTCCATTCCCAGAAATCAGAACACTGAGTCCTGTTCCACACACTTCCCCTCAGTAATTAGTGGCTGAATATTCCATTTCCATTTCCTAAAGTCCACAATGATCTCTTTTGTTTTCTTTAAGTTAAGGAGTAAGTTGTTTTTCCTGCACCACTCCCCCAACTGCTCAACTTCCTTCCTATAGGCCATCTCCCCCTCTCCAGCCATGTAATTTCAGTACAGGGGACAGAGAGTGACTGGTTCCTTAAGAAATACATTTGTTAGACTATTAGGACTGTCTTATTTGATTAGTCATAGTTTGGGCCAGGAAACCATAGTTTGCTTGTATCACCACACCATACTTTTTAAAAAGCCCTCTTACACCATTTCAGCGGTGGTGGGGAATCCTGGGAGCTTTAATTTGCTAAGCATCTCCTAAAGCACAATTCAAAGTGTTGATGTTGACCTTTAAAGCCCTAAACGGCCTCGGCCCAGTATACCTGAAGGAGCATCTCCACCCCCATCATTCTGCCCAGACACTGAGGTCTAGCACAGAGGGCCTTCTGGCAGTTCCCTCACTGCGAGAAGCAAAGCTACAGGGAACCAGGCAGAGGGCCTTCTCAATAGTGGGGCCCGCCCTGTGGAACGCCCTCCCATCAGATGTCAAAGAGATAAACAACTACCTGACATTTAGAAGACACCTGTTCAGGGATGTTTTCAATGTGTGACATTTTAATGTATTTTTAATCTCTGTTGGAAGCCGCTGAGAGTGGCTATTTATTATTAAAAATAATAAATTATTATTATTATTACTAACAACCCCCAGCACCCTCACTATCACCCACACAGTAGCCATCACATTTTTTCTAAATAGAGGGTTTCCTGCTGTGCCAGGCACACTTTCTCTGGGTTTTGTTTTTTCTTAAAAAGAAATAATTCAGTCCAGCCCAGCAATTGTCAAGACTGCAACCTTGCAAACTGAGCACATTGGGAATGCTTCTGGTTTCCTGACTTTCTTTCCCTGCTCCCATTTGCTTGTTGGTAGTGAACTCAATCAACACACTTGTTCATGATGCAAAATGCTGGAGAGATTTGAAAATCCTGGGTTCACGCCCAGTGATTATGATTTTCCCATAGTCCCTGCATGTTTCATAAACACACCTTCTCTCTCGTTTTTCCAGGTGCTTATTGCTTCACTATGTCCCATGCTGCATCAGGACACAGTGTGGAAAGCAGGTAGGGCTTAACTGTTCCTCAGGAAAGGCCAGTCCTGCTATTAGGGACAATGAAGCAGCTGCCACAGGCAGGCAGCAGATATTGAAGGGGTGGTGCTGTTTATGCATTGACTGCACTGCGGTCTCTGGAGGGGCAGAAACATACAAACGTGCAAATTTTACAGAAGCTAAACTGGGTCACTCTACCTATCAGTTGCATAGAAGGTTCCCTCCAGGGAAGAGAGACACGGCTGCTTTTTCTTATTCCATGGCCAAGAGATTATAAGCCTCATGCACAATTTGGAATGGGGCAGTGGAAGAGGGGGAGACATAATTCTTTCGGACAGAGGCAGCTAATCTTTTTGGCCTGAGGATGGTCAGATACCTCTTTGAGGGTCACAGGCCACTGGTGGGCATGGCCAATGTATGTGCACACAACACACAAAGATCACACACACAAATACTGCACATGCATTGCACAGAAGCACACCTATGGAGCATGCAGGCTCACCAGGCATAAGGCACAAAACTCAGACACGCAGTGTCACATAAATCTCCACCTCACACATACACACAAACTCTTCCTCGTACAAAACCCTACACTGAGGTCCAGCGCCGAGGGCCTTCTGGCAGTTCCCTCCCTGTGAGAAATGAGGTCACAGGGAACCAGGCAGAGGGCCCTCTCAGTAGTGGTGCCGGTCCTGTGGAATGCCCTCCCATCAGATGTGAAGGAAATAAAGAACTATCTGACTTTTAGAAGACATCTGAAAGCAGCCCTGTTTAGGGAATTTTTTAGGGTTTGAATTTTTATTCTGTTCTTAGAGTTCTGTTGAGAGCTGCCTAGAGTGGTTGGGGAAACCCAGCCAGATGGGCGGGGTATAAAATTACTACTACTACTACTACTACTACTACTACTACTCTGTGTGAGATCAGGATGCCAAAATGGTAGACTTACCCCATTATACTCAGGGATTATGGCACACTTTTCAGGAGGTCCGTTGTGAAATTGAGTCTTTATTCTGGCAGCAACTGCCCTTTAGAACTGCCTCCTGTTATGCATCAGTTAAGCGCTGTCTCTATGCTCCTTTTGAAGACCTTGTTTTTTCAACTGATGGAGATCTTTATCCCCCAGTCGGCAGCAGTATTGGATCTGGAATGGTTTTATATTTTGGTAAGTAAATTCAGCAGCTTCGTAGGAAGCAATTCATTAACTGAAATGGAAATGGAATGAAAAACTCTCTCACACAGCACACAGGACTAAGCACCCCGAAGTGGACAGATGCTGCCTGTTAATCTTTAAAGAGCAGGAGGAGGGAGTTTAGCTGCCACCTCAGCATTGTGATGCTTGGCCCTTATTGCTGATAAATTTAAGCACCACGGCAACCTGCATTTCTTTCCGCTCCCTCTGTGCCAATCCCAGGCATGGAAGTTGGCAGCACTTACAGATGGTGTGGCTCCTTCCCAGGTCCCTTTGCTGAGTGTCTCTTGTTTTGTGCCTGCTTTTCCCTGCCTCTGGGGTGAAAATGCAGAGTGATGAAGAAGACCACCAGAGACCACCTGGTGTCCATCCTGGAGAACCTGAGGGAGGATGATCTCAACAGGTTCAAGTTCAAGCTGAACGAGATCCCTGTCAGTGAGGGCCATGACAACATTCCCCTGGGGCGGCTGAAGAAGGCAGATGTCATGGACCTGAGCCAACTCCTCCTGAGTTTCTACACGGAGGATTATGCTGTGCAGGTGACAGCTGATGTCCTCGGAGCTATCAACTGCAGGGATGAGGCACAGAGACTTCTCAGCCTCACCAGGAAGAGGTAAGAAAGAAGGAGGGCCAGCTCATGAAACTGGCTGGGAGGGAAGGCATATGGAGGGCCAGTCGCCCCTGGCGCCCCACCCACTGTGAGGTGAGAGTGATGGATTCTGATCCTGTCTCCATGGGGGAGAAAGGAGGAAAGTCTTATATCACAGCCAGCCAATCTAGTGCCCATCAGCTCTTCGTTTATTTTACTTACCGGTATTTCACAGATTGGCATATCTTTTAGCTGTAAACACCTCTAGGCAGTTTATATGTTGTTGGTTTTTTATATATAAAGGTCAGAAGTTAACAATGAGTTGAGTTTAAAAAATTCAAAATGTAAAAAACATCAGCCATTAAAGATATACACTTTATAAAATAAAATGATGTACAGGCAACTCCCCTCTTGCACGTGAACTATTTGTGTGCAGCCGCATGTATGTATAGTGCCAGGAACCTGGAAATGGAGGGGGAAGTGGGAAAGTCATTGTGGCTCATGAGGAGAACCTTCCCAGAGCCCAAAGAGGAGGCTGAGGAGGTCAAAGGCTCAGTGGGGCTTTGTTTTGGCTGTGAAGTCTCCCTTCTTTCTTCTCCTGGCAGTATTTAATTGCTGTACTTCCATATAAACTTATTCATTCTCTCTCCCTCTCTCTCCTAGGAACTAGCAGTTATTTGTTAAAACCTCTGCTTTTTATCAGCAAACAATGGTGACCCCTCTCCTGCCTTATCTGATCCTGCCAATCTCCAAAAATATCTGGAAGACAAATTGTTTTGTCTCAGCCCAGCCATGGCTGCCATCCAGAATCCTCAGCAACACTTCAGTACTACAAACTTTTTCCAGTTTTATAATGCAGTGGCTTCCCTCAGAGAATCCTGGAAATTGTAGTCTAGCAAACTGCTAACAATTATCTCAAACAAAAACAACCCAAGCTTCCAATGAAACTACAGTTCCCAGCGCTCCAGGAAAATACATACTGATAGAAGAGTTTCCGCTTTGGCTGGCCTCTTGCCCTCCAGACGTTCCAAACTACAACTCCCATCAGCCCCAGCCAGCGTGTTGCATCAGTGCCCCATTTCATCAAGGGACACTGGAAACAGCTGGTCCAATGGACTGCATTGGTGGGAGTGGTGTTTACTATCAGGAAATGCAGATGCAAGCATTGTACAATCAGTTTGGGACCTGGTCCTGATCAGGTGCAACCGAGACCCAATATGAACCAATCAGGACCCTGGATCTGAATCACAACCTAGATATTTGAATCCTCAGTATTCTCATTCACTCAGAATGGTGTGGGAGTCATAAAGCCACGGCAAAGGCTTGTAATATTGCAGGGTGCCCCCTGACCTCGGCTGACCAGCACTCTGAGCTTTACAATGTATTGGAATGTATTGACCTTTAATGGAGTTGTGTTTCCTCTGGGCAGTGATGACCCTATATGGGCAATAAAAGCCTTGACCGGATGAGGTAATGAGAGACATTGGCAAACGGCCATGCGGCTGGAGAGAGACAAAGGAAAATAAAAAAGCTACGGGAGGAGAGGGAAGTTCGAAAGGAGCTGCTCATACCATCATGAAAATATTGCTGGCTCTCTGTGTCTTTATTTTATGCTAAACTGCGCCATTTGTAATGGCTGGCTCCGACAGAATGGGGGAGCAAAAGGGCCATAATTTGTAATTTGGACACATGGTAGTCAAAATTACAAGTGGTGCCCTGTGTGAGGCTGAATAAAAGAATACGTCTGAGGCTTTTAAAAGAAATACGTGTGAGGCAACTTAAAGAAAACAGTCTGAGGCAGACTAAGAGGATTTTAAAAGAAAACCGTGTGAGGTTTTTCGATCCAAGCAAAGGATATCATCGGCTCACCACGCCCGGCAAGGGTTGCAAGCGCAAATCATCTTAAAAAGATCCTGGTGAGTTCGATCTCTTTTTTTTTATATTGATTTTAGAAAAATGGGCAGCTCTTTGTCTGCTCCCCGACAGAAATTTTTTATTTATTTATTTTTTTTTAAATGATGTTTATTCCAAGTTTAAAGTTACAAAAAAAGAAAAAAAGAAGAAGAAAAAACAGTACAAAATACAAAGAAAAATTTAGCCATAACCATAACAGGGCAAAAAGTAAAAAGAAAAAAAGAACAATAAAGTAGGATAAAAAAAGCAGAACAAAAGATATGAAAAACATTGGATTAAAATAGGACAAAAGCAAATTAAACCTTTACATAACTTTTTCCCTTTACTTATTTCCTTGACCTCCTCTCACCTCCCAATTTTGTATTCTAATTCAGATCGTTTTTTTCAGCAAATCCTTCCAACCTTATTTTCATTTACGTATTTTAATTTAAAATATTATAATTAAACATCCTCTGTTTCATCAATTTCATCCGCTCATTTTTACTTAATCCTTTATCTCATATCTACCAAAACTGCCTAATTTTCTTTTTCCAACATCTTTCTAACAGTCTTTAATATTACAATGCTTTTGAAGATATATTTTGAATTTTTTCCAGTCTTCTTCCACCGACCCTTCTCCCTGGTCTCGGATTCTGCCAGTCATCTCAGCCAATTCCATATAGTCCATCACTTTCGTCTGCCATTCTTCTCGGGTGGGTAATTCTTGTGTCTTCCAGTACTTTCCGATGAGTATTCTTGCTGCTGTTGTAGCATACAGAAAAAAGGTTCTATCCTCCCTTCGCACCGATTGGCCGACCATGCCCAGAAGGAAGGCCTCTGGTTTCTTCTGAAAGGTATACTTAAATACCTTTTTCATTTCATTATAAATCATCTCCCAGAAGGCCTTGATCCTTGGGCATGTCCACCAAAGGTGGAAAAATGTGCCCTCAATCTCTTTACATTTCCAACATTTATTATCTGGCAAATGATAGATTTTTGCCAGCTTGACTGGGGTTAAGTACCACCTGTAAATCATTTTCATTATGTGTTCTCTAAGGCATTACATGCCGTAAACTTAATACCTGTGGTCCATAACTGTCCCCAGTCAGCAAACATAATATTATGTCCAACGTCTTGTGCCCATTTAATCATGACAGATTTAACCGTTTCATCCTGAGTATTCCATTTCAACAGCAAGTTATACATTCTTGACAAATTCTTGGTTTTAGGATCTAACAATTCTGTTTCCAATTTTGATTTTTGGATGGTGAATTTTACACTTCTCTCTTTATGCAGATTTACACAGTCCAAAACAACCCCCTTCCTTCCCTGCTTGTAGAAGGGTGGGTTCAGAAAAGTTATCAAGTCGGAAAACAACTCTTTACAAACTTATTTCCAGCGCTTTAGCTCAAAAATCTCTATGCTTTGATCTATTTACAGAACGGGAGGCAGACTTCCTGGTTATACCTCCCGCCGCGGTAGCCAATTAAGTCTCTCTTTTTTTTCCTTCCAGTAAGCCCAATTCAGTCAATCTTTTTAAAATAAGTCCGATTCAATCAGTCTCTTAGCGATCCAATTCCCCCTACTCACAGGTATTTCCTTTAAGATCCAATTGTTCCAGGGTAGAAATCAGCGCTCTCCAGCAACGGCAGTGCGGCTTCGCTCCGTGAAAGCAGCAATCGACTCACAGCACCGCGCCTCTCCCCCGTTCCACTCCGAAGCCTCAAAAAAGGCTTCCTCGCGAGTTGGGGGGGCGCTGAAGGGTGCCCGCCGAGTCCCCACGTTCGCAGGCTTCACTGCCTGCGATTTATAAGGGTCCCCGCTCCGCCGCAGCGCACAGGACCCGATTTCCACGGAGCCGATCCCCTTTGAGATCAAAGGGAATCCGCCATTAGCTGATGGCGCTGACCGGAAGTCCCAGAAATTTTTAAAAGACTTAAAATTTCTCCTCTCCTCCAACAAATTGGAAGTTCCGGAGGGTGATTTGATACAGCTCATTCTGGCCATCGAAGAGCATTCACCCTGGTTTCCTGGAGATGGGACTTGGGAATTAAAACTTTGGGACAAGATTGGGGCACATTTTCATGGGCACCCCAGCATAGGTGTTTGGATTCTAAATGCATGGTGCAAGGTTCGTTACGCCATGGGCTCTTTATCACCAAAAAATATCTCCATGGCTGCATTGCCAACACAACCTTCAGCTTCTTTAATTCAGCCTGCTGTGCTGCCATCTGTTCCAGCACTTGCCTTGCCAGCAGCTCCAGACCCCAAACCTCCGGACTACAGTTCCTCACCAGAGGACCCAATCCTGCAAAAATACCGTGGTCTGGCTGGCAATGATCCTAATCTTTCAGCGGCAGAACCAGCTACCCCTTTTCAACGTGCAGTCCTTGCCTGTTCCTTAATTCAGGATACTATGGCATTCCCTGTTATTGTGCCCCCTGCTGGTGCCCCGGCAGGCACCCAAGCCCAACACCAACCTTTTGACTTTAAGATTTTGAAAGAGCTGCAACAGTCAGTAAAGGCCAATGGACTCCAAGCCCCATATACGCAGGCGCTTTTAGAAGCCACATTAGCCCAGCTCTTGGTTCCAGAGGACATCAAGCTTTTGGCCCATACAGTGTTACCCCCATCAGCTGGTGTTTTGTTTGCCCACGAATGGGAAACTGCCTGCCGTGCTTATGCTCCAGCCTTGTTACAACAAGTCAGAGGAAATAATCCAAATGTTACCCTCGCAGACGTCATAGATGCCATGTTGGGGCGTGGTCCCTTCGCTCAAGCTTCAGTGCAAGCCACACTGCTGCAAATCTTATTGAGGGACACTGCTCTTGCTGCTAAACAAGCCATGAGAAAAATCCCAGAACCCAGTATTCAATCAAGGTGGGGTTCAATCAGGCAAGAGGCAAGAGAATCATATTCTTCCTTTATGGACAGGCTGCTTACAGCAGTGAGTCGCCAAATTGAAAATCCTGAAGCCAAACAAATAATTATCAAACAATTGGCCTTTGAAAATGCCAATGAGGATTGTAAGGTTGCGTTACGACCGATAATACACAATCCTGCCACAGACACAGCAGCCATGCTTCGCATTTGTCAGTCTGTAGCTACAGCCACCCACAAGGCTCATCTGCTGGCAACAGCGCTAAATGAAAACCAGCCTGTAGCCACCGATACAACTTGTTTCCAGTGTGGCAAACCAGGATCACCGATACCCCAGTGGGGGTAGAACAGTGGCCTCTACCAAAGAAAAATCCGCAGCAGCGGCACCAGCTATCTCTGACCAGCTTATTTCTGAACAATTGACTTTCGACCACAGTGAACCATCTTCATCCCACTGGCTCCAGCAGACAGGGAACGGTTTGCTTTTACATTGCCAGTATATAACAATTCGCAGCCCACCCAGCGATATCAGTGGGTTGTCCTGCCTCAAGGCATGCGGAACTCCCCTACACTTTGTCAACATTTTGTGGGTGAAGCATTGAAACCTTTCCGCATGCGCCACCTAGAGGTGCTGCACACGAGCTGCATCTGGCAGTGTTTGCCTTCCTAACCATTTGCCTTGCCATCCTTTGCTGCACCGTTATACAAGGAAGAGAAGCAGACGACCCTGTCCAGTTGAAACCACCATATTTCACCTCATCGGCTGGCAAGCAGCTGTTGTCAGCTTCCTACTCTGGCTGGCAGTATCCACGGCTCAGCCACTTTCGAACTAGAAGAACAGCGTTGTTGAATAAGACTTTTAGGGGAGAAAATTATCATAAGATATGGAGGGACAATATTTTTGTACAAGATATGATTATGTTTGCCAGTTTATTGCATGCTTCTAAATGTTGGGTGTGTATGCCAGTCATTCCGGCATAATGCTTCATGGTGTGCCTGTCAATGGATCTTTTCAATTTACTAATATTATATCCCCTAAGCAAACTTTTTGGCCTCCAGTACAATTGACCCTCCATGAGCCTGCCCTCATTTGTTTTCAAATTAAAGAGGGGAAAGAATCATGGGGCATATATCCAAACTGTCAATATACATTGAATTTCACTTTTAATAGCTCTTGTTCTCTTACAGGAACATACAGTGACCAATCTCAGTGCTATAGGAGTGACACCAGTGCATGGCTAATAAACTAGAAAGGAAGCCTACCATGCAGCTTGGAATCAGAATTCTTATATTCTTGGCTTCCGGATGGAAGTTGGCTTCGACATTTATTGATTTTAGTGATCATTATAGTAGTTATTTGCATTATTTTGTGTTGCTGTATCCAATGTATTCCTTATTTAATTTCTATATGTACTGCATGGTTCTCCAGTCCGCGGCCCACTTCCGGTATCAAAGAGTCGCTTATCGCGCTCGATATAACCGTATTGGTACTGCCATATATGACTCTGAAATAAAATAAAGAAAGAGGGCATGTGGGAGTCATAAAGCCACGGCAAAGGCTTGTAATATTGCAGGGTGCCCCCTGACCTCGGCTGACCAGCACTCTGAGCTTTACAATGTATTGGAATGTATTGACCTTAAATGGAGTTGTGTTTCCTCTGGGCAGTGATGACCCTATATGGTGATGGGGGCAATAAAAGCCTTGACCGGATGAGGTAACGAGAGACATTGGCAAACAGCCATGCGGCTGGAGAGAGACAAAGGAAAATAAAAAAGCTACGGGAGGAGAGGAAAGTTCGAAAGGAGCTGCTCATACCATCATGAAAATATTGCTGGCTCTCTGTGTCTTTATTTTATGCTAAACTGCGCCATTTGTAACGGCTGGCTCCAACAGAATGGGGGAGCAAAAGGGCCATAATTTGTAATTTGGACACATGGTAGTCCCTCCAGAGGGAATTAACTGCCAAATTTCAGAAAGTTAGCTCAAGGGTTTGTTTTTGGTTGGTTTTGTTAACCACATTTAAAATTTGCTGGTTTTCTAAAGAAAAATCAGCCCTGCAAATTCTCACACTCTTTTTGGACCTGATCCTGTTTGGCTATGTGCTGGTGCTAAGCTGTACAGTTTAAAGATTCACTCTATGTGTTAAGTATGTGTTATACCTAAAGGAGTGTCTCCACCCCCAACGATCAGCCCGGACACTGAGTTCCAGCTCTGAGGGCCTTCTGGCAGTTCCCTCCCTACGAGAAGTGAGGTTGCAGGGAACCAAGCAGAGGGCCTTCTCGGTAGTGGTGCCCATCCTGTGGAATGCCCTTCCATCAGGTGTCAAGGAAATAAAGAACTATCTGACTTTTAGAAGATATCTGAAGGCAGCCCTGTTTAGGGAGGTTTTTAATGTTTTATTGTGCCTTTAATTCTGTTGGGAAACCTAGCCAGATGGGCGGGATATAAATATTATTATTATTATATAAGTACTTCCTAAAAACTACTCAGTAAGACAAAGAGAAAGGCAGTATTGTGTAAGTGTAAGAGAGAGACAAGAACTGGCAGTCCTTGTATAGCATTCTTCTAGAGGACTTTTGCAGTAGGTTTCCAGGCCTGCCTTCCACACTAAAATTCTCTTCTATATGGTAAGCAAAGCCCCTCATTCAAGGAAGCCCATGGATGCAGCACAATGTATGGTTATGAGTTTGCTGAGGGGGGCAGTTAGACTCCCCTAAATCTCTGGATTCAGAAAAGGGTTAGCATTTAAGCAACCCCCTAAATCCCTGGATCTAGCAAGTGTTGGAAATAACACAAGACGGCTTACTCATGAGGCAGCCTGATAATGGTCAAGTCATAAGCAAACAAAGGCAGGGTGATGACAATCAAGAAAGCCACCAACCAGGCAAAGAATCTCTGCTGGATGCAGCCCACCCTGAGCCAGAGGGAGTTAGATGAACAAAGGCCAATAGGTTTGCCTGATGTGGACAGGAGGAAAAATCCTTTGGGTCTGTTAGTGGTGACTAGCAAGAAGTGGAGGCAAAGAATCATGTGGGCTGACAGGCTGTAAATGTAGAGCAGATTTCTGTTTTGGATTCAAAGCTGCTGCACCTATGGGAGAAGCAAGGGACCCTCTTGGAATGTAATGCTTTGAACAGTAGGCTCAGGCTGTATATATGTGTAAATAAACCAAATATAATAAAGACCTGTGAGCCCCGCTTTGGGTGAAAGCTTCCTGCATTGTAGGGAGTTGGACTAGAGGAACATCGTGGTCCCTTCCAACTCTACAAGTCTATGATTCTCTGAATCCTACATGGAAAAGTCTAAAAGTGTCCATGGAACGCTGAGAAGTCATTTGATAAAACACTCAGAGAGAGGAGGTGGTACAGTAATTGTCATTTAATAAAGTGAGTGAACTTTGAACAGCAGGGGAAAATAGATTAGTATTGTAGGATGATTATTGTAATGGGGGGAAAGGGAAAGTAGGAAAGCAGGGTGTGAAATGGAGTAGGAAAACAGAGGGAGAAGAAAGAAAGCAGGAAAGCAAGGGGGACAAAATGGAGAAGGAAAATGGTGGGCGAGGAGGGAAAGCTTTCCTGCATTCCTGAAGAAACTGTCCAAGGAGTAGGAGGCGACAGCGCCACAAGCAAGGGGGCAGGGAGTGGGCACAGCACCTAGATGCAAATATGCCACCCTTTCAAGAGTGTTGCTTGAGGCACCTGCCTCAGACAGACTGAGGATAGCGCCGGTCCAGAGAACTCGCTCAAAATGCTGAACATTTCAAAAAGGCAAGTTAAAAATCGGTAAGTATGATCCAGGAAAGGTGAGGGGGAGAGCTTGTTGCTAGTTCCTGGAATGTGTAGAAGTGACAAAGCAGGTTCAAATCAGGCCTGGCAATATATAGGTGTGGCGTTTGCCCTCCTAGGTGTGTGACATCATACTGGGTTCATAGGGAAAGGGTTAACTAATTGTAAAATGACTAACCAATGGGAACCCAGGGGGCAGAGTTAACTGTATAAGGTTTAAGCACAGAGGGGTTTTTTTAGGAGTTAGAGTTGTTGAGAAGACAGTCTGGAGTTAGAAGAGACAGAGAAGATAAGTCTGTGGGTTGGGCTAGCCTGGTGTGAGAGAGTGAGAGAATTTGTTAAGAGAAGTCAGTCAAACAGTTGAGATAATCAGTCAGAAGGTATTAGGAAGGTATAGGCCGGTAAAGAAACTAAAGTTAGCATACAGGAATATTATCTGAGAAACCATAAACTTGTTAATGTTTGTAAAATAAACTTTTTTTGTTGTTGTTGTTGTTGTTCACTTTTAATAACTGACTGGACTCTGTGTTTTACCAGAGTGTAACTGGTTGGTGGCAGTGGGGAAGCGAGCACAGTGGTGGCACAGGGATCATTAGACTGTTAAACGTCCGGGGACCCTGTGTGGTTGCCACAAGAGGTCATGGTTAGTTTGATTCAGGGTTCTGCTTTCTTTGTCCTTACAACAGTCAAGTGAGAAAAGAGATTATGGTTAATTTAGAGGTTTACAAAAGGACATAAAATAACATTAGAAGCGTTTGCTGGATCAGGCCAATGGCCCATATACTCCAGCATCCTGCTCTCACAGTGGCTGAACAGTTGCCTGTCAGGAACCAGAAGGAGGATTTGAGCACAAGGGCTCACAACTCCTCCCTCCTGTGGTTTCCTGCAACTGCTATTCAGAAGCATTGCTGCCTCCAACTGGAGACAGAGGGTGGCCATTGTGGCTAGCAGCCAACAACAGCCCTCGGTCCACTAATTTGTCTAACCCTCTTTTAAAGACATCCAGGTTGGTAGCCAGCACTGTCTCTTGTGGGAGCAAGTTCCATCGTTTAACTCTGCATTGCATGGATAAGTAATTTCATTTTTCAGTCCTGAATCTTCCAACACTCACCTTCATTGGATACTACCAGGTTCTCGTGATATGAGAGAGGGAGAAAAACATTTCTCCAACCACTGTCTCCATGCCGTATGAACTTCAATCATGTCAGCTCTGACTTGCCCTTTCCCTGAACTAAAAGTCCCAAATGTTGCAACCTGTCTTCTCAGCACAGTCACTCCACCCCCCTTGATCTTACATTATAGGAGGATGTGAAGCTGCTCTTTGAACCTCAGTTTCATGCCTACCAATCCAGATCATAAAGTTTGCTGATAGCATGTTATTGTAAACAGAGCCAGACCCATTGCAAGATTAAGCATGTTATGGGCAGTGATCTCTTCTTTGAAGAACTGCATGTTATGGGCAGTGATCTCTTCTTTGTAGGGTGGCACTGTGGTCTAAACCATTGAGTCTCTTGGGCTTGCGATCCAAGTGAGCTCCCATTGCCCTGTCCCAGCTTCTGCCAACCTAGCAGTTTGAAAGCACACCAGTGCAAGTAGATAAATAGGTCCCACTGTGATAGGAAGGTAAACAGCATTTCCGTGTGCTCTGGCTTCCATCAGTGTTCCATTGCGCCAGAAGCGGTTTAGTCATGCTGGCCACATGACCTGGAAAGCTGTCTGCAGACAAACACCAGCTCCCTTGGCCTGAAGCAATATGAGCGCCACAACCCCATAGTCACCTTTGAGTGAACTTAACCGTCCAAGGGTTAATTAACCTCTTATCTTTACCTGTAGGCAGGAAGGTGGAGAAAGAACTGACATGGATGAATCCATATATGACCTTTGGGTTTTGGGTTCCTACAGAGATCCATCTTGTCTCTGATGCAGCTTAACATTTGCATGAAACTGCTGGAAGAGTTTTGTCTGGAAATTTCTCATGGTTTCATGGAGCCAATTCCTGGGGTGAGGAGCTCCCTCATTTGGAGGTCTTCAGGCAGAGTCTTGACAGCCACCTGCTGAACATGCTGTATGGCTAGATTTCCTGCATCAGGCTAGATGGCATACAAAACTCCCTCCAGCTGTGTAGGATGCTGTGGATACTCCTCTCTCCCCTCCTCACATCATTTCAGGGAGGATGTGAAGGTCCTGCATTCTTGGCTGTCAGCAGACAGGATGTGGGTGCAGAAATGGAATATGAATTACTGGCAAAAGTGGGTCAGTTACCTGTTGCAACCCTTTCGTATGCAACATTTGGCTGGTGGATAGAGATTAGAGTTTACCTGTTGCAATCATACACAAAGAGATGATTCTGGGTAAGAAAATAATTGTTTATTGTAATACCTGGGTCCTGCAGGCGCCCTTTCTGTGCTCCTCCTCGATGAGCAGCTGTTTGGCTGCTTCACACTCATCCAGCTCTCCCCCAAGCAACTTCAAGGATTGCTTTTTTTGAGGGGGAGGGTTGTGTGTTTTTTAAATTCCCAAAGGAGGAGCAGGTTCTTCTCTCACGCTCACACGTTTTCCTGCTCCAACTCCTTGCCGCTCCTCCCTGCTTCAGAACCTGCTGGGAAAGAGAGCGAGAGCTCCCGGGAAAGACGCCTCTTGCGCTCGCCCCGCCCTCGAGTCTCCTGCCGCGGACGGAGGGAAGCATCTCAAAGGGTTTCCTCGCCAAAGGGAGCAGCAAGCGGCGGGTTTCCCGCTGCCCTCGGGCCAGGCATCTCTCCTCCGGGGCATCAGGCGCCGCGAGTTGGGCACCAGAGTCTGGCTCTCCTGCCTCTCTGCCTTGGCACAATCTCCGGATCGGGGTCTTTCGCTGGCCGAGGATTTGGCTGGGCTGGGGCTGGCGGGGAAGGAGCGCGATGGCCAAGAAGACTCCCAGGGGACGCTTCGCGGAAGCCCCGGTAGAGGAGGAGTTCCGAAGGCTGGAGATGGGTAGCGAGGAGGAACACGACGGCAACCTGAGGGCGCGGCTGCCTAGTTGTGGCTTTGGCCTCAAGCAGTGCTCCGTGGTATGGTCACAGCGGTGCTGGAAATAGACAAGAACGCCCCGTTTTCAGATGGGAGAAGGATTCTGGAATCCTCATTCATGCTTGTGGTTTTATTATAGGATCTTCCAGAAAGAATAAAAGCAGAGGTGTTTTGGGACTCAGAAAGGGACCATGAAGCTTACAGGTAAGTGATCTCTCTCCCCAATCTCTTGAAAATTTCTCCCTTCAGGGAATGGTTTCTACATTGAATTGTTCTTCGGAACGCATCTGGTTTCTGTGGGTCTCACAGTCATCAAATATGGTTGCTGTCTCCACCCATGTTCCTCTAAATATGATGAAGGAAATGCAATTTAAAACTTTTGTACTGTAGCGCATATAAGACCCGCTGGTGGACTTGACCACTGATCAGTTATAACATGCATTTTGTGTGTTTATTTGGAAAATAATCACTACAACTTTAACTCCATGTTACATTGGTAAGCATCGTTACAGAACGGATGAAACATGTACAAATGGCTTTTCAGAACTGGATGAGGAGGTGGACTAGGCCCAGGATTAAAAACCTATGAGGAGGACCAGAGTGAATCCTGTCATGTCAGTTCAATCTGCCCCAGGGATGGGGCCAGTGTCGCAGCCTGCCTGCCATTGGCCAAATAGGCAGTCAAGCCGCGATCCACTTCCTGGGCCTGGGTGAAGCTAAAATGGGTTCACCCAAACCCAGGAAAACCCCTCACCTCCAGCACAACCGTAGGATCCAGGGGAGGCATTGTCACTCTCTCACAGCAGTGCCCAGGTTGCGGTAAGCGTCATTACACATGTTTTTTCAAAATTTTCTTCTTTTTTCTTCTTTATGCTTTCACCTCCCCCTTATTTTTATTCAATGCCCCCCAATTGCACCTGAAGCTCCCACTGCCCCCCTCAATCACTCCAGCACCCTGCAGGGGGTGGGATCACCCACTATGAGAAATACTGGTTTAGAGCAAAATGGGTTCATGGCTTGTAGAACCCCTGGCCTGCTCAATGAATATGATAATTTCCCCTGAAGTTCTAGTATCATCAACACACCAGGAATCAGAAGATTAGTAGTTAATCCTACCACTTGGCTTTACTCTGCATGAACGCAGGCATTTTAAAGTCACCTTCTCAGTATCAGAAGAATACTTTTTGGGCAGCCTCATAATAAACATGCTGCTCTGTGGCAAAATCCTGAGTGTGCAGAGTGGTGCCTGCCCAGGAATTTTCCTTCCATAATTTTTTTACCTCCTTACTCAGCGTGTGAAGCACCTCCTGCAAAAATATCAATTAGACCAGCAGAGGAAGTTCTCCCAATTCATGTTCAACCTGATTCCCCTTTCATCATTCCCTTTGTGCCATTCAGAGCGTGCTTCACAAAGGCTGGCTCCTTCCATTGCTGTGATACTGGTCTCATATGGGAAGTGAGAGGAGCTGTGACCGTAACATACCACTTTGATTCATGGCCTAAGCACCTGGAAGAACAAAACACCGAGGAGTGGCAGATCGCTGGCCCTCTGCTCAACATTAAAGTGGATGCAGTAGAAGCCATGGCAGTCATTTGCGTCCCTCACTCCTTGTCTCTTTCAGGTATCACATGGGAAAAACCTTACAGCATTATAACCATAATAGGAAGAATCTTAAACAGGAATAACTTCCATTGACATTTCCAGAATGTTTGGGGGCCAGTGGTGTGGGTTCTAGGGATCAGTAGTGTCTTTTCTGATTTGTTTCAATTTTGCAAAATGTTCTGCTATTTTACTGTTTTTGTGATGCTTTTTATTTTGTTGTAAGACATGTTGGAGCTTTCGTCTAAACCACAGAGCCTAGGGCTTGCCGATCAGAAGGTCGGCGGTTCGAATCCCCTCAATGGGGTGAGCTCCCGTTGCTCGGTCCCTGCTCCTGCCAACCTAGCAGTTCAAAAGCCCGTCAAAGTGCAAGTAGATAAATAGGTACCATTCTGGCGGGAAGGTAAACGGCATTTCCGTGTGCTGCTCTGGTTCGTCAGAAGCGGCTTCGTCATGCTGGCCACATGACCCTGAAGCTGTACGCTGGCTCCCTCGGCCAATAAAGCGAGATGAGTGCCACAACCCCAGAGTCGTCCATGACTGGACCTAATGATCAGGGGTCTTTTTACCTTTACCATGAGAACATACAGTACTGTGAAACAATGCTATAGACCTCTTAAATGATGATGAGAAAATAAATACTTGCATGATACAGAGAGGGTGAGGGTTAAGTGATGGTGATTTTTTTTTCACTTTCCCACTTGTAACATGTTTGTCTATGTTTCCTTTGGGCTCCTGTTCAGGTAAAGATAGTTCCCATGTCTACATTGCACATTTTGTGGAAGGGGAGATGAGGCTGGAGAAGCCAGGCAGAGTGGAGCCTCACCATGCTGTGTTGGAAAACCCCAAGTTCTCTTCCCTTGGAGTCATTTTCAAAAAGTGGTTTAAGCAAAAGATCAACACTGTTGTGCTGCTCTATCAGAGCCTTCGAGTGGAAACACCAACGTTTCACCTGTACCTCCTACCCAATGACCTTTCGATAATAAAGGTAACCAGGAACCTCCAACTCTGGTATTCCGATTGCCTGGGTCATTTACTTGATCATATTAACCCCGGCTATGCACAATTGTTGGACTTGATCAGATCTATTCAACATGCCAGTAGAGAGAAAATTAACAAGTTGCCCTCTGCTGGGTTACTTATCTTCTCACCAACACTGTTGCTTTAAAGTGATTTTTCCAAAATTGAAATACACCCTTTTCACTTCTTAAACAACCTGCTTGCTAAAGCCCAAATTCCCTGTCTGGTTCTCCAAACAACGGTGTTGTCACTGAATTGTGAAACAATTCAGTCCTTAGCCTCCCTTGTGAGTCCCAATGGATTTCTTCCGGAAGCATTCACTGAAATCAGGCTTCCTCCAGGGTAAACGTATTTAGTGATGAGGAAATTCTGCTTAATTCATACAAGCTATCTAAATGAACTTTTGAGGAAGAACATCCTTCTTCCTTTGCAGTGTTGGCACATGGGTTTCATGGCTTCTGTGGTTTCCTGCGTGGACTCATCAAGATGCAGGTGGACCCAGGATTGCTGGTACCTCTCGGCCACCAGGGTGTCCAGTCCAAGAGCCCTGGCTTGAGTTCCCCATGAGGCCAGGGAATCTCCTCCTTACATTTTAGTTTCTGGTGCCATGTGCTTTAATTTTCTTCATATTGCAGATGGAGAATCTGTGTCTCTGCAGATGTTACTGGACTACAAAACCCATCAGCCCTGACTCTTGCTGACTGGAGGGCATCAGGTTCCCCATTCCTGCCTTAGCTGGTGTAACAGTGCCAAGAAAGTTGTAGGGATCTAGTCTTGGCTTCCTCTCCGCGTATCTCAAATGTGACTTTATTTGTCTTTCCCAGGCGGTCAATGACAGTGAAGAAAATTCAAAGAGAATAGAGAAACCCCCTGTGACTCTGAGACCTCTGACAATTGGCTCTCAGGTCTCTTTGAAGGCTTCAAAGAATGTCACAGTCTGTCCTGAGGTGAGACAAATATGATGAAAGGTTTTGCAGAGCCCAGATGGTGAAGTCTGAGAATGGGAGAAATTCAACCAGGATCCCTCTTCACCCTTTAAGTTGACTCCCTTGCAATGGCGGGTTGGGCTAAGCCAGATTCACACCTACAAAGGTTTCATTCTTTCCCACAGGAACTGGAGTTTCAATACCTGGATGCAGAGAAACTGCAGCAGTACGTAGAACTGTCTGCTGAGCAAATGCAAGACGAGTTCTTCTGCCTGATGAAGAAGGGCACACCTGAAATTGTCTGGAAGGTGCATTTGAAAAAAAGTGAGTTTTATTCAAGGGATGATCATGAGGTTGGGTCATATCTTAGGAGGCAGGACAGAAAAAGACCACCAGTCACGTTCCCTCTTTGACTGCCTCTTATTCTATTTCAGGAGAGTTCATTTCAGAGGAGATGGATTCTCCTATTTCACACCCAGCACAAGGTGAGCAGGTTTTAATTATTTCTCTGCATGTATTTGTATCCCACTTTCCTCCCAATAGGAGCACAGAGGGCTGATGAAACAGTAGCAGAACTGGTTTTGCTGACCTTGAACTCCTCACTCTAAGTTTTACAGTGTGAGCTTATTAGTTTTAAACTGAGTGTCAGTTCTTTTAAATATTAACTGTTACTTGCTTTTATTGTCATTTGTTATGACGTGATACTGCAAGCATAATACATAAATCTGTGAGACAATGTTCCATAGGCTCATCTTCTTCCAAGGACAGAGACCTTGTGGGCAAAGTTTTCATGGCTTTTGGATAGTGAGTGAAATGGTCTCTTCTCTCCCTGTGGGAGAAAGCTGGGTTCAGTAATTATAACAACAATAACAGAAGCATAGAATTTGGAGGGATTCCAAGTCTCATCTAGTCCAACCCACTACAATGAAGGAGCTATCAATTCCTGGGCTTTCAAGCAATAAAATATAAAGCTGAGTATAATACTATGTGAAATTAATTATCTGATAATGTGCTGTTGTTTCATGATACCCCATATTATGATGCCACCTCACTCTCCCTAATGGTAGGGCTGGCCCCATCCCTGGCTCGCTTGCAACTGCTCTCACTTACTGTATTTCAGTTTTATACTTCCTCAACAGTTATGGCTTTGCCCAAAGAATTCTGGGAACTGTAGGCAGATGAGCTACTAGTAATGCTCTGTTCACAATCCCTCCCCTCATGGAACTACAATTCCCAGGGCATGGGGGAGGAGGGAATGAGTTGGGCAACCAGTCTTAAGCCTGCAGTGTGAACCTGTAGCAAGATTTCCGTTCTTTTTCGCTTTCCTGGCAGGGCCGCAGTTTCCAAACTCTTCCAACGTGCACTTCATCGAGCGGCACAGGGAGGCGCTAATCCAACGGACCACCCCAGCGGAACCGGTGCTGGATAGATTGTATGGCTCCGTCCTCAGTGAGGAGCAATATCAAAGAATCATTGCTCAGGAAACTAACCCAGACAAGATGCGAGAGCTCTACAAGCTTGTGCCAAGCTGGGACCTCTGGTGCAAGGATATGCTGTATGAGGCTCTGAAGGCCAAAAACCCACATCTCGTGAAAGACCTGGAAGGGCAATGAGGCCCCAAGGGAAGGCAGAAGGCAAGACCCCTTTCAAGGCATTTTATTTATAAAATAAAGTGCATATTAAAACACTTGTCAGCTTTAGCTCTCTGAGCAGGCCTGTCTCAACAAATAAGTTGTTTCACATTCTGAGGATATTTTCCCAGAGGCCAGAGAGATCCTGGTAGTGGATGCTTCAATGACTGGCAACAGCTGGGTGTGAGCTGGGCACATAGACTGCTGGGTGAATTGCTTTCCTGGCTTCCTCACATTCAGAGTGTGCTCCACAGAGGCTGACTCCTTACTTTGTGGTGATACTGATCTCCAATGTGAGATGAGAGGATCTGTGATCATAACATACCACTTTGATTCATGGTCTAAGCACCTACACCAGGCATAGGCAAACTCGGCCCTCCAGATGTTTTGGCACTACAACTCTCATCATCCCTAGCCAACAGGACCAGTGGTCAGAGATGGTGGGAATTGTAGCCCCAAAACATCTGGAGGGCCAAGTTTGCCTATGCCTGCTCTACACGAATGGAAGACAATTCCTTGTTGCTGGTCCAAGGAGTTCCATACACTTTCCTCACTCCTTGTGTCTCTCATCTCCCAGTAGTTTTCAACCTTTTTGAGTCCACAGCTTCCTTGTCCAGCCACTCATCCTTTCTGCAGCTCCCCTATGGGAGCCACTGACGCTGGGGTTCTGTTACAAGGCACGTGTACTGGGGAATCTCTCCATTCCATCCCACCCCTTTTCAGCGCTATTTTTGGCACACATGTAAGTGGGGAGGCATGTGTCGATGGGAAGCCAAGAAACGTCACTGCTGCAGGGCTGAGCTGATGCACTCCACATGGCAGCCCAGCTTCCCTTTGGTTGGGTGGGGGGCATGGAGTGGGCAAAACAAGATTAGGATCAGAAGCAGAATTTTTTTTGTTACCATGCGGAAGGAAAGCAAGAAACACACAGCACTGGACACACATGCAGACACGATCCTTTCCTGCAACATTCTCCCTGTCCCCATAAAGCTGGCTGACTGTTAAGGAGGAGGGGGTTGCCTGGGGGGAGAGTGATGTTGAGGGTAGAAGGAGTGAGAAACACAAAAGACACTGCTCACTTTCAGGGTTACAGTGGTACCTTGGGTTACATACGCTTCAGGTTACAGACTCCACTAACCCAGAAATAATACCTCGGGTTAAGAACTTTGCTTCAGGATGAGAACAGAAATCATGCAGCGGCGTATCAGCAGCAGCAGGAGGCCCCATTAACTAAAGTGGTGCTTCAGGTTAAGAACAGTTTCAGGATAAGAACAGACCTCCAGGATGAATTAAGTTCTTAACCTGAGGTACCACTGTATTTTTAAAACCCTCTTTATAGGGTGGACACCCAGACACCATCATCATCAAGCTACTTTGCTACCTTATTGTATTTCTCAAGCCCTCTGTGTAGAACTAAGGAACTGTTAGTTACTGAAGCTGTGGAGGGTTTTTGTTTGGAGGAGGGAGATTTTCAGAATATAAACAGTCATGCAAAAGTGTTTCCCTCTTTTTTTGTCACTGTTTTATTTTTGGAATATAATGTGTTGCAAGTTAAAGCTGCCAGCTCCCCTGAATGTTCCTCAGAATGAGAGAGAGAGAGAAAGAGAGAGAGAGAATGCAGGAAGATCAGGGTTGCAAGTTAATGAAAGAAAGGCTCCCCTGAATGTTTCTCAATGTGCCCTGGCACACTAGTTGGAAAACAATGTTATAACCATAACAGCAGGAATTTTAAGTTGAATTAAATATAATGCGGTGGAACACAGAAAGAGAAATAGGGGTGCTTGGTTTCTAAACCCAGGCTTGATTTCCCCCTTTGTAGCATGTCTGTCCCTCTGAAATCACCCTGACTGATTATAGCATGGTGATTCCTCAGCATCAGTAGATCCTGAGTATGAACCTCCAAAGTGTTTCTGCAAACATCTTCCCAGGGCACAAGGACTCTATATTTCTATGATTTACACCTGCCGTACATTGTACTTTGAACTTTAGTTTTATGCCTACCAACCCAGCTAATAAAGTTTCCTGGTAGCATGAGGATTTCAGGCAGGTTACTGTAAACAAAGGCTGGGCCAGTGATTTCTTCTTTGTAGACAGCAAGCTGGAAAAAGATCAGGCATGGATGAATCAGTATATAAGCATTGGGCTTGTGGGCTCCTGCAGAGATCCATCTGGTCTCTGATGCAGCTTAGCATTTGCATGAAACTGCTGGAAGGGTTTTATTAGGAAATTTCTCATATGGATTCATGGAGCCAATTCCTGGGGTGGGGAGCTCCCTCACTGAAGGTCATAGGAGCCAGTTCCTAGTGGCCAAGGACCCTTTGCCCCCTCATAAAATATGTGACCCTCCCCCAAGTTGACAGTCATTGACATTCAAAAGGTTTGTGTGTACCACACATTGTGATATATTCTTCTTGTTCTCTTCTATATGTTAAATCTGCAACCTGTTCATATTTTTTCAAGTTGGCACCCCTGCTGGAGGTCTTCAGGCAAAGTCTTGACAGCCACCTGTTGAAAATGCTGTAGGGCTGGATTTTCTGCATCAGGCCAGATGGCCTAGAAAATTTCCTCCAGCCATAGAAGATGCTGATGATACTCCTCTCTCCCCTCCTCACATTATTTCAGGGAGAAGGTGGAGGTCCTGCATTCAGGTCTGAGACTTGTCTGCAGACAAGTTGTGGGTGCAGAATCTGGATATGCTTTTTATATCAGTCCTGGAGGTCCTGCTAAACATGGAGGTCCTGCTAAACATGATTAGAAAGGACCGGTTGGTTAAAGGTATACAGGTCGGAGCTAAACAGTACAAACTGAGAGCATTTGCAGATGACTTAGTATTGACGTTACAGGAGCCAGAATCTAGCACTAAAAGAGTTTTAGAATTAATTCAAGAATTTGGTCAGGTGGCAGGTTTTAAATTGAACAAGCTAAAATCTAAGGTTTTAGAGAAAAATTTAACACCGATTGAAAGAGAGAGGTTTCAGAATGAGACAGGATTGACTGTGGTAAAGAAAGTGAAATACTTGGGGATTAATATGACAGCCAAAAATGGGAACTTATTTAAAGATAATTATGAAAAATGTTGGACCGAAGTGAAAAAAGATTTAGAAATCTGGTCAAATTTGAAGCTTTCACTGCTGGGCCGTATTGCTGCGATAAAGATGAATGTATTGCCTAGAATGTTGTTTTTGTTTCAGACACTGCAAATTGTGGACAAGATGGACTGTTTCAAGAAGTGGCAGAGAGATATTTCTAGATTTGTCTGGCAGGGCAAGAAGCCCAGAATAAAATTTAAGATATTAACTGATGCAAAGGAAAGAGGTGGATTTGCCCTGCCAGACTTTAAACTTTATTATGAATCAGCAGCTTTTTGCTGGTTGAAAGAATGGCTACTTCTTGAAAATACAGACATTTTGGATTTAGAAGGTTTTAACAATGTATTTGGATGGCATGCATATTTATGGTATGATAAGGTCAAAGCACATAAAGCATTTAAAAACCATATTGTCAGGAAAGCACTGTTTAATGTTTGGACAAGATACAAGGACTTATTGGAAAATAAAACTCCAAGGTGGTTGTCACCAATGGAAGCGAAAGCTCTGAAAAGGCTCAATATGGAGGCCAAATGGCCGAAAGATATTATGAAAATGATATACAGCTTTCTGGGATATGATTTATAATGAAATAAAAAAGGTATTTAAATATACCTTTCTGAAGAAACCAGAGGCCTTTCTTCTGGGCATTGTCGGCCAATTGGTGCCAAAGAAGGATAGAACCTTTTTTATGTATGCCACAACAGCAGCAAGAATACTCATCGCAAAGTATTGGAAGACACAAGATCTACCCACTCTGGAAGAATGGCAGATGAAGGTGATCGACTACATGGAACTGGCGGAAATGACTGGCAGAATCCGAGACCAGAGAGAAGAGTCGGTGAAAGAAGACTGGAAGAAATTTAAAGACTATTTACAAAAATATTGTAAAATTAAGGAATCTTAGAAGGATGTTGGATAGAAACTAAGAGGTTTTTAGCTGTAATGTCTTAAGAGACATGAAAAAGGGTTTGCAATTGGGTAAAAGCTTAATGGTAAGGATTTGCTGAACTAACAAATTGAACTGGAATACAAAAAAGGGAGGTATGAGGAGGTCCGGGGAAATAAGTGTAGGGAAGATAGGCTATGGAAAATTAATGTCTTTTTAACTGTCTTATTTGGTATGTTTCTTTTTATTTTTTACTTTTTTTGGTTATATTTAAAAAACTTTATTCTTTTTCTTTCTGTATTTTGTATTTTTTGTATTTTTTGAAACTTTAATAAATATTATTTAAAAAAAAAAAACAGAATCTGGATATTAATTACTGGGATAAGTGGGCCGGTTACCTGTTGCAACCCTTTTGTATGCAAAATCTGCAGCATTAGGTGGGTGAATCTGGTTAGAATCATAGAATCTTGGAGTTTAAGGGGCCCCAAGGGTAATCTAGTCCAACCCCCTGCAATGCAGGAATCTCAGCTGAAGTATCTCCTGACTAAAGATATTAGTTTAGTCACAGGAAACTGAGGTGATGCTCTAGAAACCTGCTAAAGGGCAAGAAACTGCAGGAAGCAAGCAGCTGCAGAGAACAACTCATGGTTTCATTTGTCTCTCCATAATGCACAAAGCATGGGAAACAAACAAGACGAACTGGAGCTTTTTATCCAGGATCACAAATACGACCTGGTAGGCATTACGGAAACCAGGTGGGATGAGACTTATGACTGGACTGTAGGGATTGACCAATCAGGAAGGGTGGAGGAGTAGCATTATATATGAAGGATGTGTAAATTTTTGAAAAAAATCCATGACTTTGAGGATGAAAAGCAGATTGAGGGTTATGGGTAAAAATTGTAGGAGAAAGAAACAGCAGTGACCTTACCAGATTGAAGACTTGGATGAGCAGATAACCAAACATTCAAAAAGGAGAGAAATAGTAATCATGGTGACTTCTGCTT